CTGACTGCTTGCATGATCGGGCCATCAGCGGAGAAGTCCTGGTCACCTAGGCACCGTATCACTGCTGCTGCAATGCTCGCCGCATTTTGCTCTACACAGTCGTTGAAACCCTGTTCTTGGCCAAGGTCAACTCCCTTGACCTTCAACATCTTTTTCAATTGCTCCGGTGGCGTGTTATGATCAACTTGCCCATCATCCAGCCAAAACACAAGTTGGAATCCAATGAGATCACCTAAGCATTCCTGCAAACCATCCGCAGCTGTCTTTTGAACTGCGGCACAGTGAGCCAGGAATAGTCGGCGGCCATGATCCACCGCTTCTGAATTTCCGCCTGCCATGACATTGGTTGGCGTGAAAAGACGGAAGGTTGCTTCTGCGCATTCCTTTCGATCCCGATAACCAAGGAGTTCAGGAGAAAGACCACACACGTCCTGGGAAGCCTGTCGAATGGAGTACGCAATCTGTGAAGCGTAGGCTTCGAAGAGGTCTGACAGTTTGGCGAGTCCAAGTCTCTCAGAAACGCCAGCCAGAGTCGCTTGGATATGTTTTGTGTAATGTGAGCTATGGAAGGCTGCTTCGATCAAGTGCCAGTAGGGCCCACGCCTCACAGCGGAACTCACGACCATGATATTGCCGAGGCACAAAGTACGAGTGAGCATTTGCTCGTAACTGTGTCCTGATTGTCAGTGATTGAATAAGGAAACAATTCAAGACCCACTTCGAGAGATCCTTTGTCAACCCCTCTTTAATAGTATTGTACATATCAAGGGAGTTCTGACCAGCAAAGCGAGCCAGGGTGAAGAGACAAGCATTCACGACTGCAGCCCGGAACCGTACACGGATATCTTGATCCATGTTCAGCATTGGAATAATGGTAGAGGGTCGCTCTACAGGTTTATTCTGGCATACTGTTGGCCAAAAGGATTCGGAAGGATCTTGGGCGATATACCTAGCGAAAAATTGGGAAGCGAAGTCGCGCATTTTCCATGAAACAGATTTCCGCTTTAACATGGTATGACTGAGCCAACCGCATAACTCCCGGATATGCTCTCCGACATCAGTGTCCGCGTTTGACTTCTGGAGCCAAAAATGCGAAGTGGAGTCTAGTAAATCAACAGCCATAAGCTGCAGATCAACATTGCGACCATGAGTGTGCAAGCGAAGAAGATCTCCTAATTTTTCAAGGAGCGCGCTCAGAGCATCGATATCCAGGCTCCAAACCCGCCGTCGAACTGATCCTAGGACTGCATTGCCTATCAAGAGCAGTCTTTCTGCGGGACAATGGACTATGAGCTTCGTCAGCTCTTTGTCGCGCAAAACTTCCGCAGACGAAGACCGAAGGACAGGAGTTGTCGCGAGGAACGTGATACATAGGTCAGCAAGGTACTGGTTCGCAACGGTAATGTCACCATGAGCAGCATCCTCTTGTGTTGGTAACCCTGTGTGAGTTGTTATGATATCGCCAAATCCGTCTGGATCTAGAGCATGAATATCTTGTGCTCCTTGGCGAAGTTGGCCTGTCATAGTGCGAAGAGATTCCCGAAGGGCTTCAGAAACCGCAGAGAATGCATCTTGAATCTGAAGATTTGTCAACAAATTTAACACTGGTATGCGGCGCAGCGAGAACCCACGTCTGCATTTGCCCAAAAGACACGCTGAAACAGCCGTCGAACTGTCTGAGAGTGATGTCTCTCAGAGAAATTCCGTTTCAGGCCCTTGAGAGTATGCGATCTAATGCCAGATCCGAGACCCGGACCAAGCATAGCTTCCCATTCCTCGTTTGTACTACGCTCCTCTCCATTCATTACCAGCGGCTCCAAGGCGTGTAATATCAGCACGCGTTCGTCTGCTGTCCATCGTGAATATGTTAGGAGTGGTGCAAGAAGCGACATTACTCGGCCGGCGGATTGCAGAACACGTCGGTTACACTGCATTCCATTCCATACAAGCAGGGTCTCAAACGCAAAGGCGGTCACAACAGCATCCAGTGATTGACGAAGCTTTTCAGCAGTGGGGTGGACGTTGCTTTCCTTGAACGCATCCCACTCAACTATGAGAGATTCCATCACTTTGAGCAGAGACGACGTTACTCGACGCTCGCGCCCTCGAGGCTGAACAAGCTCGGAGTCGATAGTCAACTCGCCATGAACAGAGCTGTGCGTAAGTTCGTCGCAGCCTGCAGGTACGGCGTCCTTGCGGAAGGAGGGAAGTTGAGCATCAAGCAGGAAATCACGGATGACTTTGGTCTTCCGCTCTTCCTCCATGAGCACCACGATCGCACAATCGGGGAGTATCATGCGACAAAGAAGATCGCTTCGCTTCGACATTCCACATATACTCTCTAGCAATCCAAGGATGTCACTAATGGCGTGAAGTGGCATCCGGGATTTCCCACTAGTATCCTTTACCGCCTGGCCAGCACCAATTCTCCAATTATCAAGAAGCCAGCTAAGAACCTTCTCCTCTAACTGCATCCTGTACAGCCTCACATCTTGGCTTGCAACACGCAAACATTGCGCCAAAAACATACACACAGAATCATATGGAAATGCAGGGCCCTGCAGATCCAGATCCTTCGCCAAGGTTTCGATTTCGATCAGAATTCGCTGAGATGTTAATAGGAGCTTGGAATGGAGAATAAGTGTGTGCGCGGTATGACATGCTGCCCTGCAGACCACAGGTACGTTGGCTCTGCGCATGGCATGAGTCCACACAGAATCCCAGACAGCGGAGTCACGGACGACAGCTGCAGTCCGTGGGGTGACTGATGGTGACTGAGTTGCACGTGAACTCAGGAGGCCATCTGACTGTGCAATTGCGGCGAAGCATAGGAAAGTCCAGGATTGGATGATGGGATCATCGACGGAGACAAATCGCAGCAGAGTGTTCATTACATTCTCTTGAAGTTTATTGTCCCTGTGCAGGCACGACCAGTACTGATCAATGAAAAATAGGAGAACCTGGAGATGATACGTCCGAACGCCGGAAGCGGTTGTCGACTGTATGGAATGAAGAAGAGATGCTATAGGGTTTTCACGCTTGACACGCTTTCCTAGGCCTCCTTCACCGTCCGAAGTATCAGCATGCTTCCACTCAGAGTGATCGAAGAGCTGTATTATACCAGTCAGTTTGCGTAAAGTCAATTAATGGATGGGAACTCACCTTCTTCGCACAGTCAGCTTGTAGCTCCATTAAAGCCCACGCAAGGGCTTGAGAAGAATCAAAATGCCATCCGGCCCTGAATGTGTGAGCGACAAACACCCCACATCCGTAGTTCTCGGTGTTGAAGGGAAGTACCTCAAGCCTCAAAGAGTCGAGAGACAGACTGTCAAGACCTCGTCGACTCTCAGCTTCACCGTTCAGGAGGGTCCAAAGTTTGTACACTCCATCAGCCCAAGCGTACGCTTGAAAGCCGCCATGTGCAGCTGTTAAGAACGGGAATAACGTCCTCAGAATACCAACCAGACTTTCCTTCATGCGCTTGTTCTTCGTACCCCATAGTCCGACCAGTTGATCCCACGTTGAATGAGCGAAAGTTTTAACGTCCTTTGTCCGATTCAGGCAAAGATGAGATAATACTGGCTGCAGAGCCAGAAGGTAGTCGTGGTGAAGGGATGCGTCACTGGGATAGCGTTCTATGAATCGTACCATGCGTGTCAGGATAGATGATGATAGGTTTGGCACATCCTCTGAGAGGAAGGGAGCTGTAGGAGAGCGGAACAAAAGGACAAGTATGGAAGCACATTCGACTTGCTCCAAAGAAACCGAATAGTGTACAGAGGCCTTAAGCAACCTTGTACTGTGCATAGCACCGGGGGCAGGCGTGGAACTGTGTTCCCTCGCCTTGCGCTTGCGCTTTTGTGTTGATGTAGAAGGCTCGTAATCATCACCCTCGTCAGAGTCATCTTGGTACATGGCGGAAAAGTCTGCCTGCATGCTTTCATCATTACTCTCCCCCATAAAATCGTCAAACTTTCTCTTTATCGGATCGTCTAAAATGATGTTGAAAGCCAATTCAGCTATGCTGATCCAAGTGGCCGCGTCGATGTGGTCCATGTGTGGCGTCCAGCCGAGGAGTATCTTGGTGGTCTTGAGATAGCTAAGAGCAAGCGGTGTGTACAGCTCTCCACGGTAAACCATCATCTGTAAGAGATGAGCTAGAAGGGGTGTCAGGACTTTGGTAGTGAGCCTGCTGTTGCTTCTCTCTACTAGCCACCGAACGGTGGTGGTGGCATCCCCAAGTCTACGCAAGGCTGCTGAACCTGTCGATGCATTCTTACCCGACGCAGCTTTCTTGTCGTATTCAGCCTTTTCACTGGCAACTGCTGTGAAGAGGGCCTGATACACGACCAGCCAGGCGCGTCCCTCCTCGAGATTGAGGACAGCATCGTCGCGTGAAAAAGCTTCTTTGAGAGAAATTATTCCTTCTTGTCGTTCCTTGACTTTGGAGCTTTGCAGAAGCTCGACGACCGCCTTTAACTTGGACATTATAGCTTGAGCTGATGGCAGCACAAGCAATTCCGATCAATATTGGTTCAGTGGCGTAATCACGTCCTGATTAAAATGTTTGGTTATGTTTGGTAGAAATGTCGAATAATATAAAAAGCAAAATTTCCTTTTTTCTCTTCTCTTTATACATATCATTATGGCCTCTTTCTGCCCGGACAGTGCTTTATGCTTCTACCCTGTACCGGTTCTGGTGAAGTGCCCAGACGAACGGTCGTCTCTGCGTCTAATCAACGTCGAGATAGGCAGTTGAGAAATGCGGATTTCATTCTTCATGAAATCTGACATGGTTATACTCTGCCTTACATATATCTTCAAAGAATCTTATGCTGCTAGTTTATCATACTTGTTGATGTAGCAGATGGATCCAGGTCCGATTCACCAGTCGAATAGGATACTTCTGATAATCATTTATTTTCGAGCACCGGGTGACACCATGTCTGGCCAGCGTTGTGGCCTAAGTTGATATAATAAGCGCTTTTCTGCACGAGTCACGTGGATGGCGCGTCCACTGACTTGTCAGGCGCGTCGTTCGTTTAACGCGTTCCCCAATTCTCTCGGACGACCACTTCACTTCAAGTTCGCGCACGGCTTGTTTTTAACATCTTTCCTTTCTTCGACAAAATTTGACGACGCTCCAATCAATCTCTAGTCTTTGTCATAGTTCCGACTTCTACGCACCGTACGAGTTTAACGACCAACATGTCTAATGGAGGCCAATCATCGCTTTCGGGACTGCGCACAATCAAACGTGACTGGTCGCAAAGCAGCTCCCAGTCTGAAGATCGTATTTCATGGCCGGCCACCCAGCCCACCCAATCTCAGCCTTCAAAGGCACCTAAGGCTGAAGCTCGATCACAACGTATAAAAGATATCCAACTTGCGCTTGATGCACTCACAGGGAAGCAACCGCCCGGAGAGCGGCCAGAAATCAGCACTAAACAGATAGCGAACGGGACCAAACGACCTCTCCCACCTGCTCCAGATCCGCCACCAGCAAAGAAGCGTCAGCTTCCGCCCAGCTGGAATGAGGACACGCTCTCTTCCTCATCCAACTTCAAGTCTTCGAGCAAATTTTCTTTGCCAGCGGTAAAGTCTATGTCGTCGACACCCGCTGGCTCGTCATCGAAACCTAGGTCCGGTCTTGCTGGAGTGTTCCTTAGTCAAGAACAGACACAGATTCTTCGTCTTGTGGAAAGCGGAAATAGTGTGTTTTACACCGGTAGTGCTGGTACGTGGTAAACAAACTCTCATTTTGTGATTTTGCCTCAGTATATGCTGATAAGGTACTGGGAAATCGGTCTTGCTCCGAGAAATTATTCGCACATTGCAAAAGAAATACGTCAAATCTTCTGATGCTATTGCCATTACTGCATCAACGGGTGAGGACGCATATACTCATTGTTTGATGTTTTCTGACATAATATGGCTAGGAATTGCGGCATGTAACATCGGTGGTGTCACGATTCATTCGTTTTCAGGCATTGGTATCGGAGAAGGCTCAGTGGAGGAGCTCATCAACAGAATCCGTAAGAACAAGAAAGCTGCGTCGAGGTGGTTGCGGACAAAGGTCCTCATTATCGATGAAGGTACGTTCGTTTAGCAACTACAGACCTCTACCTTGTATGTATCATATGATCAGTTTCGATGTTGGACGGAGACCTCTTCGATAAACTTGCACAAATAGGCAGCTTGATACGAAAGTCCCCAGAACCCTTTGGAGGAATTCAGGTTCGCCTCGCAGTCCGTTTCATTCAACACCACTAAAACTGACTGTTAGGTTGTGGTCACTGGCGATTTCTTTCAACTACCCCCTGTCGGGAAGGGTACTAGTCAGGTCAAATTTGCTTTTGAAGCTCAGCTTTGGAGCCAGACTATCAAACGTACATTCAATCTGAAGAAAGTCTTCAGGCAAAAAGATCAGCGTAAGGAGGAAGAGATCAGTCAAACTGCTTATATGCTGAACGGTCTTCAGAATTTGTTGATATGCTCAACGAAATGCGTTTCGGGCGACTTTCGCAAGAGTCTATTGCCCGGTTCAAGGCTTTGTCACGACCTATCAACGATGAAGATGGTCTAGGAGCCACTGAGCTGTCAGTCTTCTATTCAATTTGACGGCTGCCTTAATTGATTCAATGCAGCTTCCCTCGTCGAGAGGACGTGGAAAGATCCAACAGTGGCCGCATGTCTCGTCTTCAAACGGAGCAAAAAGAGTACGTTGCTTCAGACAGCGGCATGGTCACCGACCAAACCCAGCGCGACAAAATGCTTGCGAACTTCATGGCACCGAAGAGACTTGTTCTTCGTGTCGGTGCCCAGGTCATGTTGATCAAAAATATCGATGAAACACTCGTCAATGGCAGCATGGGAAAAATTTTACGTTTTGTTGATCCAGCGTTGTATGGGACCGACTACGATGATGTTGATGGTAGCGGGAATGCAGGAAAGCCGAAGTCAGAAAGGAAGAAGACCGGGACGACGAGCATGTTAATGCCGGTCGTGGAATTCGCAGTGCCAAACAGAGGGCGCAGGGAAGCTCTAATTACGACTGAAACCTGGAAAGTCGAGTTGCCTAGTGGAGAGGTACAAGTAATGAGAATGCAGGTGTGGCGTTTTGATTATCTGATTATGCGCGCGCGCCTAACCCTTGGTGGTAGCTGCCCTTGATATTAGCTTGGGCAATGTCCATCCACAAATCGCAAGGGCAGACACTCGAGAGAGTCAAGGTAGACCTTGGCAGAGTGTTCGAAAAGGGTTCGTTGTGGTAGCCAATTTCCGTCTTCACGCTTGGAGTAATCTTTCCCATCCAGGACAAGCATATGTCGCACTATCTCGAGCAACAACTTTGGAAGGCCTGCAAGTTCTGAATTTCGATCCAAAGAAGGCGAGAAAAACTTATTATCTCCCTGTACGCCCGTGCTCACCCCCTCCAGGTACAAGCACATCCCAAGGTTGCTGAGTGGAGCAAAACGCTCGAGACTATTTCTGCGGAGTGAACCATTAATCAATGGCATCTGAATCATTGGCATTTTTCTCTTTCATACCATCATTGACGTATTTGTTTCAATACCACGCACATAGAAATTGACCACAGAAGCCTACCTTATGGTCGTATATGTAGTTATATTCATGAGTGCAAGGTGTGCTCGATAGTACTGCTGAGTTATCAGCCACGATTGTAGTTGCTCAATTATTACGGGATGGACGTAATTGATACCGAGCCGGCGGCTATTACATTGAATAAATTCAAGTCTTTGAGTTCAGAAATAAATTCAAGTCACCAACCACTTGGTCAGTCTTACTCACGTGCCCAGTTAAGACTTCAAACGTTTTAATCTACTCTCATTTCACCTACGATATCATCCTTTCTTGTCCAGAAGTAACCGAACGGTTTAGTAGGTGCTAGTTGAAGGCTTTGAAGACTTTAAGCATTTCAAAACTAACTCAAATGTTCACTCCAGACCCACTCAGCCGTGATATAATCCTTGCCGGTCCAAAAATGACCGCAGGCAGGTCTGCGCTAACATCGAAAGCTCAAACAGAAATTGACGATGAACTCGTGGCACTTAAAGAGACAATGCGAGCTCTTCGAACCCGCCGAAACAGTCTTTCTCCCATATCCTCCATCCCTCCAGAGATCCTGGGTACTATCTTCTTCCATCATGTTCAGCAGACTCAGTTTATGTATGTTCCCGATGCCCCTGCTGTCCTTTCATGGCTCAAGATCGGACATGTTTGTCGCTACTGGCGCGAAGTCACTCTTGGGACACCGGAGTTATGGGCTACTCCGTTTCTTGCTTCCTTAAAAGCCACGGAGGAAATGCTCTCGAGGTCTAAAATGGTTCCCTTGAAACTGAAAACTGGTCGACGATATCGTATGGACTGCGTGCAAAAGATACTGATGCACTCAGGGCGTTTGCAAGAGGTCTCTCTCCCACTTTTCAGTCCCATCCTCGGTAGTGGCACCATTCACCACTGCATAACAGAATTCCTCGACAAATTATCATCTTGTTCCGCTCCCAAACTACAATCGCTTTTGTTGGAAGCAGGGCTTAGTCAAACACCACGGATAGCAATCCCGACTTCTTTCCTCGCGCCCAACCTCCGCAGCCTCCAAATCAAGAACTGTGATATATCATGGACATCTTCCATCCTCACAGGACTCACTGTCCTTGATATCAAAAAATTATCACCGGAGTATCTTCCGACCTTAGACGAGTTGATCTCTGCGCTTCGTCGTATGCCTGCACTGCACACTCTCGAGTTAGACGATGCTCTTCCGACTCTTCCCCCCCAAACGACGTCACTCCCTCGTGCACCTCGTGCCATGAATGTTCGACTTCCCCACTTGAAACACTTACATTTGGCGGCGAAGACATTGGAGATAGCCAATGTGCTAGCTCACATTGAATTACAGGAATCAACAACAGAAGTTCGACTTGCATGCGGAGGTTTTTCAGGGAGTCCGAGTCATCAATGGAATTTGAGCCGTCCCATCATATCTCGCGCCTTGAAAAATTGCTTCAAAGCCAATCCAGATAAGTCTAGACAAGCCCCGCGTTCCATGCGACTATCTAGCACTAGTAGGGGCATTTGTTTGCACTTTAGTGCGGTCCGGAATCCTTCATCATGGGCGGGGTCAACGTCTTGGACTTATCTGGATTTGGATTTGTTCGCTGCGGCGGAGCAGTCTGTCAGTCTTGAATTTGACTTTCCGGATGATATGAGGAGGACAATCCTTTGTGACTTACGAAAGGTTATTCCTCTTGGGAACATCGAGGCCATGTACTTCCACTTTTGTTTCCCTTGTTGGGATGGTTTCTGGACTGATGTTCTTGGCTGCGGCGCTGCTCGTAATCTTGCATACATGCACATGCACGGACCACGCCAGGCGCTTGAAGCACTTCTTAAATCCCTGCGTTCACGGAAGCACAGTGTATCACGACGCGCATACTGGGGTTCGCATCAAGGACCCATTTTTGCCCCAGTACTCTCCCATCTCGTCATTTACGGCATGGAGTTCAGCTCCTGTGTGCGGCCCTCTGATCTCCTCGACGTGCTCATTGATCGCGTCAACGAAGGCCGAGGGTTAGATCACCTTGAGTTTGTTTCAACTACGGGTATACTCGCCTGCGACGTGGAATTGTTGCAAGAGGTGGTGGCTGATGTGAGCTGGGATGAATACGAAAGTTCCTACGAAGATTCCGACCATGACTATGACTTATATGACAGTGATTATGATTATCCAGTTGATTACGGTTTCTACAGTGACCACGGATACTCCTCCTGAAATGATTCTGTCGGATACTTAGTAACTATGCTCAAATAAAAGCCGGAATTCCAATTATTCTGGGTGCATTGTGTACTAGATGGTTGTACTTGTAATATTCCATTCTGTAGTGCTTTGTATTGGCGCTGCGTTGAATATGACTGAGTGGACCATGATTAGTCTCGAGACGGGGGAAGTTGACTAATTGATTGTGAGACTCTGCACTTGCGAATGCTGGCACACGTCCCCAACGAGCAGGCGCACCGACCGCTGAGGTGGCAAGTGCCAATGATGCGGCTGATCTAGAAATACTATGCTTAACAAATATTGTCGAAGCTCTTTCGAAGGCCGTATGTTACCTTGTCGATCATGCACGCCACGACGGTATGGATGTACTATGCGTCTCGCATAGGCTAATATTATCACTGGGCAGATTTTGAGCAGCCGCGTCAGAGATTAGTTATGTAAAACATCACATGAAGTTCACGCGTTCGTTCAACAGTTGCCTTCCTTGTCGATCAGTGACGATGTGAATGTATGGACAAACGACTCACCTCGCATAGGTCAGTTGATATTATAGTGGTACTGGGGAAGGTAGTTGGAGCATCTGTCCATCATTGATTTTGGCTAAACATAAAAAATATTAACATAACATAATGAAACACATTTCAAATGACGGCAGGACTCCGGACACACTAGGCTATGTCTAGCGTCGGGACGACAATGTTCCAGAGTTCCCAGTGTAACGAAATCCCTTCCTATGCATAATGATATAGCTAGACAACAATATCCCCTTCTCACCAGTTCTCGTATAATCATTGTTGAAGATCAAATCAAAAAGATTAGCATAAAGACAATACAAAACGCAAAGCAGTGCGAGAGGAAACATAATATCGTCCTGCCGATAAATCCCGGGCATCGCATCACTTGGTAGCCTCATAATTAATAAACCGAAGTCGGCCATGGGCTCTGCAACATCTTCTCATTCAAATACGCATAACGCAGCACCGGAAGCACCGAATCCGAGAACCGCGTAAGTTTGCCAGACTGGCCAGGAATAATCCGTAATACTGTTGGTCTCAGTATCTGGTCGTTAAATGAAAGATTTCGCTTGCAAATTCCAAATACGAGCATACTCTCCCCCTTTCTTCATGAGTTCATCGTGCGTCCCTTCTTCCTAGACAGTTTCTTCGATGTACCTGCGATGACCATGTCAGCAAGCATTGGTGTTCGAGCAAACAAAAACCCACAAAATGAGGTCCGCATGTTTAGTGAGATTTCCAAACCGGTGAGTGGAAAATATCATAGTCTTGTTACCCCTCAGCTTCCGTAGACGCTCGAAGAGACCTATTTCCACCAGTCATAACTACATCTTAATTGGCATCTCGAAGAAACAGGGCAGCGCACCATATTCGGCTGTAGGATCCAGGGAGGAACTCGGCTCGTCGAATAACAGCATGCCAGCGGAAGACTCAGTGTCAGGAACCAATGAGCGCATTAATGTGCGGGAGCTATTTGAACATTGCACACCGACACCTGAGAAGCCAAGGTATGGTCACGTACATTGCAAGTCGCTGTGCCTGCCCGCCGCTGATTTGAAGATTTGAATTTACGGAAACATGGGCATCGCCAGTGGGATCCCATGGCGGGGAGTCAATGGGATACCCGAATAGCGTCGTGGTACCTTCAGGGAGGTTCCCATGGTAATCATACACGGGACGGTCGAGGTAGGTATCGAATCCGTGAGGGAGCTCGTCAATGAATTCCTCCGCGCCGCCGAGACGGGCAGCCTCGCGAACCTTGTCATCGTCATGTGCGAGGGCGGGGTTGCCAAGTCCGATGTTATTGCGCACCTGCGTGTGCGTCAAATATGTCGCTTCCGGGGTGCACGAATATGGCTTACGGAGAGGGGAAATTCCGAGTAGTCTTGAAAGAGGATGGACATAGCAGCACGGAGGTCAGCAAGTCTGAAGGCTTTGATGTCACGACCGTCAACGAGAATGGTACCCTCTGTTGGGTCGTAGATGCGGGAGATCAGTTTCAAAATCGTACTCTTTCCGGAACCGTTCACGCCAACAACGACCTGCTATCGTGATTAGAGAGCGCCACAAGAGTGGATGGACTTACGCATAGCTGACCAGCCTCGATCTTGAATGATACATTCCGCAGAACACACCTGTCCCAACCAGGGTACTGGAACGAAACATCCCTGACACATGCATCAGAAATGATTCTATGATGCAATGAAGACAAATTAACCTGAACTCGACAGAAATACCATTTGCAAGAGACTGTTGGTTCTCGGGGAACGGTTCCGTGCCATCCACAACCTTATTCTGTATGTTCTCTATCTCATATACCTCACATATTCTGAACACATTATCCGCAAGGGACAACGTCTTAAATGACAAGAGGTCGATGTCACCAGATGGATCAAAGGCATGTGTGATCCATATGAGTGATGCCAAGGAGAGGGGAGTTTTCATTGGATTTTTCACTATGCACAAGGTGAAGACGATCTAATCGAGTTGGTCGACTTCCTCAACTCTGAGGTCAACTCCACGTACCTGAGGTAGCACATACATTGTTTCTTGGAGGATGAACGAGATGCTCAGACAGTCCCTGAAAGAACGACATTCTTCTAGATCTGGGAAATTAACAGCATCGTGACCGATGCGCTGAGATGCTTCGCGAAATCCTGTTCCCGACAAAGTCAGTATAAGATTGTTCAACAATACGCGTCGACATACGTGCACTGATGTGTTCGCGGAGGTTGCCTGCAACAAGCTCCTGGCGATGTAAGAGCCTGGCAGCGAGTCTCTTCAGACCTTGCATGTGAACAAAATCCTCGTTGGTCGTCGTCGCGGCCCAAACTACGTATTTGGCTTTAACAAAGGCTTAGAAGCACCAGCTGTTGACGTACCCAAGGATCTGACTACTGCTTTTCCCGTGTTAGCCCAAGGCAATATATATTGCAAAGCACTGAGAACCACAAGAAGTAGACCATCCTGTTGTTTCCACATGACTGTACTCAGAACCGAAAGCTGAGAGAGCAGACGAATGAATATCACTGCGATGTCCGTCAATGACTGGATAGTTTCCCAAATTAACACACTAGGTAAGTCATATTCGAGGTTCTGTAGTGCAGTCGTTTGAGACAAAGTTTGAAATTCGGGCAGGTCGAGGCGAACAGCCGAGTGGAACATGCGCTCGGTGTGGAAGTGTTTGATATATAACCTCAGAGGGGGGGTTATGCGGGCTAGGGAATACTCGAGAAAGCGCATAGCGACGGTGCATATAAGACGTGCTGCAGCAAAATGCACGAGCACCGTTGTGTCCACAGTGCGCGTCTCCATTGCGGTCTCTACCTAGTGCAAGATAAGTTGGCAGTACATATGAGAGTAGAAAGGACATTACAAGGCGGAGTAATTGTCCAGAGTACCTGCACAATGATGTTATGAATGTACAAAGAAGTCGCCTACATCGGACGTACCACAGGGAAACAGCGGGTATGAGGGAAATTAAAACTTGTACCACAAAGTATGCAGGGAGAAGCACGGAGCACCGTCTGATGCTGAGTACATCTTTGAACATGCGAACTAGAAGTGGAGTGCTTTGGATTATTTGGGCACACATCTTCAATGTCGGCGAGGCTCGTATGCGTGTTCGGCGTTCCTCGTAGAGATCCCATATACCTATGCGGGTATGCTTGTAACGACGAGCGTCCTTGTAGTCGAATTCTCCTGCGTGCGTGTTCATCGGTCTCTCTCTCCTGATGGTGGAAAAATGCTAAGAAGGACAAAGTCGGAAAACATCTGGAATGGCGGTGCCCGTCATACAGGTGTCATGTAATGACACTATCATATGATGCGACCGTCTTGCAACCCAAATTCAGTTAGTTCTCAAATGTGTCACTCGTACAGCCTCAAACCTTGGAAAAGCCAACGATCTTAACATTGTGGAAGCTCTTTCGAAGGTCGTATGTTATCTTGTTGGTCATGCACGCCGCGACGGTATGGATGTACTATGCGTCTCGCATAGGCTAATATTATCACTGGGCAGATTTGGAGCAGACGTCCGCGTCAGAGATTAGTTATGTAAAACATCACATGAAATATGAAGTTCACGCGTTCAGGTTCAACAGTTGCTTTCCTTGTCGATCAGTGACGATGTGAATGTATGGACAAACGACTCACCTTGCATAGGTTGGTTGATATTAGTAGTACTAGGGCGGGTAGTTGGAGCAGCCGTTCAAATCAGAGATTTTGGCTAAACATCAAAATCTGAACATGACGAACATCAATTGAAATGACGGCATGGCAGATGGATCGAGAAACCCTGGATGAAATAACGAGTTTTTGCTGAACACAGGAAATCAGCTGCCAGCTTGCTGCAGTCTGCAGATAGGTTTCCGTGGTCTTGTTTGAAAGGAAATTGTAGTTTAATATTGGATTGGAACGAGCTTCAACATTTTACTGGAGGTTGATGGCATTGGACTTGAGCTTTGGAGGGATCATTGGTCTCTTGCTTTAAGCTCCAGAGTAGGCGCCCAGCACACTCGGTTTCCAGTTCATTGCCAATTCCCAAGAACTGCCTCGGGTGCAGCCTAAGAAGGACTGATTGATCACAGTCGGGTCACAGTGCTAAAAATTGATGGTGATGCACAGGCTTTGATATAAGCAACAATTTCAATGATCAAAGAGCTGCGCGGCGGCCACTTTTCTCAGAGGGCGGTTTCAACTTGCACCATTACATAATACGATTTCAAGCAACTTCAAGTTGAGCTTTAAATTACCCCCTTACCCAACCACTCGGTGATCTTGTCGTGATCTCTTATTCTAACAGTACGTGACAACCGAAAATCTCAAACGTATCAACTGATGTTCCTCAAGTTGTGGAGTCTACATACTGCAATACTGCAGATTCTTTTGCCTGCGAACTAATGGTAACGGCAGAGACTCCCCCCTTAAACTCGAGAGCTCAAACAGAGATTGACAATGAGCTCGAGGCGCTTGAGGAGAGAATGCGAGCTCTTCGGACCTGCCGAAATAGTTTCTCTCCCATATCCTTCATTCCTCCAGAGATCCTTGGTGCTATTTTCGTTCATCATGTTCAGCAGACGCAGTCATGTTATCCTCTTGACAGCCGCTATGTTCTTTTATGGCTTAAAGTCGGACATATTTGTCACCACTGGCGCGAGGTTGCTCTGGGGACACCAGAGCTATGGGCCACTCCGTTTCTAAACTCCTCACGGGTCACAGAGGAGATGCTCATGAGATCTAAAATGGCTACGTTAAACTTGAGACGCGGCCTGCGATATCGTATGGAAGCTGTCCAAATGGTGTTGATGAACATAGAGCGTTTGCAAGAGGTCTCTTTCCCGTTCTTGAATGATGGCACGACGCGCTGTATTGAGGAATTTCTTGACAAGGTATCATCATATTCTGCTCCCAAATTACGATCGCTTCTTTTGGAAGCAGGGTCTAGTCAAACACCACGGATAGCAATCCCGACTTCTTTTCTCGCGCCAAACCTTCGCAGCCTTCAAATCAAGTATTGTGACATATCATGGTCATCTTCAATCCTTACAGGACTCACTGTCCTTAGTATCGAAAAATTATCACCGGAATATCTTCCGACTTTAGACGAGTTGATCTCTGCGCTCCGTCGTATGCCTGCTCTGCACACTCTCGAGTTAGACGATGCTCTCCCGACTCTTCCCCCAAAAACGATGTCACTCCCTTGCCCACCTCGTGTCCTGAATGTTCGACTTCCTCACTTGAAGCGATTACGTTTGATCGCGAAAGTTTTGGAAGTGGCCAACGTGTTGGCTTGCGTGGAGTTACCTGACTCGATGTTGGAAGTTGAACTCAAATGCAGAGCGTCTTCATCTATGGATCAGGATCAAGAATGTAATTTGGGCCTCCCCATTATCTCCCATGCCTTGGAAAGTTGCCTCAAAGCTATTCCAGCTGAGTCTCGCCAATTTCTGTGTTCCATACGATTGTTTGCCTTTGGTGCCAGTGGCGGAATTCATATGCAATATAGTACAGCCAGGGACCCTTCTTCGTGGGTTGAGTCGCTGACTGATATTTGTCTGCCAGTGGATCCGGAGTGGGTGGCGGAATACCCTGTCATTCTTCTTGATTTGGGCTTTCCAAGTGAAATAAGTACGGCGATTCTTAGCGACTTATGGCAGCTCGTCCCTTTTAGGAGTCTCGAGGCTTTATGCATCAAAGGTCTCTCCGCTTGTTGGGATGGTTTCTGGGCTGATCTTCTTGGCCGCGGCGCCGCTCACAATCTTGAAAAAATCTACTTGCAAGGAACTCCCGAGGCTCTTGAAGATCTTCTCATATCCTTGCGCTCACAAACGTACAGCATAGCGCGGTCTATAGGCGGGCGATCACGAAAAAGACAAAATTTTGCCCCAGCACTCTCCCACCTTGTCCTAGAACGCCTGGAGTTCCACCCCTCCTCTTCATCTTTTACGAAGACCTCTGACCTCCTCGACGTGCTCGTCGATCGTATCAACAAGGGTCGGGGACTAGACCATCTTACAATCACTGGTTGTACGGGCATCAGTGCCCACGACGTGCGGCTGTTGCGAGAAGTGGTAGCCGACATCGACTGGGATGAATATGAAAGTTTTAATGACGACGACTATGACTCATTCGAAGATGGGGATGATGACGAGTACGGTTTCTACAGTGATGTATACGATTTTGCCGTTTCGTAGCTAGGACTTGACAGATGGATACGACTCAGTCGTTCAGTAGCTAGAGCTTATCCTTTCTTACGCTCTGATACTTGCTACGCGAATCACGTTCGCTTCAATAACAAACATACGTAGGTACTGTATACACTCGGTACGCAATTTTATTAACAGTGGGGTGTCATTTCTCGTACTTGCTATGTATGACAATATATTCTGCAAGTACGCATCTATTCATACATTGTCATATATCTCATGATTAAGTCATGAACGTTTGAACACCAGCGTCCCATAAATACTTTCAGCATATCCCAGCTCTAAAACAAGTTGTCATAAAATGGTGTTCAACGCGCTTCGCACATCTTTCGTGTCGCTGAGGTCTGCAAGAAGGGGGCATATGTCTATCAGTTCGGTATCGTGAGGATCGTTAAACCATGAGGATATAGGTACGGCATTGTTGGGATGAAAGATATATGATGCCGGTGAATTGTCGATGATGATGGTATCTGCCATCGGGCGTCCGAGTTGCGACAGGTCCTGAAGATAAGGATGGTCAGATACGTAACCGTTTTTCAGCAGGGAGCAAACGAACCTTGACGTAGTTTCCTCTATAACGGAAACAGCTTTCCCGAAAGAGCCTATGCGAAACGGCACTGTAGAGATCAAGATGGTCCATCACTGGATCCGCATACTAAATGCGGTGAAACAAGACATCAGTTGAATTTCATGACCCAGCCATCTGCAATAAACGCACGGAGCCCAGACTTGCGGTGTACACTACCACTTCGTATAGCTCACCCATCTGTCGAAGAAACTCGTCTACTCCTGGGCGCTTCTGTACATACATGTTGTGCCAGCGATTCTCGATTTCAACAGGAACGATGAAGTCTGGATCTGGTATGGGCTGAAAGCAAGAGACGTCAGAAGCAGGCATAGAATTGGAGTGTCAAACATACCAGGAAGTTACTATGGACGAGGGTCTCGTCCAAGTCGAGTACTAAACACTTCTTGCCAACATGTTTAGGCGCGATTGGTGGCATAAGTGGGTATTCCTTTCCGTCCTGTAGACTTGAAGTCAAAAATATGTGAATTGAACTACGGATCGACTTACAGGGCCGATGGGAATGCCTGCACCCCCATTTCTGATAAGCATTTCATCTTCCTCGCTTAACTCATCAAACGGAACGTCATCCGACTCGTTCCGCTGTTCGGAAGGGCGAGTTGAAGAGGTTTTTAATACCTGACCAGGAACGGAGGAACCCGGGGGCTGCACGCCTCTACTAGTAGCGCCCGCAGTACTATCTATCGCATCTTTGGGAGGTACAGCGGGTTGGTCTTTCTCTACTGGAACTGGAAGTTTTTCAGAAAATTTATTCCGATCATTTCCGGCGGTCTTGTGAGGACCATCGACATCGATGTCATGAGCTTGTGAATTGAGTCCACCGCAGGAGAAGAGCTTGCGAAAGAACGTGGTGAAGAAGCCCTCCTTTGATTTCTTGACACGTTTTAACTCCGAAGAGCCGACAAATGAAGTGTGATCTTTAGATTGAGAACGACATTGGAGACTACTGCGCCTTGAGTTATTTTGCGAGAGGAGTGTGGATGTGCCTGCTGATTCTTCGCGTTTTTCGAGTGGCGGAGATGCAGTGGATGATGAAGAAATTGATGTTGCACTGCCCACGTTCTGTTTGGAAGAGATGATAGAGGGATGAACGCGTGGTGAGACCTGCCTGCCAGTTGCATGTGGCGTCTTCAATAATGAATCCTTGGAAGGTGCGGACGCAGCAGCCTTCTTGTAAGTTGTAGATTGAGTATCTGATGGCATGATGATTAGGGACCAGATATTCTTATCAGGAGAGGGTTGTCGAACGAGAGGTGTTCTAGACAAATGAGGATGAGGATGAGAGTAGTACTATGAGTGAGCTCGTAGTACACTGCGGGAAGTATTGGAGTACTGCGATTTGTGAACAGACGATATAAAAAGGGGGGAGAGTTGATGCAGGGAGCTAGTAGAGCTGAAGGCCGTGGTCCAATGACAAGCTGCCTACAGCGTTGCCTCCCGTTTAGCAGCACTTGCGGCCGTTGAGCTAAGCGTCAATTAATTGTGGCCGCGCGGAAGCAACAAGGCAGCGTCAAAAAAACGTTACGTGTGGTGTGAATCCAAACCAGGAACGGCATCTTGGGTTTATCTGACTGAAGATAACGAAGTGGTTGAAAGGTTGAAAGCAGTATCACACAGGGAGGTTCATTTTCAAATTGAAATTATATGAATTGATAGGGGGAACAAGTGCTGTAGAATGATAACCCGTTGTTACCTATACTCGTGGAAAATGCGGTCTCGTACGCTCCAGTTCGAATGTCCGGGTTGTCTATGTCATTCCACGAAACCGAGTCCTTTAGGGGCTAGGCGGCCTTCATAGAGGCAAGGCCGTGCTTCACCCCTGGGATGCAGATAAGGAAGTGTGCGCCGTTGGTCAAAGATACCTTCTGTGCATTGCGTGACGGAGAATCTGGACCTCAAAACACGAACAGGGCCTAGTAGCCCCGACACTCGTTCCCTCGGTGAACGTTGAGAGCAACCGCGGCACATCAGGACCGGCGGTATGAATTTCAAAATCCACAGAGCTATAGGCTTTGGAAATCAATTCATTTGATGATTGACGCGGACGTTCGATCGTGCAAAGAACATGAACCAACTGAAAGTACCTGAGCGTGGAAATAACATGCGTCGTAACGCTAAACAATGAGCTTTGGCCAAAAAAGGCAAGCCTTGTTGTCGGTCGACTCGACTGCCAGCACCACATCTCGGTGTCAGGACAATGTACATCTTTTCGTGTATAACAATAGGAGCTCATTCCTGTGGAAATTGTCCGCGGGTCGTAGTATAAAAACCTTACCTTAACCATGAGTGCTTCGACCCTCACTGCTTCGACACCTCGCATTTCGCTCCCCTATCTACTATCAACACAACAAAACTCTCCCTTCCGGCCCGTCTCGACTCATCTGCAAGCCTATTCGTGATTTTCATTCCATTTCTCATTACTTCCTCACAACAAAACCTCCCATCACAATTTCACACCTCGCAGTATTCAACATGACTACCAGTCGCGCTCACCTTCCCCACCATGCTTTCCTCACTTCCGAGCCCTGGATCGTGGAATCTAAGCCGTTGTAAGCATCATCTACGCCGCCCAATACTTTTTGCTCATCTTTCCTCGCCTCGATCGTGTTATAGGAGAACGACACGCATCTCTTGCGGTAAATATATCGAACGCCAGGTCGTTCGTGCATGGAAGCGCGTCACTGGCGTCACTCGCAAACATCAACGTGCTTCCTTCCTTCCAAACGATTTCATCCTCGTCACCTCTCGCCGTCGCAGCGTGATCTTGGCCTGAGAGGGGCATCTGTCTGCTCGCACCCTATTCACAGGCGCATACATGCACAGAAACAGCAGTAAAATCGGGCTTCTAAATCGCACACATCCATTCTTCGATGCGGGACATTATATCATTATTTGATTCACTATTTAATATTTAGTATTCACCGGCACTCTACGTTGTATTGCTCTTAACAGTATCCTAACTAGCACTACCTCTTAATCATCAATCCAATGTATTACAAGTCAGCGTTATATATAAAAGTATCTGACCAACACCATACAATAGACGAGACAATGCCCAACATACGGCGTCCCCAAAGGACCAACCTCTGAAGCAAAAATAAAATAAAATCTAATATATCAATTGAATGTCCAGAACCCGAAACCAGTGTGGTTCGGGCATCAACATGCTATCCACTGTCCCAGATCTAGTAGTACATATCATGAGGTCGTTAAATTTACATGTGATTTCTCGCCAAGTCGTGTCCTAGACCAAGCAGCCGAGAATTAACTTACTACAGCGGCATCAACTAAAATCCGAACGGTAAGCATACAAACAAAACATCAATCAAAAGACCTACCCCGCGCGCAATACGGGTAATTTGTTCCACACCACCCTGCAAACGTGACACCTCCTCCTTGAGATGTCCGACTTCTCGCAGCAAATTATCTTTTTCAACTGCATCCCTCGCAGCTCGACTCTTGAGATCCGTAATGGTGACGTGAGCACTGCGAAGTTCTTCAAGAATGCCCAAGCATCGCTCTTGTGACGCCTGGGTAGTCCCATTCGCCGCATCAAGAGCATTCCCAGCAGCAACCAATAATCTCTGCAGATCTGCGACTTGTGTTTGTAGCGATGATATCTTCAACATTTTAGTGCTTGAACTTTACTGCCTATTTGCAAAAACGCTTACCTCCGGGAGGAACATGTGAGATGACGATCGGAAACCCCCCATGAACCCTGATAAATAACCGATGGCGAGAGAAATGGGGCCGGAGCGCGAGCCGCCAGCCGTTTGAAGGTTCTGCCTATCAGAAGGGCTATGCGCATCATTACCAGAAGACGTGAACCCGGAGAATGATGCTGTGGATGTAGGCGAAGGAGGTGGTGACGCAGCCACTCGTCGTCGAGGCAGTGACTCGGGTGTGGGGAGGCCAATGTCTCTATCACTGTGGCTATAACTCAGCGTGCGAGCACTGCAGTCAAATATCAGTACAACTGGCAGTGTGTGAGCTAGCGCAGTCTTTATGAATTGTACTCACGGTGTGAAGGGAACGACCCGATTGTTATGGGGTTCTTCGGACTGCCTATGCACAATAAATACGAATGCACAATATTATTTAAAATGCTCACTCACATCAAGTCATCATCATCCTTATCGACTTCGTTGTCCACGACAGCATTTACCTGACAACTAGCTGCATGTCTTTCTCGACGCAAAGAGGACTCCAAATCCTGATACTTTCTGGAATATTGGAAAGAACACCTAGCCGCCTCTCGTAATAGGAGTCAGGATAGAGCACGGAGCACGGCCTGATCGCCTACCTGGAGCAAAGTCGGTGTTCGATCCTTTCCCAATACCTTGGTTGCAAGCGACATGTATGCACGGTATTTTTCTAGAGCTGATAGCGTTCCACGTCCGTCCAGGACTTCTTGAAAGCCACGATAACTGTGTGAGAGACGAAATATATATGAGTGTATATCTTTGTTTGAAGATGTGCTAGCACTTGCATGTCGTAGAAGCTGGATTGAATTTTTATCTGTTGGACCACATTCCGCTGACGGCCATTATGGACAAAGGTCAAGTCGATAAGCCCATGCTCCAACTGTGAAACGAGGATGTGTGTTTTAGTATTGATAAAAGTCTCACACTAAGTATTCGGACGACGTCTTACGAAGAAACAGAGCACCCGCCGCAAGTGACCAGGCTGGCAAGAGCCTACCTTCAAGCCAGCAGCGCTCGCCCGACTTTTCACTGGATCACAATGAGACGGGTACAAAAAAAGATCAAAAATTATGTAACGAGACGAACTTGTAGTCTTTAATTCCTCAAACGTTACGAGTAAGGTATCTGCGGGACCTAGATCGCGATTTTCTTCGCAAATGAATAGCAGAGCGGTACAGACAGCTGGTGGATCGCAGACGTTTACAGCACGTACGGTGTCAGAGTTGAAGACGCCACTTACCATGCTGTTTGGCAAGGTTGCGACCAGCGCAAACTTTGTTGAGCTTCAACCGTCCTTCTGGTGTGTGCGCTGTCGTGGAGACGTCGAGGTATGTGCTCCCGCGTCGAATGATGGGCATGTTGCGCGAGCGAGATTCCAAGATAATAGTCGATCGATCAAAGGACAGTGGCCATGGGGAGTCGCGTAGATTATAAGCCTTTGTAAAACAAAGGCTGAAGATATCGCACGCAACCGATCTGAAGGCCCTTTCATGATCGATGATCGCTATGCGACGACCTCGCTTAAGCTTATTGTTGGGGTTCGACCGACAGAGGACTACAAAATTAAAAGCCTCCGACGCTGTGCTTACCGATCACGAGCGTCAATCTATGAAGTCGATATGTAATATTGTCTCTGTAAATGTTCTACGTGTAAGTAAACAATACAACAAGAACACAATAAAAGCTACAGCTCAAAGTGATCCGCCCAGTGTCGTAACACGCCCTCGCCCTCTAAATGCTGCTTAAACGCCTTGGGGTCACGACAGACTATCACTGCATGAGAATTGCGTATACCTTCAAAGAAAGCTCGCTCTTTCTTCAACTGTGGTATCTTGTTGAGGTTCTCTATGCACTGAAGTTGAACAGGCGTCAACAAAGGTTGGTATGGAGGAGGCTTTGATCGTGATTTCTCATCCTGTCTCTTTGTAGGCTTGGTGGGGTCGGCCTCATCAGCAGGGTCAGCACCAGGTATGGGCGATGCAGCGATGGGAGTGCCAGCAGGGTCATCATACAAATCAACTGCGGCGCTTTCGAGTTCGCTCTCTAGTTTGCCAATAATATGAACAAGTCTTTCTCTGGTTGATTGCGCTTCAAGGTGCCTTAGTCGACCACGAGACTGGTGCGATTGAAATGATAGTCGGATGAGAATAAAGCAGATAAGTGTCGGGAAGAGGACGGGTAGGAGGGCATAAACGGCCTATATTGTTACTGTGAGATAAGGCGGCGAGTTTCAAAGGAAATTTGCATACCAAATTCAAAGGAAACTTGGCTTGGAATCGCGGAGGTAACGGCGGACGCATGTTACGTATAGTCTCAAACCAGCGCTGTGGCTCTTTCGTGGTGGCAGATGACAAGGGAGGCGTCGAGTAAGATTTGATGACGTGCTCGTACTTCTCGTGGAAATCACTGAAATATAGTTAGAATCAACTCATGCATCACGAACGAGACAATCACATTTTGATGCCATTCTTCTCGTAATCGCCAAAGGGGTTTTCTGCACTGATACCAGAAGTGACGTATGGTACAGTCAAGTCATTGATACTGGGGTCACAGTCAGGGACAGCGGACGAATGCGAGATGTTCGAACTTACGCATTGGCATAAATTCTAATATTAGGAAACAATATCAGTGCTTGATAAAAAATGCGGTCAGGGTCAGCAAGGACCTCTACGAGTGGCCTTCCTCGTGGCGACCACTTGTCGACACAAAAGAACTGCTCGCCCGAACGGGAAAGAAGCTTCGGTCCCAGAAATGCAGATATCGAGGAGAATGTTGAAGGGAATCTAGGTATGCCGATGTGCGGGGTTGCTAAAGTGTTAAAATTGACAGGTTGGACCGTTTCGAAAAACTTCGACTGGTGAAGGACACTAGTTTTATTGGTTAGACCATTCACAACGGCAATGACTGTAACACGCACCCAATGACATAACGAGCAACCAAGCCGCCAAGACTATAGCCTGTGACTGAGAAGCGAGTCACCTTCCGACCTTCCTTCTCCAGGTCCGCGGTTTTCTGTCGAATCTGGTTTTATGCGCACTGAGAACCCTCATATGTGTTGACAATAATAAACAGAAATACCTCTTCAGCCACTCTTTCACCTCCCCAGTCGATTCCGTCATATGTGGATTCATCCTTATTGGTCTCAGCGACAAGAACTTCAAGCTCAATGTCACCGTCCTCAACTTCACCTTTCACCTCCCGGATGATTTTATTCATATGAGCGAGATGAGAGGGATTTCCCCACATTCCGTGGATCAAGACGAGTAGATGGACGTCTGTCATTATAGAACGGCTGACTGAACGATACGGGATTGGCGGTTGATATACAGCAAGAGATTAATACAGTAAGACGACAAGAAGACGGGAAGTTATAAATATGTGGAGTCGTGAACCTCATGCCTAGCTTCCACGCCGTGGGTGTCAAGACCGCGTTACCGGCCGGCAGCTTGTGCTGCGCTTAGGCTAGCGTCGATGCTGACGCACACCTGTTATGTAACGCAATGGGCCAGCATCGTTCAAATCGCTCAAGTTGGACATTAGTTTGCACACTGCCAGCCCTGAGAGGTAAGCTTGGCAAGTTTCAACTGGTCAAACGTGGTGAATATTAATGTCAGTTCGCGCCAGTCTGGTACAAGTCTGTGCAGTCTGAGCTCTGAGTCGGCAGGGTCGGCAAATTCAGGCGGAGTCAGCCACTGCTCCTTGTTCCCGCAAGCGTCACCTGAGGAGAATGGGTGCGATGAGGATCCTGACAAAGACAGTACTAACTCTGCTCTGAACTGACATACTCAACGTACCCGAGCTCAATCACGCTGGGGCACGAGCATGGCACCAATCCACATTGTAATCATGGTCTCAAGGTTTGTCGAGACTGCGGATGTCTGAGGCCGGCAACTTGTGCACCACTGCTAAATTTGATATACACACTGGGCAATTGTATGGGTCAAAAACTACATTCTGAAGCAGTGAAAGCAGCATCTGTGACATGTCTAGGACCACATTGAAATCTAGTAGCAAACGGGTTCCCATTTACATCATCATCACCTGTTATACGATCACTCATACGACTTTAATGGGCCTGAATCCCGGCTCGAAAACAGGGATTAACGACCCCCTGACACGTGAATTCGGGTGTGTTGGTGTAACATTGGTCAGCCCGCCGCCCGCGCGTAACCGTTACAATTGGTCGCTATTACCAACGACGAAACACCACAACACACCCACTCAGGCCTCAGGGTGGAAATATTTGAGTTAGACTCAAACATCGGACAGGTCAGTCGCTACGATGCTGGCAATCACGCGACCCACTAGTACAGATTGAACCCGAGAAAATTGGCATGTGGCATGAGAATGAGTGGTACAAAATAATCCGGGATACTGTTGTGTTCTCCGTATCCGGTCGTTAAATGAAAGATTTTGCTTGCAGATCCCAAACACGAGCATACTCTCCCCCTTTCTTCATGAGTTCGTCATGCGTCCCTTCTTCCTGGACAGTTTCGTCGATGTACCTGCGATGACTACGTCAGCAAGCATTGGTGTTCGAGCAAACAGAAACTCACAAAATGAGGTCCGCATGTCGGGTGAGATTTCCAAACCGGTGAGTAGAGAATATCATGGTCTTGTTACCCCTCAACTTCCGTAGACGCTCGAAAAGACCTATTTCCACCAGTTATAACTACCTCTAAATTGGCATATCAAAGAAACAGGGCAGCGCACCATATTCGGCCGTAGGATCCAGGGAGGCACTCGGCTCGTCGAATAGCAGCATGCCAGCGGAAGACTCAGTTTCAGATACCAATGAACGCATGAATGTGCGGGAGCTACTTGAACAGTCCACACCTACACCTAAGAGGTCAAAGTATGGTCACGTACATTGCAAGCCGCTGTGCCTGCCCACGGCTAATTTGAATGCCTGGAGCTTTGGATTCATGCATGTCGCTAATGGGATCCTCGTTTGAGAGGTCAATGGGATACCCGAAGAGCGTTGTGGTACCTTCAGGAAGGTCCCCAAAGTAATCATACACGTGACGGTTAAGGTAGGTATCGAATCCGTCAGGGAGCTCGTCAATGAATTCTTCTGCACCCCCGAGCCGGGCGGCTTCGCGAACCTTGTCGTCGTCATGTGCAAGGGCGGGATTTCCAAGCCCGATGTTCTCGTGCATCTGCGTGTGCCTTGATAAGTCATTTCCGGAGTGCGCGAGTACTATGACTTACGGAGAAAGGGAATTGCGAATAGTCTTGAAAGAGGATGGACATAGCAGCACGGAGGTCAGCAAGTCTGAAGGTTTTGATGTCACAGTCGTCGATGAGGATGGTGCCCTCTGTTGGGTCGTAGATGCGGGAGATCAGTTTTAAGATCGTACTCTTTCCAGAGCCATTTACACCAACGATGACCTGCTATCGTGATTAGAGAGTATCACAAGAGTGTGGATGTACTTACGCATAGCTGACCAGCCTCAATCTTGAACGATACATTCCGTAGAGCACACCGGTCTTGACCAGGGTACTGGAATGAAACATTCCTAGCATACATGCATTAGAAATTATTCTATGAAGCAACGAACACTAAACAACCTGAACTCAACGGAAATGCCGTTCGCGAGAGATTGCTGATTCTCAGGGAACGGTTCCGTGCCATCCGCAACCTTATTCTGTATGTTCCCTGCCTCATATACATTGCGTGTACTGGACAAAGATCTCGCAAGAGTGTATAACTTCATGGATATCGAGAAATTTGCATCACTGGATAGATTAGAGGCTTGCTTGATGAATATGAGCGATGCCAAGGAGAGGGGAGTTGTCATTGGATTTTTCACTACATGCAATGCGAAGATGATCTAATTTATTAAGCCTATTTCGTCAATTCCAAGGTCAACTCTGCATACCTGAGGTAGAATGTGCATTGTTTCTCGGAGGATAAACGCAAAGCTGAGACAGTCTTTGAAATGATGAAATCTGTTCAGCTCCGGGAAATCAACCACATCGTGACCCAGGCGCTGAGATGTTTCGCGATATCCTGGTTTGACAAAGTCAACATAAATTTGTCTGGCAAGGCGCATTGACAATACGTGTACTGAGGTGTTCGCTGAGGTTGCCTGCGACAAGCTCCTGGCGGTATGAGGACTCAGCAACGAAGTCCTTCAGACTTTGCATGTGAATGAGATCTTCGTTGGTCGTTGTCGCACCCCAAGCTGAAGATCGGATTCAGACAAAGGCTTAGAAGCATCAGTTATTCACATACCCAAGGATCCAACTACTGTCTTTCCCGTGCTATCCTGGGGCAATATGCATGGTAAAAATGCGAGAACCACAAGAAGCAGACCATCCCGTTGTTCCCACATGACTATAATCAGAACCAAAAACTGAGAAAGCAGATAGATAAGTCTCATTGTGATGCTCATCAACGTGTCGATAGTTTCCCAAATTGGCGAAGTATTCCAATACGAGAAGCTATACTTGAGATGGTGCATTATTGAAAAGTCGTTAACAGTTTTGAATGCGGGCATGTCGAGGCGCACAGTTGAGTGGAAGAATTGCTCATTGTAGAATTGTTTGATGTACAACCTCAGAGGGGGGCTTATGCCATCTTGCGAGTATCTGAGGAAACGCATGGCAACTGTGCATATAAGATGTGCCGCCGCAAAATGCACGAGCACCGTTGTGTCCACAGTACGTGTCTCCATTAGGGTCTCTACCTAGTACAAGATGAGTTGGCAGTACAGATGAAAGTAGAAGAGACATTACTAGGTGGAGCAATTGTCCCGAGTACCTGCGCAACGACATTAAGAGTGTACAGGGAAGTTGCCTATCGTTATACGTACCACAGGGAAACAGCGGGTATGAGGGAAGCTAAAACGCTTACGACAAAGTATGCGGGGAGAAGCACGGAGCACCGTCTGATGCTGAGTACATCCTTGAACATGCGAACTAGAAGTGGAGCGCTTTGGATTATCTGCGCGCATGCCTTCAATATCGGTGAGGTCCGTATGCGTCTTTGGCGTTCTTCGTAGAGATCCCATACACCGATGCGGGTATGCTTGTAACGACGAGTGTCCTTGTAGTCGAATTCTCCTGCTTTTTTTTTCATCGGTCTCTCTCTCCTGATCACGGTGGAAGAATGCTAAGGACAAAGTCAGAACACATCTGGAATGGCGGTGCCCAGGCGTCAGGTAAACCCCGAACACTACCATATGTGGTGCGACCGTCTTGCAGCCCAAATTCAGTTGGTTCTCAAATGTGTCACTCGTACAGCCTCAAACCTTGGAAAAGCCAACGATCTTAACATTGTCGAAGCTCTTTCGAAGGCCGTATGTTACCTTGTCGATCATGCACGCCGCGACGGTATGGATGTACTATGCGTGATAGATCTCGCATAGGCTAATATTATCACTAGGCAGATTTGGAACAGACGTCCGCGTCAGAGATTAGTTATGTAAAACATCACATGAAATATGAAGTTCACGCGTTCAGGTTCAACAGTTGCCTTCCTTGTCGATCAGTGACGATGTGAATGTATGGACAAACGACTCACCTCGCATAGGTTGGTTGATATTATAGTGGTACTGGGGAAGGTAGTTGGAGCATCTGTCCATCATTGATTTTGGCTATACATAATGGAACACATTTCAAATGACGGCAGGACTCCGGACACACTAGGCTATGTCTAGCGTCCGGATGACAATGTTCCAGAGTTCCCAGTGTAACGAAATCCCTTCCTATGCATAATGATATAGCTAGACAACAATATCCCCTTCTCACCAGTTCTCTTATAATTATTGTTGAAGATCAAATCAAAAAGATAGCATAAAGACAATACAAAACGCAAAGCAGTGTGAGAGGAAACATAGTATCGTCCTATTGCATGGTTTGTTGTGCCGATAAATCCCAGGCATCGCATCACCTGGCAGCATCATAATTAATAACCATCGAAGTCGGCCATGGGCTCTGCAACATCTTCTCATTCAAATATGCATAACGCAGCACCGGAAGCACTGAATCCGAGAACCGCGTAAGTTTGCCAGACTGACCAGGAATAATCCGGGATATTGTTGTGGTCTCTGTATCCGGTCGTTAAATGAAAGATTTCGCTTGCAGATTCCAAATACGAGCATACTCTCCCCCTTTCTTCATGAGTTCATCGTGCGTCCCTTCTTCCTGGACAGTTTCGTCGATGTACCTGCGATGACCACGTCAGCAAGCATTGGTGTTCGAGCAAACAGAAACTCACAAAATGAGGTCCGCATGTCGGGTGAGATTTCCAAACCGGTGAGTGGAAAATATCATGGTCTTGTTACCCCTCAACTTCCGTAGACGCTCGAAGAGACCTATTTCCACCGGTCATAAATACTTCTAAATTGGAATCTCGAATAAACAGGGCAGCGCACTATATTCGGCCGTAGGATCCAGGGAGGCACTCGGCTCGTCGAATAACAGCATGCCAGCGGAAGACTCAGTTTCAGAGACCAATGAGCGCATAAATGTGCGGGAGCTATTTGAACAGTCCACACCAACACCTGAGAAGTCAAGGTATGATCACGTACATTGCAAGCCGCTGTGCCTGCCCACGGCTGATTTCAAGGTATGGAGTTTTGGAAACAGGTACAGCGTCACTGAAACCCCATCGCATGGGTCCCTCAAAGCGCGTCGCGGAAATGTAATCATACACGGGGTGGCTGAGGTAGGTATCGAATCCGTCAGGGAACTCGTCGATGAAGTCCTCTGCGCCGCCGAGACGGGCAGCCTCGCGAATCTTGTCGTCGTCATGTGCGAGGTCGGGATTGCCAAGCCCGATGTTATCGCGCATCTGCGGGTGTGTCAAATATGTCGTTTCCGGGTACACGAGTATGGCTTACGGAGAGGGGAAATTCCGAGTAGTCTTGAAAGAGGATGGACATAGCAGCACGGAGGTCAGCAAGTCTGAAGGCTTTGATGTCACGACCGTCAACGAGAATGGTACCCTCTGTTGGGTCGTAGATGCGGGAGATCAGTTTCAAAATCGTACTCTTTCCGGAACCGTTCACGCCAACAACGACCTGCTATCGTGATTAGAGAGCATCATAAGAGTGGAAGTACTTACGCATAACTGACCGGCCTCGATCTTGAACGATACATTCCGTAGAGCACACCTGTCCCGACCAGGGTACTGGAACGAAACATTCCTTACATGCATGCATTAGAAATGATTCTATGATGCAATGAAGACAAATTAACCTGAACTCGACAGAAATACCATTTGCAAGAGACTGTTGATTCTCGGGGAACGGTTCCGTGCCATCTACGACCTTATTCTGCATGTTCTCTATTTCATATACCGCATGTATTCTGGGCACATGATTCGCAAGGGACAACGTGTTAAATGACAAGACGTCTATGTCAGCGGATGGATTAAAGGCATGTGTGATCCATATGAGTGATGCCAAGGAGAGGGGAGTTTTCATTGGATTTTTCACTACGTGCAAGGTAAAGACGACCTGATTGATTCAGCCGGCTTCGTCAGCTCCGAGGTCAATTCCGCATACCTGAGGCAGCACATGCATTGTTTCTTTGATGATGAACGTGATGCTCAGACAGTCCTTCAAAGAACGAAATTGTTTCAGCAGTGGAAATTCAACCATATTGCGACCGATGCGTTGGGATGCTTCGCGAAATCCTGGTCTCGACGAAGTCAGCATAAGGTTGTCTGGCAAGGCGCGTCGACATACGTGCACTGATGTGTTCGCTGAGGTTGCCTGCAACAAGCTCCTGGCGGTATGAGGACCCAGTAACAAAATTCGTCAGCCCTTTCATGCAAGCAAAATCCGCGTTGGTCGTTGTCGCGGTCCAATCTACGTATCTGGCTCAAACAAAGGCTTAGAAATATCAGTTGTTGACATACCCAAAGATCCGACCACTACTTTTCCTGGGCTATCCCAGGGCAATAAGTATTGCAAAAAACTGAGAACAACAAGAAGTAGACCATCCTGTTGTTCCCACATGACTGTACTCAGAACCGAAAGCTGAGAGAGCAGACGACTGAGTGTCATTGCGATGTCCGTCAGTGTGTTGATAGTGTCCCAAACCGAATTGTTCCAATAACCCCAGTCGATTTCGTTCATTGTGTCCGCGCGATAAGTCATCGTAAATGCGAATGCGGTTAGGTCGAGGCGGACAACTGAGCGGAACAATCGCTCATTGTAGGATTGTTTGATGTACAACCTCAGAGAGGAGCTTATGCTGTCTCGCAGGTATCCGAGGAAGCGCATAGCAACTGTGCATATAAGACGTGCCACCGCAAAATGTACGAGCACCGTCGTGTCCACAGTGCGTGTCTCCATTGCGGTCTCCACCTAGTGCAAGATGAGTTGGCAGTACAGATGAAAGTAGAAGAGACATTACAAGGCGGAGCAATTGTCCGGAGTACCTGCGCAACGACATTAAGAGTGTACAGGGAAGTCGCCTACAACGTTATGACGTACCACAGGGAAACAGCGGGTATGAGGGAAGCTAAACCGCTTACGACAAGGTATGCGGAGAGAAGCACGGAGCATCGTCTGATACCGAGTACATCCTTGAATATGCGAACCAGAAGTGGAGCACTTTGAATTATCTGCGCGCATGCCTTCAATATCGGTGAGGTCCGTATGCGTGTTCGGCGTTCCTCGTAGAGATCCCATACACCTATGCGGGTATGCTTGTAACGACGAGCATCCTTGTAGTCAAATTTTCCTGCGTTTGTTGTCATAGGTCTCTCTCTCCTGATGGTGGAAGAATGCTAAGTGGGCAAAAGTCGGAAAGCATCTGGAATGACGGTGCCTGTCATACAGGCGTCAGGTAAATCCCGAACACTATCATATGGTGCGACCGTCTTGCAAACCAAATTCAGTTAGTTCTAACTTCTCAGATGTGCATCGTACAACCTTAAAGTTTAGAAAAGTCAACGATCTTGATCTTGACATTGTCGAAGCTCTCTCGAAGGTCGTATGTTACCTTGTCGATCATGCACGCCGCGACGGTATGGATGCACTATGCGTGATGAATCTCGCATAGGCTAATATTATCACTGGGTAGATTTGGAGCAGCCGTTCATCAGAGATTTTGGCTAAACATCGAAATGTATATGAACATGACGAACATCATGGAACACCAATTTCAAATGACGGCACCAACATTGGACTCCGGAGTCCGGACACACCGCTAAACTGGTGACCAGCCCGTCTAATATAATTAATGAGGCAAGTCATCGATACACGACACACCGCGTCGGGACGACAATGTTCCAGAATTCCCAGTGTAACAAAATCCTTTCCTATGCATAGCGATATATAGCTAGACAACAATCTCCTTCTCACCAGTTGTCTTATTGTCGAAGATCAAATAAAAAATATAGCATAAAGACAATACAAAACGCAAAGCAGTGCGAGAAGAAACATAGTATCGTCCTATTACATGGTTTTTTATGCCGATAAATCCCGGGCATCGCATCACTTGGCAGCATCATAATTAATAACCATCGAAGTCGGCCATGGGCTCTGCAACATCTTCTCATTCAAATACGCATAATGCAGCACCGGAAGCGCCGAATCCGAGAACCGCGTAAGTTTGCCAGACTGGCCAGGCCCTCGGCGCACATTCTCGAGCGATACGACGGCGCGGAGGACTTCAGCCATCATCGTGGATGCGAGTTCGTCGCCTAGGACTTTGAAGCATCCCTCGTTTTGGAGGTACCGTTCACGCGGTGTGCGGGTGGTATCTAAGAGGTGGGGGTTGGGGAAGGCATCTTCCTGTTGGGTTTGGCTTATGTGAGAGGGGACTCTGGAGTTTTGGATGGTCCACTTACATTCATGTTTGCATTGGCGATGTGCAGGAAGAGGCGTTGGCCTTGCTTGACGTTCAGTGACTCGATGGATTCGTCTTGCTTTGCGACACGGTAGGCACCAGCGAATGGTGGATCGATTCCTGAGTCCTCCATCAGAAAATAAGCCAATGAGCGAGAACAAAACACATACTGAGCGCTTCGGTGATATAAGCAGTCAAACTACCAAGGTCCTTGGCATCCACTTTCTTATCCGCCGCGACCGTAACTTCCGAATCATACTCCTTATGAACGAGCAGGTTGACAACATTCGTCAAAGCTACACTCCCATCAGCCTCGCTCATAAACACTAACAGCAGAAAAGGACATACCAAGAGACATCTCAACAGTAGCCCCGACCAACAACGCCAGAATCGAGTTAACGACGTGCTCTGTCGAGCACCCAAAGTCAATCAAGCGCTTCACGATCTCACTGTGGTTCTTCTTCTTCCCAAAAAGACCAGTCACCGTACCAATCAGCCCAGCAAACGGCAACTTGCTGCCAGCACTCCCAAGAGCAGTCTTGATCAGATGCGTCAGCTCATGCACGTGCTCCTTCACCCTCTGCCTCATCGGCATATAGTACGCTAGCTCCACCTCAAGGAAGATGAATCTTCAAAGCACAAATCATCAACGATCATCAGGGAAAGGAAAAAAGGCATGTAAGACTTACTGATAGATCTCCCCAAGCATGTCAAATAACTGAGATTCAGTGTATACACCATGAGGATGCTGCTTGGTTTTTAGCGGAATACCAGCCTGCAATACGACATCAAATCAACAAGTTATCGTCCTCCAAATTAATAGACGCACAATTTCCGTAGCAGCCCAATGCAACGGTACATACTTCAACACATCCCTCACGACGTTAACAGCACGCGTGTTTGTCCCGATCAACGAGAACGAATGCAGCTCGATGAGTTCCTTCGTCTTGCTGTTGAAGTACGTCCCGATCGCACTGATGGCTTCCGGGGAAGGAGCAAGCGCCCTGATGAACTGCTTCTGCTCCTCAACGCCGTTTGCAGATGCCGTAAAGAACCTATATATCCTGTTAATGCTGATCCAAACCCAAGCGGGAATGTGTACACACCCTTTGCCCGTCAGGACCTCTGCTGCGCGTTCGACGTATTCGGGAACGTATTTATCAGTGCTTCGAAGCACCTGGCCAACCTCCACGTAGCCATTAACAGTAGTAGCAGGCTCGGTCGGCTTCGGCTTGTTAATATCATACTCATCAACCTTTTTAAGGTTCTTCAAATACCCTTCCATCGCTTCGGGGTGTACGAGAGGGAACCAAGTGTAGATACTGTCTTTGCTGAAATCATTGGGCAGCGTACGGAGGAAGAGACGGCCGAGGGTGGATCCAAACCCGTATGCGTCAGGGTCGCGCTGGCAATCAGCGAAACCCCAGGCGGTCAAGTTGGCGGGTGTGAAGTCCTGCGTGTAGAAGCGGTCACCACGCGTTAGGGCGAATGCATCGGAAAGAATGGCACGAGAGATAGTGTACCCTGAAAGACGTAAGTATTCACGAGTATAGGTTGATTGAAAGGGTCTTGCCTGGGCAAAGACCTGCACCCTCGATGAGAGGCTTGGTCTCTTCTGCTTGAAGACCGACGTACAACTCCAAGTTGTCGATGTGACCATAGAGCTTTTCGGCGGCGTCAGCAACTTCGTGGTTGGGGTTCCATTCCAGGAAGCTGTTGTATTCTGGAAGACACTCAGTACCCATGGGGGATGTCGTGGTTGAACAACTCACTCTTCAAGCCAAGGAACTTCCTAAAGTCATTGAGCGAGCAAACGCCCCACGCTCGGTTAGCCTCGATACCCATGACCTCGTGGAGACGCATGACCGCAGGTGTGCTGCGAGCACCGAATGCAGCAGCACGATGGGAGGTCCTGGTATAATACGTCAATGCTAGTGCAAGATAAGATAAGATGGCCACTAACGCGTCCTGGAGCCATCTCGCAAGATCAGAGTCTCTGAACGCTCCCTTGTTGGGACCTTCTTTTTCGCGCTGAAGTCTGCATGGAAATGTGAGCAGAAGCACCAACTGTAAGTCCCCAAGATCACTCACTTCCCGAAAGTCCATTCATGAAGATCTAGCTCCTTCTTCGTGAGAGTAGCTTCCTTTGTATAAAAGTCCCTCAAAGTGATATCCTCAATGTTCTTGTCAGGGAACAGCTCCTTCAACTGCTGACTGATCCACTCCTCGTCCTGGACGGAGGTGGTGGCGTGCCATCTGTACAAGCAGTTGAATTCGACACTGCAGGCATTACCACGGCCACGCTCGAAGACCGAGCGATCTTCATTACGAAGTTCATCGAACGGCTCCAAACTCCAGCTTGAACCTTTTCGGAGGAGGCCGAGAATGGCAGAGAAGTAGTCAGAGAAGACAACGGCTGCGAACCATGCACAGTTGCATAGACGGGCGATCTGGAATATTTCTTCGTCTTGCTTAGCAAGCTGGGCATGACTGATGTGCTGATGGTGAGTAGGGTCTTTCCATGTACCACGTTCATTTATTTCAAGCAAACGACGTGCAATGTACTGCGATCGAATAGGTTGAGTTAATGATCGTGGGAAAATACGGGGAACATACGTTGTGGTTTCTGTTAAATAAGACCAAGAGGACACAAACTTGTGGAGGAAGGAAAAGAAGACGGTCCTCTGCGAATACATCCGGGGAAAGCAAACCGCGGCCGTCTTTGTTCCTGACCTGAATTGATGATAAGATTTGTGTATCAGGGTTGAAGTGGAACTAACCTTGTCCTGAGTGTCTTGGTCATTTCCGTACAATGGTGCAAGATCAACGTAACCCGACGTCATGTTTATGTGTTGCCTGCCGGGAGTATGGTCTGAGCGGAATACACTGTGAATGACCAGTGCTGCAAAGGAGAACATAAGGGCGGATAGACCCTGGGGATGCGGGGTAAACTAGAAAAGTCATTTGTGAGAGGTTGAGGGAGATGCTAGTGGAAGATAGGTACCTTTTCTCTGCGTAGGAGGGTATCAAAGACGAGACCGGCATCGGGCATTTGGTTGCGTGGCAAGGGGTTGACTGCTTGAACAGACCGTGCGTAAGGAGTACCGGCTTTTCCGAGGTTTGGAGCATCAGGGTTGTTGTTTGAACCATCAGCAGCTCGGAACTGGAACTCGGGCCCGATGTAAGTAGCAGGGGGATGTGCGAGGTCATTGTACACTATGGCAGAGTTAGGGATTACTGGGAATTCAAGGAATGACCGGGCGCTCACGTGTTTTGATGGTGAAAGTACGGAACATGTTAGAAATCTTTCCTGAAGGGTGACTTGCCATGAACGATAGCAAATGCTCCAACTTTGGAGAGGGTGAATCGAAGGTTATGTGTGGGAGTGTATAAACTCACGGCCATCTTGCGGTCATCGATTGCATCTCCATGGGTGATTGCATCAAGAGCTGCAGACTGTAAGGAGATGTTAAATATTATGGACGGAAGACGGGGTAGACTTGACTGACGACGGCGGACTCGTTAATTTCTTCGATGGGTCGTTTCAGCTAAGACAAGTGAGTTGTTGAGCGAAAATTAAAGAGGTTAACATACGAGGTCCTTGAGGTGGGCCAAGGCTTTGGACGTGCCGGTGTCGCTCGACGAGGGAGCGACATCACCAAGTGAAGTCGGTAATGTTAAACCATTCTAGTAGAAGATGTAAGTGATATTCTAAATGGAAAAGTCGACGCGTACAGCCTGGCTCTTGGAAGAGAAGCGGGAAGAAAGAGCTCTGTTGAGAGTCATGATGAATGAAGACCTGGGTGTTGAAACGAGCGCCTGGCATTTTATAGACGGAAGCTAGTACCTTCCGGATAGTCAGTGTGTTTGAGCCGAATAGCGGGCGTCGGAACCAGTTATGGAGGACAAATTCGTATTACTTCTGTACGGGATGCGATGCAAGCGAAGCCGTACCGGGGTTTGAAACACACAGGAAAGTGGGCTAGAATCAGTACGCGAATCGCATGCCCGTTCAACTTGCGAACAGTTTCATTTATCTAGAATAGTATTACGTTCCATTCTGATGACCTGAGAATACGCCAAGCACCGTCCAAAAAAGGCATAGCTACCCGACCTAACTTTGACCATGTACTTCATCAAACAGCAATTCACTCTAGGCGCATACCCTGCCATCTTATCCCTCCAACTTCCCGATCCATCCTCACCAGATTACATCCCTACTCTTCTCTACAAGGTCCGTGCACACCTCGCCATCGGCGACAATGCATCCGCACTCGCCCTCCTTCCTGCCGACACAGAAAATGTAGCACTCAAAGCAGCAGCTGCACTAGCAAAGGATGAACAAGGCCTCGAATCACTCCGCGACTTGTGCGTAGAGATAGAAGGCGATCAAGACTCTGACGATTGGGAGAAACAAACCGTTCAAGTGTTAGCTGCAACCGCTTTTATACGTGCAGGCGAAATTGAAGAAGCACTCGAAACACTACGTGGTGAAGGCATACCTGGTGACGAACAGTCAGCAACCTTTTCCTTCTTTTATTAAACCATTCCACTGACCGTCAATCGATAGAGCTGCACTGTTGACTCAAGTATACCTCTCGCTAGCTCGTCCAGCACTCGCCCAAAAGGTACTAGCACCAGCATTGAAAGCAAACCCAGATGCACTCGTCCTCCAACTCGCAGAAGCAATCATCTCCCTCGTAACAGGCTCACAAGGCACAAGCGGTCCGTCATCCCTCCCATGTCCTATCCTACCATCACTCACATCTAACAGGCGAACCATACGCACCCGCACTATCATTTTACAACGAACAAGTAGCAAACCCATCCATATCCTCCCCCGCTCTTCTAGTCGGCAGAGCAGTAGTCCGTATTCTCCGTGGCGAACTCTCCTCCGCCCAGAGCGATCTAGAAGAAGCAGATTCAATCATCTCCCGCGCTAAATGCGAGGAAGCGTCCAGCGATATGCTCGCAGCCATGATAGTTGCTGCAGGCTTAAGCGGCGCCAAAAAGGGCGATGCTGATCAACTATGGAGGTAAGTCCCCGTACTCTTCCTTTACCAGCGGTCTTAACTGGGTCCACGTCAGCCGCTTATTAAAGCAACACCCTTCCCATCCTTTGGTCGCAGATATTGCTGCTAAAGAACTGTTGTTCGATGAATGCGCTTCTAAGTTTCAAGTTCCTCCTAGAGCGGTTGCTGTCGCTTAGAGTCAATCGGGAATTTACTTTGCTCGTGTAGATGGTTCTGGTCCATGTAATGGCCATACGACGGTGGAACGAGACTAATCTCAGATGTGACATCAAATTAGAGAATCAAGGAACTTGCGTGAAAACATGTGAAAATGGACCGTAGAGATCTATGTAGTTGATCAAAAACATGATCATGCGCTTATCGTGAATGATTAAAGTAAAGTGCTTTAGAAAACCGACCAGTCAAAGAACAAGTCCAAGTCCGCACTAGAGATTAGCTGTCTGGACAGGCATTATCTTCTCTTCAGCCAAAATGCCAGAAATCCGCGTGGCGAGGTCTGAATATTCCGTCTGGAATGCATTCTTCAAAAACCACTCCTTGCTCATATAATTCCGAATGCTGCAAGACGAGATCAGCAGGGAAAAACTAATAAATCAAATCATAACTCACCCGTCCGGAAGGAGCACAACAACATTCAAGCCCTCTGTCCCAGCGATTATCCGCCCCTGTTCCGTCTTCAGCCAAGCCAAAGCACCGCCAAGGGCACTTCCACTGCTCCCACCAACAAGCAAGCCCTCTTTCCTCATAAGAGCCTGCACAGCCTTGAATGCATCTTCATCAGATGTCTTCACCCAATGATTCACATCCGGCTCTTCCCGAGAAAGAACATCAGGAACAAAATCATAACCTATGCCCTCCACAACGTATGGGGCTCCTTGCCCACTGATGTTCAGACTATTCGGGAGTGCAAGGATGCTACCGATCTAGAGGGAAAAGTGAGCGACAGCTAAAAGGGACAGCTATGCTTGACTCACTGGGTCGACTCCGACCACGATGCAGTCTGCGTTATGCGTCTTCTTGAGTGCGCGTGAGACGCCTGTGATGGTGCCGCCAGTACCAGCACCAGCGACAAATGCGTCGACTTTCATTGAGGAGGGTCTTGTATGCGTAGATGGGGTTGAGACGACTGAGGCGATGATCTCTGGTCCGGTAGTATACTCATGAGCAAGCGGGTTGTTCACCTGCATGCACACCGATCAGCAAGTATTCCAGCTCGTTCAGAACAACCTACATTCCGATACTGGTCCAATATGATCCCATGTTCAATCTCTCGCTGAAGCTTGCACGCCACACCTACGATCGTTAAGGAATTCAGCCACGAGGGGTTTAAGGACGTCAGTAGGGTGCTCTACCTATATGGCTCCTGGGTGAATCCCAAGGCTCTTCATCAGGCGTGCGGATAACCTGTGCGCCGAGCGCCCTTAATAATGCCTCTTTCTCCTAAAAGCCCCCTTAAACATCAACGAACAGCGTGTGATGAAATTCAATTCTCACAAGCGACATTTTCTGAGGCATGGTAATCACGACGGAGTATCCCTTATCTGTAGTATTCAGCAACCGTCCAGGAACCTGGGCGTAGCGTGTTTACCTTGATCGCGCACGCCATCGCAAGTCCAATTCCTGCATACGGAGATCCCTTAGGGTTTGTAGGAGACTCGGAAAATGCGAACGATCGCTTACCGGTATTCCCAGACGTAGGCTCGATGACGACGCTCTTCCCGGGAATAAGTTTACCCTCCTTCTCTGCGGCCAGGACCATCGCCTTTGCGATTCTGTCCTTGACGGAACCGCCTGCAGAGACAAATTCCAATTTGCCCACTGATGAAAATAGGTGGTTAGAGTATATGTCAATCGATATATAGGGCTCCTCCGTGAAAGGCGCACGTACGGAGATTACACTTGAGGCCCTGTTCTGCGGCTATCTTGTCGAGACGGATAACCGGCGTGTTGCCTACGGCGTCGAGCGCATTGTCTAGTATACGTCTTGGAGTGAATTCCATGATAGTAAGTGGTGGTGGTGGTGGTGGTGGTGGTGGTGGTAGTGGTAGTGGTGAAAAATAAAAGGTGGGCTCAGCAGCCAGACGGGTAGTGACGTGCTGATATCAAGCCGTTCCGATTGATCGGATCCGAACCGGCTCGGATCTATTATCAATATCTGAATGTTCTGGACTCGGAGTGTAGTAGTACCTCGCAGGTTCCCGACTATACTATACACAGGATCCGCGTGAACCTTCATGATCTATTCATCAAATGATTATCCAATGGCCAATCCACCTCGCTAACCCCCTATACATACTCTTGGTATGAATCAGAAATCCCTAATATTCGGGTCGTCGTCGGACGAGTACGGTTTAAAAAAATTGAAATGCGTAACAACAGAGTAAGTTAGATAATTTGATCGAAGTTGCTATTATTACTGCTATTAAGTTATATTTGACAGTGACACGTAGTCGCAAGGCCCCCCGGCCGATGGAGGACGAGAAGAAGCCAGGAAAAGAACGTTCCGGTCTGGTGCGAACTTAGTAAGAGCTGAATGTGTCTATGTGGTGCACCAGTAAGGTGAGCACACGTTGGAGCATACGGTGGTGGAATCCCGTGGACGTACAGTGACTTAATCTCGACATATCTCAGGCGGTCCCATGCAGGAATGAAACTATCCTCTTTCTAATCTCCAGACCATGCGGATTGGATGGCACTCGAGGACAACCAAACTACGACGCCCAATGTTCAACCAGAATCAACCTCACATGAGCAAAGTCTCGTCTCTTGATATCATGTCTGGGTGCGCCATCAAATCAGAATCAGAATGTTTGCTAGCAGACCCTCCCGCGGCATCTCAGGAGCATACCGCTGTAGACTACCCACAGACAGACTCCCACCTTTGGCGTACATCCGCGTACCTACTACTCAGGGTAGAGTGGACATTCTCGTGATCCCTTGAGCGATGGATCACGGCTGGAAAGCTGCCTGCTCCCATTCTCGGTGGTCGTTGCCGATGTAGAAAGAGTCCACCACAATCTGACAATATCTACAATGATGTCTCACCGTTGTTGACATGCTCTGGCCGATTATGCAGCCGCCGATACGGCTCTGATCTGCAGCTCAGATGACCGTCTAGGAGATGGTAGCCAGAAGGTTCGGATAAGGTTTCAGCCGGCAAGCGCGAGACAGCCGGTGAAAGTCCCTCGAGTCGATAATTTCGTCTTCCTCATCTACGAGCTGCGGACGGGCCAAGATGCTGTTCCCTATCTATTTGTGAAGTCAAGGTTCTCGTAGAAATTCCAACTTCTGTTGTCGTTCAGTGACGATTAGTACTCTGGTGTTTGAGCTCCATGGCAGAGCGGTCAGGATTTGGCAACTTGTACGTAGGGTGTCGAGGTCTAGAATCTGGTCATGGCATCACTCGCAGATCGTATATCTGTAATGCTGGTGAATGGACAAGATAGTGTGACTACTCGTGAATACATCAGCTGAAACAAATGACAAGCCATGATGTATCTCCAATATGGCGCGACGCTGGACAACGGACATATAGCACTACTTGTGTCCGAGGTCCAACGTCGTGTATCCAAAGTACTGATTATGTTAGTAATTTGAAATACTGACTTAGTTAAACACCTCTTCAACTTGAACGAGAGCTAAGACCTTCTTCATACAATGGCCATCTCTTTCCAATCCACGTCGCTAACTCTGTATGATCTCTCAGTGAATTGCCAGTGTTCGGGTGGACGAGAACGCTTTGAAACCTGTGGGTTAACAAACTGACCTGAAAAATGCTATGAATATGACACGCACTCGCAAGGTCCGCGATTAACGACAAGCCAGGAAAAGAATGCCCCTGTCTGGTGGGGGTTGAATGTATTGACCTCGAACATAGCGGTAGGATGGGGACCTTGAAAGAATAAGGGTGAGCGCTACGATGTGTAGCACCGATGAGACTCATGAGCGGATGCGCACCGACTGGTTTATCCCAGAACCTATATATCCGCAACTACGTCATAAGGGATGAATAAGCGGCTACTGGATGATGCAAGAGAGAGAAATTACCTCTGGGAACTCCCTCCTTACACGCTCGTGTAGTTCTTTCGCATACTGAGCCTGAGCAGCCACAGCGGGCATGTAATAAACTAATATCTGTGGTGAGATCGAGCACCATTAATACGTGGTAGGCTAACTCACTGTGGAAGTCGAAACCATTCTTAGATGGACTAAATTGCTTCGGGAATTCGTCATAGGCGGCCGAGCGGGGACCAGGTGGGTTGTACAGGGACTTTCCGTCAGGATTGAGGGTGGTTGGAAGAGGTTCTGCACCTTCATACCCTGCTAGAAGAGATGGCCACTGAGTCATGTTTACTGTGGTTGGTGGTGTTGTTAATAGGAACGACGATAACCACAAGAATAAAGTCGATGCGGGGATATAGGGTTGGAACAAACAGATGGTGTGCGCAGTATGGAGGATGTGTAAGCTTGCCACTATGATCACTCAGCAAAGAAGTTAGATCCTGTAAGCCCGCTGGCTTACCTGAGTTTCCATAATCAGCATAAATACTGTCTGAGCTGAGCTTTGATTATCGCTGCCTTTTGCGTAACTGATTAGGGACGACAGTCTTAACTACTTACAGACCCTGTGGCTTGTCTAGCTTGACTCTTCAGGCGGCAGAGTATTGATGCAGGAACTTGGTAAGAGAACATGACCATGGGGTAGAAGAGCTTCATTGACGTGTGTCGGACGTGAAGAAGCAGTTGACAACATGAGAGGACCCGTTCGAACACCTCAAACATGCGGCACTTGTATACATCGAAGAATCAAGATGTATGCACAGTGCAGATACGGTCGGTTCTCAATAACATGATCCAGATCTCCACGGCCATAGTGGTCGTTAAAGCTCGAGCGAGTTGATACGCTACAAATAACTTGGTAAGTATTTACAGGCAGAGAGCGCGAGAAGTGACTGGAGAAAAATTTCACGTGTACATACGTCGGCGTGAGCCTTCTCTTATGGCTGGCATCGTCACAAGTCGAACTTTGAAGCTGGAGTACGCCATCTGGTTTGCTGGAATCCCGCTCACATAGGTTACTCGGACACATATGTGCTATGCAACAGATCTATGGGATGGCTTCGCTGCTGAACAAAAAATTTTCTCGAGCGTGTGCAGCGTCGAAAAATGGGATGTGAATACGAAGCCGCGGTAGATATGAGTCATGGGAAGGCCTAGCTAGGCCATAAGGAGGGCGGAATCAACTTGAAAGGTCTGGGTAAAGGTGTACATGTGTTACCAATGGTGGTGTGTTTGGCAAGCAAGTCTAAATTGCACCATCGACCAACCGTCGACTTGTTTCAATTTCAACCGACTTCGCAGCGTGCGCGCAGTAGCAAATATTTTCCATCACATCTACGGAGGGCTCGTACATGTACAATTAAGCATATCAATCTGTCCGGACAAATGTTCTAAGAGACGAAACCGCAATTCCGTATGTTTTCCTGCTGCGGTGCGTGCTCGTTGTCGATCATCCATCATCCATCTACTGGCACGACACCTTTTCTTGACCTGATCTTCGACCGGGAAGATATTCGACGAAGCTGCGCACAGGTCGAGTGCTGTTGTAAACTTCGGCTGGAATAATACCCTCTGCGACAACGCTCATGTTATCACTAACTCACAAAGCAGCCGATGTTAGCATCTTTGATCAAGTAACCAGAAATCTAGCTAGCATAGGTTGCATATCCTTGTCAGAGTACCTATACGGTCCCCCATCCATCCCAGCGGCGGCGCCACCACAGGAAACCCTGTCTACCGTTCCCCAGAATACTCCCATTCAACACCCGCAACCCCCACCGCCGACCAAGACCTCAGTTGACACTGTCTCAGCAAACGCTATCAGCCGTTTACATCAAACATCTCAACGCGCATTTGGATCCATTGAGCCACTCAAGTTTGAATTTATCGAGGAAGCTGGCCAGCGCAGTGCGTATCCATTCTCAGGTCGAATCATCATCCTCATGATAACTCCACAGGCAAGAAATGCATATTGACGATATCTCGTCCCAATGGAAGCACTCGCTCTTATGCGACCGACCCCATCTATTCTCGTAAATCCGATGCAAAATCTGCTGCAGCCACTCTCGCGATCGAAATGGGCGCACTAGATTTCATCACTCATGGAGATCCTGAAGAGCTCAAACTTAAACGTGGACTCGTCCTCGCATCTATCAATAGCTCACAAAACCAGGAGCGTACAGGGGCAGAGATGGGATCAACTGAGCATCTAGACAGCAATAATGCGATTGAACAAATCGAAACCTGTTGTGCAGAATGGCGGGGTAATTCCATCGCACCGCATTGGGTGGCATTGCTAGAGCCCAAAGTCGGTCACAGTAAGTATCAAAATATCGGACGTCTGGATCTTGTTCAACTAAGGGCGCCGCAGCTCAAGGATGTGCCCTCAGAATCGAGCTTTCACCACACGTCATCAAGGTCTACGCATCCGATACCATTTACAACACATACAACGAAGCAAAGGTCGCGTGTGCTGAAGCCGCACTTCGCGAGGGTGCTCTCGAATTTATTAAACACGGAAATGGCCAACTGCGCCCTGCATCCCCCAAACTATACTTAACCTCCAGTTCATCCGACATCAACGGTGTCTCAGCCAACAAACAACCTCCATCGACTCTCCAGGCATTCTACGAATCCCTCCCCCGCCCATTTCCAGAATCATTCGAAAGCAAAGACGCCAACGAGGTCGGTGCGCCTGGATACATGAACACCCTGGTACAAAACACAAGAGGCGGAAAACTCACCACTACATTCATTTTCACATCAGACGGAACTCCAGGACGTGCGTATTCCACTCTATCATCATAAGAGACTCATACTCACGACAATGATTTACTTTACCTAGTTCACGGTTGTTTCTTTCGCTTAGACAGACCCACAGAATATAGAGCATACCTCGTTGATCCCAGGTTCCCAAAACGCGCAGATGCAAAAGCGGCTGTATGCCTCCAAGCGCTGTCTCAGGGTGCTGGAGATTACATGCGCGCGATAGGAAAGGCTGTCGAGGAGAGGGTCACGCCTTTGATGAAAACATGGGTGAATGATCAAGTGTACCCTGTCCTCTTATCCGAGTATCACAAAGTCAGGGGCCGGCATCCTAATTTTACCTATGAGAAAGAGAAAGATGGTCCGTTTTCGGTTTCTTCTCATTATCTCGCGTTGCATGCTTATCGCGTACAGCCTTTGGATGCACGATGACGCTCCACCTCGATGCCGATCCTACGCCCGACCAAACACGAGTTTGGACAGTATCGAATGACTATCGCAACAAAGCAGATGCCAAAGTCGCTGTCATTTGCACTGCAATCGAACAAGGTGCGATGGAGTTTATCCGGTTTCGAGGCGAGCCTCCTCCTCTCGGCTATACCACCCCATATTCTCTGCAAACCTTCGACCCTGGAGCGTCTCAGAAATCTAACGGGAAACGAAAAATGGTCGATGATTCGCACTCGCTGGGTGAACATGAAAAACCTACAAAACGACAGAAGAAAGCAAAGCTTGAGGGCGCTGCAACTAATCACAGCAACAAGAAAGCGAAACGTAGTACCCCCGCTCATGACATTCCCGAGACTGGCGTCATCCACACAGGGCAAACTTCGCGAAAGGAGTACATCTCTGGGACTGCATACCATCTGCCGCAGGTGTCCTTGAATCATATTCCACCTCCTAAACCTAATCAGCGGTTTATGCATCCACACGTGCATTCTTCTGTGCAAGGTGGTCATGGGTATTCGCTTTCGGCGCAGTCTTCTGCTGGAGCTTCGGGCACTGGGTTTGGGGCTGATGAGTTTATGGGCGTGGGTGCAGAGCAGCTAGGTGATTCATCTGAGCCAGAACCTGGGGAGGTTATTTGATTTCATTGGATCGAGCGGTGTTTGAGACGGTTCACAGTACTACTTTTGAATCAAGGTGCAGAACTATAGTTACACACCCACGCCACATAGCTATAGGTATTCTCCTTGTTCTCTCATAAATCGAGGGAATTTCGTACCTCGCACTATGTAAGAAGGCTATCAATAGTTGGCCGCCACTGCATAATTATCAAGACGGAACGACTGTCATGTGGTCTGACTAGCCTCGAGACTGGTGCCGATGTGTCTTATGTCCAGGGTGCCAAAATGCCTCGCCAGCTGTACATGCGATTTACAGAGAACGCAGGAAAATTCACAAAAATTACGGTCAATTTCGTAAAAATTTTCGAGCCAGCATGGGGCGGCCGGCGTCTCAGAGCGAACGCGCCCTCATCACTATTTTCGATCGCTTCCCAATCGAGACGACGTGACTTCTCTCTGTAAATTTCTCGATGGCGGTTGCTTTGACTCTTTCGAGTGACGAGTCACGACCTGCCAACGCGGTGGGCTCCTTTAGCGCTCATTTTATCGTGTTCCTTCAATGCAGGCTTGATCTACTAGAATTTCTATGTACGTTTGCAATTAATGTGTGCTTCAAGTGAGCAACCTAAATTACTTCAATTGACAGTTGCGATATAATTATAGTGGTCTTCGCTCGGCTAGTCTGAGTAACTTAACTTCGGTGTGACGAACAGGACCGAGCGGCCTTGTAGAGATGTCCCCCTGGCCTATTATTATTATTCGACTTGTCTCGAAAACCGTGCCAGCAGCCTTCATACGAGATTCAGACTGCAAGGCATCCTGTCTGGCTTTGATGAGTGCATCGTATCTATCCCTCTGGTTATTATGATCGATCCTTGTTTCTCAGCGCTTGGCCTGGTCAGATTCAGCCGCAGGGCATTTCGTCCGACCTTGATGAGGCATTTAGGTTGTACATGCAAGTCTTAGTCAACTCATTCCTTCATACAGTGTTGCTGTGATGATCCCGCAGAAGGTATTCGACTTCGGCAATGCGCGGGATGTCGTGCTCTGAAGTACTTCTCGCAAGAATGCCAGCGCAATTCCTGGTGCAGTCGTCGTAGGTGGTGTTGCAAGTTTTGGAAGGCAATGGCGGTAAGTCTTTCGATATTCAGCTGCGCACTGTTTTTTATTGACAAACTATCCAAGGATATTGACACCGCACTACATGAAACGTAGTCGGTCTGCTAGCCGCCTTGAAACTCACGACTTGTGGGCCCATATTCGGAAGCTATTCGGGGACAACTCGTATGGAGCTTGCTCCAGATAAGAGCGATGTATCAGTTCGACCTCTTCGACACTACCTCTTCCTGTTCAATGGGCTCTAAAAATGATGTCGTGGAAACTTTATTGTCCTGGAAATAAGGGCCGACGGATCATTCTTATGTTCGGGCATCGCGATCAACGATCGATGTTTGTAAGAGCAGACTTTATTCTGACCACGTACTGCATCAAACATGGAGATGAGAGCAGGCTAATGTGCGTGAAGTCTTGTTGCTCGGCTCTCCGTTTCACGCCGCGGTCCATCAATCGTTCTTGCTGTAAATTTGCAGTTTTTCATTGTGATGCTAAACATCGCATGTCAGCTCCTGCGGTCTGGTGCGTCAATGATGAAACATATGAAGCGTACTGTATCCTTGTCAGCATCATAGCAGCGAAAGTCTTGACGACGTGTCACAAGGCGTGACAAAGTCCGTCTCACAAAGACCTTTGGCTGGTCCTCTTCAAATTATCGAGTAACAAAGAGTCAAAGACCACCCTCGGTGTTTATTAATGCCACTCCGTTCGGCTATAAATCCAGCTTTGACCAAATGTTCTTGACTATCTGCCACGACCACCAAGCTCAGTTGTATCACCATTTCGTGTTTCTTCGCTGCAGAATTTTCTGTTACTCTCTTGCTTGAAGATCTCCAGTTGTGTTCGCATACCCTCGGCATCACGAATCGTTTTCTTCCATTCTCTACCCCTGCGAAAGCCACAGTCAGCTTTCCTTCAAGTCACAAGCCATCTGATCGAACCATATTGCACGTCAGCCATTCACGCAAATAATGAATAACATCAATTTCTCGCCTGGTTTCTTCCTGAATTTCATTGCGGAACCGAATCCTTCCTCCGTGTCTCGGCCGCGGACGATATGCTGTGACATCTCAATAAATTCGATGCACACACAGTCTACCCAGTTACGCGAATATTACTTTCATTCATTCTTCAACTGTTCTTGGATGTCTCGTCCTCCCCCTCGTGTCATCAACTTCAACCCGGACGCACCTATAGAACTTCAAAAGGCTACACCTCCGACACTCGCGCCTCCTCGTGTCAGCGCCAAAGTGCCCGCCGTGCATAAGACAGATGCTGCTGCTGCGAAAGTAGTACCGTCCCAAGGCTTGTCACAGAAACCTTGGAAAAATATTGCCATAACCGAATACGACGACGCGGAGTTCGAGGAACTGCAAGCACGGATGGTGTTTACGTGGCCGCCCGACTTAGCAGCCTACCGAAGAGAGGTCGAGGAGAAGGGCTCGGGTGAGGTAGCAGAGTATGTTGATGAAAACATTGTCCCTGAGGCCTTCTATGGCGCTTCGCCAACTGGGTCGGGAAGCACGGACAGTTCCATGATCTTGACGCCAACTCAACAAGACTACGACGCCCAGACAGCCCATGTACCATTGGCTATTCACCTCGAGGCGCTCGCGGAGCCTGAGGCTAGGGTCGGCGCTCTCGAGAAAGTAGTGGGGCTTCAGAGATTGAGACGCAAAGCACCACCTCCACTCAGTCTCCGCAGCAATACAAAACAGGTCATCAACGAAATCGGACGCACCCTGTTGATCGGCGATGATGACTCCACTGCACGGGAGACACGGGTAAGTTTTTCATACCGCTGTGCAAGTTTGATTCTAATAAAGTATAAGCAGATGCTGAGTCCATTGACGGCAGCGATGAAAATCACCAGCAAGTTATCTGCGGGGCTCCTCCGCAACATTCATATCTTTCCCGATGAACTATTATTCTGATAATCTAATCTTCATCTATCACTGTAGCATTACCCGAATTATTGGCAAGAGGTTCACTGTATCTGCATATTCCCTATCTTGTAGCGATATTATTTTATTTTTGATGCCCGACGTTCGCCACTGTGAAACCGTCACATAAATCGCTAATCAAATCACTCACTGGCAGACTGTGAGATGCAAGTCGTCGTTGAAACCACGGCGGATTTAGTTTGCCACTCGAAGTTGGACACCGTGGATGGAATTGCGGCTGAAATGCCTTGGCATAGTCTTGGACTGATTGTTGGGCTTGATGTTATGACGACCTTGACCTGGAAAAATGAGATCCCAGTGAACCTAAACAGTAGATACAGTATTATTGTCGTGTGGCTGTCTTTGTGTCCATTTCAAACTTAGCCGGTGACATGGAAAACAGTGAACAGACTTTAGCGCAGAAATTCTGAGAATCTCCTCGAGAAACCTGCCGCGGAACTTGGATGAGAGAAGTAGAAGCAGAAGAGCTGCTCGGTGAACTCGTCTCGTAGATACCTGGAAAGCATATCCGGAAGCCCACTGGCAGGCCCCAGAAGCAGGGGATCCTCTCGTTTCCTGCTTCCCTGGCCTGAATCGAACCAAGATGCCACATGCAATTGGGCAATCGGGTCATTTGTTTATTGTGAACAATTTGCAATGCCAGTGAGATTATCATCATCCCAGAGAAACTCGCACAAGCAACCTCCAACTTTGGAGTCTGGATTGCATTGAGAATCTCCATTCGTGAGCATGTCCGAGGCCTCCTGTGATATTTGAAAAGATGGGCCATGCGCATGAAAGGCTAGACAATAGAAATGCAACGTGGTCTATTATGATTGTGCCAAGGCAGCCAGACTCGCGGAGCCGCTCTCTGGATGTCATTCCGATGAACAATTACACAACAGGTCGGGACTCGGAAAAGCTGCGCTGCCGGCGGCGTGCCGCCATTGTTTGTTTGTGACAAATACAGCCTTGCAACTTCGGAAGTTCGCAAGATGATTCACTACTGATTGACACGTACAGTATATAAAGGACGCAGCCGCTGATACCACACCATCCACCGATATCCCAATCCTGTCTCTCCCCCCCACGATCCATGGCTATCACGTTATCCTTGCGCCCTGTCTCTCCCCCCCACGATCCATGGCTATCACGTTATCCTTGCGCCCCGTCTTTGCATTCCAGAGCAATGCAAAGATCTGCTGCGCAAGGTGAATCGTAATCTCCTGGTTGACGCATACTTGGATCGCAGTGGATAAGGATGGTGTCATCTTCCACGAGTACAGTATTTGGTGGCGGCAAGGACCAGCCAGCGTCTTTGTTTTTCTCATGGGCAAGTCAACTATTCTGTCAAACCCTCACTACCACTCCCTGGTATCTCACAGACAGATTTTTTTGGTGTCACCAGTAAATCGCACGAACGCATGATATATGGCACCATTCGGCCACACTTTAAAGTGCCCCTTCACCCTGGACTGTGCAGTTGCACAAATGGGGTGGCTCATGGAGTGAGGTGATTTTTACGCGAACTTGATTAAATCTAGACCTGTCTTTCTCAAAGTTTCTCTATCCTGGTCTCGAAAGGAAGCACGATTCTTTTCGATTCTCGGAGCCGATTCCCTCCTGCACCCTATATCCGAGCTGCTCAAATATGAGGTTTCACACGCTGTACAGGGTGAGAAATGAAAAAGTCTCGCGGTTAAGGTTATTAAAATACAAGGGACCTACATGGACCTATCACTATGCTCCAGCATCGCTAGTATCGACGATGAGGTGGCTGTCGTCTGGCTGATCTGTATGTCTAGCAGTTAAAAAAAGTAACTGTAACTATCACAAACAATGCGGAGGATGCAGGGCCCGAGCGCAGTTAGCGAGAGTCATTGCATAAAATGATAACGTACGAAAGAGATTCATTATTATTCATTACCAGCCTAGACTTGTTTAGTCCGTCAACGAAGGAAACGAGCAAGCGGTGTCGACAGTTGAGAATCTCGCAAAAGGGTCTTCCAGTTGAACACCCAACGACATCGCCTCATACCAAACGGTTATATCAAAGTTATACCCTCTCTTTCTCCTTCTAGCGCTACTTTGGCGTCACCTTTCGACAGCAACGTCGAGCTCGCTCTCTTTGACGATAAACACACTCTCTAACTCTAATGAAGAAACCACCAGCGTCCCCTTCGACAGCCCGGTCTCCGCGCAATCAATTAATTGGCCATCCAACTTTGGACCTCCATCACTCCCATCATCATCATCTCTCTCCCACTACTGCCTATCCATCATCGGCCAATCTACCAAAACCTTCAAAGACTTCTGCTTTTAAAGGTTTACAATCTGTTTTTCAGCGCAAACCACCAGATCGCTCGCTATCTTCAAATTCTCTCCGTTCTTCCTATTCAGCTTCCAACGCATCCGCCACAGATAGTCACAGCCCCCATCCATACGCCGCAATGCCTCCTGCTCTTTTACCTGTTGTATCAAACAATGATCATGTCGACGACGAACAAGAATGTCCTGTATGTCTTGAACCCTTGAGCTTCAGCTTCAGACTTCCTGGAGAAAAGCCTCATGTAGTACCAGAATGTGGTCACTCTCTTCACGAGGTCAGTACTTTGCCCTTATCGTAGTATCCCAGTCCATCAGACTCCCGCTCGTCTTACTATAGGCGTGTTTCACCGCTGTATACGGCCCTCCCCCAGCGCAATCTCGCTCTGCAGTGCCTCGCAAATCAAATCTTGGCGTCTGCGGTGTGTGCAGACGACCTATGAAAATTGGCGACGGAGACGGTAGCAAAAATAATAGTGAGTCGAGCTAGGTACATCCTATCCATTAATCTCACTATGTTACAGAACTCGCCGCTCTGACTGGCATGGGCAATCCCCATACCACTGCAGCATATCCTGGACGAGATCAAGGCCCACGCTCTCGCCACAGCCCAGTACCTCAACAACCCTACGACCCTACAGATGACGACCCGATAGACCACGCCGTCTCAGTCAAGTCAACACCCAGCGAATCCCACTACATCGTCGCACCTTCTATCCAAGTCCGCCCCGAATTTTCTTCCATCACCCGGAATGGCGAAACTTGTCAACCTTTGACCTGCATTGTTGTGATCGAGTTACCTACCAGGCGTGGATCGACTCATCTTCCGGGTCCTATCTCAGCAGATGCATACAGTTCTCGGAGTGCACATACGCTCACACGAAGTGATACTGCGACAGAGCTGCCTCATCCATCCCAAAGACAAAATGATACCTTGCGACATCCATCCCAAACTCAGCGTTATGATTCATATACCGAACCATGGCCACCTACCAATGAAGCCGAGTCTTCCTATTATAGGCTAGGACCACCAGCAGAGGAAGAGGGTGAAGAATCGTCACCTTTTAACGCTATCGTTGAGGATTTGCGCAACCGGATAATAGATTGGAAGGGCCACGCATTGTCTGGCCTCGGCCCCCTGCAAATGTATGACATGCTGTCCGTCCGTCGAGACGCCCTTGTGCGGGAGTTTTTCGTGTACCTCTTTAAGGAAGCCATCATTTGCGTTGTAGAGGAGAAAAAGCGGTCTCTTGGCCGATTCCTTTCGTCGCCGGCCTTCAACGATGCCTCGACTTCTATTTCAGGGTCAAGCAACCAGTCCAACAAAGGTGTCCTGCGCCTCAAGGGTCGCATTTATGTGCGACATATCAAGCGTATCACTGCGAGCACAAGCGGGGAAATGAGCCTTACCATTGAAATGGAAGATGAAAGACTGGACTCCTTCATCCTTGTCTTCAAAGATCGCTCTTCCATGGATGCGTGGAAGAGCCAGATCCAGGGCCTAGTAAACACCTTCCAAAATCAAGCATCGCCACCGCAGCAGCCCATTGACCGTGGCCTAGACATGGATGAGTTTGGGGATTCAGGAAAGGCTGCGCGGATGCTTAGTGGGAGCACTGCATCTACATCACCAAGTACAGTCGATAGTCTGCTCCAGGGCTCTTCACGCTCCACCATGTCCTCGTCGACCTCCCATGGTTCCACGCCGCAACCTCAATCTAGACAAATGCACAGCAAACTTCAGCCCCTTGGTGAGGACGATGTACTTTCGCACTACGATACGCATCCTTCGGGCTTTGTCACACCACATGTATCTGCTGGACCCTCCAATTCACTTGCTCCCCTCCCACATACGGCAATTGATCTCATTCTTATTGTGTCGCTCCCTCCACCGAGTGCTCCCCGCAGCACCGCGGCACTTAAGCTCCGCGTCATCAAGGCATCACTGGACTTTATTCTCGCTTCTCTCGGAACCAAGGACCGTTTGAGTTTTGTAACTTTTGAAGTGGGACCTGGCGGGCGTGTGCGCAAGACACCTTACCTCTGCGTTGGTAAGGCGCTCAGCCGAGCAAGGCTATCTAAGTTCATTGATGAAATCGGACGTCCGGATGAGGGACAAGATGACGAGTTCTTGGTGAGAGCATCCAAAGAGGAGAAGACGGACGTTGTGACTGCGGTTAACCATGGTTAGCGCTCACCTTTTCATTTTTACTTTCTGCTGACCATATGTCTTGAAGGTCTCGATGTTGTACTTCAGCGCAAAAATCGCAATCCTATCTCGGGGATGGTCCTAGTGAGCGATGCTGCTGATAGCACGAGACGTGCACAGATGGATCTCGTTCTTGCCCGTGCCGAAGCTGCAAACATGCCCATTCACTCGTTTGGCTATGGTCGCTCCCACGATCCTGCCTCGCTTTGGCTGATGTCGAACCACACCAGCGGGACATACACCTTTGTCAAGGATTGGTATGACCTCCGCGGCTGTCTTGCTGGCTGTATCGGCGGCTTGATGTCCATTGGCCTGCTTAACATGAAGCTGCACATGAAGATCGTCGACGGTCAGCGCTTCCGCATTCGCAAGGTCTCTGGTGGTCCTTCATCTATCCTCTCTACGGATGGCCACAACGTTGACATTGACGTTGGCGAGCTTCGCTATGGCGAATGCAAAGAGATGCTCATCGAGTGTGAGCTCGACAATACCGAGATTCGCCGTCCTTCTGCGCAGAACGGTAGTCGCGCGCTCAATGCCACAGATCAGTTCGTGCAGAGTATGGGTCTTGATTCTATGGCTATTGATGATGGTACTGATATCGTGGACGGCATGATGGACCGGATGATTGATGAGGTTCCGGTGTTCGAGGTTGACGGGTCCTTCTATGATCCCAGCGCGTCGAGACAAGTTTCGCGCCTCGCCCATCCCGTCCTCTTGACGATCACTCTCCTCCCTCAAGCTACCACTACCCCACCCAAGCCAGTCAAACCATCAGATTCAGAGATCGTCCGGCGCAGAATGGAACTTCTCGCATCTGACATGATCACGCGTGCTCTTGTCCTCGTTTCGAGGAAGAACTACCCTCAAGCACAGAAGATCATGAATGAGACCAAACGCATCTTGCACACTGTACTACAGAGCATATCCAAAACACTTCCTCCACCCAATACCGAAGGCACGACAATGCGTAATCGCAAGGATATCCTCACTCTTGCTGCAGTGCGTGCAATGCAAGCTATACTCCAAGACCTTCAGATTTTGGCGGAGGCTTTAGAAGAAAATGTCGAGCTGTTTGCACATGACCAGCGGAATTTTGGTGCACAGCAGGTGCGTGCATGTTTTTTTTTTTGAATATTTCACAAGAGGACTGACTATGGATCATCATTTTAGGCCATGATATTACGCGACCAGAAGAGCTGGAGTGGACGCAGCGCCACAGAACGCCTGTTCTGGACCATCGACAATTCCATAGAGCTGGTTTCTCGGAGTACCGATTGGGTGGCGCGCGACTGATACCCCGCCTGAGATATCATCTCTTTCTTTCTTCTTTTTTTTATTATGTCACTTGACTGGTTACCCTATCTCGTTTGTGTCCATGCTTTCTCGTTCTGTTATGCCAGCGTGGTTCCGACCTCATTACGTTCCTTCCATTGCGCCACCGTCCTTCCTTGACTATGTCCTTATATATCACCGAGCTCTGGATCCCCTTAATGTAATCCCCCTGCGGTCTCGTCTTTATGTCGAGACATGCGCTTTATGATTCCTCTCTGCCTCTGGATGTTCTAAATTTTTATTTTCGCGTGTTATTTACTTAACTGTGGCTTCTCATTATATATCCACGCCCGCTTCCCAGGCTGTTTTCTTTATTCTTGGCCCAAGAGGTGGGAGAGTAATGTAGTTGATTGATTACGTAGGAAAGAATGAAGCTTTTTCATCATCATTCTTCTGTTCATTATAAGGAGCATAAAGTACCATCAAAGCATGGTGGCAGGTTGCTGGTGTCTATTCATAACCTAGCCGTTGGCGCTCTTCGCGATCACGCTCGAGCTTTATGACTTTATTTTCGGTTTCGGTGAGGACATCGTCCCATGCCACGAAAAGTTCAGAAAGCGCGTCCACCTGAAAGACAGTAAGTCAGATTGGGAGAATTGGTTGAAGATATACGAACGAATACGCACATGAGTAGCATGTTTATCGACAAGGATCGCTATTCGCTTCTCTAACGACGCAGCTAATCTAATATCCTCCTGGTGCGCTAGCAAAAGCGCGTCCAACCGAGGCTGCAATGATTCATAGTCTAAAGACAATGAAAATGAGATCTTTGTCAGTAAGGGCTGTACGACAGACCTGCGAGCTTTCCAGCTGCTGTCACGCCTTTTTGTTCGAGCATTTCGATCTCGCGCATGTCCCGATCTGCAGCTCGTATCTCTGGTTCCATCTCCACCAGGAGCGCTTCTAGTTCTTCTGGGGACATGTTTTCGTATGTCGGGGCTGGCCCAGGAAGCACCCCTGACAGAGCGAATGCTGCACTTAGTAGATGGGCATGTAGGTCATCTAATAAGAATAGACGCGTCAGGAATGCGATGAGGGGACGTGTGTTTGATGAACTTACATTTACTCATGAACCTCTGAAGGCCGTCGTTGGATTGTATGACGTTGTCGAGACGCCGTTGCACGTCCTCGGCTAAGCGAATGAGGGTTTCACCGTGCTTGAGCTCTGGCAGTTTGTCCTTCCCTTTGCGATCCCGCGCATCCTGCCGCACGCCTAGAAGTAGTGCTTCTAGCCAGCGGAGTCTCAGCTCCAGCGATAGGAAGGGATCTATGACGGGAGGTGCGGTCGATGGTTCGAGTGGTGCTAAAGGCGTCGTAGCAGCCGTCGGCTGTTCAGCAGACAGCTCTGATTGAACGTCATCTAAAGGCTCCACAAGTTCCTCGATGGATTGCGAAGCAGATGCGACACTCATTTGATGACCAAGTTGGCCGGGCGGAGGAGATGACGGTGGAGGTGTGGAAGATATTATACGGTGTCGTTGGAAGTCTCCCAGGAATACACTCCCAATAGCTGACATGGATATTACAGAAGACCGTCAATCGTGAGATATTGCCGTTGTATCAACACTTCGTAGTAGATGTTGTTCGTTAACATTGGAATCTACTAGGTAGCCTACCAGAAAAGGGACCAGAAGGCCTCGTGCCTTTCTCCATGAAGCAGCGCGCACTAGTACTATATGTGATCAGTCTTTCCGGGGAGCGCCTGCAGCTTAGGTCCAGCCTGAGATTGGCCCATCTTCGCAACACGTAAGTAACAGTGTTCGAATTTCGAATGTCCAGTACATGTACTCACTAAATACATAGTAATATCATATATGCAGTTGCACAATTGTATCGTACAGATGATCAGAATAATAAATGAGACTTCCAGGCTGATGATACCTTATGTATATCAGCGATGGATTAGAATGATATGATAAATAGAGTGAGTTGATCAAATGTTCAGGTATGTATCAGATTATGGTAAGAAACAATGCTTGGCTTGGATATACCTATGCGAAGACTTGGACGACGCACCAAGGGATATAATACATCATTGTGTCACTGAAGATGAAGAAACCGTACTCCATACGTTTGCAGGGGAAATAGCTCGAGCTCCGCAACGATACGTTCTTTCGTAGATACTCTTCTGAATCGGCCATGACGATGTTCCAGCAGGATTGCAAAGAACTGGTTCTTGAGTCGTTGGCGAAGCAGCGGTATGGTAATGTGGGATACGTGCGAAGAGTCATAAGACAGTCGCGGATCCCATGTTCGTGCCAACAGATAACGGAATGAGGATTGGTGATCAGTTGTGAATGTCTGCAATCTCTCGGTGGTGACAAGACTGAATGGTTGGATGCCATCTGCACGACAATGGTATGATCCCGAGACCGGCGTAAAAAAAAGCGACAGTACTTCATGCACAAAGCACGGCACAGTGATGTGAATCTCAGGGTTAAGAATGTATGGCCTTGGAGGTTTCTCGAGCAGTTTGGCAAGGGGCATTATCTCGCTGTCTTCAAACGGAAAGCTTGTAGACCGTCTGAGCGAAAAAATGCTCTGACCGCTTGTGGACCTTGCAATGTGTACTGCGCCATCGTCACCAGACCCGTCAACGCTTGGCTCCGGACATGTTGTGCCATTCTGAAGACGAGAGGAGCTGAACATACAGCATGTAAGCACAAACACGTACTTCAATTAAAAAATCTTACTCTCTTGCCCTGCGGGTAGCCCTTTTGAACACATAGACGAGCTTTGCAGCTAGCGCAAAGCTCAAAACAGGGCGAGGAAGGCCACCGAAACACATTTCCATAATTGCAAAAGGAGTGTCCCTGAAACATTTTGGGGAGGAAGGAAGGCAACTATTCAGGGTCGAAGGCTGCCCGATCCAGTCGAGGAGAGTCGCATCTCCCGTGCGCTTCATTATCTCCATCAAAAGTCGAGAGAATGCATGATCCCCCTCTCCGTAGGTAACTGACATAGTGAATCCAAAGATTCCCATCAAGCAATACGCTTCATCTTCCTTCTCCTTGGTTACTCTATGACGAGCCCATCTGAGCTTCATTCGAGGGTGTTCGACACTTGGAGAATAGAACTTGAGGTAGCTTTTCTGTATCCCAGTTACGGATTCTAAAGCGACCAGGATCTCAGCAATGTTCTTGTGGTTGAATGTCGTGGATTGAGAAAACGGGGTCCAGTCCTTCTTGTAGAGACGGATGACTTTGGCGGCAAGCAGTTCCTGAAGAGTCCAGCCTCTCCGGAACCACTCACTCAGCAAAAGCGCCTGGTCGCTAGATTCCAAGACATCAGAAAGGTAGATGATTGTCAATGCCGACCCGCGATACCACGAGAACATGGAAGAGATGGACTTCTGTACTTCGGCACTGCTCCTCTGGTCAATGCAACAGGTGTCGATCCACGTCCAACGAAATCCACAACTGCGTGCCTTGTCACATAGATTACGAACTTTGTCGAATCTTGATGTAGAAAGTGTATAAACGCCCGCAAGAGGGATATCTCTGAAGCAAGGTTCGTCGCCCTCCCATCTGTGCGAGAGCATGGTATATGCAAAGAAGTTTTTGACCACTTCAAAGATGTACTTCTTTTGTTTCAGAGCAGACCTGGTGGTTGTGAGGGTGACGATCGACCGAAATGTAGGTGACTCTTCAAATTTCGTGATGAGAGCGGTGCGAGAATAGATTTTTCCGTCATCGGTATTCAGCAAGCGCAGGGGCATGTCGCGAAGTATTGAGTGTGCAATATCACGAATCGCCTGCTTGACTTGCTCTTCGCCCACGCTTCCGGGTAGGAGGTCGTCGTCTTCGTCACTCCGTGCGGTATAAAAACTCTGCGATTCAGTTTGTCTGTCAGGTCATGTATCATGTACAATAAATAAGGTTTACCTCCACAGAAGATTGTCCATCTGGGATCCGAAACATCTGTGGTGAACAAGGTTGTAGAAGTCAGTTGACAAAGAAAGCGGGTTAATAAGGAACTCGTAGATGGGAACATTTGATCATTCGATCCATACCTTTCGTAAGTTGGCAATGCCTTGTGATTCAGGCGCGCAGGAACATGTGGCGCCGGTAGCAGAGCCTTGAACCCTTAATATCGCCTGATAAGCTGATACCCTGCAAGAACTTGGGTTAACAGACACACTATTTTAGCTTTAAGCGCTCAAGCATTCGGCGCGTTCGAAGCTTTCAGATAAATCTCCAAGTCTACTCGTGAAAACCGGCATGAGTAAATTCACCTTATATTATGGTAGTCGGGGGAAGGTTCGGACTTTGATGCCCGGACTCTCCCCATCAAACGACAAACTTGTAGCATTACGTTGGGCAGGAGATCTTGAAGGTAATAGGGTTACCGGGTGGGCCGGCCGTGGCTCGAGCGCTCACGGCCTGTACCATGCGCATCGAATGTTATTCTTTGCATTTCCCTTTTCAAAGACACCTCAGGCTGGCTGCTGCATCATTTGTTTCGCGTAGCGTCGAAGTAATATGATAATAAATGCATAATGGCGTAGTACTCACTAGTATGAAGTCAGAATCACCGAAAAAGGTTGTGTCTTGGGTCACTTCTCGGGCTAGGCAGGTGGGATACCATGGTGACTTGAAGGGGTCGCTTTCAAGGCTTGACCACTTACTACACTGCCTGAGCCGCCAAATATTATGAGAGTCCGTGACAGATCATTACTCAAATTGAGGGACTCGAAAATCCGAGTCAATACACTCACAAATAGCTAGTAGGTCTCGGGATAACTATAAGCTTTACCTCAACTTTACCCCCTTACCCAACTACGTGACAACCGAAAATCTCAAACGTATCAACTGATGTTCCCCAAGTTGTGGAGTCTATATACTGCAGATTCTTTTGCCTGCGAACTAATGGTAACCGCAGAGACTCCCCCCTCAAACTCGAGAGCTCAAACAGAGATTGACAATGAGCTTGAGGCGCTTGAGGAGAGAATGCGAGCTCTTCGGACTCGCCGAAATAATTTCTCTCCCATATCCTCCATTCCTCCAGAGATTCTTGGTGCTATTTTCGTTCATCATGTTCAGCAGACGCAGTCATGTTATCCTCTTGACAACCGCTTTGTTCTTTTATGGCTTAAAGTCGGACATATTTGTCACCACTGGCGCGAGGTTGCTCTGGGGACACCAGAGCTATGGGCCACTCCGTTTCTAAACTCCTCACGGGTCACGGAGGAGATGCTCATGAGATCTAAAATGGCACCATTCAAGTTAAACTTGAGACGCGGCCTGGAATATCGTATGGAAGCTGTCCAAATGGTGTTGATGAACATAGAGCGTTTGCAAGAGGTCTCTTTCCCGTTCTTGAATGATGGTACGACGCGCTGTATTGATGGAATTCCTTGACAAGGTATCATCATATTCTGCTCCCAAATTACGATCGCTTCTTTTGGAAGCAGGGTCTAGTCAAACACCACGGATAGCAATCCCGACTTCTTTTCTCGCGCCAAACCTTCGCAGCCTTCAAATCAAGTATTGTGACATATCATGGTCATCTTCAATCCTTACAGGACTCACTGTCCTTAGTATCGAAAAATTATCACCGGAATATCTTCCGACTTTAGACGAGTTGATCTCTGCGCTCCGTCGTATGCCTGCTCTGCACACTCTCGAGTTAGACGATGCTCTCCCGACCCTTCCCCCAAAAACGACGTCACTCCCTTGCGCACCTCGTGTCCTGAATGTTCGACTTCCTCACTTGAAGCGATTACGTTTGATCGCGAAAGTTTTGGAAGTGGCCAACGTGTTGGCTTGCGTAGAGTTACCTAACTCAACAATGTTGAACGTTCAACTCAAATGCAGAGTGTCTTCATCTATGAATCCGGATCAAGAATGGAATTTGTGCCTCCCCATCATCTCCCATGTCTTGGAAAATTGCTTCAAAGCTATTCCAGCTGAGTCTTGCCGAGTTCCGCGTTTCCTGCGATTGGTTGCCATTTCTTCCACAATTCATATGCAATATAGGACAGCCTGGAACCCTTCTTCGTGGGTTGGGCCACTGACTGATATTTGTCTGGATTCGGAGTGGGCGGCGGAATACCCCGTCGTTCTTGACTTCGGCTTTCCAAGTGAAATAAGTACGACAATTCTTAGCGACTTATGGCAGCTCGTCCCTTTTAGGAGTCTCGAAGCCTTGTGGATCGAAGGTTTCTTCGCTTGTTGGGATGGTTTCTGGACTAATTTTCTTGGCCGCGGCGCCGCTCGCAATCTTGAATACATCTACTTGCGAGGAACACTCAAAGCTCTTGAAGATCTTCTCGTATCCTTGCGCTCACAGAAGCACAGCATAGCGCGGTCTATAGGCGGGCGATCACAAGAAACACAAATTTTTGCCCCAGCACTCTCCCATCTTGCCCTTGACCGCATGGAGTTCGACCCCTCCTTTTCGTCCTTTACGCGGACCACTGACCTCCTTGATGTGCTCGTCGATCGTGTCAACGAAGGTCGGGGACTAGACCATCTTACGATCACTAGATGTACGGGTATCAGTGCCCACGACGTGCGGTTGTTGCAGGAAGTGGTAGCCGACATCGACTGGGATGGATATGAAAGATTCTATGAAGACGACTATGACTCATTCGAAGATGGGAATGAGGACGATCACGGTTTCTACAGTGATGGATACGATTCAGCCGTTTCGTAGCTAGGACTTATCCTTACGCCGTGATACTTCCTACGCGAATCACGTTCGCTTCAATAACAAACATACGTAGGTACTGTATACACTCGGTACGCAATGTATTTTTTAACAGTGGGTGTCATTTCTCGTACTTGCTATGTATGACAATATATTCTGCAAATACACATCTATTCATGCATTGTCATATATCTCATGATTAAGTCATAAACGTTTGAACACCATAAATACTTTCAGCATACCCCAGCTCTAAGACAGTTGTCATAAAATCGTGTTCAACGCGCTTCGCACATCTTTCGTGTCACTGAGGTCTGCAAGAAGGGGGCATATGTCTATCAGTTCGGTATCGTGAGGATCGTTAAACCATGAGGATATAGTACACCGCCAATCGTCAATTTCGCACGTTGAATATTTGACGAAAAATAGTTTGAACGTGTACTATAGAATCTTAGACTCTTAGTGATGCATTTCTGAATATGTCCGTAGAGATTTTCTGACTGTGTCCCAGGTGTTAAGTTAAGAAAAGGATGTAAACATAGTATGAACACACCACGCCGCAAGAACGGAGTTAGTAGAAGGACAGCCCTGGCCCAGCCTGGAACTCGCACTGGTTAACGTACTGCAATGCATACTGATAGCTGTACCAGCTATCGATGATGTACAGGAATCATAACAATATTGTCAGCAATGACATGCAGGTACTGTTCCAAACATCACAAAGGGATGACTGCTTTTTTCATAGTATCATGATGGTCCGATAGTACAGTCTCTAAGTAATAAATATTAACTTGAATACAATAGTTATTACGCTCCATCGCCAATTGCAAAAAAGACTAGGTATACACTCATACAACCAAACGTTCTAAATTCCCGTCTTACTCAAACACTATCCGACATCTCCATCGAAAGCTGGCTATACCCTTCATTCACCCTCCGCCTTCTCACCAATCCCTTCACCGAGTCCCACATATCATCCAACAAATTCATCCCGCTGTCAAACAATGTCTCTCCGGGTACCATCTCCCCGGGCATCACGCTCGATATCGGCCGTCGCCACCATCGCAGCATCAGGGAGCTCGTCACCACGCTTACCGATGAGAACGCCATTGCGGCACCTGCCAGCATCGGATGCATATACAGCCCAAGGGGTAGGAACACGCCCATCGCAAGCGGAATCCCAAGTACATTGTAGATACATGCCCAGACAAGATTTCGTCGGATCGTCGAGAAGATGCTGCGTGAAAGGTGTAGCGCAGCGACGACATCGAGGAGATCAGAACGCATGAGAACAATGTCGGCAGCTTCCACAGCTACAGAGGTCCCTGAGGAGAGGGCGATGCCGACTGTGGCAGCCACAAGGGCGGGTGAGTCATTGATGCCATCACCGACCTGAAAAGATAAGATGCACAGGTCAGGCTTATCGCATCCGAGCAAAGAAGAAACACATGCCATTGCAACACCGCCATTGTCTTGCTTCATGAGATCTGTAACAAGGGACGCCTTGCCTTTTGGACTCATGTTGGCCCAAACGCCATCGGACTTGATCCCCACTTGTTTGGCAACCGCCAAAGCCGTGACCATCCCATCACCCGTCATCATGTTCACCTCTATGCCCATGCTCTGTAGTGCCTTGACTGCCTGCGCAGACGAAGGCTTGGGGGCGTCCGACAAAGAAACTGCAAGTAGAGGCAATGGGGCAGAAGATGTCCGGGACGAAGAGACGAAGATCACGGTGCGACCGAGTTTGGTTTCTTGAGCCTCGTAATTCGTCAAAACGGAAGGCAGCTGTACAAGGTTGGATTGCGAGACGAAACGCGCATTTCCGATGTATAAAGTATGGTTGGAATGGGATGATGAGATAGAAGCTTTCACACCGGCGCCAGTGACGCTCTCGAAAGACTTGATTTCCAATGCTGGTGATGGGATATCGGTACTGGCAAGCAGACTCTTGCCATGAACGGCGATGGCTTTTGCCAGAGGATGCTCGGACTTGCCCTCTGTTGCAGCAACCATTGCTATAATAGTTGCACGCGTAGTAGTGCCGTCGGCGCATTTGAATGACAAAGATTGAGGGCCAACGTTATCATCAGGTAAGAGTTCGGAGGAATTGTGCGGGGGCATCCATTTCATACCCACAACAGTGAGTTTCCCCTGCGTTACGGTGCCTGTTTTGTCCAGCACAATCCGTTTGATCAGCCGGCTAGCTTCAAGCGCCCTGCCCCCCTTGATAAAGATCTGATTCTTTGCACCCACGCCCGTGCCAACCATGATGGCAGTCGGCGTACTCAGTCCAAGAGCACACGGGCATGCGACCACCACCACTGATATGCACATTTGCAAACAAATTGCGAGCCGGCTCGCGCCATGACGGTGGAACATGGCTGGAAGTTTATCCTCACTAATGACATGTGAGACCACCATCCACGTAGCGAATGTGAATACTGCGAGGGAGATGACGGCGGGAACAAAGAAGCCTGCAACACGGTCCGCAAATGCCTGAACTGGTGCTTTGGACGTCTGTGCCTCTTCGACGAGTTTGACGATTTGTGCAAGCGCTGTATCTTTGCCTGAACGGTTCACGAGCATGTCGAAAGTCCCAAGGCCATTAACAGTACCCCCAATGACGCTATCTCCAGGTTGTTTCAACGCTGGAACCGGTTCGCCAGTGACGGCGCTTTCATCTACGGTTGACGATCCTCGGATAACCGTCCCGTCAGCGGGCACTTTGTCTCCAGGAACAAGTTTGACGGTATCCCCCACTTGCACCAGTTCTGTAGGAATGCGTTTCTCTTGCGTACATGTGGGAGAATCGGTGTAGATTGTGGCCATGGTTGGGGCGAGGGCCATGAGATCTGTTAGAGCAGCACTTGTCTTCCCCTTTGCACGGTTCTCGAGATAACGCCCGAGGGATACGAACATGATGAGCATAGTACTCGTGTCGAAGAAAATGAAAGGACGGTAGTCAGGCGTGGTATTGAAGGCCGCGAAGATTAAGGCAAATAACGAATAAAAATAAGCTGCAGAGGTTCCAATCATAACCAAAACGTCCATGGTTGCGGTACCATGTTTAAGTGCTTTGAACGCATTCCGATGAAACTTCTGACCGACCCAGAATTGCGCAGGAGTCGTAAGGCCGAGAAGAATAAGATCACCGAGATAGATTCCGTTGAATAGGTGAAAACCGACGAGGGGTCGGAGGAATGGTATATGCATCGCGATCATACTGATGAAGAATACTGGCACAGCGAATGCGAGCGCCCATTTGAAGCGGCTGGCCCACTCTTGGATCTCTTTGGTTCGGGCAAGTGATTGTTTTTGCGTAGCATCCTCTTGGTCTGACAATATTGCATCGAAACCCATGTCTTCTATTCGTTCGACCATTTCCCGAGGGCCAACGAGACTTGGTTCAAATTCTATCTTGGCTGTCTCGGTCGTGAGTGAGACTGCAACACTAGTCACCCCTGGCATCCCACGCAGCCCAGATTCTACAGCCGACGTGCACGAACCACATGTCATGCCATATATCCGCAGTATAATCATATCAGACCGCGCTATTGGTATTTCAGTGGCATCAAAACCTATGTCTGAAATTTCCTGCTCGTAATGATTAGCATGTGCATGATGTGTCAGCGACGGACTAACATTGACAATACTCTCTGGTGTCCATACTGAGGGGTCATACTCGACCACACCTCTTTCGGCAAGGAGTGCAACTTTGACGGAATGTATGCCGGCTTGCGATCTAAGCATGCCTTCGATCGACTACGACGAATGAGTACATGTATAATACATCGGTATGAGACGGACTTACCTCTACACATGCACCACATGTCATGCCCTCTATCCGCAGCTCACATTTCCCTAAGCCATCGCTGCTTTCCGCCTTGGCGTCTGCCAGCAATCCATCATCCACGAGGGGAAGTTCGATATTTCCATGAGCTACGAGGTTCGTCCTTTCGAAGACGCTCGACACGATTCCAGATATGGACATGCTTCAGATAGCCACCCAGGAGCAGAAACACTTATATATGCAACGCCTGGTGCGCTATGCCAGGCTGGTTCGGGAACCGTTCTCGATTGATGTTCGTGGTGTTTCGGAGAAGAGAAAGTAAGCGCCAGCACTACGGATAGCGGTGATATTATTTATAGGCCAGCTTTGAGATCAAGTCAACGGGCGGAGGAAGGCTTCGTAAATGGGCTGTTGCTTAGTAAGGAGCACATAGCTCTAAATACTACCTTACGTCATCATTCCAACGGACTCGGAGGCCGCTCTTATCCGACGGTGCCTTCCAGGTGAAAATGAACTGTTCCCCGATAACAATCGCGGACTTAAGTTGGGAGTTCCCAAGTCCCTCGGTGGTGTCAAACACAGCTCCCGTGCTGATTCCAGCAAGCTGTTTTTCGGTTGCAAGTTTCGTGGGATCCTTTCAGCTGTCCGGTGTCGATTCGAAATAATGGCTCATTTTCTAGCTGCCAGCATTCATGCACGTTCTGCTCAGTCCCATTGTCATCACTTCCTGTTTCGTGTTCTTTTCGACACCAGTACTGCCGCTTTGGTGCCAAGCCATGACTCGGAATCATGTGGTTCATGATCCCTCAAAACATATAGCGACGACTGCGTGACCATGGTCTTGCGTCTCTAACACGCAAAATGGAACCATCTAACTTGTCTATTTTTGCAACTCCTGCTCTTCATCAAACGGGACCCATACAGTGCGCCATCGATCGATAGCCATGACGGTGCGTGGTAGAGTTGTTGTATATTCGGATCTGTGAGAGCTAGCTGAAGTCGCTAGATTGAACATTCTACCGAGGGGAGCAACCGACTATTCCATTTTCCCAGTAGTCTGCCTAGATCAGCAAGACTGTCCTAGAATTCAGACATCGATTTGGACTAAAGACGAGCCGCACGAAGCCGAGAATCTCCACGCTTTATACGACGTGACCACAAGAACACGCGACGTATGACAGTCGAAGTATATCCGCAAAACGGTACATGTTATCACTTGCTATGACCCTCAAACCCTACTTCCGTCAGAAGCAACAACACGTTTCAGGAGAAGTTGTTGGTAGTTCTCCCACGTAGTAATGAGCTGTAACAGTATTGAGGTGTCCATTTGGGAGCATCATATTGTAGCACATACCTCTTTCTGTCTTGATATCATCCCGTCAAGGAAAGATTGCAGAGATATTTTGAAATCATCCACACGCTCCTGCTCAAATCTTGCCATTTCAGATTTGATCAGCTTTGAGCACTGATCAAACTCGTGTTTGGCGTCCAGAGCTCGACGTTCAGCCTAACCAACCGTAAGAATGTATAGGAAACAAAAATAAAAATAGATGATCACACCTCTGATATCTGGCTAACGGTGTGGCTCATCCGATCCGTAGGCAGACGACCTTGAACTCGAAGTCGTTCGTGATTTTGTTTAACACGGCGGACGTCAGAATCAGCATGTTGCCATGCAGTGTATGTTCGCATGCGAGAGTTGAAGGCCATCTAGAAAACAGAGTCAGATGGAACAACGTATGAAGGACATTAGACAACCTACTCGAACAGAGTTGATCAATCGTGAATATTCGTCCGCTAAAGACCAATTGATTATCGCTAGAAAGGTAAAATAGTGGACTTACCAGTAGCTAAAAGGGTCATTATGTCCTGTTGCGACTGAATGGTCTGAACTTCCTCAGCCTTGCGCTGGACGTCAGCCATGGCAGCCAAAAATTGCTCCAGTTGCTTTCCTGTGTCTGAGAGTGACAGATCAGTGATCGCAGCGGCGAACTCCCCAGTTGCAGCAGCCAATTCTGCAAGGCAATATTCAAACAATGTACCAGCAGTGTATCAAAAGCCAGAGACACACCAGCTCGTTGCTTCGCAACAATTTCTATTGACTTCACTAATCCACGTAGCTGTGATTCAAGACCATCCAAATATGCACGCTGTCTATCAAACCACTGCAGGAATGTGAAGTCAACATGTGTCGTGATAAACAGGCTTCATGACGAACCTCATCGGTTTCATGAAACCGTGGACCCGTTAAGGTTTGGCCGATAGATGCCATGAGTCCTCCCCTTTCGTGCGAAAGTTCAGCTTTCCTGTGTTTTATCTGTGTGTCGCTCAAGCCAAGGAAAATTAAGTAGCAGGATCGCATAACGCACGTCTAAGGAGAAAGTGTCACTTTCGAGGAAAAGCTTGAGATCGGGGTCCTTTGCTAGCACTGGGTGATTGACAATCTTTTGGATACATTTCTCGAGAGCCAGTCGTCGCTGTTGTACAAATGTCTGATCGAAACGTCCAAATGGACTTTTCTCTGGTACGGGAGGGACAATGACACCAGGATTGTTCATTGAAAGGGTTTCGTAGAGCCATAAGAAGTCTGAATACCGACGTAGCACAGAAAATGTCGACTTCTGGAAAAGCGGAGAGGTCGTCTAGGAGGCTCCTCAGTGATCTTGTCGGCAGCACGAAACAAAAATAGCTTACCCGTGTATGTACGGTATACATGGTGAACGCCCGAATGGGGTCACCCACGCGCTGAGGATCATCGACCGAGATGACGAAGATAGGAGCTGATGAATCGCTTCTGCTCCCAGCTGAAGTTGCTAGCTGTTGCACAATAGATACAATAGTTCGTAATCCATTTTGGGGACACTCACCTGGGGAGAGTTAATCCTATCTATGCCCTTGAATTTGGCAGATTGGCCAATCGGCCTGTCATCATCATCTTCCTCATCGGCTGAGGTATTTACGGCAGGCAAATGGACAGGTGGCAATGAATTATTCGCTCCCCAGTCAGACTGCCAACCTCTCTGAGATTCCGCTTCCAATGCGACGCTTGCAAATGCTTGATCAGCTACTGGAGAGAAACTTCGTTCCAGTGGCGAGATAAGAGCACGCTCTGGGCTGTCGAAAGGTGCGGCAATTTTGGTAGAAGAGATAGCTGTAGCAAGGGATGGGGATAACTCCTGGTGAGGTGGTGTTACTGCTCTGACCGGCTTCTCGTCATGAAAAACGGGCGATTCTAATGTAGGTTCGGAGACGGTCGTTGTATGCTCTTCCGCGCTAGATGCGTACGTGCTGAAGCCAGGTGTACGTAGGGAAGTAGCATCTGTCGGCGCTGTGCTGTGTTCATCATCATGGTCCCCAGCAGTCACTGCAGCCGCATCTAGTGGGTCAGCTGCAATCAGGCTGTTCTGGTCGCTGTGCCCGTGGTCGCCCGTTACATATGACGCAGTCGTAGGTGTTACACTAGTACTGCGTACTGGCTCATCTTCGAAGCCGGTCTTGTAATAGTCGATATCATGATGCGTTAGCCTTGGCTCGGAATGGGAGAAGCTAGACCATGGGTCTGGTGAAGCAGAACGTTTAGCGAATGGGTCTTCGAATGGATTTTCTTCGAGGACGTTCCGAGAGGGTGTGAGAAGGTCGTCAAAACCGTCCATGGAATGAAATGTGAAGGGCTGAATACAGTGGGTGACGGACTTTGGAGCGAGTATAATATTGATATAGTAGTACTTGATTAAATTTCAGCGCTAGTAAAACGAGTACCAAGCGTGTAATTACACAAAGTCTAGTACATGCATACAACGTCAAGATATATCCACCTATAAGGCCCTGCCCAACGGACAATGAACACAGATTTAAATATCCACATCATCATAAGTGTCCTACTCGTATGGCATCTCCTCAACAGCATTTCCAAGAGATACCCAATTAGCAAGTACATTACTGGCGAAAGCTTGCTCATCATGAGCCAGATTCTGCACCAACTTGCTGAGCAAAGTATTCTCCTTATTATGCAGTACCACACGAAGTTCATGCCACATGCTAGAGAGCGTTAACCATAAAGAAATGGCAGTCGTAAAACACTCACGAAGCACGAATAAATACTCTTCGGTTTAAGAGTGTAGCAATCGTCGCTTGGTCTTTCTCTATTAGACCAAGAATTCGGTCGGCGTCATCCTGCCAGCCGTCCTTCGAAGCAGCCTTTATACCTTCGAGTTTCATCGAATTTGAATCAACTCGTTTTTTCAACCGGTCGACATTATCGACAGATAGACGGTCGCGGCGGATAAACAGATCTCGCATCGCAATATACAGATCCCTTTGACTCTACATCATCGAGAATAAACGCAACAACAACCAGCTGGCGATTCGCTTACCTTCAGCGCCTCCAACGTTGAGTAGAGCAATGCATTCGTCTGAAGTGAGATGTTTGATAAGCAGAGAAACTAGATAGCGCAATACACTGACTCGTTGTTCCAGCAAATCAGATTGCCGTTGTGTATGGGAAGCAACGTGTACCACCCCTTGTCGCACGCCATCACATAATTCGCACTCGTCCCCCCTCCAACACCGTTCGTTCACTTCAACGACGGCCCTCAGCGCATTGGTCAGTCGCGCCAGGTCCGCCTGATCATCCGATTCAGGGTCGTCGGAGCGTGCAGTGCGCAATGACAAAGTTGACAAAGAAGCAGCCAACGACGTCGTCGATGAAGCGGGTCCAGGTATATCATGATTGTGGACATCCAAAGAAGAACGATGAGGGGATAAGTGAGGGAAAGTGAAGTGAGCTGGTAAATAGTTGCGCCTAAGACTTGAAGGGATCCGTACCGCAGCTGATTCGCGTCTCTTTATTATACGTTCTGCCAATACGCATATTCTCTGCCATTGCTCTATTAATGGACCGATCTTCCCCCGCACAAAACTTCAAACCCTTCAGTGAATGGTTGAGATAATGAATGTGTTGCACATACGCAAGCTTGTCTTCGAGGTCACTTGGGACAGTGATTTCTTCTATCCTATCAACATGTTTGCTAGCGGATTCTTCTTCCAGAGATACGGCAGTGTGCTTCCGCCAGTTCTCGAAGGATGGTTCCGAAAGGAATGCCGCAAGGAGACCGTCCTCCTTTATCACCGGATGGTTTCTAAAAAACTTTCAATCAAGTATACCAGATGAGAGTGGTAGTCACATACATCACAGCATTCAGAAACCTCGCAAGACCTTTCCTGTTACAAACAGTTCAGATGTCCTGACTAGCAAGTACCATATTTCACACCTTCGTTGCTCAATAAACACAGCGTCGGCTTCAATACACATGAGAATCAAACCAAAGATTGAAAAACACAGGGCTCACGCTGCACACGCTTGGGCGGAAGGGGAGGTAACAGACGGAAGGGGTATCGTCGCACCAAGCAGTCCCATAAAAATGTAAACTCTGAATACCGACGATGAACAGGTGCGCCGTGCTAGGTATCATATAACATCAGTGTATTGGAAGGAGATAGATGAATGTGCTCTCACTTCGGTGATAATCTCGTACACCGTATACCGATTCAGGATGAACCCTTGCTGCCCTTGGACAGTCACATCCACAGTTTCTTGTATCTTCCACCACTCCCCCGGCAACCCAGACCCCGCCAAACTTGATGCAGCTCCGCCATTGATAGTCGTCGCACTGCGAGGGGCAGCGAAGTCAGACCCTCCCCCATTACTTCCAAACCGAGATACACTCCACGGGTCCAGAGTAGCCTGCCTGTAGGTTGTGTATGGAGAAGAGAGCGCCGAGGTGCTCGGTTGTAAGGTATCAAGGTGGAGAAATGGTTCGGGTAAACTGTCTTCTGCAGCACGGGCAGCGACTTGTTCCACGCTGATGTCTACCCGAGCCCGGTTATATTATTGATGTAACTCATGGTTGAATAAATGAATCGCGCACCTTTACCGGACTGAGCAAGAGCCAATAATGCCAGAGCCACGAAGAATTCCAGCTTAGACACCCTCGGCCGAGAGCTTACAAGGTTCACGATCTGCCATGGGATGAGCATCATCTGCCCTACCACTAACCATGCATCACTCACTTTGTCTACGGTCGTCGCAGGCAATCCAGACGTCGATAAAACACGAGACAGTGCATTTACGGACGTCTCTCCAGAGTTTGTTGTATCTACGACCGCAAATGCCCTGTAATATGATTCTGGGACAGTCGCTTCCGCTGTCCACCATCACTGGTCAGCTGCAGCCATAAAGCTTTTATTTCAATTCGCACCTAATACCGAGCTAAGAGCAGACGTCGCACTCGGTATGGGTTGCGGGGAAGGTGATGGCGCAGCACTCCACGGATCGTCATAAATTGAGGCAGCCAACGGATTCTCGTCGACGAAACTGCCTCCAAGACCATTGACAGGTGCGGAAGCATATCGTTGGGCTGGCCGCGGTGCGTTGAACATATTGGCTGTGGCAAATTGAAGGTGATCGTAATGCGGACTCAACAATTAAGTGTATGAATGAATGAACTAAGAATCTCAAGCGGTTAAGGTCACCAAACAAGGCTGCCAGTGCCACATGTTTGCAGCACTGATCAACTTTGGACCAACTGATTGGAATTTCCAACTGGTCCAGGCGGAAGCTAACTACGATCCATGCGCGTACTACATCTAACGTATCCACTGGCAGCTCGCCAGCACAGGCGACGTCCACGAGCAGTTAGAAGACAAAAGCTATCGACTAACATCCTATCTTCTTTCGTCCGAGCCGGGTCAGAGCCCGCAAATTTCGCATGATCAAAAGGCCCAACATAGGTATATATACCAAGCAGTCCTCAATCGAACTATGCGGCAAGCCAAATAGATTATCATCTACTATGTACAAAATCCCGTCGTGCATGTCACCCCATTCAATTATCCCCGAGTTTATCTCACGATACTTCAGCGATCTCCTTCGCTGCGAAGTGCAACGTCCACGATGACAACAAACGCTTCGCATTGACAGTCTCTCCATCAAGCCTGAATGACATATTAGTGACGGTCAGTTGCAAGAACTCAAATCAGCACTTACCCAGGCGTACCATATGTCAATGGCGACATGTATAGGAACATTAAGAACAAGATGAATGTGAATACGCCCACCACCACAGGCCCTTTCATACCGAGATCAGCATACTCCGATTTGCGCAGTTTCGTCCAACGTCCTACGATACTAATCGGGTAATTGACCGTATCCGAAAGGATGAAGCTTAGAACAGAACCGGCAAGGAGTGCGGACGCAAGATGCGATGGGAGATAGTGGTGGATGAAAAGCTGTCGATTCATGATGAAGAAAGGAAGGTAGTGTACAGCCCATATCAGAAGGAAGAACCCAGCAGAATTCCATAGGCGACCACGGGCAGCTAAACCAAAAGTTAATTTATTATTCCCTCAAAGCAAGTGCCCACCGACCGTCAGGAATGGGTTCAATGCCACGACGACGGGCAAGCAGATCAGCACCCATGATACCAACATAGATGGACAGTGCGATAACGCATGTCCACCAACCAACGATGTTACCAATAAGATAAATCTGTTTTTGAGTGTCATTTTCTGTCCAGAAACTGATCCCGCTGATGAGGAAAGGCCAGTTGATCGGACCACTAGCATAGGGATGTGATGAAGTGAGTCCCGCATTGTGCTGGAGCATCAACAACTGCAGCTCAGCAAACTTCCTGAAGAAGCCGATTTTCTTAGGTTCCTTCGGGACTTGTTCGCCAGAGAGACCTTCAGGACCTAATTAAAGGGTCATTATAATCAAATACACCTCGTGAAGAAATCTACCAACTTTCAGTCGAAATTACTTGGTCGACAAACCAAGTAGCGCTCTTCTCCGTGGGGTTCTTGTTACCGTTGATCTCTTGTTGCTTGAAAGCCCATTCCGGCAACTGTTTGGAATGGGTCCACATCGACACCCTGGTGGGACCATGAACAAGCCTGAAGTGGCTCGATTTGCTCTTCCATGGATCGTCAGATTCGGCGTCAATAATGTTCAAGTAGAACAAGGTATCATTGTGTCGTGAGTGATCATCCTTGGGCCATGTAGTGAATTCCTGGTTTGTTGGCATAAGCGGAGAAGCGACGTCATGGGTAAGTAAGAGTGTTTGTGTGTTGACGTGCAAAAGTTGGATGACATCTTCGTGGCGGACCACGCGACCGCGACCGGTCTCAGGAAGCGCTTTTGTGGGGATGATCTGCCAGTGATTATTGACATCATCATACCCATAGCCAGTGACCTGTTGTCCTTGACTACTGATGCGACCATCATCGTACTGCAAAGGGTAGCGGTCGGGATGCGAGTGCAAGTAAACCTTTGTATCCTTGTGCTTCATAGTGACAACGTCGAAGTAACGAAGCTCTGCAAATTGTACATTGAGTTGAAAGGAAAACTCGATGCAGGTTGCTCCATACCTTGGCTGTTCATCAACAGTTCATTGCCAATGAGAGTCTCCTGGAATGCGGGGCTCATGAACGTGTCACCAGTTCCAGAACGCGTAAGGACGGCAAAATGCACGTAGAAGAATGATAGGTAGATGATGAAGGGGACGACGATCAGGCCTACTGCTCTTGCCATGAAGTGCTTCCAGAAATGTTCCTTGAGATAGCGGTTAGGGACATGCGCAAGACATTGGGGATATGGAGCCTACCATTGTAAAACCTTTCTTATGGTCCAATATATCCCACAGGTCAACTAAAACAGCGATGCCAATAGTGGCTACAGTCAGGATACCGTTTACTTTCGCGCCCCAGGTGCAAGCCATGAAGAAGCCAGTAGCGATCAGCCAGCTCCACCATTCAACGGTGAATTCCCTAGGATAAAGAACGTGTCAAATCACGATATCTCAGAAAACAGTCATAGCGAACCAGTAGCGGAGTTTGCGGAATCGGACGTATGAATAGATCGTAAGTGACATGAAGAAGATCAATGTCGCGTCCAAGAGAATTAACCGTGACTGCGCAATGTGAGCGTTATCTATGGAGCCGTGTTAGACAGACAGCAAGTTCACTGAGCTTGCGCTTACCAAAAAGGATGATACAAGCAGAAAATGCAGCGATGATAGTAGAGTAACCAGTTTCCTTCATTATCGCGTAAACCACAGGGATCGTAAGACTTCCAAGAATCGCGGGTAAAGCACGCATGCCAACATATGGTACATGATTATCAGTGTAGCTATCCCCGATGTTCTCGAATGTGAAATGACCGTCGAACCCGACAAACCAGCCAGCGAATCCAAATAATAGTTTTGCGAATGGGGGGTGCACGTCGAAATAATACTCGCGAGTGATATAAAAGGAGGCAAACTTCCCAAAGTGCACTTCATCAAAACTGTGTGCATGTCAGGCTAGAGACCAGAACTGGTGATTATAAGTTGGCGCTTACACAACTTGATCTGGTTGGTTTATTTTGTAGAAACGAAGCGCAAATGCTATCGCCGTGAGCACACCAACCATGGCAGCACTTGCTCTCGGAGTATCTAAGACCTGTTCGAATGCACTGCGGGAGTTCTATATAACGAGAAAGGGTTGGAGATTGAAAACTGAAACAGCGAGCAACATACAGGACTTTGGTATGTAGCGTGTACGTGGTCATCGTCATCCTGCTCGTAGTTGACAACGGTTGAAGCAGGGGTGACCTTTATTCTCTGACGTGGTCTTGAAGGACTCGCCATCACGGTGGAAGGTTGAAAGGTTGACGCGGACGTCTTGATTGTCAACGTTAACGTGAAGAGTCTCTAAGTTGTTGTTGGCAGCATAGCCACAGTTGTCACGTGTACATCCGCATTAGTTAGGCATAAACTAAAAGCTACATTTGAAATTCTTCTGCCAATCAATTATCAGTACTTGGACTTAGCTTGACCAATGACTTTGACAATTGGACTTGCAAGTACCATACAGTTGCTATACAGGTCGACGGATTTGTAAATTTTCGAGTTATGTCTCGACGGACTCATCCAACTCTTCGGATTCCATTGTTTTCCGTCAATCTCCGTGCGAGGGCCTCTGTCTGGTTTTCACTGGGAGTAACTTCGTGCTCAATACTGGTCTTCCTGATTCAGATGATTGCATATATCACTAGAAGACGGAATGCTGCAATACATACTACCACCAGTTCTCTGATTGTATTCGGAAATTTCGTTTGACCTGTTTATTGGACAACAGCATTACATAATAATCACTTGTCTTACTCAAGTTTGACCACGCATCTATGCTCGCTGCGAGCGTCCAACCAGCTCCAAAAGCAAATCTTCTATCCGTTTCTGCCGCTCCTCCATACGATTCATACGCTCGAACCATCGAACCATACTTCTGTCCTCAAAACTGTCTTCCTCGGCGTCTTCAGCAGTTTCCGGTTGGGTGCTCTGCTGTGGGCTGGCAGAGAGAGATCCTGGACCATAGAAGATTTCGGGACGCGTATTAATAACGGGCCGCGGAGATTTGCGCTGAGCGATAGGTATTGGATCGGGACGCCTCGCAGATTGCATTGACGCCAGCCTGCGGCTGGCCGGGCCATAGCTAATGAGGGGTGCTGGAGTGGGCTGCGGAGTTTCATCCTTGGGGTCATCATCGACATTGTCCATTATTAAAGGCTGGAAGACCTGTGCAAGTGGACTGATGCTTTGCGTTATTTCGGCGCGACTTATTTGTGAGTTGACACGTCGACGAATAACAGAAACATCAGATGGCTGTGATGCCTGGTGTGATAGAGGTCCGGACTGTTGTGGCAACGGCGGCCGAGCGTGTGTTGATGTCAGTTCAGGTTGTGATCGAGGCGGAGGTTGTAGTTGGGATTCCTTGAAAAAGCGAGTAGGACGAAATGAAGTCTGGTGGTCTGACTTGCGAGATGGACGTCGTTGAGCCATGGCGCCTACTGGAGGAAGTTCGCCATAATCCCGGGTATCCAATGCGCTATTGTCCATTTCTTCCACTTCAAAGATCTGACAAAAAACATCAGATAAGCCCCACATGGCCGAAGAAAGCTCCCTTACGGTGTCAATTGTACTCCCTGAACCCACCAGTCCCTCGAAGAACGCTGCAATGATGCTCAGGTTTGAAAAGAGATGTAACTTGTCTATAAAAATCAACGGGACTTACACATCCGCTTCAAGGGACGTGGCAACGTATCCAAAACCTTCTCCGCCACAGAAGTGATAGTTTCATAGAACCCATTCGAGCCAGTCTTCTTGGATTGGCCTTGGTAAACACTCAATAAAGAGATTGGATAACAGCAGGTCTAATTGCTCACGTTCGTATAAAGCAATGATGAGCAGAATCGGGAAATTCGTGGCTCTAATCCTAGCATTCAGTGGAAGGTGTAGAACGGTAGAAGATCACAAACCTAATCATGAAGACGTTGACCTAGATCGCATTCAAATCGCGAATTCCAATACATGGACTCCGGGACTCACCTTATGGAACCACCTTGGTGACAGCACATAGCTTGAAGGAAGCAGGATACAAAGAGCCAGTAGGTTTATTGGAGGCTGGTATGAAAATAAAGAGTCGGCCTTGACACTAGATACGAGATGTCACAGGCACGCAAGCAAAACTTCGAATACCACTTGCCCCTCAATCGTCGACACAGCTCTTCTAAACATAGCCTGTGTTGAAAATGGAATTAATAACCTGTATATGGTCATTCTTGAGAATGTTACCTCCGCTGCAGCATCCTCATTAATCCTTGCGAAGGTATTTGAGAGAATCTATGTGAATGTGTTGGTGTCTCCATGACTCAAGCTTGCCACTTGTTCGTAAACTCACAGAAACGAGGACTAGAGGATATTTAGCAATAGTACACACGAGCAACTGATACAGCTCACCAGTCAGCAATAGAGTGTTGCTTAGACATGCGTAAGTGATCATAAGGATAGGTCCGAACACAAAGTCAAATTCAACTGGGGACATAAATTCGTTATCGTAGATCAGCACCAGAAGAACGAGAGCTTACAAGCTTTGTCAAAACCACTAGCATCAAGACCGAACCATAAGTCAAGCATCCACCATGCAATTGTCCTACAGAACATTACTGACTATTGCGATATTCAACAGCTGCATACTTACCCTGCTGAATACCTGGCAAGAAACAGTCAATATATTTAGCTCCATTTCACATGCAATGATACAGACCGAGCGTGATTTCGGCTCAACCTGGAGAAGTCAAAAATAAACAGAGGAACGACGTCATAAAGACTGCCGCACTCACGTCCAAAGAGCATACAAGAACCCACAAAAGCAGAATGCAGCAATCAACATGAGAGCAACAAACTGCATCATCATTGCACGGAGCGATAAAACCATCAAATTATTCTTGAGTGTTACGAAGGCGAGCCTAAACAATGTGTCAGGCTTCCTAGGCCAGCTAATGGTATTAATTAGCACCTTGGAAACATCAAGCATGCGATGACAGCCAGAAAGTCAGTTCCAAGGTCCTGAGCCCAATGTTCTGCAGATACAAGCTGTTATCTAGGACGAATGTGGGCAACAACATATTGACTCACTGTGCCCATACACGCCATACAGTCTGAAGAAAGCATAGACACAGTATGTCGTCACTAAAGAGGACTGTGAGCAAGTCGTATGGCATCTCATGTGTCAGTCTACCAAATGCTAGGTCAAAGCCATTCTTTGCAAGCTGTCAACTACATGAGACCCCTTCATGTGGTGATCTTGCTCACCCAAGTGCCCTTGAAATAAACTGCAGGCACATGAGTGAATCCGCTCGAGCTCGTGAGCGCAAAAATCTACCTGTGATCCCATGCTCCTGCATGGTTGCAAGCTTTTCCAGCGCAAAACCAAGGCCATATATCATAAACAATGTTTCAGGGATATTGATCCTCGAGGTTTCGTTCAATTCAATAGCAACCACAAAAAGGATGAATAAGACGAGGAAGCTAGTGGGGACTAGATTTAGCGAGAAAAAACACGCTTATCGTGCCTTACTTAAAGTAGTCCAAGACAGAGCGGATAGCAGGGACTTTGAGCCTGTAAAAGATGGGCTTAAATTCGTGACAAAGAGGTACTGCATACCGGTAATGGTCCAACAAAGGTGCCTTGTGTGGATCATAGAAATGAATGGGCTTGTGTTTGTACGTCTGCATCGTAATTTAGGACTGGTGAAGCATGTGAAAATACGATGACTTACATCAGACAGTATTGAATGACTACTTTCTGCCTGGTATACACATTTACCGCTAAGCAGGAACATGTCAACATGTGAGACAACGTTTAAGAGGATCGACATACATCCAGATGCCATCAATAACTTTTTGGCATGGAGAGCTTTTGATGAAGCGCCTTGCCTTGCTTATGATGGCCATCTCGATTGCATTTCCAACGCGTTCCTCGAGGTCGTCGTCGCGTTCCTCCATTGCCATTTCGATTATATGAGGGTCTGCACCTGACCAGACTTGCCACTTAGTCGTCAGGACGAGTGCCATGTTCAGCATACTGCTTCCGTTATCTCTTAGGCAACGAATAGCGAGTATCTCGCATAGCATGGCGCGCGAGGAGGACAGCGGTCCCGTGGTCAAGTTTTTCTGGTCACGTATGAAATAGACGCGGTTGATAAGGAAACAAAACACGACAGATTTGTTTCCGGCCCGCTGAATTGCGTTATATTTTTCCTCTAGAGGACGAACGAGAGTGTAGGTCAAATCAGGTCCAGTTAACTACCTCCGTCCAAGTCAGAACTTAGCCTATAACAGAAGAAAGTGAACACCGACCGCCTCCAGCGTTAGGGGTGTATCTGTGAATATTATCAGTATGGTACTGTAGCACTGTATTAAACTTGCCTATGTAGTGCTGTTATCGTATAAGTACTAGTAAAAAGAGTTCCCTTGAAGGTATAAGAAGCATACCATGACATCCTATGGTGCAGATGTTAGTAGACTCTTCTGTAGAGATGATGCATCGATGCATACCCCACGGATCATATGAATAATGGGCCAAACGACGACATCTTCATGAGCCAGCAGTGGTTGCACTTCTGCCTGAGCTTCTGCCATAGTCTGATGTTAGCTTGACATGAGGGAGGAGGCCAATAGGCGTATCTGCCACATTTTGAGCTCCGACACGCAGTTGACGGCACGCGTCTCATCGCGTGAACGCGACTCCCACTGACGCCAGATATTCTGACCGCGACCAGCAGGGCCTGACTCTGCATGCAGGCCGTACAACGAAACGTAGGGCAGTCGCCCCAGGTGAAAATATATAATGCTGTCTATTCGTCGGTTCAGGTTAGTTGACACCATTTTCTTATACTGATGGTGGCTGACACGGTCGCGTCACGCCGTAGGTTTATGAATGTATGGTTAGAGGCATCGCTGTGATGCGCAGACGCGGTGATTCGTTTGTCAATGCTACTCAGATTCTCAAGGTCGCGGGTATCGAGAAGGGTAGGCGCACTAAGATCCTCGAGAAGGAAATTCTGCCAGGTAAGCATGAAATTGTTCAGGGTGGCTACGGGAAATATCAAGGAACATGGTTCGTGCATCATCAAATTTTAATTCAGCCGTATGGACTGAACATGTCTTGTTGTCAGGATTCCACTGGAGCGAGGCCGCGACATCGCTGCGCAGTATGGTGTTGCTCCTCTACTAGCTCCTTTGTTCGATTTCACACCTAGCACAAACACCCTTGGGTCGCTCCCAACGGTATCCTCAACCGCATCTCCGCGACCTCTCTCTGCTGCATCATCCTTCCCAAATCTCGGTACTTCTGGAGGCTACTCACAATCGGGTCTAGCTCCACCTCCCATCATGCCAGGTTCTGCCCTTCGCCTCTTGAACCAGGGGCGCGCCCAAGGCCTATTTACTCCATCTACATCTTCCCTCGCTCCAACAAGACAATCGACATATTCTTCGACACCATATCAGAGTGGCTACGTGCAGTCATCATCCTCTGGAGGAGGAGTGTCCCCAACACCACCTCCAATCCAGTCCCTGAAACGAGCCCGGTCTGATTCTGAGGTAGTCCCAACTACACAACAATCTGTTCCTACTCAAAGATCTTCACACCCATTGTTGGAAGCACCAGATATACAAATATCCGATCGATCTCGGCCGCCTTCTGTTGTGACTCAAGCGAACGATGAAGACGGGCCATCCCCTACAAAACGCGCTCGTAAAGAGCCTACCCCACAACCAGATGCATCTCAAGCATCTCGCAGAACGTTATCTAGCGCATCAATCATGTCACAGTCAATGGCAGCTCTCCCTCCGACTCGTCCACATTCACGCGTCAATGTCAGTTCGCCACATCCGAACAATTCTGTCTCGCGTCCACCGAGTATATCGACGATTGCAAGTGGCAAGTTAATTGATGGTACTGACGTTGACGGTACTGGTCTTCGCTTCTCCACCAAACCCCATACTCTTCGCGATCCCTCTGCTCTTCGAGACGCCCGTCGCACTAGGCTCATTGCTGCAATTTGTCGACAAGATGACCCCGTGCCCGTACTCGACCTTTTGCGCGAATTAACACCCGACATGTCTTCTCCAATTGATATAGATACCATCCTAGACGACAAGGGTCACACTGCTCTGCACCTTGCTGCGAGCATGGGCAGACAACAGACTGTTTCTCAACTCATATCCGCTGGCGCAGACATCCACCGCGGCAACTTTGTCGGCGAAACACCGCTCATGCGTGCATCTATTGACACGCACAACTTCGATCAACAATGCTTCAATCTCCTTATCACCACTCTGCACACCTCCATCCGCACGCTTGACACGTCCAGAAAATCTGTGTTACATCACATCATGTACTTGGCGGGTATACAAGGACGCGCGGTCTGTGCTCGATATTACCTCGATCAGATCTTCTTGTGGATAGCACAGAATCAGTGTGGCGATTTTAAGTCCCTCGTAGACTTGCAAGATGAGTACGGAGACACAGCTCTCAACATCGCCGCACGTGTAGGCAACAGGGCTTTGGTGAGAACGCTCATTGACGTTGGGGCTAATCGAGTATTGCCCAATAAAGTGGGTTTGCGGCCTGGTGACTTTGGCGTTGAAGTCGAGGTATGTTGCGTCAATTCAGTATGTGACGTTGGTATTGAATTGGGGTTCTTCCAGGAGCTTAATGGTGGTGCACGAGCGGACGACATTCTCGCATCACTACGTTCTGGACCTTCAGCACCTATCCAGAAGAGCCAGGACATAATTGCAGGTACGGCCTACGTGTTTCATGCTCCAATGGCTCTCTGATGTTTTGCTCCAGATATGACGTCGATGATCCAAGAGCTTAGTACCGAATTCTCCACTGAAATCAAAGCAAAACAAGACTCACTTGATGTGACGCAAGCCCACCTTCGGGCAGCCACACGCGAGCTTTCCGAACAGCGGAAGCAAATACAGCTGTGCCAAAGCCGATGTGGAGAGCTTGATAAGGTTCATCAGCGGATACGGAATCTCGAGAAAGCTATCCTAGATGAAGATCACTTCGACTGGACAGGTCGTACAGATCTAGTGGGCCGGGATGGCCGCGAGACGGGTGGACCTGCCTTTCAATGGCGTGGACCTAGTTCGACGATGTCGGGTATGCCAGGATCAATGGATATTTCGTTCAGCGTAGAACCAGAACCCCCATCACCTACCGGCGATTCTATCTCAACCTTGATACGACTACGGCGGCTGAGAAGCTGGCACATAAGGATGGAAGATCTCATGCAATCGCGACTAAGATCCTTGCAGGGCGCGAGCGCTGACAAGGAATATCAATGTAAGAAGGTGGTTGCGCTGTGCACAGGTATCCCTATCGATAAAGTGGAGGATGTGAGTGGCTTGATCATGGAATGTACGATGTTTATTCACAGGTGAATTTTTCTTGTCTAGATGCTGGAAAATCTTGTTGTGGCAGTCGAGAGCGAGGCACAAGTTGTGGATATAGTTCGCGTAGCTGGATTTATGCAGAAGGTGCGCTTAGTTTGTTCTGCTTACCCTGATTCAGGGTAGCTGGTTGATTACATTTCAATTGAATTGCAGGTCAGGGATGGACTTATATAATTTCATTTATTGGCTCCGGATCCAGAAGATCCGTTTCAACCGAACACTATGTGCTGCTCTCGCATCCGTATAATACGCCTGCCAGTTGGGTCAGCCCGCATTTGTATCTCTCAAGTAACAATTATTATCACGAGCAAAGCATTATTACACTGGGATATCCTCTGGAGCGAATAATTGGAAATTACGATTGTAAGTACCGGAGGCGAGCAGCTCTCCATCGCTTGTTAAGTCCACAGACATGACCTTGCCCGAATCTGTCGTTAGCGTGCGGAGTAGCTGCCAATCGTCGGCGCTCCACAACTTCACATAACCATCATATCCAGAGCTGGCTAGATACAACCCTGAGCGGTATTTCCACTCCTGGGTGTCGTCCTCAGTGTCATGACTCTCATCTGCATCTTCGGTAATCCCGTTCATGAGAGCATCTGCGGATTTGGCCTTGGGCTTGAATGGTGGTAATGCATCAGCACGGAAGAAACGGACGTCGGACACATTGGAGACATGTGCGGGGATGGTGTACAAGGCTTTCAGAGAGCGCATGTCCCATATCCGTATTGTGTCGTCGCCAGCGCCGGTGGCGATTTGATATCTATTCAAAAATTGTCATCAAGGTGGGCAGAGAACTGTCAGAAACAACCCCACCCGTTTGGAGAGAAGTCGATTCCGAAGATGCCTTGAATATGACCGTCGAGTACCATCGCTGTGCGTCCTGTCCGCAGATCCCATACTCGTCCGATAGCATCTAGGCCTCTAAGGATTCCTGTCATCCAAAGTACATTATGCTGTAGATATGCATGGACTCACCCTGAGGCAATTAGTGCGCCATCACCTTGGAACTCAACAGCATATACTTCCTTTGAATGGCCTTCCTGGAGGAGCAATTCTTTTGAGGTGTTTACATCCCATAATCGCCAAGTGGTATCGAAACTAGCAGAAGCGACAAAATGACCAGAAGGGTGAAATGCTACACGACAGATGCGATCTGCATGTCCCTTCATCACAGAGAGCGGTGCATCGCTGTTGAAGAATATGAGAATCCATAGCAAAGAAAGCTCAAAGATAAAATTCACCTATTTAAAGACCAAAGATTGACACACATATCTCCTGCACCCGACACCAGATTCACTAATCCCTCTTCTTGTGTCAATGTTGCTTGCGGATGCCACGCAACACCACCAACACGATCACCATGACCTGAGATTATTATCAGCACAAGAAAGCGCTATGATAGCATTAAATATTCACCTCTGAGTGTGCGTATAGTTGTGCATGCAGGAACGTTCCACAACTTGACGGTGCCGGACCAGCTACCGGTGGCTAGAATTTTATTATTGGGCGCAAAGCGCACTTGCGATATCGGGCGCTCGTCGCCAATTTGTGAACCAATATTGCTAAAACGCTGTGGATGCTAATGAACGATGATATCCCTTGTAGTTCCGCCTTATTTACCTTGACCACTGCAAAAACCTTCTTCCGTATGTCGATTATGCGTCCTAATGGTATTTTGCTGTCTATTCGCTGCTGAGCGACGCGCTTTTGAGCTCTGCGAAGGACATGAAAGGGATATTGTAAGCACCTTGCTGAAATCACCTATTGGCAGGTAAAATCCAACCTGGGCAGAGAAAATTCTGCAAGATTCCTTCGAGCTTGGAGGAGCTCTAGGGAGCCTTCAGTGTAAAACTCCTCCTGTAAAATGGGTCAGCAATCACTCAGTCAAGCAAGAGCTGATAACTACATACCCCTTCTTCTTCACTTTCCTCAGAGGATGCCTCCTCCATTGGGTGATCATCACCCCTTGCGGCATTTATTTGTGAAAGGACATATATTAGTCGGTCTCGTCGATCTGCTGCCTAACTACAGTCAATCTCACACAATTGATTTATTACTGTTGTAAAACTCACTCGTTCACCAAAGAGTGTGATAGGCTCTCCAATTTCTCGCAGTCTCGCTTTGACCTTATTGTCGTCTGTTGGTACAGCTAAGTTGCGCGCCTTCTTCTTCCGCTCGAGTTCATCCAGGATGACCTTGTTCTCCATCCGGGCCCGCTCAGAGCCCAGATAGTTTCCATCATCCATCAACGAGTCGTATGTCAGCTCAGACATGATGAAACGGAGGGCCCAACACGTGGTTTTGGCAAAGAATAGGTCTGGACGAGTCTGTTGAGAAGTGTTGTTTGGCAAGAGCTTTGGATCCAAACAACAGCTACCACTAATTGGGGCTATCCTACTCGAGTGCACCTCCATCTCGTCACCCTCACGCGCAGACAGCCACGTACAGTTTTTTGCAGTAGCAATGGTTCTATAGAAACATAATTTCACAGCTAACACACTACCTGCCCAAATCACACAATGACAAGTACTTTTTTGTGTTTCAGAGTTTCCGTGGCGCTGCTTGGCCCACTACCAAGAGCTGCTAGCACCTTAAACTGACATCTTGGGCCTCGTTTAGTGTGTTTTTCACTGTACATAATTATGGTTTGGTTCTCATGTACATAGACTAAATTTAATCATTGGAAGTTTGCATACCTTCCATAACAACACAAACTTGGTTTTTCTGAAACATCTTTTATTACGTTCTCCATTTCGTTGTGTTTGATTTTTCCACCACGACTTTTGGTTATAGCGGTTGTAACTTCGCTCTCCTCTGAACCATCATGAGCCAACGTCAGTCCGAAGAGACCGTAGCTTCGGTCGGCTCAAACACCAGTGGTGGCAGTTCTACCCAGTCTACCCAACTTTCTGCATCACCATCAGGCCAGCAACGGTCTAGTTCTCCTGCTTCCACGAGTTCAGCAAGCAAGAGGAAGGGCGATGACTACGTTTATTTCGAGCGAAGCACTGATAACTTTTCATCTGATGCCGTATCTCGTGCAACTGCTGCAAAGTTAAAGCTTGAGTCTTACTACAAGCTCGCTGTTGATGCCGCGATCGAACGCAATGGGAGGTACGCCAGCCGGTTGCTTGTTCGTTTCCTTGGTTAACGGTCACCGATGCCATTGCAGGCGCACAGAACTTGAGCACAGACTTAATCAAGCTATGATTTCTAATGAGTCGAAAGAACGCGAAATTCGCAAATACCGCAAGCTGGAGTCACAGCATCTAAGATTGCGTCGGACAAAGATTCGTCTCACGGACTTCCGCACAGTCAAAGTCATTGGGAAGGGTGCATTTGGTGAGGTATGCCAGGCTATTCACCGAATTTCTCCCTGAGCTCACCACTTGATTAACGCATAGGTAAGATTGGTTCAGAAAGTCGACACCGGGAAAGTCTATGCCATGAAGACCCTCCAAAAGGCTGAGATGTTAAAGCGAGATCAGGTCTGTATGCACAAGCCATGCTTGTCGCCTTGTGCTGATGGAGTGGTCTTATAGCTTGCTCACATTCGGGCCGAACGTGACTTGCTTGCTGAATCTACATCACCCTGGGTTGTTCAACTCTTTTATTCCTTCCAGGATCCACTATACTTATATCTCATAATGGAGTTTCTTCCTGGAGGCGATTTGATGACCATGCTCATGAAATATGATGTTTTCTCTGAAGATGTGACGCGGTTCTACATGGCAGAGTGCATTCTTGCTATTGAGGCTGTTCATGACCTCGGTTACATTCACCGGTGCGCAATAACTTCCAATCTTCATGATAAGCATATAAATCTTGGTTCCAGGGACATCAAACCTGATAACATTCTGATAGACAAGAATGGGCATTTAAAGCTATCCGATTTTGGTCTCTCGACTGGTCTGCACAAGACTACAGATGGAGATTTCTACAAGCGTTTGATAGACCAAGACAAACAAAAAGATCATGCCCGAAACAGCGTCCAGGTCAATGCTATCCACCTTACAATGAGTCGCGAGCAAATTGCCACTTGGAAAGCCAACCGACGAAAACTAGTTAGTTTCTCCGTATTCTACTACATATTGAGACTGATTCTTGTATTACCAGGCATACTCCACTGTCGGTAAGTGACTAGGTGGCGAGTCTTTGAGCGCTGCTCAAGCTCTTTGTAGGAACGCCAGATTATATTGCGCCAGAGGTGTTCTTGCTGAAAGGTTATGGCAAGGAATGTGACTGGTGGTCGTTGGGTGCAATCTTTTTCGAGTGTGTGGTTGGATACGCGCCATTCTGCTCTGAAAATCCAAGTGATACATACAAGAAAATCATCGAATGGCCGAACTACCTATACTTCCCGGAGGAAGTCCACCTTAGTCAGGAAGCTGAGCATCTGATTCGCAGGTGCGACTCTGCTGCTCACGTAAACGAAGGCGTTGTACTCATTTTGCTTTAGCATGATGACGTGGGCGAACGTCCGTCTAGGAGTCAATGAAATCAAGAATCACCCCTTCTTCTATGGAGCCGACTGGGATAATTTACGTTATATCGCGCCGCCTTTCGTACCCGCGTTATCATCTATTACAGATACCACATACTTCCCAACTGATGAGCTTGGTAACCTACCTGAACAGCTTGAAGCTGTTGAACAAGTCGGATCTGACAAGGACCTTGCTTTCTTGGGGTAAGTCGTATTCGTTAGATTCGCGGCTAACACTCCTGACTCTAACCTGATATAGATTTACGTTCAAGCGCTTCACTGGCGGACAAGCTCCGTGATTGGAATGCACGCGTTTCCTTGCTGTCTCTTTCATCATATGACACGCCTGTACCATTGGATCGTCTGCTCCGCTGCTCGCTCGCTTGCCGCCCGCCCTGGATCGATACCCTTTCGATACCATAGAAACACTGAGTTTGTGTAATCTTGAACATTGGATTCGTTTTGTTGCAGAGCATTTGTATATCAGTTGGCAATCAACTCTCCGTCGTCGTAATTCGCTTGGTGAGAACAATAAGGCTGACTCGATACGGACCTCATTGCCTTCGGACCGGAACCGTGTCTCGTGTATTTCATGCTGCTCTGCCTGCTGACCATAATCTTGCCATAAGGGACCATCTTTGGGCTGCATATAAATCTCAGGTGCCACCATACAATCGCCATAAATTTGGATTTCCAAAAGCCATCTTCTAACTCCCATCAAGATCACAATGCCTGACGGTGGATACGCAGATACTTACAGTCCTCGCAAAGTGCTCGACGACCCTTCCTTCCGTGTCCTCGCATCTGGAGAGGAGCCTGCCTCTGATGCAAACATTGCGGCATTCTATAACCCCAATCATGAAATTCACCTCGTGGAAAAGCCACGCCCAACGCCAGGGCCTGGACAAGTGTTGGTGCACGTCCGTGCGACTGGAATTTGCGGGTTCGTTTTTGCACTGCAACATCCCGAACATTTATTAATCCGATCTGCGGTGATTAGGAGTGACGTTCATTTCTGGAAGCACGGACGCGTCGGTGATTCCATGGTTGTGACTGATGAGGTTTGGCTCAGTCATTGCAAATCGCTGAAAACAGCATCTAATCTCGAGTACAGTGTGGTTCCGGACACGAGTCTGCAGGAGAGGTCATTGAAACAGGTGAGGGCGTGACTCAGTGGAAAGTAGGTAAGTTACCCATTCCAACATGCTGACGATCAGTGAAGGACTAACTGCATACTACCTAGGGGACCGTGTTGCAATCGAGGCCGGCGTGCCCTGCTCGAAACCTTCTTGTGACTATTGCAGAGTCGGTAGGTATAACGCTTGTACGTCTCTGCTTTAACCTATTGTCAAGGCGGTCCATGATGTGGTACCTCTTTACAGGTCCTGATGTTGTCTTCTTCTCCACTCCTCCTTTCCATGGTAGGAATCCCAAACATCGACCTTTTATTGATACTAAGCTGTCTTCTAGGAACCCTAACTCGCTATCACCTGCACCCTGCTGAGTGGCTGCACCGTTTGCCAGATTCCCTTTCCTTTGAAGAAGGTTCTCTTTGCGAACCCCTGGCTGTAGCTCTTGCAGGCATCGAACGTGCTGGTCTCCGCCTTGGCGACCCCACTTTGATCTGGTGTGTTCGCATTCTGGATTTCATGTGATGACCCCATCATTGATTAGCATTCAGTGGCGCTGGACCGATCGGTCTTGTTTCTCTTCTTTCGGCACGTGCTGCAGGCGCCGAGCCCATTGTCATCACCGATCTGTTCCAGAGCCGCCTCGATTTCGCAAAGACGCTCGTTCCTGGTGTACGCACGGTACTGATCGAGCGTGGCTTGACACCAAAGGACGCTGCCCAAAAGATCAAAGCCGTCGCTGACGGTCCTGTGAAGGTTGCTATCGAGTGCAGTGGTGTGGAGAGCAGTGTGCATACTGCTGTGCATGTGAGGAACTCTGAAGTCGTCTATGCTCCCAAAAGTCTTGCTTATGCTAGATGGTACAGGCAATGCAATTTGGTGGAAAGGTGTTCATTATTGGTGTCGGCAAGAATGAACAAGTGGTATGTAAACGCCTAAATATTTCTCACAATCAATTTATCATATCTTCAGTTCCCGTTCATGCATCTGAGTGCCAATGAGATAGATGTTAGTTTCCAATACAGATATGCTAACCAGGTATGCGCCCCCTTCTGCAAGAATTTCGTGATGCTCACCATATGTGATCAGTATCCTAAAGCCATACGCCTTGTCGCAGGCGGTTTGATCAACTTGAAACCTCTGGTTACGCATCGATTCAAACTAGAGGATGCTGTTGATGCATTTCACGTTGCTGCGGACCCTTCGCAAGGTGCGATCAAGGTGCAAATTCAAGACTAGAATGGTGGCGAGTGGTAATCTCGAGAGTTGTAGGATATTCAAGTAGATCGGGTTTGTGTAGTAGCTGTTGTACTTCGTCATGTACTTGTTCATGGGCCAAAACATAGTAGTGATTCAACGATTGGATCACTGTGCACCATTCACTCACGAGAATCTAAGATAAGAGCTTCCTTAGTGATTGCTTGCTGTTGGCCCTTCAAAAATACAAGAAGTTCATGCTACTTTGTAGATTAGACCAGTCATCAGAGTCGAGAGCACCGCAGGTGGGAACGCGGCCTGCGGAGAAGGGTTCGACTTTCAAATTGATAAGGACAACGAATGTGGGCAGGCTGAATCCATTACTTATTAGTGCAGTTTGTCCGTGGGACGGAGCTGATAAAATACTAACTCTAATTTCGGCCTTCGAATGGAAATAGGATATACATTGCCGCAGTGTTACGGGTCCCCTAATAGGATACAACATGGTGATCCATGCAGCCATGCTTCTCCTATGGCCGTCTTGGGACCAGGGACACGCAGGGGTCAAATCTTGTTTGACTGGTCACGGTCACTTGATACGACTTTCTGTACTTGTTCATACATTTCTCGCTTGCGAGAGGATTCGCGGAACTCTTCCTCGCGCTGCCGCATTTTCTCTAGTCGACGAACGTCATCACGAATGACACCTTGGAACATGTCCTATTACGTGGAATGTCAGGGATGAGACAATAAGAAACAATAGTGATCACCTCCCGCTCTCTTGATTGCTGGTAATGAACTGCCCATATAATGAAGGAGGAAAATGCGAGCGATGCAGCCAGCGTCGCTTTCGCTCTAGTTGACATACGAGGTGATGGGAAAATGAGCGCAAGGTGCATAAGCGCCATCAACATCAACAAACAAAAGCCAGGCTCCGAGTCGACAGTAGACACCCGTCTACCATCAACACTCTCGCTAACCTCACTAGTACTGTTTCAGAGCGCCTGATGCTTTGGGAGTGATGAGCCACCTTGAAGTTAGTGCTAACGTTTTATCCCATCGATTATATTTATTTTATTTATATATTCTTCCAGGATTTCGAGAACACGCTGAAAGATGTCGTTAATGCAAAACGACTGTCAGCTTCCAAGATGGTGAAATTGACTGAGATTGCACTGAAGTCCGTGGAGGTGCGTCTCAAATCATACTCGAGGGCGTGTTTACTCAGGCTCTTTACATTGACAGCACGACACTAAGCTTGTTGCGATACTTTATCGCACTCACAAGTCACTGTCTAGTACTGCTAAGGTGTCAAGTCTCTATGCGTTTGATGCTCTAGCACGTGCCGCCCGAAGTTATGCCACAAAGCGCGGTATCACTGGTGACATAAATTCAAGCACCGGAAACGCTGCCACCTTCCTACTCAAAGTTGAAGGTGTTTTGGATGGTCTGTTCCAGGATATGATTGCGCTTGATAATGCGGAAGCGAAGGTAAGCGACGAGTAGATCCACTTCACAAACACAGGTCAGGCCTATATCTGCGACATCCATGTCGTCGGTGACTTTGTATGGTACTCCAAGCAACGTGATTGCGTAGCCCGATGTTGCTGTAAATGTGCCCTCCACTGACCGGCTCATATCTTCGAGTACCAATACTGCCACTAACGCGTATTGTCACCACATTATTTTGTTATTCTCTTCACGTCGGATGCAACGCGGTCTTACTTACTCCAATGACAGGAAAAGACGAAGAAAGTTCTGGATATATGGACCAAATCAAATACTTTTCCTTCGCCGGTTTTGACACGGCTGAGGGAGATGATGGACTCTCGAAAAGGTGCATATCACAAATCAAACATGTGTCCGCTAAGTATTTCTTCTGCTTGTGTAATAGCTATTTTTGCTGGCGTCTCTGCCTCAAATGAAATGAGAATTTACACTGAAATACGATTTGGCTGCTTTTTATGTTAGAATCCGTGAAAAACCCAATGCCACCCATCGCACGAGTCGAAACTCAAGCATTGCCAATAATTACTACCCCTCCATCGGCTACACCGTCCCAGGGCCCAACACCTCCTCTCCCAGAATCGGTGCAGTCCAAACTTCTTGCCCTGCTTGGACAAGCCGCACTAGCCGCTGGGCAGCCACGCATGTAAGTACCTACTCAACTCGCGCATTGAAGCTTTTCTGAACCTCGACGCAGCCAAACACCACCAAACACTGTGTCTGCCCCACCCCTCGCTGGGCACCTAGCATTGTTGCAACAGTTGGCTTTGACAACAAACATTCCGAATGGTGGTACTCCATCACAATCTGCAATCCAGCTCCAGTTGCGAAGTGCACCGCTCCCGTCTGTGTCACAGCGTCCTCCTCCATCTCATCTAAACATCCAAGCACAACCTCATTCTTCCTCACAGTCACACGCTCAGCATGACCCTGGTAGAGATTCTTGGCAGGGTCGTTCAAGTCAATTTGATCATGGAAGAGAGCGTGATGGATTCCACGATTCTAACCCACGCGGGGGATTCCAGCGTGGTTTTCGTGGTCGTGGTCGCGGTAGGGGTAGATGGGATGACCGTGACCACGATCGTTTCAAAGATAGGGATTGGAATTCTTCTTCACGACCAAGAAGTAGCCGTTCCAAAAGCCCACGCAGATTCAATGGGCAGCGGCCACGACCGTATAGTCCGCCTCAGAGACCTGCAGCAATCAGAGATGTAGCCCAAAATCAAACTTCGGCTAAACTCCCTGAAGCGGGAAAAGACGAGTTTGGACGAGATATTAGACCGTCTTCTGCCACTCCTCCTAGAGCTGCATCAGTTGATGCTCAACTCCAGCCTCCAATGGTTCCATCTGTAGTCCCTGCCCGTACGGCGGCACCCGAAAATCGTGTACCTGTATCAGACCAGTTGCCCTCGGTAGCTGCCAGTACATCTACACAGAAAGTCGAACCTCGTAAACCGAGTTCGGCGCCAGCGCTGCAGCAACCAGGACTTGATCATTTTGATATCACAACGTTTGATTTCACTGCACCCTCATCGTGGGAAGCTTTGGGAAAGATGTGGCACAGTACTTACGGCGATACACCGTCTCAAGAAGAACTCATGCAGTTTGTAATGGCGGGTGGTGTAGTCGCATTCGCTGGTCAGACAAATGCTGTGCAAGCTGGTCAGTGGCAAGACCCAAATTGGGGTGCCCAGACCGCAGGTTCTGGACGTGGATGGCAAGGAGGCAGGGGGCAAGGCAGAGGATTGATGGCTGGACGTGGCGATACCCTTGGACACGGCAAATACCGAGACGGTGGACACTGGGATGAAGAACACTCGGACGCCATAGTCCTAGGCGAAACAGGCGGCCAGGATAGTAGTCCCGGTGAAGAGCAAGCTCAGTGCACGGATCCAGCCCAAATGGGAAGAGACGACATGCTTCATGTAGACCCACACGATTCTCAAAACGTGGGTTCGGGTCGGATGCAATGAGTAAGCGGGTCTTTATGTGGCATGAGAGTCAGGACATGAAACTGAAACTTGAGGCATAAAGGAACATGAACATGGTGTATATTATCTCTTGTAATTATCGCATACTCATACAGCACGTACGCATGCAGAGATTTCTATGCCTACCGTACTATCACTTATCACTCTATTTTCCGCTGCCTTGCGAAGTGCAGATATGTGGATGACCTGGCATGACTGACACTTCTATAAGCATAGTCATCGAATATTGAATGGCTGAGTCGATAGCTGAATTCTATGTGATGTTCCGACAGTTCATGATTTGACTGTGCCACATTGATGCCACATGTTCTATAGTACATCATGAAGAGACACGCTAGCAAGTTCGTCAGGTGCCAGTGACTCCGGATAGTATAAGGAACGGTTCCACAAGGATTTCTGTGCAAGTGGTAAAGTGCACGCAAAGCTGGATTGATGTCTACGCGCACATCACAAATGCATCGGTCTAACTAGTCCAGCGCTGCCCACGCGTCTGAATCGGACTCCAGGATTGTCAGTAGTATTAAAATACACCTCAGATTATTTCAAAATGTGCCCGGGCCACCTCTCTCTTAGCAAGATGAGCAACCCAAGTCCGAGTCGAACACTTGTAGCGTCAGTCACGGTCTAAGCACGTTTCTATTGCTCCCGAACCTGAGGCGTTCTAGCACTATCAGACTGCATCGAGTCTTTTCATGTTGTCTACGGCTGTCCGACCGACAACGCGCCTTTTGCGCTTTTGCCAAAACATTCGATGCTTCCAGTCGGCAGCAACAACATCCTCAACTGTTAATGCAGCTGAGATTGCCCATTTTTCTCGGCTTTCCTCACTATGGTGGAACGAGCAAGGGGAGTTTTCGCTGTTGCATCGCATGAACCCTGTAAGGGTGCGCTACATCCGAGAAAAAATACTTGAGGCTACATGCGAAGACCAAGGAGAGGAAGCAAGGAGAGAGTTGGAGTCGAAATGCGCAGTGTTGACCGGTATGGACGTGTTGGATGTGGGTTGTGGAGGTGGTTTGCTCTCAGAGGTTAGCCATCAGTCTCATAGCTCGACACGACTCATTGAATTGAACCATTATGTGATCTAGAGTCTCGCTAGGCTGGGAGCACGAACTCTTGGTATCGATGCATCTGAATCCAACATTAGGATAGCTTCGACACATGCTAGTAGTGATCCCCAGCTATCTTCGGGCAATTCATTGGAATACCGTCATACTTCTGCAGAACAGCTTGTCAAAGAGCCCAAGCGGTTCGACGTCGTATGCTCGATGGAAGTTATCGAACACGTCGATAACCCGGTGGCGTTCCTTTCTGCCTGTGCTCAGTTGGTCAAAGTAAGTCTCATTCCAGACACCTTGGTCAGGTACAGGCGTAACTTTTGCTTGACATCAGCCTGGAGGCCATCTTTTCCTTTCCACGATTGCAAGGACGCCACTCTCCTATTTCATCACAATTTTGGCCGCTGAATATATCTTGCGCAAGGTAGCCATGGGGACCCACACGTACTCAAAGTTCATTAACCCTTCTGAGCTTATATCGTTCTTCCAAACTTATCGATCCTCGCCTTCATCCTCCAGCAATTTAACGGACTCTGGCTATATCAGCTCTGATGCATTTTCCAAACCCTGGATAACACGTACGTATGCTCATGGTCTACCCACACGTTCGGAAGCGGACGTACGAGGAATAGTGTATATTCCATGGAGCGGAGAATGGAAGTTGATGTCTCGCTCTTCTACACCCTGGGGTGCTGTGGAATGTAACTATTTGTTTTGGATCAGGAGACCCTTGGAGTCGTAGGAAGAGGTTCACAACCTAAATACATGCTGTTACCCATCCCCTCACACAACGCTGCAAATTGGTAGGTCACCCTAAGAAACGCGTGTGATAATTAAATATTTGCCTACAATCAATGAGGAGGCAGAGAAAAGCATGGATCTAAGACATCAGCCTCTCCCCCCAGACAAGCCTTTGTCTGTGAGCTGTATAGGCACCTGCAATTGCTACCCAAGCAATCCATCCAAATGTTATGAAGGTTGCAGCAAACAAGACGCGCATTGTAGCAGTCCACCACGTCGAAACTGGGGAGTGATTTGTGAAGATGATAACTCGCCAACGCTCATGCCACTCGGTGTTCAACCAATTGAGGTCTGTCACCAGATACTTGGCCTATCTTTCCTGGTGAGTCAAATCCTCGATGGGAAGACGATGATCTCTTACTTTCTCTCGACCAGAATCGTATATATGTCGTATCTCAGTCACATGTGATTGGATCTGTGGAAGTGTATGCGACAGTTCTTCCAGGGAGACAAGAGAGTTATGAAGTTCTTCATGAATGCATGGTATATGTTCTTCGAGTGCATGCTTAGCACGCTGTGTATCTCTCTGTTCAATAATTCCAAGATTTGATACCACAGTCACTGTTAAGAATAAGGCAGTCACTGACCTTCAATTCATCGAGAGAGCCCTGCATCCAGCTGTCCATAGCCCGAAAGTTGCTCAAGCCTTCTGTGAGCTTGGTCTAAATGCAAGCGTCAATACATTGAGCGCGACACTGGGAGAGACTGACACTGAGCTCTTGCATCTGACTTTCGTACTGCAGTATCCGCTTTGATGTACGCTTTACTGCTTCCTCTATGTTGTGACTGCAAGTATGCTGTGCGTGATTCCTGACGTTCATTAGCCACCCCGACCATAAGGTCGCAAGTACGCTATATAGTCTGCTCACTCGGAGAGGGTGCTACTGCGTCTGCTTCTAGGGCGGCTCAAAACCTCTTCTGTCATTAGTGTCAGTAAGTTGCTCGGTATATTAGAGGGTAAGCGAGGCTCCTAAAAGGTGAATGAAGATGAAAGAAAGGAATTTCCGTCGTCCGAATTCACATGTCAGCTGTGAGTTTGACGCTGTCTTTGCTAAGCAGCGTGCTCCTTTACGGTTTAACCACCATCCGAATAATAGGATGCGCATAACCAGAGATAACTTGCTTCACGCTGCCAAATCCTTATGCATCGATTTCGCATCCAAGAAAGATCCAGACACCTTAATGATGCATTTTTCTACGACACACCAGTGCGCAGCATATGAACATGGTTTACCTATTATTGCTCCATTTCTGGGCCGTCACTTCATCGGACGTGACGGAGTACGAGATTACTTCAAAACCATCGCCTCGACTTTGAGTTTTGAGAGAATGGAGTTTTCAGAATATATCATCGATCTAGAAGCCCAGAAAGTATCGGTGAAGGGCCGAGCAAGATTCACTTGGTTGAGCTCAGAGCAAAGCTGGGACGAGATATTTATATATGTGCTGGACTTTGACGATGATTGCAAGGTCACAGATTATCAAGTTTGGGCAGATACGGGTGCTGCATACCTTGCCAGCAAAGGTCAGCTGAGCACGAGTTAGGATTGCCAGCTACTTGAAGTAAGTGCCTTTGATATCTGTCATCAGGTCTTGATGTGCTGATATTTCAAAGCTTCATTGTGCAACTGGCCGTTTGGCATAACCTAGCTACAACCTTTTCGCCTTGTCTCACGGTTCAAACGTTCACCTATTACTTTATCAGAATCGAGATACAGTTCAAATTATCACCTTGTACTATGCGGTCCCAAGTCTTATCGTGCCCTTCTAAGCTCTCAGGCCTGTTCTTTGTTTCCGTTTTCGCATTCCTATAATCTTTTTTGTTGCAGAACTACCAAGAAACCTTTTTAAAGGGCGGAATCACACGCGACGATCCTTCGACGCATGCTTGCTTTGTCGTATTTTCCAACCATCCTGCTATATGTATGCAGGGGATCTCTCGGCAGAGCGTCAAACCTGTGCTCCCAATTTATGTCGACAGTAAACCACAAATCTGAAGTTATATCGTTTTTACCGAGGCACAGTGACCACTAGGAGCTGATACAACCGCCACGGTACGAGGTGCACACGTGGAGTGTGGAAGTGCCATCCAGGAGCACGCATGGGCGTTATAAATTCAGGGTAAGCCCGGTGTATGTCAAGGTCCCAAAAGTAGAGTCGGCCTCTCATAACACATCATATAATTCGATATCTTGCGGTGAATCAAGGGTGGCCTTTTCTGTGCAAGGCTCCGCCGCTCCGATTCCCCTTCAAGGAGTCTCAGGAAGTCCTGTGGTTCATCCCGACCTCCTAATCATGTTGCGCCTATTTTATTTGTTACAGATTGCTTCCGCACGCACACTCATTCAATACTCGCATTCTAAATCTGTACTTTTTGGCAGAACTCTCGTCAGATCAATCATATGCAACCTCAGATGCATTTCAAGGACATGCAGCAAATTTTGCAATTCTGGCATGCGAATATCTTGTTGAATACGCATGCCCATCATGCTCACCACTTTAACGACTTTTGATGTAAATCGACTGAAGATTCCCAAGATGGGGATCCTGCACCTGACCCATCTTTGGTCTTGGGAACCTTGGAAGAGACGGATCGATGCCACTGGTAACGATTTTGAGTCTTGTCATAAATTTCCTCCTACTCACAAAGGGTCTAACTTTATCGCAATTCTGCAAATTGTCCGGCGACATTTCGTGCAGCATTGAGTGGCCATGCTTTTTTTTCGTTTTGATACTAGCAACCTCCTCTAATGTAGCAGGACGGGATCTCTAGTGCATATACTATCGAAGGTCACATCATGATACACTAGCCTTCGAATGAGGTTTGGTATGGATGCCTTTCAGTGCATATTACTCTGCTTCATGTTTCCCTCACATTGCTCATCAAGGTATTTTTCGAGTTTTCTCGCCGTTTTCGCAGCCATTGGCACTCTCCTGCAGTCAGTAATATCACAGTATATATTTGTCAATGACGTATTGATTATTTTTCTGTTATTTGGGTTTCAGGGGTGTAACATCTCGTGAGCCTTTGGGACAAATATGAGTATTTGCGCAGTACTATAAGGGCATGCGTCTGTGTATACAACGCATTCCGAGTTTGGGCTCCTTAGGGAACGGTCTTCGACATGGCTGAAGACTTCAGTCCCTCAGATTGCAGCAGTAGCAGGAGCATTTTTAAACAAGATGGTGATGGGCAAGTCAGCCACCAGTGAGGATGTGATTATATGGACCCTACTTACACACTCTGTGGACAGCGGTATGAACAAGTACGAGATCCGTCCAATACCCCATGTGCCGTTTAGCGGGGACTAACCATAGCTTCTGAATGGCGGCGTGATGATGTGGGAGGTGAGCTAAGTTAACCTGTCAGACGAATGTTGCTAATCTGTCGTGTAATATTAAATTTCCCAACGTCGCAGTATTCTGGATTCAAGTTGTGCGGTCGCTCGTATTCTCAGGATAAAGAGCGCCTGTGACCAATACCCGCTCTCTTGCTGTCATTTATGTCCCAATGTAAGTGTGAATTTGAGTCTAGTCTGGTGTTCATCTCAGGTCGTAAAGCACGTACGAGCTCGAACTTCAAGTTATTACAAAGCGTAGGACAAGTCCAACACAGATCAAATGGCCGCGGCGGTACTGGCGTAATGTCAACTTATTAGTATATGTTCAGCGGTTGTTGGGGTACTCCGCTGATGCTCAAACACTCACAAGAAAAAAGAAACCACCTTACCGTGCCATATCTAAGTCATAGCTGGGCGCGCCCCGCCGGTTCTCACAAAAGCGTTATTTCAACATTTCCCGACTCCCACGATAAGTGGGGAAGGGACCGGAGAGTTTTGTCTGCAGCAAATGTGCCATTCTCTACAAATCCATCCGTGGAAGACTAGCCGATGACTCGCGTGGTTTCAAAAGAACATGTGTAGTATAGCCGACCTCTTTTATTCCGCCGTGATCTTCGCTTGGGAAATGACCGATATTGATTTGAGAGCTGGCTGACTGCAGAAACAAAATGCGTTTTCGAATGTGAAGCACCAATCCCTTAGTACCGGTCTTAGTACGAGAGCGGGGATGGACAACGGGACGACCTTGTGCTGGTAAACATTTGATAGCCTCAGATCACATATTGGCAATAGAAAGGCCATACAGGGCGGCGGACCAAGGCGTAAAGACTAAGAGTGGATCACTGAATTTCGCCATCCATACAAGGAAGAGAAATACAGGGCAGCCGAGCGGGAAGATAGAGCGCTACTTCAACACCATAGTGATCATACACATCAACGAGATGCGCACACAACATCGACAACAGGCTACGTGCACAGTTAGAAACAGAGGAGTACGCAGTGTAAAATACAACGGCGACAACGTGCAGAAAAGAGACGACCTTGCAGCTTGATGATCATTGGCAGAATCAGGCATCGAGGAACGAACAACGGGAGGTTACCTTGGTGTGACGGTCAAAGAGAAGAAGTGCATAGGTAGGACTTTTCATAGAGCAGGAAATCTCTGGGCAATAGCGCCTGGGAAAAACGTTGTAGGTCGAGCTTGACATCGAGCATGCCAGGATAAAATTTAGACCCGGCGGATAGTCGGGACGACGGGAACTGGTGCGTCAGTGGCGTGGATTCTGGAAATATATTGATGCGGCACTTGAAGGTGTCGGCCAAAAATAGTAACCGTACCCACTTGCTTCATGCCGCCACGTCCTTATGCATACATGCATTGATTTCGCATCTAAGGGGAATCCAGGTGCTCTCATGTCTATCACACCAGTGCTTGGCATATACGGTTTACCCATTCTTCCTCACTTCTGGGTCGTCACTTTGTCGGACATTTTGGAACATTGTCTCGGCTTTCAAGTCGAACTTTGAGCGGATCCGACGGAGTTTTCGGAATACGTCGTTCAGAAATATCGGTGGAAGGTGGAGTAAAATTCACCTGGTTGAGTAGTGACAAAGCAGAACTGGGACGAGATATATACATATGCGCTGGACTTTGACGATGATTGCAAGGTTACAGATACAGGCGCTGCATACATCCCCATACGAGGCTAGCTGGGAACGATTTATAATCGTTGCAGTAAGTCCCTTTGGTTTGTCCAATGTCTTATCAGGTGCTGATGCTTCGAAGCTTCACATGTCACTGTGATCTCTGACGGTCCATGGATCTAGCTAAGCGCATGCGCGTGTGGAACGGACTGTGTTGATTGGCTTGGTAATCTATACACCTTTTCACCTTGTGTCGCCTACCCCTTTTTCAAAATCGAGATACAGCTCAAGTTGCCAGCTAGTACCATTTGGTGCAAAGTGTTGTTACGCTCATCTAAGCTCTCACACTCTCCGTTTTCACATTTCTAAAACCTGACTTTGTTGCAGAACCGCTGAGAATCCCTTTTAGAGGACAGAGTCACACGCAACGATCCTTCAACGCGTGTCTTGCTGCTAGTATTTGTCCCTCCTGCACGATAATATCCTGCCATATGCATGCGGGAGGTCTCTCGGCAAAGCGGCCAACAATGTCAGCACACCTTGACGGCCTGTATCTGCTGTTTGTGCTCAGAAATTTTTGTTGACAATAAGCTAGATGCTCAGTTCCATCGTTTTTACCGCGGCGCAATGCTCACTGGGCGCCGATAAAACTACTCTCGAGGCGCACATGTGAGCATGGAAGTGCTACCATGAATCATAGATGATCGCTATAAATAACATCCAAGCGCTTACTTGTGTATGTCCCGACAGTAGAGGGGATCTATGACATTTTGCTTGTGCCATCCCACAACGCCAAGTTAACCTATAACTTCATAGCCCACGCTCAAGCTTTCTCGCCGATATCCTGTTACAATCCTTTATCAAGAGATTTCAGGGAGTTCCGCCGTTTACCCTGGTTTTCTAAGCATATCCCACCTATTGCGTTCGCAATGGATTGCTTCCGCATGCAAACTCATTCAATTTTGGCATTCCAGATTCATGCTTTTGAACATATCTTTCTTGCTCAATCATATGTAATCTCGGATACCTCTCGAGCACATGCGGTCTATTCTTCAATTCTCGCACATAGGCCGACTGTATTCCCAATACGGAGATCCCGCGCCTGACCCATCCTTAGTCCTGGGAACATTGGGGACAAAGTCTGAGGTTGCTGGTAATCATTTCGAGTCTTTCCATGTGCTGCCTCCCGCCAACGGCGGTCTCACTTTATCGACAAATCGTCTGGCGGGATTCCATGCAACATCCAGCCACCCCCTGTTTTTCAGTCTGATGCTGACACTTACTTCTTTTATTAGTAGGATATGGTCTCTGGTGCATGTGCCACTGAAGCTCGCCTCATGATACACTAATCCTGGAATGAGGTTTCGGTGAAGAGTATAAATGCCTACGGGTGCTTCATCTACCCCAATCTCATCATGAGGACCTTCATGCTGTCGACTCTTCTCAGCATCTTCGCAGCCATCGGCGCGGTGTTGTCTGCACCTCTTGTGGACACGGCACTTTCATCTCGTGCAACACCTGCAGCCCCTTACTTCGTCATTTACAGCGACGAGTATGTCACCGGTGAGACTGGTCCTCCTGCAGTCAGCGAAATCACTGTATGTATCCGTCAACTTGAATGACTTCATTATCACATATTGATTGATTTTATGTTATTTGTGATTCAGGGGTATAACGTTTTGTAGGTCTTGGTGAAAAACGTTTCGAGTCGCAGTCTAACTTCTTCAAGTGCCCTTTCATTCTGGCTTACCTCCGGCCCAGTTGATCAAGCTGCAGAGTGGGTTGACATTGACGATGCCACACGAGCATCTTACGTGACATCATACCACGATGCCGGAGTTTCTCTTATTGTATCCGCTTTCGGGTCCACGGATGCGCCTACGACTGACGGATATGATCCTACGACCGTAGCCAACGATCTCGCGGCCTTTGTCATAGGATATGATCTTGACGGCGTTGATATCGATTACGAAGTGGGTTTCTCTTGACGTACATTAGTCCACGACTGAATACTAGCTTTGCAACAGGATTTTGCCGCCATGAACGCTCAAAATGGATCCGCAGAAGATTGGTTGACCACTTTCACCCAAGTCCTTCGTGATGCACTTCCAGAAGGCATGTTTACTGGTTACATTATGAGTGACGAGGGTGTGCTGATAGCATGTTACAGGTCAATACATTTTAACCCACGCACGTGAGTCTGTCGTAAAATCCAGGTGATTGCACCTGACTTCTCGGCCTTCATCTAGCTGTTGCTCCATGGTATTTGGACCCATCGTATTTATGCGAGTCGTTTGGGTTTAACTTTCTGTTCATAGGTTCTCCGACTTGTACGCCAGTGGTGCTTATTTGGCGGTCAACATGAATGTTGGATCGTTGATTGATTGGGTAAGTAAAAAATCACTGTAATTTTTCGTGAGCTCATTCGCTACCTTAAAGTACAACGTTCAGGCAAGCATTTTTTCACGATGTGCAATTCCATGATGTCAATAGAGATTTCTCTGTTTTATACAGTTCTACAATCGTGAGCCCACGCAGTCCTGTCTCTTTACTGATTACTGACTAGCTATACTAGAGGGCACAACTGAGTACACGACGTGTACTGGCCTCCTCACAGAATCGTCAACGACGTGGCCAAATACTTCACTCTTCCAGATTGCGGCTGCAGGAGTATCTTTAGACAAGTTGGTAATCGGCAAGCCAGCCACAACTTCGGATGCGACCAATGGCTATATGAACACCACCCTACTCGCCGAATGTGTGGAAATGGCCTATGAACAAGGATGGGGTGTGTACAATGTCCCGCGTGCTGTTTAGCAAGGGCTAACCATAATTTCCAGATGCTGGTGTTATGGTGTGGGAGGTGAGTTCAGTCAACCTGTTAGACGGACGTTGCTGATCTGTCGTGTAATGCCAAGTTCCCCGACGCCGCAGCATCCTGGATTGAAGCTGTACGGTCGCTCGCATTCCCAGAATAAATAGCGTCTGTAACTCCTTACCCCCTCGTTGTAATTTATTACTATCCTATTCCTCTGAAAGTGCGATGTTGAACATAAATATTCTGTGTAGTAGTTCAAAGGATAAGTCTAGGTATTTATTCCAGATATGTATAGAGCATATGTAGCTCAAAGTTCAAGTTAGTACGAGCTGGTAATAAGCGGTATGTAAGAAAGTGTAAAGACCAACACGAGTTTCAAAGTCCGCACGAGAGTTCTGGTGAACCCACGATTTGAACTTAAATTATTTAAAAGAGTGACGAAGAAAACGAAGGGAATGTCAAAAGAGGGTGAGTTTGCTTGGATCGCTTGTCCGACATTATACTGTCAACCGTCAATCAAGGTAAAACGTCTGTAAATCTGTCAGTTGGTGAGTTCGGGCCTGAAAGTTGAACAGACTAACAATAGGTGAGACGTGGTGATCGGGATTGGTTTGAGCAGCATTATAGGCACCGATATCACTGACAAAGAATATTTTGTTGTCATTATTCTGATAAGCGATAGTCGTCTTTGCCTCATGACCGTTGGGATTCACGTAGTGCACTTGAGATATTGTCAATGATGAGTAGACTAGAACGAAAACATCGAGATGACATACCCTTCAGTTGATGAGTCCTGGAATCGTATGTCCAAATAGCCGATTCATGCGAATGATGCGAATGCGCAGGTGCTATAGATGATTTGTTATTAACATTCAATTTGTGATAGTCGTGCAGGCTTACTTTTAGTGACTTTGCCAAAGCTGACAGCTCTGTTGATGGTGCAAAATTAGTGTCTAGTATCTAATTTTTTTTGGTAAAAATACCAACTTTGAGGAGCCACTGGTGAGGGCGCCATTGCTCGTTGTCCCGATATAATCAGGCCCAGGAAGTGTGGAGTCCTACTCAAAACTTAGTGAATTTTAGAAAATGAAAGAACGAGGGTGACCGTACAACGATTTGTAAGTCAATGAGCCCATTTTGAGATCGAGACGTGGTGAACGACACGTGCAGGTCCTCACTTGAGGCACCAAAGTTTACACCATTTCTAGTCACAAGTTCAGCACATTTTCAATAGGGAACATCGAGTCGGGAAAGGTTCTTACATTCCTGATGCCCGGTTATACAAGTGTCCCAACCGTTTGCCATTGTGACCCTTGACCAGGATCCGACCAGTGAATCTGAAAGGGATGAAACAAAGTTGCAGTAAAATTTTCGACGGACTCACGTCTTATAAGGAGCGGATGATGGGACTGGGTTCCCTCCTGCGCCGATACATTAGGTTGTGCAAATATTTGAGATATTGGTTGAGAAGTACCAGCTTCTGTCGGCGTCTTTGCATAGCCTGGCAGAGCGCGACCAAACTTGGGAGGCAAAGGCGGCAGGCCACGAGCTAGTCGCTGTGCATTTGTGATTGCTGCAGCGGCACTAGAGAGGGAGAAAAGGAGTGCGATGGCACAGCTAAGCACTAAAACCCGCATGATGGGAGGTCAAAACGATAACAGCTATTGTAAATTTTTCAACGTACCTTTAATAGATGATCTGTAACTTCCAATGTTTCCATGTACATGTGGGTCTGGCCTTGCCAGTCAAAAAAAGTGACGGAAAAACCTGTACAATGTGATCGAGATTGTTCCCCCGATTGAGAAGTCGACTTCTCTATGTCACACGGTAAGGCCGGACCGACGAGCAGCTGCGTTCGAGGTGGCCTCGGAACTGGCGATGTTTGCAGGTGCTTCAGTTGACCCGTAAGTACCGTACGTCAGGAGTCATGCTGCAGATATAGTGCTTCAGCTTGAAGTAGATCGGATCAGTCACGGTGACCCAAAAACCTTGAAGTTGTTGGTACTATGAGTGCATGTTCGGGAATGACGCATGACTGATGTGATGACAATGCTGAAATTACATTTGATGAGTGCTGGCAGGAGTGATTTCATGTTGTAGTCTCAGTTCTCGAACCAACCTCAGGTTCTCGTAAATCGCTGAGCCCACCAGCAATGAATTTGGGATGTCCGAGTCAGGCTGGTTAAAAACTATCCTCACCTGGCCAGACCTTTGGAAGGAGGATAGCTGTTCCCTCCAATAGCAGACAACATAGAAGTTGTGCCAGCACTGCGGCTCGCTTCGCGAACATGATCGACATGTCATTACGACAGTGGCTGCTGTCATAGTTTTTAAAGGTACTGAGGTACTCACAGACATAAAGGTACCTGAGCTTACATGAGCTGAATCCAAATACATCGCAGATAACGGGTGGATACTTATCTTGTCATGTAGTAGTAACCTATAGGAAAAATGACTTCCCGTAGGCTGCCAAGAGCAATCATATAGCGGACTTTCAAGTTGAAAACAATTTCCAAATGTCGAATAACAACGGAATATCACATCAGCTGAGATGGAACTTGACAAAGAGCCTGCGCTTATTGTTCCCGTTGATGTACTGGCAGAACTTGACGAGAACACATCGGTAGACGCTAACCAATACATCTGCCATGAGTAGCTCCTCCTAAATCCAAAAAATGAGTACTCCGTGGCCTTATTTGCAAGTCTAAACGATCGAGCCTTCATTATGACCACGGGCTTTGACGTGGAAACATATCATACATACACCCATTCTTCGTGACGAGCATCAGTTAGTTCCATTGGTCTTCGGAGTGAGTGACGCAAAGAGATCAAATTGCGAGACGTGTGCAATCCTGGGGTGCTTGCCACGTCCCAGTTCGGTCGCGACCAAATGCATTACCAGTGTCGCCATAGTGTAATCCAGTAGTCATAGTGAAGGAACTTCAGCCGCCCCCGATATTAGGTCACGTGACCTTGGGAACTTATGTACAAACATTACTATCTTTGGCCCGGAGTTGCAAATTGTAATGTATGCTTCCACTCATTCCCTTCACAATGATTCTAGAGGACTATTAGTATGGTGTAACACCTGCACATGCATTCTGCACCTTGCACAGTGCATGTTGCTGAACCGGTTTGAACCTGCAGCAATTCCATAAGCAATCACCTTGTACTGCACCCTTGACTATGTGGTTTTCAATTTGCATGATTATTATGTTTGGTCTTTATGGCCTTTGGACCATTCATCACTCCTGCACAATGTATGCCACTTATTCAGATGTGAGTAGAATGGGCTGACAAAAGCATCTGTCTGGACAGCAACTGTTGGATCACATCAGTAAAAAACCCAAAATGCCGTAGCCCAGGTGACAGCTATATAGTACTATGTAGGCACACCTTACACTACATTGACCTATATAGTGCTGTATAGTCTAAAGCCATGCTACATGTTGCTATATATATATATTCATCCAATTTTTGTCCATTGAGAGTGAAACTCTATGTAGGACATTTCTATCTAGTCTTGGGACCCCAGGTCCCAGCCCTGACTTGAATCCCCAGATGCAGTGATGTAGGGTGTACCCCCATCACTCTGCTGTTCCCACCAGCCATTTTAGGTGGGCAATTCATTGAAGAAGGGGTGACTGTAATCAAAATAATGTGTATGTAGTACTGGCTGTGGTATCAAAATAACACATGCTTGGCTGCTTGTGCGAACCTAACAGTGATCAAGTAAGGTGTGCAGAAGATTAAATATGAGTGTCCAGAAGGACAAAAGAGACAGGGAACATGTCTCAAGCCTCCCACAAGGTATTTGGCACATGTGGGTTTCTCCAGGGGGTCATATTCGCTGATTGACTGAGGCCTCAGGGTGGTGCCATTGATCTCGTGTTGATGAGCAGATAAGGTTTTAGTTGGTTCTGGAATCTGTAATGTAGATTAAGGTCGAGTTGTATAGAATTAGGAGGGTGGATTAGGTGTATGTGGGAGAGGTGAGAACATTGACATGTTGAGCATTTAGGGTTCATATGCATGTCATCGTCTGAAAAGTTATAGCAATGTATCTGCATCTGCTGAGGAAGTGCATCAGGCTGGATTTGATTTGGACATTAAGACTTCACCTAGCATGGGTTTCAAACGGTGGGTTGCATTCACAAAGTGGGTGAGGTGGGGGATGGTGTCCTTATCAGCTAACAGGTAAGGGAGGGAGGTGCGCTATATAGTTACCAAGGAAAACACCGTGCTACAGGTGGCTACAGGAGCTACCACTGTGGCTACAGGCAGCTACAGGTGCACCCATAGTATGTACGTGACACATCATTGTATCTAATTACTTATAACAAATGCGCAAAACATTTCACCATCAATGAACTTGTTGAGATAAAAATCATTTGCCACCTCATATGCATTTCCGCTTCTCAACCTCAGATCTACTGTTTGTCCTATCTTTGGTATTAGATGGCATGGCCACACAATTTCATCAATGTGGATTACAGCAGCATTGCGGTGAAGTTGGTGGGTTGAGCGTGAGACCTGTCACATTTGAGAGGAAGGGTCTGGTGGTTTAAAAGGTGTAAACCACTCGACATAAGTGAGGGCTCTGGAATATGCACCAAACTGGCAAGGTAGGGTGAAAATAGTGTGAACTTGGGCTACTCATACACCTGCAACAAGACTATAATCAAAATCAACCACTGAGAAACCTGAAAAAAATACCCTCAAGAGTATGCAAATGTGAATTGTGAGGCCTGTCTGCTATCAACGCCATGTCAAACCAGGCTTCCAGCCTGACAGCAACATTTCTGGAGTTGCTCTGATGCACCTTCGCTGTGGCATGTCGCTAACTCATAAATCAGGTGGCATCATAATCACCACTTGATGATAAAGATCGAATTGGTCTTGAAGTACAGGGACTATGGTGTTGTGCAGGAGATTCTTGAGTAAGAATGATCAGAGAGCAGAGAGGAACTCGGTAGCATCATGTGCTGTTATGATGGTTTGAACAGATTGGTGAGGATGTGCGGGGGCTTTTGCAAGGACATGGATTGCTTGAAATGGTTCAGTGGCGGAAAGATTTGGCTAATCTCTGCATCCCAGCACTCTAATACAAGTGTTCACAGGTAGTCTGTGATGTTTTAGTGGTTCCTGGAGTTTGATGAAATGACGCCAATGGAAACTGAATATCAAGAGCAGGTGGTACCATATCAAGAGCAGGCAGTACCTCCCTAGCCCATCCCAGAGCAATGACCACGTGAAAGGGTCGACTTGGAGGAGGTACAGGCCTGCTGGTTGGTTAGTGTTTGTCATGGTTTATGGTTGAGTATCACCTTTTGCTGACTTCAAAGCCTTGCATAACAGCCTGTGTGTTCAGCTTCACTTTGTTTGATTTGTTCAATAACAAGATGTTTGGCTTCACGTCGTCTGATTCGTTCGATGACAAGAACACTAAACTACAACATTAGTAAGTGTCAGGTGAGCATTGAAGAAGCCAGCCACTTACTATTCATTCATTTTGGCTGTAGTATCAATTGTAGGGTCGAAAGAAAAGTCATCCCCATCCCTCTTATTTATGCCATTATATTGACACCGCTTGGTCAGTTGAAAACTTTAACTTCACAATCAACAAAACTCAAAAATGGTTTGTTGATTAGATGCCACTGTAGGGTTTTTAAAAGCATGCATACCCCCTCCTTCTGTTGTCATTATTTCCACTGACTACCGTCTATCATGGCCACAAAAGGCCGCTCCAAAAAGGGAACCAAAATGGCACTTTTGAAGGCCCAGGAGAACCTATGTGCAGAAATGGTGTCGACTGCGGGACGCACTGCAAGTGGTTGGCAAATTTGGCCAACCAAAAGAGAGACATATTGAAGTAAGTAATATCATGCCCAACATCTGTGCTCACTTACTTGTTTCTGCCTAACAGTTTTAAAAGCTCATTGAGGAGAAGAACACCAAAAAGCCTATGAAACAAAGATGAAGAAACAAAAGGCACTGTGCACTACATACCAGACACATCCTGAGGAATTTAATGGTGAGCCTGCTGGGCTTCTCAGCGATATTGACAGGGACGAAGACAGCATGGTCAGTGTCTTATTCATCCAGGCACTCCATGTTACTCACAACTACATAATAGTTTTTTGGACCACTGTGTACCCACAAAGCTATCTAATAAAGAGGCACTCACATTCAGTATGAGCAAGACCCCTCCAACTGTCTTGGCTCAAAAACCCACAAGTAAGATCCATATGAAGCCACAGAAAGGTACTATGTCTTGGCCCATTCACCTCGATAGAATAATCCAGAATGCCTTTGAGTTGTTTCTTGAGCTTACCTTCAGAAGGTATGTTAACACAAGTGTTATGCTTCTATCTAGCCCATTAAAAATTTATAGGATGCATACTGGCTCATATACCCTCGATGAGCTCACAAAATTCCTCCATTTTTGCAACATGTACCAATGTTTCCATCACAAGAATTTGTTATTTCCCACATGTTTGCAGCATGTTTCTGCTTTCATCCAGCTCAATTAATCAACTTGGCTATCAAGTATCATGTCCATTTACTATTCCCATTTGATTTTCAGTAACTCACAGAAACTCCCATTACCGAGATCACCCATGCACACCAGGAGCTTATGGGCAACGAGGTGTTTCTAAACATGGTTTATGTTCAAGCTGCTCTTGATAATCATTTTCGAATTGTAGCCGCAGAGGAACCAAGGATCTTGATGCACTTGAATGATTGTAATGATCTGACTGGTTGCAGTGAGGATTGGCATGCTATATGGTGGAATGGTATGGCCCATTTTCTTCTCAATGGTAGGAACCCTCAACTATATGGTGATGCTGTCAGACACTTCAAGAATATGTCATTTGGCCATGTCAGTGAGGGTTGTAAAGGTATTATGTTTAAGATTCACATACTACAGTGACCTATCTCCATATTATATGGGTCACCCAACCTACATAATATCCCGTATAAGACAGGCCAGCGGACTATGGGCTGATGTTATGTATATCCCCAATGTTGATGGATGGGCCAGGAGGGATATTATTTCCGATGGAGACGGGTGGGCCCATCTATGCTGATATTATATATATCCTCAAAGATGTCGGGTGGGCTGATGTAATGGTTTATTGTATAGATGGGTGGGCTGATGTACAGGAATTATTTTGTACACAGGTGGGCCGAGGGAGCGGTGGAATATGTATTATATAGATGGGTGGGCCAATGTAAGGGTTTATTGTATAGACAGGTGGGCCGACATACTGGAATTATTTTGTAGACAGATGGGCTGAGGAAGTGGTGGAATATTCATTATATAGACGGGTGGGCCGAGGTAGTGAGATATCTGTCTGACATTCACAGATTACCAAGTCCCAGATGCCCAAAAACCGAATCCCATTGTGCAACATCCATTCCGGACACCTGAACACCCAAAGCTTGAGACTGGAAACTGGAAACTCACAAAAATGTGTGAAATTTCTATTTCCTTACACCAAACACATGAACACCTGAACACCCAAAGCCTGAAGCTTGAAAGTCCATTTATCAAATCACCGAGTACCAAGTGCTGATAAACCCAAAGCCTGAGACCCAAAATCCGAAGCCCGGAACCCAAAAACATGTATGCAACATGTCCATTTTTCATTCATTGCACAAATCACTGAGTGTCAAGTGCCGAAACCCGAAACTCGAGACCCAGTACACAAATCACCAAGTACTGAGTGCTGAGGGCTGAACCCCAAAGTCCGAGGGCCAAAACACAAAGTCCAAAACCTGAAAACATGTATATAACATATCCATTTTTCGGTCATTGCACAAGTCACCGAGTGTCAAGTGCCAAAACCCAAAACTTGAAACCCAGTATGCAACATACCCATTTTTCATTTACATTAAACAAATCATCAAATGCTGAGTGCCGAGGCCTGAAGCCCAATGTTCAAAACACGAAAGCTGAAGCCTGAAACCCGAAAATATGTATACAACATATCAATATTTCACTCATTGCACAAATCACCGAGTATTGAGTACCAAAACCTGAAACTCGACACCCAGTACACAAATCACCAAGTGCCAAGTGCCAAGTGCTGAGGCCCAAAACCCAACATCCGAAACCCAAAGCCTGAAACCCAAAAATATGTATACAACATATCCATATTTCCCTCACTGCACAAATCACCAAGTGTCGAGTGCCAAAACCTGAAACTCGAAACCCGGTGTGCAACATGTCCATTTTTCACTCATTCCATAAAACACCAAGTGTCAAATGCTGAAACCTGAAGCTGAAAACCTGGTGTGCAACATGCCCATTTTTCATTTACACTAAACAAAACATTGAGTGCCGAGTGCCGAGGCCTGAAACCTGAAAGTATGTATGCAACATGTCCATTTTTCATTTATGGCACAAATCACTGAGTGTCGAGTGCTGAAACACAATTCCCAGTGCTACAAATGGACATGAATTCTGTATTTGTATGTATTATCCATTGATGTAGGGTTCAAACAACTTGGGGATTGTATTGACTACTGAGTGTCAGTACTTCGGACTCAGGACTCGCTAGCCAATATAGGCAAAGATCATGAAAAAATGGAAGTTGTTGTCCGAGTCTAGGTGAGTGTATTGGTAGTCTTTTCTTGTCCATCAGTTATCATTTGACCAAGATATAAGCTAAAGAAATCCGAAACATCAGCGAGAATGAAAAATGAAAGTTATTTTTATGCTTAACTTCCCTCAATGAAAGTTGTAGTCCAAGTCAAGGTGAGTGTATTGGTAGTCTTTTCTTGTCAATTGGTTATTTCATTACTCAGTACTCGGTACTCGGTACTCAGTACTTAGAAATCAGTACTCAGTACTTGGTTCTGATACTCGGTACCTGGTGTAATGATAGTCGTGGCGCTGGGCTCAAAACCTGTGTTTTTGATACTCACGTTAAACAGTATTTGTCCGATGCATCCCTGACATTCCGATCCTGATCCCGACGCCCGACCCTGACCCAAAAGTTTTGGACCCAACATTTTTGCATTGGACTCATCCTTCCTATGTCCTGTCTAGTCGTATCTATCCCCACTGGTGTGTATTTACTCGTTTTCGCATTATTGAATATTACAAACAGTGTTATTACATGTAAGCATAGACCATTGCACTTTTGACATTTTTCACGATTTTCAGTATCTTGCCCTTGCATCCATGATCCAACCTTTTAATATATAATGAGCATAGCTTATATTATTGCCTCTTATGACCAAGATCAGCTCACAATAGGCTGGAGTTTGTGAGCTAGTGTGCATACTTGCCATTTCTCCTGATGAGGGGCCCATACCTTCAAAACATTGAATCTTCATGATCAGAAACCTGGAGTACATTTAAAATATATTAAGTATCATAGACATAAATTTACAGACAAATCCACCAAGAATTGAGTACTGAGGAAGTGAAATAGATAAGAAATGGAGTGTGGGAAACTTCAAAGACCCAAAGCATCGACAATGGTCAGTGAAGCAATGATAGGCTTTAATGCTGAGTCAACTCATGTTTTCACTATATCCCTTCCGCCCACCCCCTACCCTCAAGGCAGTAGGCAGTACGGGTTCCTTAGGTAGTTTACAATCAATCCTACATATTTTTAATGAAATCTTTGGCCTGAATCATCTATAAATGTGACTTTGTAAAAATATGTCTATTGTCACATTTCACACATATGCCTGTCATTACATCAATCCTTCATGGATCTTTCTAAACTATTTGGGCTATTATAATGGACATATATGGGTGTTATTCCAGGTCTCTGATCCCATCACAGGCTTGTCATGTTGGATATCTCAACATAATGTGCAAGTCTTGCTATTAATATTTATTCTTTTATCTTTATGCTCACTTACTGCACACATGTACAAATGCACACCTCATCTTTACATCATTGCTAACATGCCAGACAAATATATAATCCTCATACCTGCATCATCCTACCTCAGTCTATCTGTTCTCAGACCGAGGTATGACTATACATTCATTATCATACTCGACACTGACTAACATTTAACGTAGTCTTCAAATAATCCCCAATTGACAAGAATGATGTGAGTATGAAAATTAGTGGTTCCAAGCCCAGCACTGTGACCATCACTACACTGAGTACCAATACTTGGTAGGACCACCAATACACTCACATAGACTCAGACCACAACCTTCATTAAGAAAGTTAAGCATAATAATAATTTTCATTTTTTCATTATCATTTTCCTATATTGACTAGCGAGTCCCGAGTCCCGACACTCGGTAGTCAATACAATTCCAAAGTTATTTGAACCCTACATCAATGGATAATACATACAAATACAGAATTCATGTCCAGTTGTAGTCACATGTACCAGGTGTTGAGTTTCGGGTTTCGGTACTCGACACTTGGTGATTTGTGCAGTGAGGGAAATATGGATATGTTGTATACATATTTTTGGGTTTCAGGCTTTGGATGTCGGGCCTTGGCACTCAGCACTCAGCACTTGGTGATTTGTGTACCGGGTCTCAAGTTTCGGATTTTGGCACTCAACACTCGGTGATTTGTGCAATGAGTGAAATATTGATATGTTATATACATATTTTCGGGTTTCAGGATTTGGGTTTTGGGCTTCCAACATCGCGTTTTGGGCCTTGGCACTTTGCACTCAACACTTGGTGATTTGTGTACTGGGTGTTGAGTTTTGGGTTTTGGCACTTGACACTCAGTGATTTGTGCAATGAGTGAAATATTGATATGTTATATACATATTTTCGGGTTTCAGGATTTGGGTTTTGGGCTTCCAACATCGCGTTTTGGGCCTTGGCACTTTGCACTCAACACTTGGTGATTTGTGTACTGGGTGTTGAGTTTCGGGTTTTGGCACTTGACACTCAGTGATTTGTGCAATGAGTGAAATATTGATATGTTATATACATATTTTCGGGTTTCGGGCTTTGGACATTGGGGCTTGGGCTTGGGCACTCGGCACTTGGTGATTCGTGTACCGGGTGTCGAGTTTCAGGTTTCGGTACTCGACACTTGGTGATTTGTGCAGTGAGGGAAATATGGATATGTTGTATACATATTTTTGGGTTTCAGGCTTTGGGTTTCGGATGTTGGGTTTTGGGCCTCAGCACTTGGCACTTGGCACTTGGTGATTTGTGTACTGGGTGTCGAGTTTCAGGTTTTGGTACTCAATACTCGGTGATTTGTGCAATGAGTGAAATATTGATATGTTGTATACATATTTTCGGGTTTCAGGCTTCAGCTTTCGTGTTTTGAACATTGGGCTTCAGGCCTCGGCACTCAGCATTTGATGATTTGTTTAATGTAAATGAAAAATGGGTATGTTGCATACTGGGTTTCAAGTTTTGGGTTTTGGCACTTGACACTCGGTGACTTGTGCAATGACCGAAAAATGGATATGTTATATACATGTTTTCAGGTTTTGGACTTTGTGTTTTGGCCCTCGGACTTTGGGGTTCAGCCCTCAGCACTCAGTACTTGGTGATTTGTGTACTGGGTCTCGAGTTTCGGGTTTCGGCACTTGACACTCAGTGATTTGTGCAATGAATGAAAAATGGACATGTTGCATACATGTTTTTGGGTTCCGGGCTTCGGATTTTGGGTCTCAGGCTTTGGGTTTATCAGCACTTGGTACTCGGTGATTTGATAAATGGACTTTCAAGCTTCAGGCTTTGGGTGTTCAGGTGTTCATGTGTTTGGTGTAAGGAAATAGAAATTTCACACATTTTTGTGAGTTTCCAGTTTCCAGTCTCAAGCTTTGGGTGTTCAGGTGTCCGGAATGGATGTTGCACAATGGGATTCGGTTTTTGGGCATCTGGGACTTGGTAATCTGTGAATGTCAGACAGATATCTCACTACCTCGGCCCACCCGTCTATATAATGAATATTCCACCACTTCCTCAGCCCATCTGTCTACAAAATAATTCCAGTATGTCGGCCCACCTGTCTATACAATAAACCCTTACATTGGCCCACCCATCTATATAATACATATTCCACCGCTCCCTCGGCCCACCTGTGTACAAAATAATTCCTGTACATCAGCCCACCCATCTATACAATAAACCATTACATCAGCCCACCCGACATCTTTGAGGATATATATAATATCAGCATAGATGGGCCCACCCGTCTCCATCGGAAATAATATCCCTCCTGGCCCATCCATCAACATTGGGGATATACATAACATCAGCCCATAGTCCGCTGGCCTGTCTTATATGGGATATTATGTAGGTTGGGTGACCTGTATAATACGGAATTTGTCACTGAAGGGGCTCTAAGATTCTCAATGAGGGTGCAGTATTTCATTATGCAGAACACTTTATTACTGAGGCTTGCAAATTTCTATTAGAGAAACTGGTTTTTACGCCTTAACATCCTGGCAGTAGCTACTATTGTGTACTGGTTTCTGGGGACTATAATGTAGAATTGTTGTTCCTAACGTACAGCGGCATCCTGAAGTTTAGCTTTTGGGATGGTAGTAGACTTAGAGGGATTAGATACTAAAGTTTCAGATGGAGTTGCAGATGAGGAGAGATTGTCATCTGTGGCCTGTTGAACTGGATAAAATTTGTTGAGCACTTGACACACTCACAATAAATAGGAGCCAGAATAGAGACAACACATTGCATGTGCAATGAACATTCAACCTTTACCTTGAGACTACTTGAGCGTAAGCAGGGAAAAGGAAAAGAGGGGAAGCAATTCAGGTGCATAGACAACCCGAAATGGATGAACACATGAATAACATGACAGATAGTTCAAAATTTTTGCTCACTGCATCAGCAAAAACACAGTTGACTACAGGGTGCTATATAGTCAGTGTAGTACCTGTAGACCAATGTGTCAAGTACCTACTATATGCAGCTATATAGCCACACAGCCAACTATATAGCCACACAGCCAACTATATAGCACTATGGCAACTCCTGTAGCTCGTTGTAGCCACTGACTACAGGTGCTACAGGCTGCTACAGGTGCTACAAGTTACTACAGGGTGCAATAGGAATTGTACTAGTATTTGCTCGTTCAAGCTACAGGTAGCTACATACTGTTACTGTAGCTCCCACAATATAGATTGCACCACTAAGCAGAAATCAACAAAATTGAATCAATTAAGGTGCTATAGTGCATGAGCATGCATACAATCCTTGAGATACAGCCACCTCAATCATCATCCATGCCTCCATGACCCCCTTCTTGTGCTTCTTGAATCTCGACTTTGTACTCACAAATCACATCATCAAACACATCATTTGTGAATCCATCAATGGTCACTGCTGCCATCAGTGGATCCACACCAGCATGCATCCTTTTTTATCAATGTCAGTTGAGATGATGAACAACATAAGTAATTAAAAACATACCGAGCAATGTCGAGAAGATTGACACCAATTTTACTGAGCAGTTTGTAAGCAGCAGTCTGCTCCTTGAACCACCTCAGGGAGTTGAGATGGAGAAGGTAGACCAGTGAAGATGAGGAATCTAAACTGTGGGGAAAGTTGGTGTTAAGCTAAGCAAACACAGATAGACCCAGGTGCAAGTGAAATTGTCATCCCAAGGGCAGCTAACTGAGTAAAGGAAACCTCTCTTTGTAAAAAGAGGGACACCAAACAACTAATGAAGTACTAGGGCTAAGTAACGCATGAAGTGGAAATGATGTGATGTACGAAAGGCAAATGTGCGTGATGACACGCAAGTGCGAAAGGTGAAGGTCGAGGTGCGCGATGCGAAGGTAGCGCATGTGAGTGAAGGTGAGAGACAAGCGAGCAAGAGAAGCAAGGGAAAGACGAGGCAAGATGAGTGTTAACACCCCAACTAAGGTTGGCTGATGCTAAGACGGAGACCGAGAACCAAAGGGCACAACTTTAGACAGTCACTTGCAAACAATGAGTAAAATTCTTAGTATCTAGAGACACACAGAAAGTGGGCAGAAAATTGACCCCAAAAATAGAGTAAAGAGATAGTATATGTAAAGATAGCTAAGTGCCGCTAGGCACGCAGGTTCGATGTAGCGAGCCGAGTAAGCTAAATATAGTACACGAGATAGGTAATAGGGTCTCAGCTGCGTGCGTAGCGCTAGGCCGAGAATTAGTGATGGAAGCAATTAGTCAAAATGGGAATATAGTGAGAAAATGCACCAATGAACATCTAAGGACATGGGGAGGACAGATGGATGGGTATGCGGACAATGCTAATGCGGATGCGCGGTGCGCGCAAAGTGTGAGTGGCTGCGCGTGGGATCTGCAAAGTAAAATATATGAAGCGCTACTGCGCAAGACGTATCCTTGGGATTAGAGCTGGAGTGTGTAGGGAATGTGGGAGAATTTGAGGGAAGTGCCTGTGGAGACACGAGGCTCTACACCAGGGAGTAAGCGACTAAAAAAAATTTGATGTCCTCCTTTACTCCAGTCATCCACTTGTCGATGCAGCATTCAATCTGTCAGACCTCAGTTGCAGTACCAACATCAGATTAATTGAATACACTCACTGCTGTGAGTATAAGTGTGATGGTTTGAATGGGTAAAGGATCGAGGTATTTAGCATATACTATACTCTCATTGGTTTGGTTTGCAAACCACATATCATTGACCACCAACTGGATTAATTTGGTCTTGTATATGCCACATTTCATTTCCCAGTCCTTTTACTCCACCAGTCAGACATTGACTAACGATCATGAAATTATTGAATACACACCTTAAAAACAAAATGTGATCCCTCCTTGAGAGACTTGGCCAGGTCACATTTTTGCTTTATGGCAACTATAGATCTGCTTGCATGGAAGTCAAAGAATGAGGCCATCAGCACCTGCATCTTGGTTTTGAGCTCCCCATGCACATGTGATGTGCACCTCGTCATCTATATGGCAACATAACATCAAGTAGGGCAAGGATGTGGACATTTTACCATTTTGATGAGTGAAGGGGTAAGTTGGATGATAAGCTCTGCCATGTTAGATGCCTCATGCCAGGCATCCTTTGCTAGCTTGGTCTCAATGATCAGTGTCTCAGGAAAAGGTGCGCGAGTCACGATTAGACAACGGTAGATAGATGTGGCAGTGGTGAGCAAATCCTTGGTGACCTTGTCAAAATTACTAGCTTTTAACTATTAGTGTATTCTATTTGGACCTTTCTTGAACTTCATGTCAGTATTCAGGATCTCAGAGTCCTCCAGTCGGTGCTTGGTGCTGACAACCAGTGGTGAAGAAGCTTTGGCCACTTCATCATGATCATTACCAGTGTTGTCAATTAGACTCGTTCTCAGTGTCATCCATGCTATTGGGAAACTTGATTGAATCCTTGCTGCCGCTGCTGCTGTCACTGTCACTGTCGCTGTTATTATCTGAAGTACAGTTGTGGATGCTGAAAAAGTGAGTTAGTTCAAGATACACACAGGCTTATCATTGCTCATGCCATCCAGCTCTATTTGTCTGCTGCTTTATGTGGCAACAAACATGTCATGAAAGACATTGGAAGCTGAAGATAAAATTGAACTGCAAAGCTTGTACAGTGTATTCTCAACATGCTGGCACAAAATATTTCGAGCTATGAGTCCAAAATGAAGAATAAATTCCATAAATTAATAAAACACACCTGAAAGATATGGCTTGATGCATGAAAGTAGTATATAGGGTGTCAAGTTGGTGTCCTTGATATATTGACAATTTGAAAGGGTTTACAAGAACAAGGATCAGCTAAAAAATACTAATCAGAACTGTATGTTTGTGACCATTGTTTGCCAGGTCTCACACTTTGGGACATTGTCCAAGTCGACATTTGGTTGTTGTTGAATGCTACTCCATACTCAAATCAATCTATTGTGATGCCTGTGCTACCAACAACTTTGCCTCAATTTTCATCTCACATGCTAAATCAAAATCTATGGTCTGCAAACATTTTCACTGCCCATGATACTTTGTCAGATATTTACTGATGTGCCTATTGTATTCTTATTCAAGAGGATGCCAACCCAATCCAGCTCACTTTTTATATAGAAGCTATATCAGGGGATGCTATTCCATTGCTTGAAGCTCTTGCATGCAACCCTTAGGCGCCTAAGATGCAAGATTGGCTCTCTCATGCAGCATATTTGCTGGGAGATCTCTCTATGCATTTGTCGTCATTTTAGTACAATATGCAGAATTGATAATTCATCTCTCATATGTAATTAGTGTCATTAATTGTGCAATAGCATGGATGAAAATGCTGTGTTTCCAGAACCAAGTGGCCTTGCTGCACACAGGCTGTCCTAGGCATCCAAAAAAAATTATTGATGTTAGATTCCTCACTGAAGCAGTCTTAGCTTCCTAGCAAATTAACCTTACTAAGCTTTCTGAAATGTTTGGAGTCTACAAGAACACATTGTGATGCTATATGAAGCACTATGAAGTTGAAACAAAATACTTGAACCTTACTAATGTTGATCTTGATCTTCTCATCACTGAGTTCAAGAAAAAATGGCCTGATTCAGGTATAAGATACATCATTGGTTTTCTCTGCAGACATAGACTGCAAGTGCAGCATTGATAAGTGGTAGAATCACTCCACAGAGTTGACAGATTAGGTCAGGTATTGCACAACTGATAGGTCAAACATCAGCATAAGTATCATATTAGGTGGCCTAATGCATTGTGGCACCTAGATGGCCACCATAAAGTAATTCAATGGGGGATAGTGATTCATGGTTTCATTGATGGTGTAAAAAGTAAATCTCTGCTGGGCTCTGCAGAAATGGTACTATCTAGACAACAATATTTAGGTAAATCTTCAACACGACCTAGTCTGCTATACTTGTAGGACAAGTGTGTTTGATCCTATAGGGGTTGCTATATGATGTTAGTAGTATAAATGTGTCAGTAATGCAAATAATGAATGTCTGAAGCTATGAAATGATGTCTGAAGGTAATCTGAAGATATCCAAGGGTACTTATCTGATGTCCAAAGGTATTCTATTGATGTCCAATGCCAAAGCATGATGTCCGAGATTTTGGACTTTTGGACTTCACAAAAATAGGTCAGAAATGACTAAATGAGTGTCAGATTGCAAGCGGTATTGCAAGTATAATGAGTGGCAGATTATGATGGTGAATGAATGGTAATATTTTGCAATGTCAACTAAGAACTATGACAATATTCTGGGTGATCTGCAGAGTCGGGAAACGGCTCCCAACTACTGGATGATGACTACTGAGAATCACTACAGAGTATTTAAGTAAGTACATAGGAATCTGGAATACTATAGGTGAAAATAGTAGTGATATTTTGGATCCAAGAATCTATGTAATAAAACATGAGGCACTGTGGACATGTAATAACACGGTCTGAATGTCAGAAAATGTGAAAGCAAGTAACTATGCACCTAGTGGGGCTAGTTCAGAAGGACAGGACATGGGATGGATAAGTACATGTGAAGTGCAATTGGCCAATGCAATGTCTGAAAGTCTGATGTGCCAGATCTGATGCAGAGTGGCTCAGACATGTGCAGATCTGTTTTGGGTGTTGACATGAGTATGAAAAACCCTGGTTCTGAGTCCAGCACTGTGACCATTGCTACAATGGTTGCTATATGGTATTAGTAGTATTAATGTGTCAGTAATGCAAATAATGATTGTCCAAAGCTACAAAACAATGTCTGAAGGTAATCCAATGATGTCCAAGGGTACTTATCCAATGTCCGAAGATATTCTATCAATGTCCAATGCCAAAGTGCAATGTCTGAGATTTCAGACTTTCAAACTTCATAAAAATAAGTTGGAAACTATAAAACAAGTGTCGAATTGCGAGTGGTATTGCAAGTATAACAAATGATGAAGTGTGATGGTGAATGAATAATAATATTTCACAATATCAACTAAGAACTACGAAAATATTCCAAGTGATCCACAGTTTCAGAAAACAACTCCCCTCTACTGAACAATAATGTACTATGAGTCACTACAGAATATTTAAGTAAGTACATAGAAATCCGGAATACTATAGGTGAAGATAGTAGTGATATTTCAGATCCAAGAATCTATGTAATAAAACACGAGGCACTGTGGACATGTAATAACACAGTCCAAATGTCAGAAAATGTGAAAGCAAGTAAATACACACCTAGTGGGGCTAGTTCAATGGGACAGGACACAGGATGGACAAGTGCGCACAAAGTCCAGTCAGCCAATGTGGTGTCCGATGGCCAGATCCACCAGGTCCAATGCAGAGTGGCTCAGACATGTGCAAAGTGCACTGGACAATGTGTGGATATGTTTCAGATGTCGACATGAGTATGAAAAACAGTGGTTCTGAGCCCAGTGCTATGACCATCATTACAGCACATTGCACAGCAATTACTGCTTTCAGGTGATAAAATAATATTGTATGTAAATAGCTTATATAACAATAATGTGTTCCCAAGTACTTAGAGACATTAGATGATTTAGGGCAATATTTAATGCTGGTATTGGGAAAACATTGTTGTTGAGCCAAATAAGCCAGGGTGAGACACGTAATCTAAACCTTACTTATCGGACAACCCCTGTAAACTCGATGAAATGTCACACGAGATCACGTGATGAAGCGGTGTATGAACCGTTGAGGCCTATCAGAGCCGGATGAGTTTCTCGACTTTTGCCAATTCGACCAGTTACTTGGCAGAACACTAGTTCTGCCCGCTACACTACCGGGTCACGGTTTCCAAAATCAGCTAGGATCTAACAACGTCAAGCATTTAGGCATTCATAATTCAACCGCTCCAATGATTGCACCGGAAGGGATGATATAATCCAAAAGTCCTGATTCATTCACAAGCTGATCACGGCGAGCTATGGCCATAAATACAGTTCACGTCCATATCAAGAAAGTTAGCTTGATATCATCTTCGGACTTGCAAGGCTTTCAAGTTGGACTAGCAGAATGGATGCCTCACATTCTTCTCGTGTACCAAGCGAAACCATGCCTCTGATCCCAGAAGGGGCCTCGAAAAAGTCTAAAACACCTCTTCCAAAATTCCAGATAGGCATACTTATGACTTTGCGACTTGTCGAACCTATCGCTTCAATGTCCATATTCCCTTATATCAATCAGGTATGATGATTTCCCAATGCGCCATTAGATCATTTTACATTCTTTGTATCTTTATTCTCAGCTTATTAGAGAGCTTGACATCACTGGTGGTGACGATGCGGCTGTAGGATATTACGCTGGAATCATTGTAGGCATCGAGATTACTACGAATTGCGAGAATCATGATCTCCTCATACTGCTGATCGGATATGATTGACAGGAATCTCTGTTTTTCGTCGCACAGACACTGACCGTGCTGAGATGGAGTCAGTTGTCTGACCGTATTGGACGCAAGCCAGTACTGCTAGTGGGATTATCAGGGACTTGCATCTCGATGCTATGTTTCGGTCTCTCGACGACATTCTGGGGCCTTGTCATTAGGTTTGGTTTCATCTGAAGAGATGAAACATCATCCTTACGTTTTTTCTAGCCGCTGCATGTGCGGTGTACTGAATGGCAATGTTTCAGTCATGAAGACGATGGTGGGCGAATTGACGGACCCTACGAATATGGCCCAGGGTTTTGCCTTGTTTCCAGTAATGTGGTGCATCGGAGGCTTTGTGGGGTCAGTGACGATTTGAATGGCCACAATTAACATGATTAAATCCGCATACCAGTCCTTTAATTGGTGGGACGCTCGCGCGTCCACAAGATAACTGGCCCAGATTATTCGCTCATCCATTTTGGAGCAAATACCCATATTTTTTACCTTGCGCAGTGTCTGCTTGCGGGATTGTAATAGGCTTTTTCATCCTGTTAGTTTTCTTAGAAGAAGTAAGTTTTACATACCACCTTATGTTGTCGCACAACGTTATTCACGATCGGCAGACATTATCAACCAAGCGTCGACCAAAGTTGACAGCGACTACTCTAGGCATTTCAAATGGTATCAACAGTGATGATCGAGAAGGCGTTTTACAAACATCTAACATGCCCATGCGATCTCTGCTCACACCTACCGTTGTCGTTGCAATTGCAAACTACGCCATGCTCGCCTTGCTCGACATGGCTCTCATGGCTCTTTTTCCGCTGTTCTTGTCTACGCCTAACTATCTTGGCGGCCTTGGTTTTACTCCTTCTCGTATTGGCTTGTGGATGGCGGTGCTTGCAATCACGAATGGTATCTTTCAGGCACTGTTCTTCGCCAAAATTGTCGATTGGGTTGGTCCAAAGCGTCTCTTCTGTGTGTCCGTGTCGTGCTTCACGCCAATCATGCTCATGTTTCCAATCATGACGTGGCTTTTACACACAAGGGGGATGGTTGATCACGCAATCACATTTACATTGATCAGCCAACTAGCGCTGATGATTATATGGGATATGGCATACGGTGCGTGGTACCACGAAATCCATCCTGTCATTCAAATTTAAACCCATATGATCATAGGGACTATATTCATGTTTGTCACGACCTCTGCCCCTGCGAAAAATTCCCTTGGCGCTGTGAATGGTCTTGGTCAAACCTCGGCGTCAATGGCTCGTGTTGTTGGACCTACATTTGCAACTTCGCTTTTTGCATTCTCAAAGGAGCACAATATCCTCAACGGGAATGCAGTATATGTTGTTTTGATTGTGCTTGCTGGTGTATTGAGGTGGTTAGCGTCACAATTGCCAGATGAAGATAGGGATGAGTGATTCACAAGGTAACCAGCGAAAAATGTGTATGCATCGCTGTCCAAAGTGCCCTGCACTCATACGTTCACATTCGTTCTAGACTCATGATGTAGAGTTTCATTTAACTGCATCACGTTCAATGGTGCGACTGGTTACGTACTATCCTCTGCCAAATTCTCATATCTTTCTCGACATCTAGAATTCGGAGTCAGGTTATTCGATTAGTGTCTCATTGTAGACTCGTAGCAGGCGAAGTGAGGAGTTTGAAATTTGGCAGATACCAGTATGCCGCTTCCACGTAAATTCTTTCGTTCGAACTTCGTACCGTGAAAAGTACGGTATCCTCTCAAATACAACAGTACATCGCGCCGTAGCACTAATCATTGATTAGGGCAACATGTCAGAAAGTAATGATATGAGGCATCTGAGCTGGAACAATTTCGAACATTGTGATCCTTAGGAAAGACTCGGAATCTCAGGTTTCTCTCGGTTCACTGATGTCGAATCGCGAGAAAGCCTCAAGAACTTGCTGTTGCGTCGTTGAGAGGGCCCTCGTAAAGTCCGTTGAGAGATTCTCAATTGTATCTCGAGCAACGAGCGATAACGGTCGTACAGAACTCATGGTTGAAAACGTACAGCCTAAGGTAAAGGTCGGGGAGAGCAGACGCAATAACTTATGCTATAGTATGATCGGAACTATCTCCGACACGACCGTGTCCTATATTGCATTTCAAACTTCCTCGCTCCGCCCTGCCACGCCACTCCGAGATCGACCAGTCTGGCTACAAGGCATCCGTGGTAGTATACGCCAAGCTGGTCACGAGCCTAATCTCATTGCGCTTCTTTTCCAGGAAGCTTTCGTGGCTGATCTTACATATCTTTTCGAAGGAGTACGGTGTTTGAAATTTGCTACGTCGCTTTGGGTAGTCGTATCAACTTGTGCAGCAAGTGACATGGGGAGAACATAAATGACCTCGCAGTCCATGATGGTTGCAAGGCCACGATCATATGCACGAACAGTAGGCACAAAGACTATGGCATAGAGGTAAATGAGTATCGAGGCACAATCAGTAATTTTCAAACCCCATGCTTCTCCTGCCAAATCCCTCCCAGATCGATACTGCTGCCATACATCCGATGATCTGCAATTGTACTTGATAGTATTTGATCACCGGACTGGGTGACCACCCATGATTTTGTTGAGAGTCTTCGTCCTCAGTGGTGTGTCCGCAAACAAGGCACGCACAAGTTTCACCAACTCGTCCACCTCAAAGTCCACTAGAGCTCCCTCTTCGAAAAGATATGTGAGATCAGCCATGGAAGCTTCCTGGAAAATGAGCGCAATGAGATACTGATCGAATAACCTGACTATGAATAGATATACCAGGAGTTCAGAAAGATATGAGAATTTCAGCCACGACGGAACGTATGACACCACGAAAGATGACTGGGCATTGATGAGTTAACTATCTTAAAAAAGCACAGCCAACATACCTCGCTGAAGTCTTCAACGAAGAGCCCTTCAAGAGCAGCCAATATTCTGCATAACTCGCTCAGTTTGTGCGACTCTACTTCAGGGATATCCGGAATTGCAAGTATGTTCTCAAGGATTCGCTGTAATGAAACTTCGACTATTGCTCCTATGGCAGTGTAGTATTTGCCCTTAGGGAGGACGGGCTACGGTAAACATGTACAATCAGCTGCTTTCAACATCACAAGTTGCGCCTCATTCGTACCTTCCATGCGTTCGCAGCGTTTCGAATCTCACGAACGACACGCGAAATGGCCATCTCACAGTCATCATATCGATCCTGGTCTGACGTGTCTGTGAAGCCCTTCGCACTTGCTAATATATCACCCAGGGCTATCCGTTGTCTGTCCTGTTTTAACACAAGCGTGACTACTTCAATACAAGCGACGGTGGAGTCGAGAACTCACAATGCCATCTTGATACCAACTGTCAGCTAACACTTGCAAGACACTCTTGCATTCCTCTAACTTGTCTTTCACGACAAGCACCCCTTGCTCGAGTGTAACTAAGCGACTGACCTCCTCTGCAAGCCATAAGCAGTTGTTGGAGAACTTCATGATATCACCAGGACGAATGAGTCGCGCTGCAGCGACAACGGGATATACTGCACGATACAAATCTAACACCAGTGCTCCTGACTGCATGATGAGTGTCCCAGGTGTCATTGTAGACGTCGGTGAGGTGGGAAAGATACCCGACGATAATAGTTCTTGTCCTTCGTGCAATGCGCCCTCGACCGTACGGATGATTGACTTCGCAAGAGTAGATACCAAATATGGCTCGGTTATGGGCTCCGACGTAGGAGGATCGCGAGAGGTACCATTCGTGAGGCGAGAGACCCTTGAAGTCGCTGGTGCAGAGTTTCCAGACGGGCGTTGCGATAACACAGGTACTGCCTGCACAGCGGGAGTAACTTCCGATAGGGAAGGTTCTTCGCCCCACGGGTCATCCCATGTGTCTTCTGCTTGCACTAGTTCTTCAGGTGCGGGCTCTTCATTATTCCAGCCCCATGCATCCCCTGGGTCTTCCTCGACCACTTCCACAGGTTCAGCTTGTTGACTTTCTTCCTCTAGATCGTCATCAAAGCCCCAGACATTCTCCTCTTCTGGTGCAGACCTCGAGGATCCTGTATTAAAACTCTGACCATTGTCATCAAGTCCCCATGCATCACCTTCATCTGCAGGCGCAAGTCCGGCCCCTTCATGGGTGTCTTGTGAGAGGGGTAACTGGGCATAGAATGTTTGCTCAGAAGATATACTTTGAATGATAAGTTTGCGAGCAGAATCGAGAATGTGTGAGCGCCGTTGTCGTTCATAATGAGTGCAGACATTGTTGACCCAAGCTTTGATTTCCCTCTCGCTAGACGCATCGAGCATCCCAACAATGCACTTGTCTTCCAAATCCACTGCCTTGTGTGTAATTTGTAAAAAAGCGGGTAGAAGTTCAAGCTGTGAAGGCAGACCAGGAATAAGCAAACGGGCCAGGACTGCAGTTGATATGGGTTTGCTAAGACTTTGCAGAAAACTGCGTCTGTGCGTCGGTGGGAGGGCTGGGAATAATTGTTTGTGTAAGAAGCCAAGAGTCGTGGATACGTTGGCAAGTGGAGAACCTGCGTCAGTGGTATTTGGTGATGAAGGGAATCGACCGAGGACGTGCATCAAAGCGCCAGATGTATCTTTCATGGTGCTGACCGTAAGTGATGTCGGCTGGTCGAAAGAACACTCGATGTAGTGTGTTAGAATATCCCTCCTTAGGGTGGAAAGATGCGATGCCAGTGATGCAGAGCTGATTGACGAGAGAACAGACGAAAGCGGTAAGGGCTTCAGTGACTGAGGCACTGGAGAACTACTTGAGATACCCCTACCATGATGCTCTGTCACTCACCAAGCACAAATGGTTTGATGATAACTTTAGACGCGTTCACGATAACACTCTTGGTGTAAGCATCGCTGAGTAGCTCCTCCATACGATTGCTAAGCACACGCAGCCGAGCCTGCAAGCAAGTAGGTTGAGACAGAACGGGATGATAACATACTCTTACCTGTATTTCAGATACTACCGATGCGTCTTTCAGTGGTCCGGGAACGGAGATCAGCAAGGAACTCAAAGCATGACACGCGACTACAGCCGAAGGCAGATCCCCTGTATCAACCAGCTTCTGCAGCGCATCCATCTGTGCCCTACATTCAGAAAGGTGCGAAAGACAATCACTCAAGACATCTGCATCCAAGGATTCTTGAGCCAGTAATTGGTGAGCTTCCAAAGCCTCAAGCAAGACCGGGACTAGACCGGACTAGTGGACTGTTAGTGATGCGTCTTATAATGCATAGTAGAGAAAACACACGCCTTAGAGTCCGAAAGCGTAACACTTAGAGTTTGAACATGTCCAGAAAGTGTATCCAGTCGTTCTTTGAGAGACCTTGCCGAAGACAGCTGTCTTTGGAAGCTAGAAGAGTCTGCACGTATTCTGTCATGAATTTTGGTCTATTCAATCATTACTCCACGGAGAATTTATATCAATTACAGGAGAATACCTTAGTCAATCGAATGGATTCGTCAAGCTCAGCTTTACATGAGGATGCAAAAGACGAATTCAAGGACTGTAATGTTACAGAATCAAACTTGGAAAGAACATTCGATGAAACATCAAGCTGCCGCGGGAGATGATCAGGGAGAAGGAAAGGCATACGTCCAACCAACGTCGAAATCAGGAGAGTAAGTCTAGGCTAAACTACTGATACACGCCCTCCACAAGTTACTTTGCTCACGTGATTAGAATACACGCGTTTGAAACGTTGCATTCAAATTTTGTGCTACATAGTTGAGCTTGATGAAGGTACTTTAAATTTGGCCTGAACTTATGTTACAGATCTAGAGCATAGATGACCAAAGAAAAGCATCGAGTTACTGACAATGACAAGTAGCCAGTAGAAATATTTTGCAATTCAAGCGGAAGGTTATGTCAGGCGCTTCAATTATATGATGTATTACTTCGCAGAGAGCTCTACAGCATTTTTGAACGCTCCAAGTAGAGCAGATAATTGCATCTTCTCGCTCCCGCCAGTCGATAATCTATGCCTAATGAGAAAGACATTAGTTGTCTGTCACGAAACTGGATATAGACGAGACTTACTCGGTGGTAGCTAGAAAGTCAAGTAAATATACTCGAGCCTGCGGCTTGAATTCAATCGTTTCCACGTATTCGTATGCACCTGATATCAAGTCTTGCAGTGCAAGTCCACGTTCTGTTTTCATGGCCGAGATCACTGACGGAGGTTTTGTGAGGCATTAAGAACACGATGCGAAAAGGCTCACTTTGGTAAGAAGTGGTGAATTCATCAGAGAGCATGGAGTTTACGATGGTTTCAATGTCTGACGGATGAGGGTTTCCAGTGCAGTTATAAATTTCAGTCTCCCCGATGGAGCTATATGCTGCGTGACATGCTTGTAGGACATTGAGGGCTCGCCGCATGTCTCCTTTCGAAAGTTTTAAAAGGGCCTTTTTGCCGTCTTGAGTCAGATTTACCCTATTGCAGAAGTTGGGTGTTTAGCAGCAACTTTATAAATGAGCATACATACTTCTCAGCTTCCACAACGCCATTAACGCGTTTCTCTACCTCTGCAATTGGAAGTGGCGAAAAACGGAACCTCGTACATCGACTTTGAATTGCCGGAGCGATCTTGTTCACGTAGTTGCAGATAATGCAAAACCGCACATTCTTGGTGTATTGTTCAATAACACGACGTAGTGCAGCTTGAGCTTGCTGTGTCATCATGTCGGCTTCATCGAGGATGATGAGCTTAAAGCCTTTTGAAAACAATGTTCGGGTCTCCGCAAATTGCTTAATCTGCTCGCGTACTACATCTATACCTCTGTCGTCCGACGCATTGAGCTGAATAAGGTTAGCATTGTTCTATGCAGATTCAGAGGGGCTTCACCTCCAATATTTGTTTCTTGTATTCTGTTCCATATATTCGTCTTGCCACCGCAAGAATTGTGGACGTCTTTCCAGTTCCAGGTGGACCGTAGAATAGAAGGTGAGGCAAGCGATTCTTCTCAATGAATTTCACGACTGAGTGAATCTTAGTGGATGCATTCCTCAAGCAGGTGAAACTCAACTTGTTGTTGTAATATCCTTGTGCGAAACTACATCGTCCAGTGTGACTGGTCGATACTTCTCTACCCTATCGCGTATTGAGCAAGAGTGACGAGGGAAAGGATAGAAGACGCAACCAGGGCAAACTCTCATCCTCGTGAGGCTCGTGTCTCCCTACAACCTTAGCCTTTCCTTTACCCTTGTCAAGCGATGGCGTAGGATCAACATCCATTTGACCGTCACTAGTCATGACACGTCCCGAAGCAATATGAAAATTATGAATTCAATGTAGCTGGCGCGTTGAGCGCGACGCGTCGAAAGCAGATTTGTAATTTAATTAGTCAGCTGATGGTATTCTCACGCACAGACCATCATCAGATTGATTAAGGTTTTCAGGCATTAATCATCTCTTCCACCTTACAATTGCAACCACAACAGCGGCTCTTGCTTTCGTCGACGACTCCATCGATTATTCGTTGGACAGACAGGAGCATCCGGCAAAATGCAGATCTTTGTAAAGACGTGCGTGCAGTTCGGACCTGATTTCTGTAGCTTCACCTGACATTGATATCAGCCTCACGGGCAAAACTATCACTCTTGAAGTCGAGTCTTCAGACACCATCGACAATGTCAAGGCCAAGATCCAGGACAAGGAGGGGTAAGGTTATGTTGCACATACGTATTATCAACACTCATCACTGTCTTAGCATTCCCCCCGACCAGCAGCGCCTGATCTTCGCTGGCAAGCAGCTCGAGGATGGCCGTACCCTTAGCGACTACAACATCCAAAAGGAGTCCACTCTTCACTTGGTTCTCCGCCTCCGTGGTGGTGCCAAAAAGCGCAAGAAGAAGACATACAACGTGAGTACCATTGAACATCCTTGATTCAAATTTTATGCTCATCATCCTACTCTATAACAGACACCCAAGAAGATCAAGCACAAGCGCAAGAAGGTTAAGATGTCTATCTTGAAATACTACAAGGTGGACTCCGACGGGAAGATCAAGCGTCTTCGCCGCGAGTGCCCCAATGCTGAGTGCGGTGCTGGTGTCTTCGTAAGTGTCAATTTGATTTCAATCTGGCGTGTGGGGCTGATGACCCATCCCAGATGGCTTTCCACAAAGACCGGCAATACTGTGGCAAGTGCCATATGACCTACACTTTCCAACCTGGTGCAAAGCCTCCTGCAGTGTAGAGCAACCGTCAATCATGTTGTATAGTTATCGACTGGTCGAGTAGTGAATATGTCAGGCATGCATGTGCAATGAATCATTCTACGGATTAAATGTTTTTTAAACGACCTTGGCTGACTTTGTGAAGTTCCGGTTGACTCGGTCTGGCACTTTGAATATTAATGAGTCTGCAGTAATAAGTTAACGAGCTTGTTCTTTGTCGGTTGCCCTTGAACCGTAGCCTCACTCACTGGCAGGCCTTTAGTACAATTTAACAACTTACAATCTCCATAGGACAGAAAAATTAAATTTTGTAAAAAAGATACCTTGTAACAGTACGAAATGAAGTTATAGTGAGCCCAGCTGGAGCTCCATTGCTCAGTGCTCAGCATCTGCATGATCATTGTATACTAGTAAATCGACATGTTATTCAACAATGTCATATATGTTCGGAGCGCCAGCCATTGTGGCTTCGCACAACTTGTGTCACGCATTTCAACCAACTCTTGGTCAAAACTTTAAAGGGCCTCTGAATCACTAGTGAGGCAGGTAAATCTAGGCAGCCGCGTAGACAGACGCCACATTTACAAGTAGCCAGTTTACAATTCAACAAGTACGTACGTACAAAACGAATATTATTCGAGGCAAACCATATCAAAATTAATAACTTAAAGCGCAATAATCAGGCAGCGCTAGCGCACATCACCACCTAGGATGAGGCTGATCATCCCATTGGCCTCTTTGTGGTGAATGACCTTCATAGTCTGGTCCGCTCCGAGTCCGACTCCTTTGCCATCCTGAATCATGAGGACGGTGTGGTGCATCCCCTCTCCCTCGTCCCCGGCCTCTGCCCCGTCCACGCGTACCATTCGTCCATCCCCCACGATCTGGTCTATCATGATTGGGAAATGAGCCATGACGAAACTCTCGATCCCGATCTTGTCGGTTGTATGGTCCATTGTTGAAAGACCCACGTGCAGGACCCGTTGGTGGAGATATGGGATTAGGGCGTATAGGTGATACAGGTGGAGCCGCCCGTGCATGGCTAGGAGGATGGCTCACAGGAGGAACGCTTCCTGTAGCGAATGATTGTGATGGAAAACTGGGTGGTGTGGTGTTATTCCATAACTGAGGCGGCGTTGCTACTATAGGGGCGGCTGGTGCGGTTGGTGCGGTGGGATAGCTGCCGACATTCATGCCATAATCCGCAGATAGGGTTCTCAACACGATGTGTATCTGTTCCTGCGTGAGGGAAGCTACTTCTGCTGCGAGGGACGTATTAGCAAGCTGTGGATAAGCTTGTTGTAGGGCAGTAAGTGGGGGCGCATTGATGGTTGCAGATACAGGTAAGGGTGTAGGCGCAGGTACATGTGGTACAGAAATGGCTGCGGAAGGGCTTGGTTGGCCAATAGAATGGTTGGCAACACTGGGCATGTGAGGCGACTGCGGCGGGATAACCCCAGCAGGATGTTGGGGCACAGATGGTGGCGGTGGAGGCGGCGGGGCAAGTTTTCCCCTCGTTAAAACCCAGATCCCGATAACATAATTCGACTTGCGGGTTTTTGGAAGGCATAAGTTATCCATAAGCTCTACAAAGTCAGGCAAAGGATAGCTTGCGAGCAACGGGACCATGTATAATTCCTTGCCGGGGTGGTAGTCCTTCGGTCGGTTACCCCAAGGGAACACTAATCCATGGCGGCTAAACAAAGTTGCTGGTCAGAAATCCAACTTACAATGCATGTCAGAGAATAGAACACATACTTTTTATTGAGAAGGAATTCGCTGAACGTCTGCAGCATTGGGTTCCCCTCTACTGTAGAAAATGCGCATGCAATGAGCTCCTTCTGTGAATTCATTCGCATTTGGAGGAGGAAATGCGAAGAGTTCTCTGTAGGAACACGGCCGTCGATGCGGAGAATATCGGAAGGGAAGAGAGTCTTCCATAAATCAGAATCGTGACCCAAAATCCGTCCTCCAATTTGTCGCGCAACCACAGGTGCTTCCTGAAGAGCTGAAGATTCTAGAGGCATGGATATCTGGCGCCTGTAAGTCATCGCTAAGGAATACATCGACAAAATGCACTAACCTTGCCACTCCAAACAAGAGGAAGGGCGTCGAAAACTGCTTCAGGATCTTGAGAAGGCTCCTCCGTCTGCGAGGACTCTAGATCGTGTTCCTTTTCTAACAGCATATCGAAATCTTCATCGTTAGCTTCTGCGGCGACAAGATCTGCCTCCATCTGTGACTCCCGTGAAACACCAAGGTCTGATGCGGGCTCCGGAGGTGCTGACGGAGCTGACCATAAAGTGTTGAGATCGAAAGATGTGCGAACAGGTGTCTCAGGTTTCGGTACAAGCGATGGGGCGGGTGTGGGTGTTGCCGAAGGAGCAGGATAGGTGCCGGGAGATTCGAAGGATGCAGGTGCAGGCTCTGAGGCAGCAGCAAGCGCAGGCTCTGTGACCTCGGGAGGTGCAGGTTCTGGGTTTGCGGCAGGTGCTGGCTCTAAGCTTGCGCAAGGTGCGCTGTCTGTGACAAGCATGGAAGCCTCTGACGCTGGAGTCTCCACTCTTTCTGCATATGAATCTTGCGGGCCTGGTTCATCATCTAGATTGATGAGATCCGCAATATCAAGCTCCGGCTCAGGAAGCATCGTATGGAAATCAGATGAGAACAAATGATGTCTGTCATCGCCTGCCGGAAACTGGTTGACTGAATGCATGGGCACAGACGGTTGCCCTCCCCAAGTCGACGTATGAGGTACGACTGGAGACTCAGGTGGCGCTGATCCCTGAGCAGCTGCAGACGCACGCTGCTTCTGCTGCTCTTCAGCAGCCCTCAAGCGTGCCTGCCGCTCTCTCTCTCGTCTCTCTTCCTCCTCTCTCTCACGCTCCATCTCACGCTCGCGCTCGCGCATCGCAACATCACCATTCACATCCTCAATGTCCTGCAGGCCCTTATGAGTTATTTTTGCACGAGGAACAGTCGACTTTTGCAGGATTGAATGTTCCAGAGATTCTTTCTCCAATATTTTGATCGACTGTTTCGTCTCTTCGTTCGCTAAGTCAGTCGAGCTCATCAGGGCAAGTTCCTTTGGTGTGATAGAGGACGAGCTAATGCGCTTGTGAATGACCACACGATCTGGTTTGCTAAGGTTAAAGTCAAGCATACGGAACCTCTCCCTGTGAAAGCCATTCAGCGTATTGATTAAAAAACCAAAACGGAGTACGGGCTCACTTATACTTCGGCCCAACGCTGAGCTTGTTGTGCTTGTCCGGTTCGCAGTACATATCAAATACGCATTGCTCAACCTCAGAAGCAAATACCTTCGCTTCTTCCTCTAAACGTGTCTTATCTTCATCACTTAATTCACCTTCGAGCTCGGCCTTAGTGCCATCCTCTGTCGCAGCAGCATGTGGGTACTTCAAAAAAATCGAACAAAACAGCTGGTGGAGTTTTCCAAGACAGTACTTTCTTGCTGGATCCTCTTCAGCTGATGCATCGCTGGATCTCCTGCGTTTGGAAACAGGAGGCTGGGTGACGCTAGTCGCCTTTCGCTTGAGACCAGAACCTGGGACGAGAGATGCCTTCCTAGCTGATGACTCTTGAGATGGACCAGCCTTGTGGGACGATTCTCGGGCATCGGTGCCTTCGTGGACGTTGGAATGTGCATCCGATTCGCTGGAGCTGGAAACTCTGCGACGACGCTGGCGAATGAAGCACAAAAACAAGCTAGCGTCAAAAAGCAAGCTATCGAATAGGGTAGTAGAAACGCACCTTGGCAGATGATGACCCCTTCCTCTTGAACTTCTCTGGCTCCGCAATGTAATCGTCCTCGCTGTCTGTATTGTCCTCCGATTCTGATGGTGGAATCGCCGGAGGTGGCGTTGGGAGCCTAACAGTTTTAGCCTCGTCATGCTCGGGGTCGGCGTGTTCTTCCACTACATCAAGTTCTTCCCACTTCACTGAAAACACGAAAAAGTATTAGTACCTCAAGTCTTGAATTGACACACTGTAGGAAAAAGAAGAGTACATCGTTGTTTTTTCCCTGCGTGTGAACAGGGCGCCACTGTGGTACAAGTTGTGCCATCTAGCGCCCGTTGACAACTGTGCTCAAGCAATCGCTCACATCGAAACCTCTTCAGACAAAAATTGACTCAAGAGGAATAGTCGCGCGCCTATAACGTAAGGCCAAAAGCACCGTTGTACAACCATCACAGCGGCACGCAATTGACTGCAACAAGGATGTGGCGAACAGGAACAAATATGCCACTAACGATAGCAAAGTACTTGCAGGACAAGACTCATATGATGGATGTACATGAAGAGGGATACGAGCCCACAGAGATAACCCAGAAAAGGACCGGTGACACTCACTGACTGTACGTTGACCAGTTAATTCAGTGCATGTAGAACAGACATAAATATCTGCAAAGATGAGGAAATAATCAGGAATCGATGGTGAGATTCGATAAGGAAAAACTTACGGAGTTCAGAGGCCTCTACTTCGTCAAGCCTCACACAACGAAAATGATACCTATGTGCCGATTTAGTGAATGAAGTCAGGTATAGGAATCTAATCGCATATACGCACCACTCATTACAGACGGAACAACACACCATGGGGGTACCATCGTCTGGTTCATGGCAGATACAAAATGTACATTTATCCTTTGGCTGTCTGTCCTGGGCGACCTGAGTGGCTTTCATAGGCGTCTTCGCCTTGGCATGACTAGTCTTGGTCTCATTTTCCATCTCGCTCATGTGGTCTTCGCTCTTCTGGGATCTCGCACGCGACCTGATAGATTTTAGTTGATTATCCTTGCTTGAGCGTGACTTGACATTAATTGTAGTTGACACTGATTTTGTTCTTGAGCGGGTCGACATCGTTGGCGTCGGTCACCGTCCCTGTTTGCAAGGTTTAGTTGTGAGTCAAGAACAGAACGACTTTTAAACTCCGATATTCCGATGAGTGTGGCAAAGTCGCATTTTTCAAATTGACTGTAGAAACTTAATTCTCGAAGACCGTCTGGTGCATTTATGACCATGACACGGTATGAACTGTTGCTGGATTCATACGCCCGGCAATTCACAACTGTACATCCAAGTTTGGGTGCGAACTACGGGTCACCACGAATGTCATATCAAGCGCTCGCCCTAAAAGTACCGTATTCTCATCATTGTTTCCTTGTGATTTCTCGCCGTCGGGGTGAGTGATTCTCGCGCGTCGCTCGTATCCACCCCTATTGTGTGATACACGTCCCTTCAGAATGTATCTGGGAAACATGGGCGGATGATGTTCCGCTTTGCGAAGCCAAGGCCTATCTGAATCATCATCATGTGCCGGTTCATCCCATGATGAGCCCAGTCCAATTGTAGCGATCACTGCTCTAATACCTGCAGGGTCGCTAGTGTGGAGCTGCTCGATAATCACCAGGTGTCATTCTTGACCCGAATAACCTTCTCCTATCACGTGTAGCTTTTGAATACTTGGTAGTAGAATATTGGACGTTTCTGTTCCCGGAGCGCTGCTTCTCCCGCCGGAGATCTCAATCTATTACTAGCGACATTGTATTGGAATCTCGGGAGGAATATCAGAATCCTTAATTTACTACATCCTCGTTTCACTCCCCACCTTTTTCGTCTGACAGGCCATCCCAAGTAACGTCCTTGCTGTGCTTCAGCCACGTTGACTCGAACTGACAGTATTTGCAGTGGATACTGTCAGATCAAGTTCTTGGTGAGTTCGTCTTCTGAGTTGACTTTTCCTTTCAAGTTATTCCTGCCACTGTTGGCAGGCTCCTTGCCGCTTTGTGAAGCGGAGTAGTATGTGAATTCATACTTCCGTCAACACCACTTACGACAAGTACTCACTTTGGAATCTCTATCTTTCGCAGGGTCTAATACTATCGTGCAGCGACGTTAGTCATACAGTTTACTCGAGATCTCGGCATTACATGCGGCTTACACATGGTAGCAATCGCCCTCTCGAGCGATCCAAAGACACAGACACCCAACCCCTTCCATATGGTCTCTCTCCAGTTTGGCAACCCGAGGCCCGACCCGCCACGGAACGCATTGTCCCATACTCCACAGCTCTCCTCCTCGTCCTCATATGCATCTGCTCAAGAGATGCCTGAGACAAAGTCCATGACTTTCAAGCGACTCCGATCGTCCTTGGAGCAAAGTTTAAAGACCGCAACACGTTCTAAAGCAAAAGTCCTGCCACCTGCTGATGACTTTGCAGCTGTCTCCGTCAAGGGTAAATGCAAGGAAGAAGAGCCTGAGAACAACGTTGCTGTGAAAGGGCAGGAGACTGATAAGATCCTGCCCGGCATGCTGAGGCGATTGGAATCAAGGGTAGGACTACGCAGAACTGCACGGGTGTCTACATCGACATCGATCCCCCTTGACGCAAGTCACGCCAACGCGATTGGAGCGCCTTCTGTCAGTGGTAATAACGCGGATGTAGTCACCAAGTCACGCCAGGCTGGATTCACGAGTTTTGCTACCCCATCCCTGTGGCAAGCAACTGTGTCTTCGCCTGTTCTCCATCTCTCATCCCAAAATTTGCCGTCGGGTCCGTCGCAGCCTACAGCGATGGCGCCATTATCAAATACAGGCCCTATCACACCTGCACGCGATCGCACGCGGCGCGTCAGTGTTCAGCCCATTAAGTTCAAGGACATTAGCGGTCCTCAGCCATTAGCAATGCGGCATGACCACCGCAGTGGCGCTGCAATGCCTGACCGCCCTGGTGCGGCCTCCCCTCGAGGAAGTAAACCTCGTCCATCTCCAGTTCTCTCTACACCAAGGGGACGTTCGTCAATTGACGTACCCAGGCGGAGCCATGATTCGCCAAGCCCGCCAGGCACCCCGACACCCCCGTCTGGCTCCCGAGGGCGGTTCGGCGACCTGTCCAGAACGCCCGTAGCTGCGAATGCAACTCACCTGCCTCTTCACAGCAGTCCACCTTCCTTTCCCACTCCCAATCGTGCTGTGAGCCCTGCACGCGCAAGGACACCTCTGAAACAAGCAGTGGTTCCTCCATCGTATCAGAGGTTTACTTCGGCGTCGGCATCTCATCTTCCTTTGAATTCCTCCAGTCCACCGGCGGTATCAACTCCAGCCCGTATACCTTATGTAGATGCACCAAGGAGACCCTTAGTTGACGCACCACGGAGAGGTTCTATTGGTACCCCACAGAGGCCTTCTTTTGATACCTCCCGGAGACCGTCTGCAGAAATGCCGCGAAAAGCATCTGGTGAAACCTCTCAGAGAGGCTCCATTGACGTGCACAGGCGACCCACGGCCTCCCCCGTGCCTCGAGCATGTTCTCCTCAGTCTACAGTGCGTCCACGTGCTACATCACCTTCTCAGCGCACGCCCGCGTGCGCCCAGAATCGCTTCAATATCTCAACTGCTTCCCTTGTCTCTCCTTCCACTCCAGAGCAGCGTGAGGTTATACGTGCTGCAACTTCGCTTCTTTGCAAAGAATTACGGAAAGCGCCAGCGCATCTTGCACGCGGTGATGCACAGAAAGAGTGGGCGGAAGTGGAAGTGCGCTTGCAGCCCTTAATCAGGCTTGAACGCGTTTTTGGGAAAAGTGGCGGTGCAGGTACCAGTTCTGGCCAGGTTCCTGGTGGCGTCGGTTCCGTCGTGCTCAGCTCTGCTGGGGAGGAAAGAGAAAGGAAGCTCTTCTGCGAGGCCCTTCGAGATGGCGTTGTTCTATGCCAGTAGGTCTTGACAGCTACTCCGACTGGTGTGCTGTTTAATGTTGCACCTTTTCAGGCTGATAAACAAGCATTTCTCTGGGACCATAACTCGTATCGACCATCGTGAAGATGGTTTGAAGCAAACCAGCAACATCACCCGGTTCATTGCTGCATGCTCGCAACATGGTGTCCCTTCCGACGACATTTTCTATCGTGACGACCTCGTCCAGGCGACTCCAGAAACTCTTTGCCGTGTCGCATGTACCATCATTTCGTTGATCAAACTTTCTGAAGACCCCGGAGTCGGTCGTGCCAAGGTCATCACCGGTCAAGGCAGGAAAGGTGCCATCGTAGCCTCAAGCAACGATCCTAACTCCCCAGCGATTTCTTGCGCTTCTTCCACACCGAATCTGCTGCCACGACCAGTCTCGCCAACTTCTCCTTCAGGTCCAACTCGCAGAGCGCGGAGTCCACATGAACGATCGCTTCTCCCAGTGCGACCTGATAGTCCGCAATCGGGAACGTCCGCTAGCACGGCTAAGAGAATCCCCATCATTGATAGAAACACGACACCGGCTAGTAACAGCGATCATGGAGTTGACAAAGTTCCCCCTATTCAGAGTCCATCTCCAACCCCTAGATCTCCCTTTTGGGCGCACTCTCGATCTGGACTGCCAGATGATAGTAGCGTTAGCCCTCTGTCCAGCCTTCAGCCACTCGATATTCCCTTCCCTCAATCACCCACTTCACAGTTGTCCAATCCGTACACAGCGGGTTGTGATGCAGACTTTCCCCCACGACAATCGAGAACGTCTAGCAATCTCACTGATAACACCGCCCTCTCCAGCATCTTTGACATCAGACGAGTGAGCAGTAGCAACCAAAACAAGTTTGGCACCATCAGGACTTTCACAACTGAGGCAACCTCTTGCTCTGAGGCACCCTCGTTCACTCGAACGGAGGCTAGCTCGGTGGCGGCGCTCATGGCAGAAGAGATGAGCAGGAGACGAGGTATTGGGGAGCCTGCGCCTCGGTCGAGGGAGCGACGCCCGAGCGAGCCAGGTGTACTTGATCTGGTTAGCCTCGCAGAGGAAGAGGAGAACAGTGCCTGTGGGTCGAGCTCTAATCACCATCAGAAAGAGAGTTTACAACCTGGAGAACCCTCGCGGGGGCAGGAAACGGAAGCACAGGTTCGTGTGCGGCTCGGCAAAGGCAAGTGGCCCGACGATTTTCTGGACGCTTTCAAGGCACAAGCTCCAAGTCCATCTCAAGCAATCCCCATTGCAACATCATCAAACCGTGTAGATGCGCCAATTAGCTCCAGTCCTCCGTCTGTATCCCCAACTAGAAAGCCTTCCATTGTTGGGTCATCGCGTCACAACGACAGCACAGAGTCCAGAGTCCGGAGGCCATCTCATCGGTCAAGCCAAAGTGCTGATGTCCTGATGCCGAGGAATTCAGTGCTCCGTTTGGATACCGAGAATTCACCAGGCTCCAAAGTCATTCTGCGTCGTCAGAGTACACGGAATGGTGTTCGCAGAAATGGGGTTTACTATCCTCGCAATAGTACCGACGATCCTGGGACCCCAAAAGATGATAATCCTCATATTGTTCCATTCCCGTGCGCCGTGTCAGAGGAACATGCTGCTCGTGCCACACCATCTCCCGATCCTACTGCCAAGGGTGATGTCACAAATAACCAGGATGCTCCCCGTGTGCGCGGTCGCTTTCAAAGTGATGTTGAAGATCACCGAGCTCGAAGATGCAGTCGTCCGACGTCGAATGATGAGTTGGGCAGACCGCGGAGGTCGCGATATGAAAGCATGGTCAATCTAGGGGCAGCCTCCACGAATGCAAGTGCGAGCGACTTGCTATCAAGGGACTCCGGTGACGGATCCAGCGCTATACGACAGACCATAACAGTCAAGGAAGAAGGGAAGCCTGCAACTCATTTTGTGAGTTCTCCTATTTATGCAAGCAAACGTGCAGGTTTTTGACTTTACCTTTATAAGCAACTCGGAAATTGCATCGGCCGCGGACAGTTCGGCACAGTCTATCGGGCTCTGAATCTGACAACCGGGCAAATGGTGGCAGTTAAACGAATCCGATTGGAAGGTCTGAAAGAGGACGAAGTTGCACAGCTTATGAAGGAGGTAGACTTGATGAAAAGGCTGTCACACCCAAGTATTGTGAAGTATGAAGGGATGGCTCGAGATGAACAATACCTCAACATCGTTCTTGAGTGAGTAAAGTTCATCATTTTGTCGGATGTTCCTTGTGACGAGTTCAATGTAGGTATGCTGAAAGTGGCTCATTGGGCCAGATGCTCAAAGCTTTTGGCAAGTTGAACGAGCATCTTGTAGCGGGCTACGTTGTCAAGATTCTCGAGGGCTTGCATTACTTGCATTGTTGTGATGTTGTCCACTGTGATTTGAAAGCCGCCAACATCCTCACTACGAAGACGGGGAATATCAAGCTCTCTGATTTCGGCGTTTCCCTGAACCTCAAGGCCATAGAACGAGAGAGGGACGTTGCTGGTACCCCGAACTGGATGGCCCCAGAGGTCATCGAACTCAAGGGAGCTTCAACGAAAGCTGACATTTGGTCGTTGGGATGCACAGTTGTCGAACTTCTTACTGGACGTCCGCCATTTGGGGATATCACTAACACAATGACAGGTATGATTGTGATCATTACTCCGGATGCATGACTGACGTAGGTGCAGTCATGTTCCGTATTGTCGAGGACGAGATGCCGATTCCTGAAGAATGCTCCGAACCGTTGAAGGACTTCCTTCAGCAGTGCTTCCAGAAGGAACCCTCGATGCGACCTGATGCTGAGCTATTGTGCGAGCACCCCTGGTTGAAGAAAAATTGGGATGCCCTCAAGGTTTGTGGATTTCCGGATAGTATGCAAATGTTACTGATCAATTTCATTTAGGAGCTTCGTCCCCAGGACAGCATACCCTTTCTCCGGCGTGTTAGCACTGAGTTACAAAAGACTGACCTTGCATACGTTGCATCTGTGGATATAAACAGAATCGAATCGCCCTTCTCGGTAGCCTCAGTTCAAGAGGAGCCGTCAGAGTCTCCCAGGCGCAGATTATCCAGTGGACCGTCTTCGCCAATTTCGCTTCCGCAGCACACCTCATTCACCCCTAGGGATCACTCCTTTATCAAGACCACCTTTGGGAAACGTGAGCCCAAAATTTATGGTTCGTTAGTCTCGCTGATCGTGTTTGCAGCTATGGTCTGCAGTGTGTGCATGGGAAGTATCAAAAGGAGTGCCGTCATTTGTGACAAGTGTAATCTCATCACTCACTCAAAGTGTGCTCCTGAAGCTCCTCCCACATGTGACCTCCGCTTTCAACTGCTACTTTACGCACAGCACGCCGAACAGGGAAATCCCGCTGGTATCCCACTCGATGGATCGAATGGATTGCATCCTCCTCGTCCATCGACGATTATTCCTTCTGAAGTTTCCTTCGTTACACCTTCTCCACGACCAAGCTTGGACGTCACGCCATCACCTACTTCTTCCAACGTCCACAAGCTTATTAATCCTTTCAAGCGCTCTCGTTCTTTCCTAGCAACAGAGAATAAGCCTTCTCCTTTAGCATCACCGTCACCGATTTCTCAGCCTCTGCCTCACGATGATGTCACTCCGAAGCGGAAACCCTCTATGCTCTCGTCAAATACGATCTCCAACGAACGACCTCATTCGTTGTCAAGTAATAGTACTGCCCCCAATGCCGGTAGCATGAAGATGGCTGACAGCCAGTCCAGCCGTCAAGAACCGGGTCGTAAATCATTCCCTTCAATAGTCGAGCCCGAAACAGATACAATTCCACCGCCAGTCCCTGAGAAGAAACCATTTTATGCCCATGCGACCGCCACTGTCAATGATCGTATGGCTACCTCATCACGTCACTTTCCAAGCACAATGCCCAACGAAGCTGACCGTCACAAAAAACGGGCAGCAGAGAAATCGTCAGGGTGCACTATTCAGTAATCATTGTTTCTCATCATCTCCTGCACCAATCATCCGGACATAGCATGATTCAGATACCATGGACACTCTTACCACTGAGGTTCTTAGTGCTTTTACTCACTTATGACTGATCACTACTATACTGTACGTATATACACTCTATTCTAGTACTTATAGCCTGGTGCATATCTAATAATCAACCACCTTCCTCAAGTTCATAATCAGTGGATGACTTCTTGTAGGCAAAAATAACGCGGCCCCCTACTAGCATGCATCATGAGTCGTTGATATAATCCTAGCGGTATCTCAGCCCTGGTTGACTGGATGCAAAGCCCGGTATGAAGTTCTCGACGACTAATTTGAGGCATTGTAGAGTTCAACTAGTGTAACACGAGGCCGACTCGGGGCACCTCCGAGGTTCCGGCATCGACGGATAACATCCATGTGACTTTCCGTTGACTGTAATTTGAGAACTGTTTTTCAAAGTCCGGCATGTGCCTACAACACTTCTCCTAGACCGAGGCGAAACTCTACGTCATATGTAGACTAGTACGTACGTTGACAAGTACTCGGTGGTATCGTCAAAGGTTGGTATAAATTTTTTCGAGTGTTTCAAATGTCTCAACTGAGTTGAATTACACCGTCGCGCAGATCGTATTGTGGCCAAGATCAGAGTACTATGTGCGCTCTACTACTACCCTACCGTGACAATTGAGAGGATTGTCACGGCAAACACCTTGAGTGGGCGAATTTTTGAAATTGATTGGGGATGTCGGTTTCATATTATATTGGACCCAAACCATGTTGTCAGATGACTTAGATCCAAGTTACTGCACGAGCCTGGAGTTCTGCCCAGACCACCATGCTCTGTATCTAAGGCAAACCCAAGGCTTCTACTTCTCGAAGCTACTTACCTTACTAGGAAGTAGAAGCCTAGCACGGTGACTTGGCTTTCCGTACTTCGCGCAAGTTTTGCCAAGGACCAGGCTCAGCTAAGTTTGCTCACTATGATATGCGCATGGTATGTGTCACCTTGATTTGACTTTGCAAAGGATCATTGATAGAATGAATATTTTACTATTTAGCTCAGGTACTCGAGTACATGTCACGAAGCGAGCCGTAGTGCTGGCACAACTTCTATGTCTTCGAACTGTCGAAGGGAACGGCTATAGGGTGAGGATAGTTTTGAACCAGACATCCCAATTTAATTAATTGTTGGTAGGTTCGGCAATTTGCGAGAACACTCGTCATGTAGTAGGGTCATCATACATCAATCATGTGCATGAGCGCTGAGCACTGATCAAGCACATGACGTCGACCCGCATTCCAGAACGACTCATAGTAAGTAGCATCATGTATCATGATTGATGCATGAGTCATGAGGCACATTCCAGAACGTGCAAATCTTCAAAGTACCAATAACTTCGAGTTTTGTGTGCTACCGTATCTACTTAAAGCTGAAGCACCATACCTGCAGCCCACCTCCTGGCGTACGGTACTTACGGGCCAGTTGAAGCACTTCCAGACATGGACATGGACAGTTCCTAGGCCACTTCGAACACGGCCGCTCGTCGGTCTGGCCTTACCGTGTGTGAGTGGCCTGGGCCTGGAAGTTGAGACGTAGAGAATTTGACTTGTGAATCCACTTTGACTGATAAGGCCAGACCCACATGCACATGGAAACATTGGAAGCTAAACCTTGACCGTGTATAAAGGTACGTTCAAGAAGTTACAACAGCTGGTATCGTCTTGATCTCTCATCATGCGAGTTTTTGTGCTGAGCTGTGCCATTGCGCCGATTCTTTCCCTCTCTGGTGCCGCTGCAGTAATTACAGGTGCTCAGCGACTAGCTCGTGGCCTACCACCTTCGCTTCCCACGTTTGGTTGCGCTCTGCCAGGTTATGCAATGACACCGGCAGAAGCTGGTATTTCTAAATCAATATCTCAAATACATGCATAAACTAATGTATTGGCGCAGGTGGGCACCAATCCCCGCTGTCCACTTCGTATGAGACGTGAGTCCGTTAAAAATTTCCCTGCAAGTGTGTTTCAACCGCTTTAGATTTACTGGTCGAATCCTGGTTAAGACCTACGATGGTGGACAGTTAGGACACTTATATGACTGGGAATCAGGAATGTAAGAACTCCCGCAGACTTGAGTGTTCCTCCTATTGAAAAATGTGCTGAGCTTGTGACTAGAAACGGCGTAAACTTCGGTGTTCCAAGTGAGGACCTGCAGGTGTCGTTCACCACGTCTCAATCTGATGATGGGCTTATCGACTTACAAATTGTCGTATGGTCTCCCTTATTCTTCTATTTTCTAAAATTCACGCAGTTTTGGCAGGACTCCGCATATCCTGGGCCTGGTTATATCGGAACAACGAGCAGTGATACCCTCGCCACTGGCTCATACACGTTGGCATTTTTTACAAAAGAATTTAGATACTAGACACTGATTTTGCACCATCAACAGAACTGTCGGCTTTGGCAGAGTCATTAAAAGTAAGCCTGCACGACTATCATGATATCACAGATCGAATGTAAATGACAAACCATTCACAGCACCTGTGCATTCCCCACCCGTCCCTGTGGGCCAGTACAATGCGGATGAATCAGCTATTTGGACATTCGATCTCATCACTCGTGAACTAAAGGGTGGGCTATCTCGATGCTTTCGTCGTCCAAGTAAACTTATCATTGATACTATGCTTCAAGTGCACTATGTAAATCCCGACGGTCATGAGGCAAAGACGACTATCGCTTATAAGATATCTGACAACTCGATATTCTTTGTCGGTGACCTCGATGCCTATAATGCCGTCAATCCTGATATCCTTGCCTCACCTATTGTCAGTCGGTTCAACTTTCTACCCAAAACTTATTGACTCACTGATTTACAGACATTTTACTTTGATTGACGGCTGAGCGTATAATGTCGATCAAATGATTCAGACGGGTTCTCCCTCTTTCATGTTTGTGTCATTCCCTTCATTTTCCATGTCACTTCTTTTTTGTACTACGTAGTCCCACCAGTCCGTGTGTCCTAACTCCCAAGAGTCCGCGCATTGACTCTAGCACACGCAATTCTGCACGGAATCCTTATGCATGTTGCATTTAGGCTCGCCCCTTCCCCCAACATGATATTATTGTAACAGTATAGCCTACTATATGGGCGGCAATGTGTACACATTATCTGCTGGTTACCTTGTGAATCACTCATCCCTATCGTGTATTTCATCTGGTAATTGTGACCCGAGCCACCTCAATACACCAGCTAGCACAATCAAGACAACATATACTGCATTTCCGTTGAGAATATTGTGTTCCTTTGAGAATGCAAAAAGCGAAGTTGCAAATGCAGGCCCAACAACACGAGCCATGGATGCCGAGGTTTGACCAAGACCATTCACAGCGCCAAGGGTATTCTTCGCAGGGGCAGAAGCCGTGATAAACATGAATACAGTCCCTATGATCATGAGGGTTTTAATTAATAACAGGATGGGTGTTGCCGTGACACGTACCATATACCATATCCCATATAATCATCAGCACTAGTAGGCTGATTAATGTAAATGTGATTGCGCGATCAACCATCTCCCTTGTGTTTACAAGCCACGTCATGATCGGAAACATGAGCATGATTGGCGTGAAGCACGACACGGACACACAGAAGAGACGCTTAGGACCAACCCAATCGACAATTTTGGCGAAGAACAGTGCCTGGAAGATACCACTCGCGATTGCAAACACCCCCATGCACAAGCCAATACGAGAAGGAGTAAAACCAAGGCCGCCAAGATAGATAGGCGTAGACAAGAACAGCGGTAAAAGAGCCATGAGAGAGATGTCGAGCAAGGCGAGCATGGCGTAGTTTGCAATTGCAATGACAACGGTGGGTGTGAGCAGAGATCTCATGGGCAGGTTGGATGTTTGTAAAATGCCTTCTCGATTATCACTGTTGGCACCATTTGAAATGCCTAGAGTAGTCGCTGTCAACTTTGGTCGACGCTTGGTTGATAATGTCTGCCGATCGTGAATAACGTTGTGCGACAACATAAGGTGGTATGTAAAACTCACTTCTTCTAAGAAAAATAACAGGACCAAAAAGCCTATTACAATCCCGCTCGCAGACACTGCGCAAGGTAGAAAATATGGGTATTTGCTCCAAAATGGATGAGCGAATAATCGGGGCCAGTTATCTTGTGGACGCGCGAGCGTCCCACCAATTAAAGGACTAGTAAGCGGATTTAATTATGTCATTTGGGGCCAATGATTCAAATTGTCACTGACCCCACAAAGCCTCCGATGCACCACATGATTGGAATCAAGGCAAATCCCTGAGCCATATTCGTAGAGTCCGTCAATTCGCCCACCATAGTTTTCATGACTGAAACATTGCCGTTCAGTACACCGCACATGCAGCGGCTAAGAAAGATGTAAGGATTATGTTTCACTTCTTTAGCCGAAATCATACCTAATGACAAGGCCCCAGAAAGTCGTCGAGAGACCGAAACATAGCATCGAGATGCAAGTCCCTGATAACCCCACTAGCAACACTGGCTTGCGTCCAATACGGTCAGACAAACGGCTCCATCTCAGCACTGTCAGTGTCTGTGCGACGAAAAACAGAGATTCCTGTCGATCAGTAGTATGATGAAATCATGATTCTTGCAACTCATAGTAATCTTGGTGCCTACGATTAATCCTGCATAATATCCTACAGCTGCATCGTTACCACCGGTGATTCCAAGTTCTCTGATAAGCTAAGAATAAAAAGATGAGGGATAGATCGAATAGCGGCCCATTCAACATTGTGAAATCATACCTGATTGATGTATGGAAATATGGACATCGAAGCGATAGGTTCAACAAGTTGTAATGTCATAAGTATGCCTATCTGGAGTTTTGGAAGAGGTGTTTTAGGCTTTTTCGTCTTTGCTGAGACCAGAGGCGTTGTTTCGCTTGTTGAAGTGTCCATTGTGGTAGTTAGCCTCCTGAGTCGAAAGATAAGATAAAGAGCACTGAAATCCGTGAAGTGTATTTATGGCCTGCTATGACTCGGACTAGCTGTGTGAATGAGTCAGGATTTTTGTAAGTACAATCATATGACGTGAATCCACAAAATTCTAATCAGAAATGGCCCTAGCCTAAGATGGAAACTCTAGGAAACCATGTCGCGAGCGTGCAGCACCCCCCAGATATGGAAAGAAGGCCCGCGACGCACGCCTGCGACAAATCAGTACTACTTAGCGTGGTAATATTGACCAGCTTGAACTCCAGCGTCACAAGAACAGCCACAAAACCGCCGGTTAGTGGAGCACCCTCGAGGACAAGTACTGGGAGGTTCCAGTAAGTAAGTGTAGTTAATGCGCAGTTCCAGCAGCAGTGGCGCAGCATTTTCACTAAATATAGTCTTTGTGTTTGGCAAGAGCGTTAGAAACAAACAACCGTACCGTTCACCTGTATACAAAGCTACAAACCTCGTCTCCGTCTCACTTCCATTATGATTGGGAAGATATTTCTTGTCTTGGCTACGCTAGCGCTTCTTCACGGTATGGTTGTCCTTTCTGACATCTCACACTACTCATGTTGTTCATAGCCGCATATTCCACGTACGAACGTCAGTATCATAATAGAGCTTAGAGCTCGAGCCAGCCAGGATTTTAGTTTAGGGCTAATTCTACTCACAGATTTGTCACTTTTGAAAGCATTGGGCAAGCCCGAAGGATCATTACCTCTAGATGTAAGCAAACTCATCACATCGAGCAACACACAAATAATAGAATGCTTGGAATAGATTGTGTATGAGAGCATCTTTGCACTCATTCTTGGGCTGCTTGGAGCATCCTTGAATGCTCCACCATTGAAAGATATTACTTGGGCAAGTGAGATGAAGAAACGGTGGGTGATGTTTTGAATGTTGATCTCTGGGACACCGTTGACATCTTTTTAGGTCAATTGACGGAATGGATTCACGACTGGGATTCGCGCACTACAAATCTCGCGGAAAGTTTTTGTTTGCGAGTCCACATGACGGTAAATTATGAAGCGCTTGTCCATAATAAACATGACAAATGTTGCGCGGGCATATAACATAACACCGAACAACGTTGTAACTACCCTCAGTCGTCATCATCCCCATCAGGTTTCTTCTTGTTTTTCCGTTTTTCCTTTCGAGCTTTCCTCTTGTCATCCTTTTCGGCAGCAGCATCCATTGCAAGAAAATCGCGGATCGAGGGTAATGCGGAGGACTCTAAGGGTTTGAGACGCAAAGATTCCTCTTCATCCACTTCAGGCGTATGGTTTGATGAAGGCAACTGAGGTGCAGCGCTCTCCGTGGATGTTAGTAGTTGTATTGATTCTTCATCGTCGTGTTCATCTCCGAACCATCCTCTAGAACGAGCGGGTTCGGATGAAGGATGTGAATCATTGATACTATGCTTCGACTTAGTGTTGTGGGCAGAATCTAAGCCATCTTCATCGCTGTCATCGTCCCCAGGAAAGCCTTCATAGTCACCAGCCCCCGCAAAGATATCTATGTCGTCGTCAAGTGGAGATGGATGCCTTTGGTCGACTTGTGAGATTGCTTTGGCAATGGGAGTTGGCACTACCGCTGGAAGCTCAACTTCTGGGTGAGAAATGGTGTTGGCCGGCTGAGGTGAACCTGATTTTCCCTCCACTTTCCTTTTCTTCCTCTTCTTGTCACGGCTTGCGCTCTCTTCTTTGCTGCGTTTTTTGGTACCCTTGTCATCTTTCTGCACCCCTATTGGTTTGAAATTGATTGGTTTGAATTTCCCTGCCTTCTTTGCTTTCTCAAGGTCGCGGGCCTCATCTTCGAGATGCTCCGCGGTGGTGTCGAATGATTGCAAACCCTCGCCGTTCCTTTTAGCCTTCAGCTCCCGTATGATGTCTTCGCGAGTCCTCTTCTTGTGTGCCGTGGGTTCTGAGGAGGCTTCAATAAACGCTTGCTCAAGGGTATCATCATCTTCGGTAGAAACAGCTGCCCGAGCTTTGTTCTGCTCTAGCAGTGACATGTCTAGGCCCTTCACTAAAATTGTATGTTCGCTGTCTCCACCAAGATACTGACGCTGCTCGTCGACCTAGGGAATGTCAGTAGAAACACGGAAATACATGGAATAGTACACACAGTATCTTTGTCATCATTTGCAGTCCGCTGTTCGAAAACTTCGAGAACAGCTTCGACCTGCATTCATTATGAGTGACCTAAGCACAGGACAAGGATAGATGTACCTGAGCATAGTCACTTTTCCCGCCATCACGTCTCTCTGCGGCCCTATCACGGTATTTAGATTCACTCTTCTTCACTTTACGTGGCTTGAATACTGGCGCAGATGATCCCGAAGCTTTCCTGTTAATTTAGTTACTACACGCATTTAAACTCAAGATATTGGACATGCTGCTTCAATAGAGATGCTCCCTGAGCTCCTTTGAGTTGCGAAGTCGCACCAGGTACTCGAGGTGTTTGAAGAAGTTGCCTAAAAGAATCCTGTGTTAAGCATCAGGGATATGAGAGCTGGATATGCTGTCTATTTACTAACCTGATCCATAGCAAGGAGGAAGGTGCTTCAACTAACTTCTAGGTTCTTTTCCAGGGTGTGACATAGGCGTTGTTTGCACATGTTAGGATCAGAGGCCTGGTATTACATTTAGTAGTATTTATATTATTGCTATTGGTGATAGTTGTTGCTAATTACTAATTAGCATCGCTTGTCAATTTTTAAAATATCGACTTGGACAACTCGTAAGTACTTGTCACTCATTGTCGATCGTCTCTAGACTTTTTTTCATGTTCGAAAAGGTAGTCTGGGCAGGTGCGACTGCCGGATATTCGAATTTTTGAAGGTCCTAAATATTTCAACAATTTGGAAAGAACCCAGGCCTCGCTCTAGACCGTAGACGCCAAGTAGACCCGCCTTGAACTTAAACACCGTGTCCATTTCTGTATCGAAAGCTCGGAAAGCAGCCTGGATTTGCCGTTTTTATCGATTTAATCATTTGGCATGTTGTCCTTTGCTGTGGGACTCTTGGCACTCCCTGATCTGATTTAGATTAAAACGGAGGTGGGCATCTTAATGCTCAACCTGGGTCTCCGCGCGTTTCGTCCCACAACTCGCGTTTATAAGCTCTTCAGCTTTGCTTCACGCTCAACTCACACCAGAACCATGGCCACTCCCTGGACACCTAATCAATATCCAAAAGCTCGTCGGTCCGATCATGTCGACGTCTACAAGAGCGAGAAACAGGGCGAAGTTCGCGTTTCTGATCCATATCAATGGCTCGAGCAACAGTCCCAGGAGACTGATCAGTGGACTACGGAGCAGGATCAATTCACTAGATCTTACTTGGATAAAAATCCTGCTCGAAGTAAACTAGAGCAGGAGATCAGGGCAAACACCGACTATGCTAAGGTCGGTCATCATGGCAGTCAGCTTTGCTTCATTCTCACTTCTCTCAAGTTTTCTGCACCATCGCTCAAGTATGATAACCGTTGGTACTGGTACTATAACAGCGGTCTTCAGCCTCAGTCAGGTGAGTTGAGACACCATGAGCATGCTGCATGCCAAACATTTAGTTTTACAGTGATTTGCCGTTCTAAGGACGCTAATCTCCCTGATGTATCGGAGGAGAAGGGGCCAGGCGGAGAAGTTTTCTTTGATGTAAGAGTCGAAATCCCCGTCTACTTTAGACGGATTCGACTAATGACATATGACTACATAGCCCAATTTATTGTCTACTGACGGCACTGCGGCCCTCTCTGTGACGGCATTCTCTCGCTGTGGCGAATACTTCGCCTATGGCATCTCGTTGTCGGTCCGTGACTATACTATCTATGTCATTCCGAATAGGACGTTAATCTCCAGCCCATTTCAGGGAAGCGATTTTTATACAGTTTATGTGCGCCGTACAAGCGAACCTTTCGTCGCGATTGATGGGCAACTTAACGATCACAATGCAAAAAGGCTTGCGGAGGAGATTCGTTTCGTGAAATTCTCGTCCATCACTTGGACTCATGATTCCAAAGGTTTTTTTTACCAGGTAAGTCCTGAGTAATTTCCATCTTGTACCTGATCCCACAGGCACTGTTCCCAGCGTTTTCCGAGCAGAGAGTCTCATGGTCTTGCGACGGAGGACAAAGCTGGCACAGAAACCACAGACGATAAGGATGCTATGCTTTACTACCACAGAATCGGAACTCCACAATGTTCGAGCTATCCACATTTGGCTGTATCAATGCTCTCTTGACTAATTCAAGCATTCAGCGCAAGATGTCCTAGTCGTGAAAGATGCCGAACACCCCGAATGGATGTGGGGTGCTTCGGTTTCGGAAGTAGATGGGAGATATCTGTATCTTGATATCGTCCAAGACACTGGAAAGGTTCGCGCTGATTACTTGTTCTACTTCGTTGATTTACTTTATTATTCTGGGCCTAGAAAAACATGCTGTGGGTGGCCGATTTGCAAGAAAATGAAATTGGCCAAAACATGAAATGGGACAAGATTGTAAACGAGTTCGAATCGGAATACACGGTGTCAGTGGTGTCATTGATCTTTGATAGAAGCCACTTGATCTGCTGACACCACATGCCATTCTCCCATCAGCATCGCGAATGACGGAACTAAACTATACCTACGGACAAATGAAAACGCGCCTCAATGTCAAGTCATCACGATCGACCTTGCGGACCCATTGCGCCAACACAAGGTCCTTATACCGGAAGTCAAAGATGCATACTTGGATGACATTACTGCCGTGGGATATGATAAACTGGCCGTCGTATACAAGCGCAACGTAAGAGGAGCTCCCCCACACGCTCCATATTGCGGAAGCTAATGTCATGAAGGACTGCAGGTGATCGATGAATTATATCTGTACTCGATGGAGGGCAAACAGCTTACTCGGCTTGCTCCAGAATTTGTTGGTGCTACAGAAGTCAACGGCCGCCGAGCACAGCCGCAATTTTTCGTGTTCCTGACTGGATTTACTAACCCTGGGGTTGTAGCACGATACAATTTCGATGAACCAGGTGAAGACAGACGTTGGAGCATATACCGGTCAACAATCATGAAGGGGCTGGTACCGGATGAGTTCAGCGCTGAGCAAGTCTGGTATGAGAGCAAGGATGGTACGAAGGTGCCGATGTTCATCGTGAAACATAAGTCAACAAAGTCCGATGGAACCGCACCTGCTATTCAATACGGTAAGATGACATCGTCCGTTTTAATCATTACTTGACACTACGAATCAGGTTATGGTGGATTTAGTATATCACTAAGCCCCTCGTTCAGTCCTACCATCCTGAGTTTCATCAAGGCATACGGTGCTGTATATGCTTTGCCCAATATTCGCGGTGGAGGCGAGTTCGGCGAGGAATGGCATCTTGCTGGCACAAAAGAACGGAAGGTACAAATCTTCGCTGCTACCGAGGACCATATCTAATGTTATCGTAGATAAACGTCTTTGATGACTTCATTGCCGCTACGTGAGTGGAGTTCTTTGTTGATCGCAAGCTGATAACTTACGTGTACAGTGGGTATCTTGTTAATAACAAGATTGCTGCTCCCGGCAAGGTTGCTATCAACGGTGGATCTAATGGAGGTAGATCACTCCGCCCACCTATTTTAAGTGATTCTCAGCCATGATTTCAGGATTGCTTGTAGCCGCTTGCGTGAATATCGCCCCAGAGGGCACTTTCGGGGCAGCTGTGGCCGAAGTTGGTGTGCTCGACCTCCTGAAAGTGAGGACCATGTTTTTTGTAGTATCCATCCCTACTCATTTGGGACTCATATAGTTTGCTAATTTTACAATCGGTAAGGGCACATTAAATTGCGGAGTTTGACGTTGATCTAATATACTGGTATGCAGGCAAAGCGTGGACGTCTGACTACGGAAATCCACATGACCCACATGACTTTGATTTCATTTACCCCATTTCACCCCTCCATAATATCCCGACAGATAAGAACCTACCTCCGCTGTTGCTCATGACTGCCGATCGTGCGTTGTCTTGTCTGGATCTTCGAATTTTAGCTGATCCAACTATGTCAGATGATGATCGAGTTGTCCCCCTTCACTCTTTCAAACATGCTGCAACGTTGCAACACACACTTGGCCATAACCCTCACCCCCTTCTTATTCGCATCGACAAAAAAGCAGGACACGGTGCAGGTAAGGCTACTGAGAAGAGGTGTGTCCTTGTTCTTCTGGCAAGTCTAAACATGTGACATTGGCTTTACAGAATCCAAGATGCAGCAGACAAGTGGGGTTTCGTGGCCCAGTCTCTCGGGCTAGAATGGCAAGATTGATCCTGTCCGGCAAGGGCAAGGGTAGTGGTGTAATACACGGCGATGTGCTCGTAAATACCTATACACCATATCATCAGGAACTTCAAACTTATTTTTACGTAGTGCTATGCAGTATTCGGTACTGCTGCTATCCAGCTCCGTGATGTATAGTCCATTACTTGGGCGATCCGCGCCGGAAGAAATTCCGCTGCTGTTGTAGCCCTGGACGACCTTGTGAAAAAAAAACAGCCTCCAATCAGCGCCGCAACCTTCTCATGCTGACATTCAAACGTTTGGGACGTAATACCATCGTGGGCGGCGGTCAGGTTTGGATCTTCGGGGGAATTTCTGTCTTGAGAACCCGACTGGACTTTTGCTTTGGAATCGGAGCTGGCAAAAAACACGTCAGTGTGATGAGCTGATTAGTGAGAATAGCAGGACATGCCGTTTGTGTTTTCCGTCACATAAAACCGACGCAAAATCATTATAGCTTCTTCTCGAAGGTACCCACCAGTAGCTTGGTAGGATGGATGAGCTGGATGTCTCGCGCTGACGTGACTAGTCGAACTCAGAATCCAAACACAGCATTATGGCAACAAACCTCGCATTGACATCTAACACACTCCCGCACCCGCCAAACTTATCATTCTCACATCCATAAAAGACTTCTTTAATGCCCAGCTGGCGTAGTGCTGATGCGCACATGATGCATGGTTCCACTGTGACATACAATTCAATATCTGCCAGAGGATAACGGGTGGACTCTGGTGTCAGCTCCTTATCAGCGAGGATAAGATCGATAGCTTCGAGCTCGGCATGTCTAGAAGCCTATAAAGCAGGAATTGGACCAGCGGATGCAACTAGATGACCTCATAGTTACATTTCTTAATTCATTGGTGCGATTCCTCGCACGAGCGATGATGCTGTTGTTCCGCACGAAGACACAGCCCACTGGCACTTCGCTGTGTGCTAATGCTTCTTCTGCCTGAAGTGTGTTATGGTCAAGGAGTACTTTGAATACGGATTCTCACCATTGTCATTGCTTCTCGCATCCATTTTAGATGGATGAAAGTTGTGTTCGTCTGAGTTTGTTCAACGTTGTTATGTTCCTCCTCCCAGTCCATCATCTTCAGGAGTCAGAAAGTCGTGTTTCAAATCTGCCCAGTGACTGGCAGGTCCAAGCCAGGTCATATCATGATAATCATCGCTTCATCGCTGGGTTTAAAATTTGAACATCGCATATCCACTCACTTACTAAAACCACACTAATGTTGCCGCTCGTCACCGGTCAACGTTCCACGGCGCAGCGAGCTGCGACCTCTATTGATATCTTGCGAAACACCGAGGCATATTTGAGGCGGTATTTCTTAGGCGAGATCAGTCTAATTCTCATTGTTATTATTACTAACACTGAGCACCAAAAGTTCCTTGCTGGCAGAGCTCAAATGCTCTCCGCTCCACTCCTCAACCAAGAAAAATCGTCTGGTGCGACGAATCATAAGACATCACCGTCGGCACGCCATGGGGCGCAAGGTACCGAAGCCATAGTAATGACTACCCGCACGGAAGATGGTATATTTGCCACAACGGAAGGCACACTACACGTTTCGAAGCCATTCCGGTCAAGATCGACCAAGAAGTTTCGCGCAATGGTTACATTTGAACCTAGGAAGACGCACTTTGACACCACGAATGAAACGTCTGGTACGAATGAGTTTCGGGTGCGTTTCTGCGTCGCGGCTGCGTATGGTGCAAACTAATATGTCACTGGCCAGGGTTTCTTCACGCTTTTCTGGATGTCATTGTTCCTGTTCACAGTACAGACTTATATCAGTAGCGTCGAGGCGAACGGTTATGCTCTGTCATTCGCCTTCGCGACAATGTTTTCACGCCACGCAGTCACGTTAGCACTGAGCGACTTAGTTCTGGTTTCCACCACGATTTTATGTGTTCCGTTTGCCAAGGCCATCAGCAAGGGTTGGATCAGCTACTATTGGACAGGCGCCATTCTACAACATGTATTCCAGACATGCGTGCTGCTCATCACAGTCACGTGGACATTTCATAGGTACGCGCCATGCCGTCTCTCTTTGACTCGTATTTTTGACCGCTGAACACCCTCAGGCAATGGCCCTGGGTCCAATCCGGTTTCCTCACTCTCCACTCATTTGTGCGCCCATCATTTAGTGCTCTAAGTGCTTTACTAAGGGCGAGGAACAAAGGTCATGATCATGAAGATGTACTCTTATATTTCCGTGAACGGCTACCTCCAGTCGATTTCTAGGCGCTCGATCAGCGTCTTTACAAAGCTCAATGATGCTACAGCTCGTGTTGGAGGTTTGGAACAGGCGTTGCGTGACGCAACGTCGAAGAAGGCGCAGGCGACTTCGCGATCAGCCGATACTCCGGTTACCGATGTCTCATCACCGATGGAAACGTGTACCCCCGACACTGAGGGAGTATTGATGAAGACCTACACGGACGTGAAGACGGCTGCTGCTTTGAGGCAACGGCTTGCTGCCGTTTCCAGCAGTTTAGATGAGAACACGGAATCTGAACGGGGTGCAGTACATGGAAGCGGGCGCGGAAGCGATGGAGCTGATGTTGCAGATGTCCTTTCTTACCACCCGGATGAGCGCGTTGCAGATCTAGCAAAGGAATTCCTGGACTTGGACTCGGAGTTAGTGAGTACGGGTCCGGAACAAGTGCGTTGGCCCGACAATGTCACGTACCGGAATTTTGCGGTCTACCAACTGATCCCTACCTTGGTATACGAGCTCGAATACCCGAGAACCGACCGGTATGCTGCAATCCAATTCAATACTATATCGCGGACTGATAAGGAATTGCAGAATACGGCCGACGTATATTTTTGAAAAGACAATTGCGTTCATGGGTTCATTTGCGCTCCTGTATACAGTTGCGGAGTGTTTCATCATACCGCTCACTCCCACGCCGGATCAATCGTTCTTTCGGTCCCTCCTTGACCTTGCTTTGCCGTTCATGATTGCCTTTCTACTTCTATTTTATATCATATTTGGTGAGTGTTGGGCTGAAGCTGATAGGGTGACCTTGAACTGACGGACACTTAAGAATGCATATGTAATGCGTTCGCTGAGCTGTCGTAGTAAGGTTGCTGCGCTTATCACCTTCTGAGATGGCTGATGTGCCCTTTGTAGCTTTGCTGATCGCCTGTTCTATGAAGACTGGGTGAGACATTTTTGGGACTCAACTGCATCGCGGGTGACTTGACGGTGTTTTGTACAGTGGAACTCGACGTCTTGGGAGGAATTCTCACGTAAATGGAATAAGCCGGTGCATACTTTCCTTCTTCGGCACGTGTATGCTTCGACACGTGCCTCGTACGGACTATCGCGCACCGCAGCGATGTTTGTCACATTTTTTCTCAGCGCTATGGCGCATGAGCTGGTTATGGCTATTGTGACGAAGAAGATTCGGTGAGATGTTCTGTTTTTCTTTTGTTTTTATTGTGATACTGATAGGCGAGCGTGGCCGATGCAGCATGTATCTGTTCCTGATGCAACTGATCCAGATCCCATTGATCTTGGTGAGCAGGGCACCAGTGATCCAGCGCAACAAGCTCATGGGGAACGTGGTGTTTTGGCTTGGGCTGTATGCTGGCTTCCCCCTGCTCTGCGTTGCGTATGTTGCATATTAAGGAGATGAAGGAGGTCAGTCCATACACGATCAGAAGAATAGTTATTTTATTCTTTCGCTACCCTAAATTACCATATGTAATCTGAACTCTGATAACATTCGATAAGGTGCAGGCGAAGGAACGAGTTCAGATTATTATAGTCATGAAGGGACTGCACTAGTTTGAACGAACAAAGGACCGTCCAAATATACTGAATGTGGGGTATTACTAACTAAATGCTCGGCCACGCCACGTTAGGCCCCACGCGATGCGGCTACGCATACGATAATTAATTAGAGCGATCTGTTGCAGTTGCTCGACGGTAATTTGCAACTGCTGGATAAGTGCAGTCGAAGCATGCATCGCGTCCGGTGCGCCGGACCGTCACTTATGTATGAGAAGGCGTGCTTTATCATTTTTCAAGAACCAAGCTTTGTTCCGTCTGGGCATACTGAAATAGTTAGTTCTGAGTCATGACTAACACGTCTTCGAGCTCACGGCATATGATAATTGAATGATTGTTTGAGAAGTCAGTCAACCTACGGTCGAAGGTATGAGTATCCAGTCTCGGCGACCGGTCGTCGAGGGGCATTACTGTGGGATAGGTCACTGGCTCCTGAGTCCTTGCGATCGGCGCTATCCCATGGCTATGCGTTATACAGGGCTGAGCGCTGCAGCTCGGGTCTTGCTGTGTCGTAAAATGTCTTTAGAAACCGAACAGCACCATCAATTTGTACAGGTTCAGACGCCCTTATGAAAAAGAATATCAGGGTCCAGACTGAGAGTGAAACATAGAACCTAGTATGAAACGCATGAGACCCAAAGGGAAGACATGGGAGAGTTCGCAGTAATAGAGGGGCATAACTAGGAGACTCGTGGCAGATGGAGGCAGTGACCGAGTTGACAAAATTCCGGGTCCAGATCCCTTAGGTCACCTGCTGGGTGCCTCACGGCAAGGGTAGATCCCGACTGACACGAAAGCAGATAAGTTTGAACAAGTGCCTATTATTCGGGTTACGAATTGTGCCGACTCGATCGGGTATAAAAAGGCATTTCAGACTAGGTGTTGTCGACAGAAAAGACCTACCGGCCGGTTTAGAGTGGAGTAGAGGTGAGACATCCGATGGTCCGTTGACAAATCGCTAATGCCATGCACAGGACGCATTGTCAGCCGGTGTGCTGCAACGTGTAAAGCGGATCTTTGGCAGGCATTTAATAACAAAAAGGCAAGCCGCATCCGTCTGTCACATCAGCCATCATCTCTAAACATCCTGTCTAGTGCCTTCATCCAAGCCTAAAGCATCAAGAATATTCGCAATTACACTTCAGCATCACCCAGGTTCTCGACAATGCAGGTCAAGTCGATAAAAACGTTCGTCAAAGACGTCAAGAGGAGACTTTCCCAGAAACATAAGCGAAAGTCTTCAACCAAGACGACATCGACGCCCACTACTACATCTGACTCTTCCGCTCCGTCCACGCCGTCCCCACAACACTCTCCTCTGTACGATGATCATTATTCTCCGAACACAATCATTACACCATCCAGCCCTCGCAGTGGGTCAAGCAGTGCAACTCTGGGCTCTCGTCACTCTTCCGACGTAATCGATATTAGCTCGAAACACTCTAGAAGTCTCTCAGAAGACATGATGTCTGCTGAAACCCATGGATCGGATAGCAGTGGTACCTTTGTCACCGCCGACTGGGGTCTTGCTTCCCCACGTGCGCGCATTAAATCCCTTGGCCGAAATAGTTCGGTCGCACCACCATCTATCGCAGAATCAGCCACTTCTTCCCACCCCAGCTCTCTCTACGCTTCTGCCCAATCCATGCATCTGGAGGATTCCGCCGATCGCCCCTCACAATTACTTCAGACTTTGCCTGAGGATAGTGGAGAGGGTCTAGGTACACCTTCACAAGAGGTGGAACCTGAGGTACCAGACCCGTTCATAGTTGAAGACTCGGAGGGTGTCTCGTCCGAAGGCGAGGATGCCTCATCTGACGTTGAAGTTGCTTCGCACGAGGACGAAAGCGTTCCCCCTGCAGATGAAGAGATCGCCCTCGCACAATCAGCACTTCTTACGCCATCTGAACTACCTCCCGCGATACCTTCCCCAAACGTCAACAAAGACGTACCCCCGCCTCCCCCGAGCGATGCCGAGTCTGAGGCTCCCGAATTGTATCTTCCTGGGCTCACCATGCCTACCATGTTCTTACCCATCCCAAACGTACGCCTCTCTTTATCTTACACTCTTACCTGGTGGTTTCATCAGCGCCCACCATTGATGTATATTCCATGTACAATTAGACGGACCCTCTAAATATTCTCCTCACGAAATATGTATCTCCGCTTGAGAAGCGTCCTGTACGAGATGTCACTGGCGAATGGCAGCATTTTGATTTTCACTCGATGGTTGTGAGTATGAGCGTACGCCTTGCGCTAATCCAAGATTTCAATAAGCGTGCTCCGAATATTAGATGTCAAACAGCTGGCGTGCGCTTGCCAAAATGGCCCGAGATCGTCTAGTATCATGTAATCCTGAGGACCTCATTCGTGTTCTCGATGTAAGCACACAACGGTCGCGCACGCTGTGACTTAGCCTTCTTTCAACAGCTCTGGTCTCTGCGCCTATCAAGCCTCGCTCGTCTCCGTCTCTACAACCAAACGTCCGCTGAGTGCACCAACCTTTTTGCAGTACTCAATGCCACAGAGCCCCCGTCCGCCCGAGCATACCTATTCGACCGCGTCCTTCCTTTTGAGCTCGAGGTCATGCACGCACGCCTCAAATACTGGGCAGGCGACCCCATGGGCTACCTGGACGTTCTTTATGCTTTGCTCAAGAAGTGTAAGCTTCAAGCCAAGAGTTCGAAAGCCGAAGGCGACGAGTCCAGTTTGTCGATGTGGCTCGAGCGCGCTGCACGGATGTGCCTGATCATCGCGTCTCAAATGATCGAGATGAAGGCATGTACTAATATCTTTCTATAAGCGAGCTAATCATTACCCTCGCGTGCAGGACTTCACTGCTGCAACGAAACTTTTGGAGCCCCTGTTCGCACAACGTACTGGGCCACAACCCTCCCCTGCTATCCGATCTGCCGTGGGTCGCATTTATCTGCAGAGTGGTTACCTCGCACAGGCTGTGGCGCACTTTGCTGTCGTGGAGGGTGATGCTAGCGTCCCGCAGACGCTCAAAGATATGAATGCTGCCTTACTTGCATGTGCTGAGGGGAACTGGACGCGGGCGGATGAACTGCTCCAAGCCCTCGTCCAGGCAGAGCCGGATAACTTTGTGGTCAGTACTTTACTCAAGTCAGTGTTTTCTTACGATTGATGATCACGCATTTAGGCGATCAACAATCTGTCTGTGGCTCTTCTCAGTCAGGGAAAGCTCAAGGAAGTGAGTGTTCTATATCTTCTGTCGTATTTTCGTGCTCGACAGCGTTTTACAGAGTATCGAAGTTCTTGAGACTGCGCTGCATAGCTCCCCATCGGCTGTCGTGGTAGCAGAGCCGTACCTCTTCAATCTTTGTGCGTGGAATAATCGCATTGTAGAAGTTTTTTTGAATACTGAAGCCTTGACAGCGACGCTCTACGAGCTTCATTCAGCCACAGCTGCAGAGAAGAAACGCGACCTTTTGATCGAGGTGGCGAAGTGGAGTGGAGATGGACTGAAGACGGCGTGCTTGAAGATGCCGTCTACATGACAGGTTTATATCGTGATATATCGGGCTTGTACCATATGAATGGGATGAACTCGTTTTGGCTCTGTAAACTGATTGTGTAAAGAGAAACAGAGCCACAGCTGAGTGGTATCACGTCGTTCACGAAATGATACAGATTTAAATCGGTACTGATCATTATTCACTGGTCCCACGAAGCGTGATACATTTAACGGCTCCCGGGTGATCACCATGATCCGACCGAGGGCGTTGTTGTCTACAGCCTCCGCAAGACACTAGCCTCGGTATCTAGCGCCATGATGGTTTCTCAGGACAGACATCTGATTATCAGTGGCGCTCACAAATGTTACAAAAATGGAACTGCTTACAGACCCGGGTAACTAGCAACAGCCTCGTAGGTTGAGCTATGCTCATATCTTTTTGTGTTCTAGCCGAAACATTCACCGGATCTATGCGGTCACCTGTACCATCAGCGATGCTAGATAATACACATGCCATAGCTGTATGGTACCTCTTCTGAAATTCCTCAAAGTCCTCCAAAGAAGAATCACAGAACAGCAGCAAGGCTACATTCGCGCCATGACCCAAGTCGTGACAGCATCATATATCAAAAGCGCATTGGCTTCCCTGATGACTGGTCTTGGTATATCATCTATGTATGTTTATGACTCGAGAACCGTGCCATATCGGCGGCTAACGAAGGCTGATAGAGTTTTCTTGATTTTGACCGCGCAAGTCTGGATCTATTTCAGGAGACATATGATTCGATCTCGAGAGAACAAGCAGAGCAAAGTTCTCGTACGAATTTACGTCGTATATCAGACTCATCGCTGACAGTGCAGAACAGGTTGCCTTCATCTGGTAAATATCTCTAATTGCATGCATGCAGCAGTTGACGAAAAGACTGACGTAGCGTTACAGGTTAATGCAAGTCGCTCAAATGTAAGCCCCTGTGGAAAATATATGTATAAGCCACTAGAAGCCCTCCTACTAGGGCAATCGCTGCTTGGATATCGTGCGTTCATACAATGGAGGTCGACGTTATACTCCATTTCATTGGCTACACATTGACGTTAGTACCATTGGTGACTCCTCAAGGCGCTTTCTGACAGAACGACAGAAACTGGGCGCTTTACACTGGAATATGTGTAAGTCAGGCTTTTCTTCCTCCGGTCTCGGACTAATCAAGCTCACTATTGTTCCATAGTCCTTGACTACGTCCCTTGTGCATGGTGTTTTCATATTTAGGGTTTTCAGACGTACGTCCTGCCGACGAACTCCTATTATGCTTCTTTTTGATGCGCGCTTAAAGTTGAGAAGAGTCTCTATGGTAAACGGAGAATGACATGGGTTTTGGTAGGCACTGCGTTTGGCTGCCTGAGAAACAGTGACTAATTACGCCAATCAGATTGCATTTTGTGTCATGGAGCAAGGTGCGGTGGTCTACCCTGCAACGGATAATCGCTACTTATTCACCGACAACAGTTTTTGGTCTTCTTAGTACAATCTTCATGTAGGTCGAATTTTATCAGTGTCACTCTGTCAAGTGTCTCACGCACGGGAAATAGCTTCAAAACAAGTAATTACAGCTTGAATGTCGTGGCTGTTGTAAGTTTGCTCTATCTTTGATCGGGATGCAATTCACAAGGATGAAGTGGTCCACCTTTATCTCGCTTGGTTGTTCAGCTATCAATGATGTTCTTATCGCTGGAACTTTGGCCTATATTCTCCACAAACACAGGACCACATCGCCAAGGTGATTAATTAGTTCGAGTGTGATATTGACCTGTATGATTGACCATCTTGGTGCTCAGAACTAATCAAATGATCACGAGACTCATCATATTCTGCTCACAAACAGGTTTGATTACAACGCAAGTTTTTTGGTATCATGATGCATATGTACTCAATGCTTCCTGTGTAGCGTGGTGGCATCCGTCACTATGGGAATTGTGAGTACTTCATCACGCTCACTGGCATTAGGAAAGTCTCTGACCAAGATGCAGTGGGCAGCTTGCCGTTTCGATTTTCACCATCTACATATGTGTTTTCCTATTGGAGGCTGTGAGAGTCTTGTTGTTATCAACTCGAGTACACTGAAGGTTCTGACGTCCTGGTGTGACAGTATATGCTACATGTCTTCTTGCCAAGTGAGTCGTTCCCAGCGGTCAATAGAAGAGACCGCTGATATCTTTCTCAGCTTTATCGCTCGGGAATCCTACCTGCAGCCGCAAACAGTTCACGAAACTGAGATTTCCGCTATCAGTTTTGCACGTTTCACGCAAGAGGCTCATGTGGGCTTTCCAGACAATAACTCGGGGCTGCAGGAAACATTGGTAATGCAAGGAGGAGCAGATTCATCGAAAGCGTCTTCCTGTTAATTCGAATCACTATAATCCTTTGGACACAATGCTACCATTTTGCATATACGTCGGCGTCAAGAAACTGTTCAACATCCAAATGCGAGTAGGCTACTATATTGAAACTCACTGGGGCGGCCGTAGTCAAAATATCTAAACGAATACATGTATCATATATGCTTCACGATACCTCCATCCCTCTAGACTACTATGAGACATATTCGTTTGAGTGCCGCCTTCAAGTCGCACAAATCCTTGTTATGACTAAAATAATATTGCTTAAAGCGGTTGTTTATTTTTAACCGAGTTTAATCTTGTCTATACTATCACTCCTGGGGTTCTGCAACATTTTCAATAAATCTTTTGTAACTCCTCAACCGCATCATATTATCTTCTACTGATTTGCACCATTATATATTCGTAGCTACTCTATATGAATATGATTTTTTCTGATTTTAAGGATCTTTTGGTGGAGTGTCGGATGAAGGCCGAGAAAATTCAGGTATTCTGCAAAACATGGTCACGTCGTGTCACACGTCGGCACGGCAGCGGCACCGTCAACTTTCACTCTCCGAAGACTCTGAAGCTCGTCGTTGCGCATCGCTTTGAAAATGAATATTATTGAGGATCATGGTCTATATACTAATAATTGTGATTATAATGGTACTGTTGATAGAGTCCTGACTCATACAGCTGATGGCCTGCATTACCAGAGCCCCCAATGTCATACATCTGCAATCCACCAACTCAAAAATCATGAGACATACTAGCGAGAGGTCTACCAACCGGTGTGAAGGGAGGGTGAAGAACAGGTGGAGACCAAGGTACAGAATGGTGCATTGAATAATATGGAGGTGCATAGCTGGGTGGGGCAGATCCATGGCTGACATTGAGGAATGAGTGACAGGCACTGGCAACTGTGGTTGATACCTGGATGGCTGTTGAATCGAATTTGGGGGAATCATATCTTGTGGGAATTCAGGCGCCACACTATTGTCATTTTCAAGATGGCGCCTGTGAGAACGGGGGGATTAAATAAACCATCATAGTGTTGATTTTTCTTGAGTTCCAGGTGGTCGTTGAAGTGCTGAATGCGACTGACTGGACAGTGCCGTGTATCAAGCCGAGTGTGCCATAGAGGAGATTGAATTTCTTACACACTCTCCTATCTGTTGTCATGCTTTCATACATGTCCACAATCCTCTGTCTATAGCATCTTAAAACAAGAGAATGACCTCTATCAAAATTGTGTTCTGACACCCTGACAAGGTGTCTGATATACCCCGGGTGTAATTTTTTGAATACTGTATAGTTTCGACACTACCTTCAAGCCCATCTGCGCATGACCATGTCACACTTAGCTTCATAGCTTCACACCTCAGTGTGACCTGTGACCATCCCTAATTAGGTTCATTACATCGTGACTGCCACTGGCAACTCACTGTTGCTGTCTGCAACTCTGGCGACCAGCACGGACTTCTGTGCTCCTACAAGTTGCTTCAACTTAGTCGACATCATTTCGTCGAGCTGCGCATCCCGCGGGGATGGGTGGAGACAGTCTTAAAAGGCTGCATGTCAAATCTGTAAGCTCCATTTCCCTCTAGTCATGCAATCTGAAACTAATGTGTTCATTGCCTCTGAGTGGCTTTCATGTGGCCGCGTCTTTGAGCGGATGACTCTTCCTCCCTCTGTAAAGCATGAAATCAAACACTTGTTGGCCATTCCAGCTCCCATTCAATCAACTATCCCTTCACAAACTCTGTCCATCACACAACTCCTCGACATTAATCTTCCTGCTTCACTTGATTGCAAACTTGACTCGAACACCATCACGTTCTCGTCATGCCTGGTACTTGCCTGTGTTCCCGACTTGGATGACATTTTGTCATGGACAGTCCCTCCTTTACATATTGTCACCAAGCTCCTTGATCAATTCGGTCAAGCTTGGTTTGATGGACAATCTTCAGTCATCCATCCATCTGCTCCCTCAACTCACCTTCCGTTCTGGATCCTCTCCTACTGGAAAGAGGTTTCCCATGCCCTTGAGGCTCGCCTCGCATCGCTAAGCACCCACGATTGGGTCCTTGACAGGCTTGATTGTGACGAACATGTCACCAACCATAGTGCTGAGGAGGCTGGTAGAGCAATAGATGAGGTTCTAGATGTCCTTGGACGTCTCCCCTGGGATGTAGAGTTGTGGGGATTAGGGGCATCTGTTGGGCTACACACATCTGAGCTCCGCCCTCTTCTTTCTAATACAATGATTGATGGGTGTGTGCTCGATGCGTTGATTGTTGCCATCAATGAGTCCTTGGATGATTCCAATAGCTGCCACAACTATACAGTTGAGACCCTCCGATTTTGCAAATATATTACAGCTCGGGGATGCACGGTGGTCAAGGTATCATTTTGATAGAGCATTCAGTCGCCTGCGCTCCCTCAGGCAACTCACTTCACGACGGCTCAATCCAGTGCATCATATTTCCCGTCAATATTTCCCAGGTTCATTGGGCTGTCTTTAGCGTTGATGCTGAGATGCAAACCATTGCATATGGAGACTCTCTCGGGTGGTCTTGGCCTGCGTCATATGTTGACACCATCCAGCTCTGGTTGAAGAATCATGGGTTCACACCATTTAGCAAAGTGCCTATGGCACACAGCAACCAAATTGATTCCTTTTCATGTGCAATTGCAGCAATTAATACCATTAAGCATGCTGTCTTCAAGCATCCCCTGTTTACCGACAATAAAAAGTACTGCCTTCGAATGGAAGAATTTTTAGTGCTTGCGAGGAGCCACTTTGAGGTTCGTCTCCATGACTAACTTTTGGCTTGAAATAACTAATTCTCCTATGGCTACAGCACGTTGAGAGACTTCATGAGACTTCAGACAACTCAGATTCATTCTCAGATGGCACCATTGATTCTAGTATCGAAGCTACTTCACCATGTCCATCACACCACTATACAACCTTGCCACCAGTGTTTTCATCAAGCTCGATGTCCAACACAATGTCAACCCCATCAGTACCCGCTACTGCTAGCTCAAAGTGTCTTACATTGAATCTTCGAGCTGGTGAAGAGGCAAAATCTGTTGGTCTCTTCAAGTATTTCCTGACTATAACATGAGAGGAGCATCTGAAGACTGCATGGGTTCCTTTCTCCTGGGAGCTAGAGGCTTGCGAGTGAGATGCTCATAGGTCCCGTGTTGATGCACTAGAATGAGATCACCACTGGCATGAAGGCAACAGGAGACGTAAACAAAAGCAGCGTGCACAAGAAAAGGCAAAGAAGGCAATGGCGGTATGAGCTGTGACTTGCATTAATGAATCTGATATACTCACGCAGCTTTGTAACTAGGTTCATACTGTCAATGACGCACTTCACAATCTCAATGTGCCTGTCATCACAAAGACAGATATTGCCAAGGCATCTCGACCTTACCGGGAGATTCAGAGAGATGCAAGAGCACATCAGCCTGCAGTTCGAGTTGGACGCAAGCACAAGCACAACAACACCCTTGCTGCTCGTGTAAACTGGCAGCACCCGTTAATGTGGACTACTATTGTCTCAGCTGCCGCTGGCGTGGGGATTAGCATGTCCCCTTCAGATATTGTGCAGGAGGTTCAGCAGATGGATTTATCACGATTCCGTACTTTGACCCCACAAGTTGTTGGCACTTGGATTGACTGTTCTGGTGACAAACCTGTATGGACTGCAGCTACTCTTGCTCGTGCTCAGAGACGCAGCCTGCCAATGTACCAAAATACACACAAAAGTATCCTATCGCCCTATCCTGACATCATTAAGACCATCATTAATGACCTTCAGTCACTCCGACAAGTTGGGGTTGCCTTGGACACTCTTCGCTGCCGTGGCATTATTCTTGCATGTCTACAACACTCGATTCCCAAAATATTTGAAGCTGTTGCGAAGGATGGCTCTCATTTTCGTTGCAGTGAGACCTGGGTCAAGGAATTTCTCAATGAGCATCTCAACTGGACATTCCGCAGAGCAACACGTGCTGCACAAAAACTTCCACCGAATGTTGACCAGGTTCTCCTTGACCAATTCCTTCGTCTCGCTCTAACCATCCGTGACTGTGAAATTTTTGACTCAGCGTTCCTGGTCAACATTGACCAGACAAACATTGTATACCAGCCATCAAACACTTCAACCTTTGAAGTGAATGGGTCGAAGCAAGTTGCTGTTATTGGGCAGGAGGAAAAGTGTGCCTTCACGGTCATCAATGGGATTTCCGCCAAAGGTCATGCCCTCCCCTTGCATCTGATCTATGAGGGAAAGTTGTCACGTTCCCTTCCCTTGAAGCATACTCCACAATATAAAGAAGTGGCACAACTCAACTTCAAGATCTCTTATGCAAACACACACACTTACTGGGTGACATTTCCTCTCATGTGCAAGTATGTCACTGACATTTTGGTGCCTTATTGGGAGGAGCAGAAAGGACTTGTTGGTGCACCGGCCAATCAGGAGTGTATCTTGCATCTCAATGTCTGGAGTGTGCATTGATCCATTCAGTTTTGTACTTGGTTGGATATGACGTACCCTTGGATCAAGTACTGCTTCGTCCCCGGGGGCTGTACAGGTGTTGGTCAGCCATTTGATGTTGGTATTCAACGGCTGTTTAAACTCGCAGTCAAACACACACAGCATGCAGATATCGTCAACGAGTCTCTTGCTTGACTTTCCAAGAAGACTTCACCAGCACTCATCCGACTTGACACAACAATCAGCACTCTTCGCAATCGGTCATTGCAGTGGGTCATCAATGGGTATCACACCATAAACAAGCCTGAGCTTGTGAAGCAGGTCTGGCCATCATCTCTCTCTTTATTGTTGTTGCATAGCTAACTTAGTATTGTTCTGAATAGGCATTTTTCATGTGTAAAGCTGGGAAGGACTTCAATCTCTCGTTTGAAAGTCTTGCGAGTCGCGAGGCACTACAATATCTGCGGGAGGTCCAACAGAATGATAAATCTGGTTGGATCAGAATCACAACTGCTCAGTATGAGACCAGTGTCGAAGCTGCTGATGAGCTCGAGGTCACAGGAGACGTGGATGCAGTTAGCACTGAACCTCCTTTTGACAGTGTCAACGAGCAAGACATTGATGCCAGTGATGTACCCATGGAGGTGCTTATTGATCACCTTGCATTGGGGGGCATGCATGCCATGGATGGTGGTCTGTCCTCTATGAACCACTCGGAAATCTATAATGTCAGTGAAGATAGTACTGATCTAGGTATAGAGGGCAGTGTTAGGAATGCTGAACAGGGGTGTGGAAAGCGTAGATGGATCGCAAACAAGATGTACAATGACTTCTGGACCCATTAGAGTAATATGTATGTTTTTTTTTCATTTTTACCACATGTCACAATTTAGCTTCACCTTCCAAAAATTTGCATGACAGTCACACCAAATAGGTTCGATTCAACAGAGGCTGTGATGCGTGATGAACCTAGTGTCGAAACTATACAGTATCTCTCTAGGATCTATGGGATCTGGATCATTCATGATTATACAAGGTTGCAAATTACCACTATTCTGTCTCTCGCAGCTGCAACACTCGAGAAATTTTTATTCTACTTGGACAGTACATCATCTCTAAGTAGCCTACATGCATCTAAATTTTTTTGAGGTGATTCAAGCAGCGCATTGAGGTGTTTTGAACAATTTGCATATTACATGCCAGTTGCAAATTCCCAGGAATGATAGTACCAGGGTAATTGGACAAGCGGAAAACTTGTTCCTCGGGTCTACCTGTGTTTATTCTTGGGGGCCTGTCCCCTCACCATAGATGAGTGGGCTCCTCAGCAAACTCGTTCCTCGGGTCCACCTGTGTTTATCCTTTGGGGCCTGTCCCCTTGCCACCTCCTTTAGTGGAGCCTAATCTTATGACAGAGTGAGACCGCCTGTGACTCCCACGTAATGGCTGTAGTTATAGGCATTAATAAATGGGGTTCACACCTGTAATATGAGGCAGGTAGAGTGATTCAGAGCCTCCTGCAATATTCCTTCAATAGTGAGGGACTTTTATTATAGTGCTGTAGATCCACAGCCTCATACCAGCACTGTTTGCTGTGAGCACATTGGCAAATGCCATGACGGGTTGCTGACATTGTTCAAGCTCCAAGCTCGCTGTACAACACGATGAGCTCCCACATTTTGATATCTTGCGCCCAGTTGAACATTTTGATGGCGATTTTCGACGACCTGTGCACAGGCAATGACTAAGATGCGCGACTGAGTTGTATTGGTCTGTAGACTAGACTAAGGTAATGTAAACTACCACTACTTGTTGTCGCCCCCTTCTTCATTAGATGACTCTACAAACTCAGCCCTTTTTGGACCTTCACGAAGCTGGGCAGAATTCTTTTTTGCTTTTTTCAACGCCCTTCAGTTCTCCTTACTAGCACTTGTGCTGGCTGTGGCCTTGCATTTTTGAGGTATGCCAGCATCCAAATGTTTTTTTGCGGCTTGTGAATGACATCTCTGGCTGAACAGTGTGCTTGAAGTTCAGCAGTGTAAGCTTTGACTTCTGCTGGCAAGAGAATGGCCCAGTAGCACGTTCACACCTTGAGCGCATCTCACAGCTTGTGAATGTCACCCACGGCCCCAATGTTCAAAGGGTGAACAAAATTAACACCTTGGGGCCACCCCACCAGGCGTACCCCATATGTCTCGACAATAGCTGTTTTATAGTTGGTATAATTCATGACAATATCCGGTCACCTCGACTACAAACAATGTTAATCAAGGACAGCATGTACAAAAGAAATTCTCACTCACCAAGACCACAGATAATCATTTTACATACCTGCTTCCATACCATTTCCAAAGAGTCCCGTTCATTAAGATCTGTAGGATATTGAATGGGCCAGTATACAAAGATGTGAGATGCACACTTTGATTCTGGGTGCACGCCCATTGCTCATATTGCCTGAGGAAATCGGCCATAGGATGGTCATATACATCCTCCCAAAAGTCTTCTGAGTTATTGGTCCCATGCATCGCACTTTGAACTGTGTTGTTGATGTGACTGTGAACAACAAATAATGTTGTGTAGACACCAGTCCGAACTCGCAGGTCGTCCAGCTTTGAAAGGGTAATGTATGAGTTTAGTTCATTGTAGTCTAGGTTTGGACAAGCTCACCTCTTTGACAATCCTATCTGTCGTACCTATGACTTCACATGCAGCTGCTATGTTGTTCGACTGAACACCGGTGGATCTTTTTTCACGATGCTGATCGAGTGCTGAAATGTAGGCAGCCTCTTGTTCTTTCGTCAAATTTTTCATCTTTGGGTCACTTGTGACCATCTCGCGGAGCTCTGCCAACGAATATTGAGACCCTACAGGTAGGTCTAATTGATGTGATATAAGCTTTGCGGTACCATCAAACAAATGTATTTGATGTACCTGCATTCATCTCCTTGGACTTAGCATGAACAAGCACATTTCTCAGCTGCATCTTGCAAGAATGGCGATAATTTGTCTGACCTCCGATGATGTTGTTGATCATCTTCAGTGTCACACTATGAGCTCATGAGAGCACTTCAATCTTCACCTGCTGTTCCTCCAGGTATTCGGTGACAGCACTATGTAAGTGCTTTCTTTTTTCCATTGTTTGGTCCCTCTTGATCTTTCAAGATGCCTTCTGGGCATCTGTCAGTCGAGGGGGCGGTGTATGGGGACGGATGATGGCTCGTGTTGGGTTTTGTGCTGCCCAGGTGGATGTATTTGCCTTGCATTGGAGTAACTCTGGCACTTTTATTTCAGAAGGGTCAGGTGATGGCGTGCGAGCAGGGGAGGTCCTTGTGCCAGTAACATGTGTAGGGGGAGGCAAATCTGGAAGGGGGTGGTTTGTAGCCACTATGTCATGTGTGAGAGCTGCAATTTTGTCATCAGTAAGCAGCATGGTATACAACGAGGGATCGTTCTAGTTGATATTGTTAATATGCCCACTGTTACGGACTTGGATAGTATCTGTTGATGACGCTCAAACAGAGGTATGTCGTCAATGGTCGAGGATGTCCCTGGGCTAGCCCAAGGTTAGGGGTCTTACTTGGCGAAGCTTTGGCAAGTAAGATTTGATGCCTATGTCCAAATTGGGTAGCTTATGTCAAGCAGGGCTCGATGATAAGCATATCTGCCAAGGCTTACAACACCCGAAGGTTAATCGTAAGATCTGCGTTAATAGAAGGACAGAAGTCCAACTAGTTAACAGGGGGCTTTGCTCGTTGACAAAGTCGATGAGTAAAGATCGAGACTAAAGACTTATCCATGATGAGCAGATAAGAAAGTAGAATATAGACTGCTGGCTAGGCAGAAGGAATCACTCTTGTTAGGAGTAGGAGGTCAAGAACCAAGTAGAGTCAAGTTAAGGAACTAGATACATGGTAGCAAGTTTATATAGAGGAGAGGAAGTGTATTAGTGGGTGATAACTCGTACTACTGGAAGGGGAACTGGTCAAAGGGTGATACTAGAAAAGGAAGACATGTTCGAGGTGAGTCATAGGTGAACCAGAATGTGCAGATGAGAAATGAGTCAAAGAACAGAAACAGGAAGTGAAATAAGCAGGGGCACAATTGTGCAACTGTGGAGCTAAGTATAAGTATAATGTGCGACTGCACACCGAGTCATAGATCAAGAAAGGAAACAGGGCAAAGGGGATGCGGCGTGCATTGTATCAGTAGGGTTACTGTCTGAATGGTAAGGATAAAGGGGATTGTCCACAGGATCAGTCAACAGGTGGAACAGAGCATGGTATGCGTTGTCAGAGAAAGGGTCCGGCCAAATGTACTGGCTCTGCTGGAGCGACAGGTAGAGGGCAAAGGGGAATGCAAGGATGACAAGGATAACAAGAGCAAGGTCAGGGTAAGGGTGTGATGCAAGGGCGGAGACAAGGAGGATAAGGAGAAAAATGGTAGGGGCCCAAGCGTCTAGATGTTCTTGTAACACCCACCACCTTCACCACTGGGGGCATATCTAAAAACTGGCCGGTCGAGATAAAATCACCATTGGTATCAAAATCGTCAGTTGAATAGAGGTAGCTCATATCTAAAACTGTGAGTGGAAAATCTGTAAGTGCAGATGCGAAGTTTAAGCAAATAAAAAATGTGATAGACTCCATGGCAAATAAACAACATGTCGCATGACTCACGTCATGAAAATCAAGTGATCCAGTGGAATCAGTGTAAGATCTTGAGGTTGATATTCATCTGAAACCATGGCTAAGGTCACACGTGCATCTCAGAGGCAGTGCAGATTGGTACTGATCAGACCTACCACGAGCTGAAGGCACTATCGTCCTATGGAGGATGCAGTCAGAATTTCCATGAGCCAAAGGCTCTATTGTCCTATAGAAGACAAAAACTAACCTTGTGGGTTGAAATGAGACACACCACACACCTTCCATGAGCCAAAGGCTCTATCGTCCTATGGAGGGTGCAGTCAGACTTTCCATGAGCCAAAGGCTCTATCATCCTATGGAGGGTGTGGTCAGACTTTCCATGAGCCACAGGCTCTATTGTCCTACAGAAGACAGATACTCACCTTGTGAATTGAAATGGAACGCGCCATGCGCCTTCCATGAGCCGAAGGCTCTATCGTCCTATGGAAGATGTAGTCAGACCTTCCGTGAGCTGAAGAGTCTATCATCCTACAAAAGACATATACTCACCTTGTGGATTGAAATGGGACGCGCCACGTGCCTTGAAATGGAACGTGCCATGCACCTTCCATGAGCCGAAGGCTCTATCGTCCTATGGAGGGTGCAGTCAGACTTTCCATGAGCCAAAGGCTCTATCGTCCTACAGAAGATATATACTCACCTTGCAAATTGAAATGGAATGCGCCATGTGCCAAGTAGAGTGGAGGGGAGGGACCAGGCAGATTACCATCTTGCTTGCAGACAAGCACACATTGAGTCTTTGCTGCAGTGGTATACTTGGACCTACAATGGTTCCCAAATTTAGATGAATTAGTAATCAAGATGACCTCACAAGTTGCACAAGAGACTTAACAGTGGCAATCCTACAGAATCCTACACCATGCCTTTCAATCTCATTGTCACCCAATATTTTATCAATGATCTTGACCATATATCTAGAGATGATCTCAGGTCCTCTCTTCCTTCATCTTTTTGATGACATGGTAAGTTTAAACTCACGTGAAAGGCTGGACTATCTAACACATTTTCCAAGGCTCGCTGAAGTCACAGCAGGTCCTGCAGTCCTACATCAAAGCAGCACATGGCTACAGAATGCTGGCTTGCAAAACCAGGGTGAGTCCCATGTCCTTGGTTACTAGTGAATTTTGCTTACTGTCCTCACTGCAGAGTGCGAGAGGCTCAAAACGAGAAGGCTCGCATTCAAGTTGCTAGGTGAGTTCTTACCTATTTTCCAAGTCTTATGTGCGCTATATAATTTATTTTAGGAATAGGGCAAGGTGAGAATGCCTAACTATGGGTGTGTGCTAGACTCACTAACCGACTTTTGGCATAGGAAAAAAAGGGTTCTACCTTGTGAAGTGTGTGATATGCCTGTTCCTGTCTCGGACCATGAAGATTATCATTCTCAGTATGATCCCACTGAAGACGTGCTCTCCTTGGACCATAACGATGCTGAGTGTGACAATACCAAAGCTGTATTCACAAATGATGATCTACCTTATCTCGCAGATGCCAATCTGCCTTCTCCCACAACTCTCGGTATGACAGTCTACCTTATCTTGCGGATGCTGATCTGCCTTCTCCCCACAACTCTCCCTCGCTGCAAACGATCAATGAAGAATCATGTTATGATCGTTCATATGATCCTGACAATTCTATCCTCACGATGGATAATGATTTACTGTGTACCTGTGACTCTCCATCACTGCAAGCGCTTGAGAACTCCATCAGGGTGTGGTGAAAGGAGTGGCTGTCTGAAGAGACGTGGAATGAGGCATATAACAAGGCATCTTGTCATGCTCTGAGCAAGGGAGAACATGCTGAATTTATCGGGCAGTGTGCACAGCACACTTTGGAGGGTAGATCACTGCTGGAAAGTATCAAGGACACCATGCACACTCCTTGCCCATATTGCAGGGAACACCTTAAGTATGACGTAACATTACTATACAATTTACTGGTTAGTGTCACATCAGAGGTGAAATTTTTTAAAGCCAAATTAGTTGTAGACACCGTCTGTAACTAGTAGTACATTATAAATGTAGCTCCAAGTGTCTCAACATCAGACACAGTGTGAATACCTAGTCATGTAGTGAACAGATGGTGAACTCATAGCGAACTTATGGTGAACTTATAGCAAACAGATAGCAAACTTATAGTGAACATTTGTTCTCGGATGCTCAGGACTGTGAATAATGTTCTATATCAAAAATTTGAAGAAGCAGAATGCTTCTGTCACTTGAACACTATATACACTATCAAGCCAAAGCTGGAAAAATGTGTGATGAGTAGTGTAGAACATTTATGATGTTTAGGACACTCGTTGCATAATGTGATACACCTGTTAATCACAATACCCCTCTAAGGGCAGCAACAGCTATAACATACCTCTGATCTGTCCCCAATCACACATGTTCCTTCTCACTCTCACATAACTATCACACATGATCTATATCATGATCTTTATCAGCTACATCATAACAGTACAAGCCTTCTACTCCTGATTCATTCCCAGTACCACAGGTTCCTTCTCATTCACACCTGCCAATACCGCAGGTTCCTTCTCACTCTCACATGGCCAACACACATAATCTTTATCAGGCGCATCACAACAGTACGAGTAAGGCAAATTCAATTTCTTTACTCTAATTACAAGCAACATTTGCAAACTAGACTACGTAGATTCAAATTTATATTGACTCATGGTCTCTGACATGTCTTCTACTTGCGACCACAAGTCATCCGAGTCTACAGACAATGTAGGAGATGTAGAGAGTGGGGGAGACACTGGGGATATAGGCCAGTTCAAAGGCCAGAATGGGCCACCCGGAATCGGAACAGCATGGACACTGGATTCATTGTACTTGACGGTGTATGCTTGAAGAGCTTGTTGGAAAGATGGGTACCATTTCTGAATACCACCACTAACAAAATTCATTCATTCCGCAACATCAGCCCTAAAGATGAACATTGTGATAATAAGTAGAATTATAAGTGAAAGAGGAGAGAGCGTAACACTGACCAACAATAAAATACACCAACTTCTTGCCCAACTATGATGGCCCAGAAGCCCTTGGGTTTGATCCCAGCTTGTGGTGGGCAGATCTCATCTGGGGTTGGAGCAAGCGGAACATGGGAGGGAATTGACACCAGATGTGAGGGTGTTTGAGCTGTCGAAGTGGTAGGAGGAAGTACAACTTGTCCATCGGGAATAACATTGTGTGTGGATTGCATGCACAAGGTTCTTGACAATGTGATAGACTCTTCTGTAGTCTTGCACTTCCAAGTAACAGTAGCGACCGGTGAATCTAGGATAAATGATGTGAGTAAACAGTATTTTGCGGATGTTAGAAGAAATACCTACCTGAAAGGCTCATACGATCAAGCAAACTCTGCAGATCTTGAATGTGATCACCTGCCTGGGAGTCAGAGCAAGTTGATGGATGGCTGGACATAGCAGATGTGATGGTGTATAGGGACCCTTCGTGACACTACCAATCATTAGTCATGTGAAACAAAAAGATATTTCTTACTAACACAAAGAATCTGTAGATAATGTGAAATACCATAGGCCACCAGCAAATTTGAAGTAAGCTCTCCCTGTGATCTATCCGGCACATTGGACTGTCAAAGAACAAAAATGGGCTGCCGGTCAACAGCAGTGTATTGAAGGTGCTCAAGCACTGGGACTTGGTGGAGCAAGTGGCAATGTCCAATGAATGACAGAAAGCACGTCTGCAAGGTATCTAATGTTAGTTGAAATACTTGACAAAAAAAACTTAATTTTGTGAAGCCATGAGTTTGGATGAGTGTTGTGCTCTCAAAGCACTTAAAGAGGAGAAAGCTGCCACCATCGAAGATTGGCAGGAAGGCTGCAATTATAGCTTCGGCAATGTCTGGAATGGGACTGAATCAATTGCCATCAGTCATGCTGGTGGTGAGTTCACTGACCTTGCAAGAGAGGTGTTAGGAGACTTCTGGAAAATGTGAGTGTTAGTGAGTGTTGACTATTGATATGTGAGTCACATACCTTCGTGAACAGAAACAATCGTGTTCGACGCATGGATAATCACACTCATCATGATCATGTCCTCCGCAGAAACCAGGCATTTACAGAGCAGATGCCTGTACCGATGAACACTTACCTTGCCTGGAGCCTGGCAAAATCTAAAGGCGTCTTCAAGAGCTTTTTTGAGGGATTGAAGAATGATGAGCAGGAGAGCAACTCGAACTATGATGAAGGTGAATGGTCAATCAGTGTCATTGATGTGTTCTGTGAGTGATCTTGTTGTTGTTTGCTTACTTTTAATATTGATGTCGGCATGACTCATTGTATTAGACACTGAGAAAGTTAAGCTTTGAATCTCACCAATAGATGCCACCATCTGTTCTGCGCTGGTGCATAAAGGTGTCATGCCTTGTTTGCCTATATCACCAACTGTAGGCATTACTACAGAAACCCTTGAATCATACCATTTCGCGCATCTTAGAAGTCCTCATCTATCTATTCAAGCTTTCGTGAAAACAGTGTGCGACTTGCATGAGGTAATTATTTTGATTTCTCTAGTTATTGTGCTAATTATACGCAGGTGGAATTTCATAGGCATTTATTGCATCAATTTTCTATCGTGTGTAACTCATATCTTCAAATTCGACGCTCTGTGGCAGCTATGGTAGCCGAATCTCTTCAGCGTAACTCACCTGACTGGTGCCTCAAACATGCATGCCCCACATGTATGTATGAGCTCGACAATGAAGAAACACTAACATTCAGACTACTATACTCTATGGATGGTAACAACTCATTAAAATGAGTCCTGTGGAGGTCTTTGGACCACAATGCTGACAACTCTCTTGCTCCCTCGTCTGAACTACCTATGGGCCAGCAACTCACAAGTGACCGGTATTCTGGAGAGTCTGAATCAGTAACTACTGTAGGTGATGAGGAGGATGCAGCTGCTGAAGACTCTTGCACTGGATGATGGAAAAACATGGACAACACCAAAACAAAGAAAGTGTGGGGGATATACGAAGAAACAGGTATATTTGTGGCTGTTTGCTGTCATGGATTTGTGTTACTTGTCCTGGACATGGTACAGAGCGGTGAACTGTAAGTAAGGCCTATTTTTTGTTCAACTATTAATGAATATCTGGATAGTGCAAAGTATCCCCTTGCTGTTGTTGCAAAGTTGCTAGATATATTTGGGAGGCAATTGGGAGGCAGGTATGACATTGGTTGCCAGTTTAAGACGATGCTCAACAACAGCTCCCTTGGCCCACCTGTACGCTCACTTCAACACACCTGCCTGGTTGGCGCCTTCCACAGACATGCTCACAGGTGCTTGTGCCAGCTTTTTTCACTTACAACATACATGTCACAACCCAATAACGAATTAATGCTGGGCGAGACTATGACTCGGACTAAGGCTATCACAACAGAGAGGAGAGGAGCAAGTACGTCTTAGATTGCTACAGTGTAGATACAAGAGGTTTGAACTAAGGAACTATCGACCAAGATGTGCTACCTATATACAACTATTGAAACTGAGATTGAAACTGAGATACAACTACTAGCCAATCATAAAAAGGAAAAGGGAATCGTACCATAGAACATCATAGAATATTAAAGAAGCATCACGTGACCATATCTTATCTTATTGTATCTAATTTAATCTATTCACAATCAAAGAACTCGTCTTCTTCATCTGTCACATCGAAGACACGTGTTGTGGGCACTAAAGGTATTTCGGGAATGATAGACGCTTTCAAGGTAGGGTTAGGGTTTGACTTAGGTGCTTTGTTTTGATGCTTAGGAAGATTTAGGAAAGAATAATGGTTTGTTAAAGGTACTTGTGACAATACATCAAGGGTTTGGGCCTCAAGGATCTCGAAACATGTGAACGAACGTTCTTGAAATCAAATTTGCTGGCGTCTGCGCTACGCTATGCGAGTGTTTTCCACCGGCAGCAGGCCATCAACTCTTATTTTGAGCACAATGATGATTTTGAGGTCTACGCTAATCTTTGTAAGTACTATAACTTGTACATAGTGAACATTTGCTGACATAATCATCATATCAGCAAATTTTTTGTACTGCAACTGCAACTACAAACAAGCACTGGACATCTTAAATGATGGCAACACTACTCTACCGATGTCCTGCATGATGTGGGAATCATGCATGGACATGAATACTAGGTGACCCTCAAAAGACAAAGTCTGTTAGCTTAGTCCTCAGACTAGTCAACCCATACCTTGGTTTCAAACCATGGTTCATATTTCCAGTTTTCCCCAAGTTTCATGATCTGAATACGTTTTGACGGAAAAAGTCTAATGTGAGATGGGAACCACATTTAGACCTAGTTGATGTGAGAAGAGAAATGGAGGTTAAGGTATAGCCTTGCCTTTGGCTTATTCACTTTGGCTAGAGAAAACCATAGAGAAAAGTACAAAGCCTATAAAAAACCTATCCAAAAAGACCGTGTTTCAATTCCTGCCAACTGTATTATTTTGACTGTGTTTCAATTCCTGCCAACTGCATTATTTTTTTTGACTGTGTTTCAATTCCTGCCAACTGTCTTATTTTTGCTACCTACTTTTCTCTAGTGTTTCTTTACTTTACTTTTTCATTAGGATGCTTTGACTCACCTGACACTTCATAAAATTGTACCCATAGGGTATGATGTCATTATGATGTCATAAGACTCCACAGATACTCCTGCAGGTATTCTGTTGAAAGATATTATGTTATCAAGCTCTAGATTATTCTACTCTACAATGACATCATTCATGATGTCATTTCCTTCTAGAATATTCTGCTCCACAATGACTCACTCTGACTCACTCATGGAAGGTTCTGGAATCTTTTGCTCCACAATGATGTCACTCTTGATGTCATTATGATGTCATTACTCCACATTCCAGAATGTTCTGCTCCACAATGATGTCATAGCTCCATCTTTCACTTGTATTTTATTCTTTTATTGGGTTTGACCCAATATTTTGATTGGTCCTCCTTATTTTTTATTGTTTGTGAACCTAGGTTACTTTCCCACACAAAATGTATATAAGGAGAGCCCATTCTCCCCCAAAAAAATATGATCTCCCATTTGTAGCAATCTGCCTCTCAGATATTTCACTTGCAAAGTTAGTCCCTTTGAAGTGAGACAAGTGCAGGGAAAAGAATTCCCTTGAGATTATAAGTTTCTTACTTTAGAAACTTATTAGTGCCATAGACCAAGCGTTCTTGGTCATATATATTGTCTTTGAGAACTTTGTCTCATTGCTCTGTGCCCTTTGACTAAGCAATCTTAGTCATCTATCATATTGTTGAGACCATGTCTCACTAGTTGTCCCATAGACCAAGCGATCTTGGTCAAGTTATAGTCCCCTTTGTTCAAGCGATCTTGAACATATACTGTATATTTGAGACCATTGTCTCACAGTCAGGTGTCCATAGACCAAGCGATCTTGGTCATATTTCATATATTTGAGACCACGTCTCACTAGTTCCAGTATCCAAGTCCAGAGCCTAGAAGGAGATTTCCTAGGCAAATACATTCCAGAAACCTGAATTACGTGTCTAGAAGCTTATTCCTAGACAAGAGATTTGAGTTTCAATAAAGAAAAGTAAAGCTCCGGCTAGGTTGATCTTTATAAAAAGATTAGTTTAGCAAGCCTCCCAAGAACTCACACATTATCTACCACGAAATAGGAAAAGTCGTAGACCGTGTTAATCGAGGACTGGCAAGCAGTCTTATCCAAAGTGTAATTGTGGTGTCATTACATTTACACGACTTTATATAAGACCCTCGGTTATTAAGACACCGAAGCTTATGCAAGATCTGAGACTCACGGGTGAGAGCATTTTTGAGTGCTGGCTTGAGGAAGAGAAGGCCTACCTCCAAGGCCTAACTTGAGAACCCGAAGATGAGACCTTGCAGATGGAGTATTGGCAGAAGTTAGTAAATTTTACCGCAAGCAAGTGAGTGTATCCGAGGTATATGAATATTGTGTTCACTGACACTTCATTCGCTCAGAGAGGCATCACTTTGGTTGTGCGGGTTGCATCCTCCTCTGAATATGCCGATGATACTGATGATGAAAATGATACAAATGAGAGCAATGATCGGCTTGTCAAGCATCTCAGATGGTATAATGGCAAATAAATGAATATTAATGTTTTCAAATACTTCCTCAAATTTGTACATTAATTTCTGGCATGGTAGTAGATCCAATTTGATTCAGATTAGGAGAAGTTACCTCATGGTGGTTCCATCAACATTATATTTAGTCACAATTTTGCGGCCTTTTTGTAGCCTTCTCAAGCCTCTTGGGCCTGCCAGTAAGTTTCCTGCCCATCACTCCTTAACTTGCTCACAGAATCGCACTAGTTTCACTGGTTGTGAATGCCGTGATTGAACTTGATAACAATGGAATTGTCCCTGCAAGGTGAGTAATTTGCATTTCAAATTCAATACCCCATCATCATGCTCAACATTTTTCATATTTGCTTCATTCTGAACCCTCTTGCTAGCCTCTCAAGACTCCTGAGAGCCTCCTTCAAACCCTACCTGAGACCCTCATGAGCTCGTTTGTCTTGGTCACCTCACCAGATTCTATCCGAACAAATTCAATGTCTCATACATTTGTTTAGCTTCCGCACTGCTGCACTGTTCTAACTTTTTTAGTCTATATCAGCTCAAATCACCCTCATAAGTATCAGGGCACTGCAAGTTTTTTTTTGTGCCTCTTCCAAATTTCCATCTGATTTACTTTGTAGTATCTTGCGCAAGCTACCCAACAGAAGGTCATCTACTGCACACAGTACAAGTAAGTGGGTGTGCTCTCATATATTTCTTCTATCATTGACTAAATACTGCAGACATGACCCAAAATGTCCCCAATAACCCGTCATCTCCTCACCCGAGCTACATGGGTCTATCCTCTGATACCTTTGATGCGCAGAACGCCCATACTGCACATAGTACAAGTAAGTAGGTGTTGTTACAAGAACATCTAGATGCTTGGGCCCCTACTATTTTTCTCCTCATCCTCCTCGTATCAGCCCTCGCATCATACCCTTACCCCGACCTCACCCTCGTCATCCTCGTCATCCTCGCATTCCCTTTCGCCCTCTACTTGTCGCTCCAGCAGAGCCAGTACATCTGGCCGGACCCTTTCGCTGACGAAGCATACCCATGCTCCGTCCCACCACCTGACTGATCCTGTGGACAGTCCCTTTGCCCTTACCGTCCGGACGGTAACCTATGATCTGATGCACGACGCATCCCCTTTGCCCTTTTCCCTTTCTTGATCTCTGACTCGGTGCGCAGTTGCACATGCGACTTATACTTAGATACGCAGCTGCACGATCGTGCCCCTGCGTGTTTCACTTCTTATCTTTGATCTTTGACTCACTTTCTTATCTAGCACGTTCTACCTCGACCGAACGTGCCTTCCTGTTATGGTTATACCCTTTACCGATTGCCTCTCCCGGTAGTACAAGTTATCACCCACTAATACGTCTCCTGTCCTCTATATAAACTCGCTACCATGTACTATATTCCCTAACTTGAATCTACTTGGTTCTTGACCTCCTACTCTCACCAGAGTGATCCTCTCTGCCTCGCCAGCAGTCTATATTCTATCTTCTTATCTGCTCTTCGCGGATAAGCCTATAGTCTCGATCTTTGCTCATCGACTTCGTCGATGAGCAAAGCCCCTGTTAACTAGTCAGACTTCTGTCCTTCTAATTAACGACGATCTTACGATTAACCTTCGGGTGTCGTAAGCCTAGGCCGATATAGCTTATCGTCTCGCACCCGCTTGACATAAGCTACCCGATTTGGACATAGGCGTCAAATCTTACTTGCCGAAGCCTTGCCAAGTAAGACCCCTAACCTTGGGCTAGCCCAAGGACGTCCTCGACCGTTGACGACACACGCTCTGTTTGAGCATCGCCAACAGATACCATCCAAGTCGTAATAGGTGTGCTCTCATTTATTTCTTCTATCATTGACTACATAATGCAGATACGACCCAAAATATCTCTGAAAATCTGTTGTCTTCTCACCGAAACTACATGGGTCTACCCTCCGATACCTTTGATTATGTGCAGGAGCAGTACGGCAGTGGTCATTGATGCACAACACCCCCTGTTGAGCTCACTCCCTCACGACTCAGGACCAAGCTCAAGGCCACATTGCAGGATGTTGGCCTTGTTAAAGGTGCATCTATCCGCCGTCTGGCCTATCAAGAGTCCACTGTGGGAGCTCAAGATCCATCTGCACACTCTGGTGCACCAGACTTACCACATTTGGTACCAGACGGCAGTTCAACAGGTGAAACATCATTGCTAACGGTCCACCCTGCCAATAGTCGATACACCTCGCCTTTTCCTACCCCAAGTTCAACAGGCGAAACATCATCGCTTACAGTTCACTCTGCCAATAGTTGATACACCTTACCATTTCCTGCCCCACAGCCTCCTGCTCCACTCCAAGATGTTTTTTATGGTTCTATGGACCAGCAACACCCATGGATAGATCCTAGCTCCTCTGACATGTTTAGCATGATGGGCTCCGAGCCTTTTTTACCTTATAACTTTCCTGTGAATTTGTTGGGTCAACCAATGGCCTCTTATGGATGCTCCCAAGACCCTCATGCAACAAATGCCACCACCTTGACGAATGCTATTGGTGCATCACTGAAGCCTGTTGCATCATCACCTCATGATGCTGTGCCTCCCCTTCCAGTCACACACATTATTCCACCAATGCCATTCAAGGATGGTGGCAGTCAGTCAAACACCACCACCTCGACAAACATTATTGGTGCATCAGCAAGCGGTTCCAGTTTGCAGATGGACATGGGAGCCTATCCTTCTACTGGCTCTTGCGAACACTTTCCTGAGGAGCATGAGCTGGTCACCCATCAAGAGGGACTTTCTGTTACTGGACGCAGGTCTGCAGAGCTGAATGGAATGTTGGATGCTGGATTTGTTGTAGTCGAGCGCCACTTTCTCAATCTCTCTGCATCTACTACACTCTCTGTTTCCCAATTGATCAATGTGTTCTTGAAGAGTTGCGGACGCACCGTGAATGGTACCAATTATTGGAACCTGTACACTAACTATTTCAAAGAACACATTCAGACCGAACTTGCACACATCGGCAGAGAGGTCCCACCTGGAGGTGGCACACCTATTAAGTACTATATTACATCTTGTTGCGCAGGACGTTTATATACCTTACAGGTGCAACCGTGCACAAGCAATGTTACAAAAGTTTCAAAGATACCTATCCTGATTCTTACCAAGACCTCCTGCTAATGCACGAGGAAGCATCGCTCCTTGGATCAACTCCTCAAACAATAGCTCAGCATGGACAGGGCTTCCAAAAACATTACCGAAGAGTAATACAAATTGTATGTTTGCTCGCCCTAAGTTTCGTTATGTCACCTAATGTGTTTATCACAGCTCGAGTCTGCCTCCATTAAATCTGGCTTTGAAGCAGCCATCGTCCTCTGTGGCAAGGTAGTCAACGAAGATGGATTGCTCAGCTATTCATATAACACTCCAGGTGCTGCAGGGGTAATTTTTTTCATAGTCTAAATCCTGATATATACTTATAATATACAGTTCTGGGAGACACGATGCCGTGCCAGCAATGATGCCATCATCGGGCATCTTAAGGCACACATGTAGTAAGTGTTAGTATAAACTATGTTTGTGTCATTACTTATGTTGAAACAGTAATAGAACATCCTTGGCTGCGGTAGATGAAGCATTTGATGATGGCACCCATAATGCCCCTTCAACCCCAAACTCAACTTCAAACAACAATCATGATCGATCTCAGACTCCTGAGGGACGGGATGATGGTTTGAAATGGGTCAAGCTTGAACTCATCAAACAAGTCGGTATGTTACAATGTTGTTACTCTTTAATTTATTTGACCTAAATTACACTAGCCCAACTTGGGGGCAGGTGCGCCTGGGATAAAAATTTCCCTTGGAAGGGCATGTCACGCGCCCTTGCAGATGCCAATCTCTGCATCAAAGGCTATCCTACTCATAAGTGTCTCTTGCCTGGCGAAGCTCACAATGAAAACTCAAAGAACAAGGGCATTGGGGCACTGACACAGAAGGAAATTGTGGTGCTCATGGATGCCTTGAAGGCAGGAACCATGCAAGTCGCCAAAGTTGACAAGACACATTGAGGTAAGTTTCATTTATGTTATGCTATGAAATATCAAATTTTAACGTCATGTGTAGCAGCTGTCATGGCCTCTGAGAGGCCAGTCATCACAGGCATAGCTCCACCAGCTGAGTGGCCACATGATGGTGCTCGACGACTGTTTTGAATGGCGATACCGACTACCACAGCCCAGCTTGTCTTAAGCCTAGCAATGCAGCTACGAAGGTCAAGAAAGCTGTTGATAAGGCACCAAAGGCTTCTCCACCACCCTCTTCCGATGACGACGAATCAGAGGGTGAACTCCCAGTGGTACCTCCTGCTCCCAAGTCCCATAAAGCTACCATGTAAGTAGAAGTCATTGCACCACCCCACTCACACCCATTCAAAGTTGTTAAGTCACCCTCACGCCCATTCAAATTTGTTCCAAAGCCAGAACCAACTCCAGCACAGAGCGAGGTGATCGAAGTCACTTCAGTCAAGGAGAACACTGTTGAAGAGCCTGATACTGAGTATGAAGAAGGACATGGGAAGAAGAGGAAACTGAAGTCTATGCACACATTGTGTGCGTCAAAGAAGCCTGCTCTATCCAAGGAGAAGACTAATGCTTCAAAAGCGGGGAAGAAAGGGACACAGGCAAAAGCACCCAAAGCACTGTAGAAAGCTGATCTCTGCTGGGCTCAGCAGAAATTGTACTACCTAGACAACAAATATTTAGGTAGATCTTAGCACGACCTAGTCTGCTATACTTGCAGAGCAAGTGCGTTCGATCCTATAGGGGTAGCTGTTTGGTATTAGTTTTGATAGTTAGTTATCAGTAATAGGAAGATAATCCGAAGCTAAGAACTACTTGTCCGAAGGGAGACTGTCGGGTCCGAAATTATCGGAGTCGGGTCGGGCATCGGACTATGTGTCGGACTGTCGGGAATGCGTCGGACAATAAAGGAATGTGTTGGAAGTGTGTCGGATTGTCGGTCAAATGAATGTTGGATGTGTCGGAATGTTTTGGAGGAAAAGAGCGGATAGATATTTCGCAATACAATCAAGTACTACTAATATCCAATGACTTCCATCCTACTACTGAGTAGGGAAAAGTAAGTAATGCAATAGGTAGGAAGTACTAGATATTAAATAGTGTCTATGTAGGATTTCGGAGTGCATCAGGCGAAAACAGTAGCGCAAAATCGGGTCCGAATGTATGTAAAAGAGCATGTGTACTGCACCTTTTTGTAGATAACATGTAATAACGCTGTCTGTAATGTTCAGTAATGCGAAACGAGTAAATACGCACCAGTGGGAGTAGATACGACTGGACAGGACATAGGGAGGACGAGTCTGATGCAAAAACGTCGGGTCCGAAACTTTCAGGTCGGGGTCGGGCGTCAGGATCGGGATCGGAATGTCGGGGATGCATCGGACGAATACTGTTTAACATGAGTATCAAGAACACGGGTTTTGAGCCCAGCGCTGCGACTGTCGTTACAGCGCCTCTCTTGCCGACCTCAATAGCCTCTCCGACGAAGGGTGGTCCTCTGTCCCCATTGACAGTGGGGTTGTCAAGTGTGGTGACATCACCAGCGCCTGAGGGTGAGTACACTATATACTTCTAATTGGACTCTACTCTGTCACACCAATGCAACTTCACGATGGACCCTCTAACAAGCACACCAAGGGTAAGCTCTTTTTCAACCAAATTTTCTTGCAAGATAACTAATGATCTACTGTCTATCTACCCTCCAGTACAACAAATCAAACTGCGCCCAATCACCAAGGAATCCAAGGGCAAAATGAGGTGTGCTCTTTGCATGGCATACAGCCACTCAGATGAATCTGAAGTTGACGAGGGTAAGAAGGTGGACATTATGATCGCCAAGAGTGCTGTCTCCCCTGGTTTGATCAATGCCCCTACAGAAACATCACAGGAAGACTTGACCAAGGAATTGCACGACGATAGGCCAACAGTAGATCAGCAGGAACCGCCTCAGATTGCCAATCCTGTTGAGGATCTTCCTGATGCCACTCACAACTCTCATGACCCCCACGACCCTCTGCCAGAGCCTGTCCATCATGACCCTTGTGAGGGTGTCCAGCAAGACCCTCACAAGAATGACCCTCCACACAACCCACAGGAACCTCATCAGGAGGTCGGTGACCCTCTTCACAACCTCCATGAGCTTCACCATGAGGTCATCTCTGACCGTCGTAACAACCATCATGAGGTTGACCCTCTTCGAGAACTTTATCAGGAGGTCATCCCTGATCGTGACGAGGGTGACCCTCCTCAGGAATATCATCATGAGGTTATCCCTGACTGTCGCGACAATCCTCATGAAGGTGACCCTCTTCGCAACCCCTGCGAGCCTCGGGATACTTTCTGTCATGACCCTCGCAATCCCTTGCCTGACCCTCGGCAACCACTTTGTGGTCATTCTGGCGAGCCATGGTACATGCAGGATGCCATGCGCCATGATCATGAACTTCATCATCTGCATGAAGATAATCCTATTATCAATAGTGATGCTCTTCACCCACGCGATGCCTTCTACTACCATGACACTCACAACCTCCATTATACTAGTTTGCAAACTCCCGACCATTATGGACCCAATGAGCCTCGTACTGACATTGAATTCACTGGGCGGGATAGTTCTCCAGCCTTGGAATTACACCACGATGCCCATTATGCTCATGGTGAGCGTGAACGTACTTATTCAAGTCAATACAGTCCTGTGCTTGGTCCCGACTATGCTCGGGAAGGTGAATATGCTTGACATGATGACCTTGACGAGCAACGGGCATTTGGTGGAGGAGCTTACCATGACAGTGGGTACCCACAAGCCAGGGCTCGTTACCACGATTCCAGATGGATGGACCATGTCCGTAATATTGATACTGCACCTTTGGACTATGTTCCACAAGCATTCAATCGTGAGTTAACCAACCCTCCCTGGCCTCCTCAATAGACTCTCGATGCAATGCCCATCTTTTGTATGCCTATTTTGCTATCATTTCATCTCATTCTCTGGTGCTTGCTTGGTCTTGATCTTTCTGTATGATTCCCACCACGTGTCCTGTCCACCTCACTTGTTACTGTGATATTTGCCTTCAGTTTTTGCGCTTCCTTACCCTCGTCCTGTCTGTCTTGCAGCCTGGTGTGTAGGGTCTCAAGAGACAACACCAGAGGCTCCTTGAGTATGATAACAGTGCGAGAGAGACTTGATGATGTACTAGAGACCCTCCAGCTTCATCTTAACAACCAGAGTCAATCCTCTGACGAGGGTCACAAGGATACTTTCGAACCTGTTAAGGATTTGAGGGGAACCCTCCAGAGAGAGGGAGGTCTCAGAGATGTGTTTTGTCCTACAGAGAAACCAGGTCTGACAGACCGTGGGAAGCTCTCAAAAGTGCTGCCAAGGGTGCTCTGCAAGGAGCTTTATGTTCTCTGGGCCATCCTAGGCTGAGTATCATGCGGAAGGAACCAATCTTGCACGACGATCTCCTCCGTGTTCTATATGAGTTAACTCATCCATTGACTCATGACAACCTTCTGTGGGTAACTCAACTTCACTGTGGTTTCTATGGCCTTCTTCGCCTCGGGGAACTGGTAGTGGCTGATGAATTATCTCTGCAAGATTTCACAAAGATTTCCCTAAGAACTTTGGTTCGCATATCTGACAACAACTTTTCGTTCCTTATTCAGCGTGACAAGACCGACTCGCGGTATGAAGGGAATCGGGTGGTAATTCAGCAATTGTCGGTTGGATCAGACCCTTTCCCTCTCTTTATGCAATACCTTGCCTCACGTGACTCTCGATTTCCCTTGCATCCTTACCTCTGGCTAAGGGGTAATGGGCAACCACCGTCACGGTCATGGTTTATCCACAAAATTCGAACTCTTTTTCCAGGGAACGTGTCTGGACACTCGATGCGAGCAGGAGGTGCTACATCTCTTGCTGCAGCGGGCGTGTCTCCTGATCGCATTTGCGCCATTGGGAGATGGAAATCTGACACCTGGGAGTGTTATGTTCATAAAAACGCAACACTTCTTCAAGCGTCATTGTTCCATGGTCGTGCAATTCACGACCTGCCATTTGCATCTGTGTAGTCTGTGTGCATAAACTATGTATTATTATTTTATTTTTTCTCTTTTTCTCTTATTCTTTTTCACCCTCCCATTCCCTCCCTTTAATAGTGAAATAGTATTCATCACTTCAGTCTTATTTTTTCGAGAGGCTCTTCTTCCTGTTGCCACGTCATACTGCTAGTCATTAATTGCAGCCGGTTCCCTCGGCGCATCGAGGAACCGTTTTTTGGCTATACCGGCGTGCGTACGCCTCACAAAATCGTGCGAGGCCCATTAGTAACGCCTATAACTACAGCCGTTACGTGGGAGTCACAAGTGAGTGAGACTCGGTGAAATTGGGCCCTTGCCTTTTCTCACTCGGATACGTATGAGGTTGTATTTGGATATGTTTGTATTCCGAATCCATGGGACCTCCCCGTCCTCGCCGCGAGAGTCCCCGTTTTGCTGGCTATATCCTTGTCATCTGCGATCCCCCGAGATTGAGCAAGGACAATTAGAGCTTCTGCCGAACAACATCCTGGGATTGTCTAGTAAGCGAAAGTCATCTTTCTCGAACTAGAATCGCAGCGGTCAGACTCACGGTCGAACTTTGACAAGTCATGAATCACGCTTCCGAACCTATGATACATCAGCATATCATAGCTATTCTTGCTATCATTTGCGTCTGGTAACGCGGACTCTGAATTTTCGATTTTGATTGGTTACCTTGCAGCGCCGCCTGCTCGCAATTTACGTTGCCCCCAACTTGGATCAATTGTAACAGGATGAGTGTCTTCGATGTCCAGACTTCTGAGATGGAAACATCCCCTCTTCTGCGCGAAACCCCGCAGACGAAGAAAAAGACACCACTTCCAAAACTGCAGATCGGCATTTTGATGCTTGTCCAATTGGCTGAGCCCATTGCCTCCATGTCAATATACCCGTACATCAACCAGGTATAGTATCTAAAAGCATCTTCATGGGATTATATCTGAACGTTGATATTAGCTGATTCGAGAACTAGATATCACTGGTGGTAACGATGCAGCGGTCGGTTATTACGCTGGAATTTTAGTAGGTCACGTCGTTTGAGCGAACACATGAGCTTATATGACTACGGTGGTATCAGGAGTCACTTTTCTTTATCACGGAATCACTGACAGTATTGAAGTGGAGCCGTCTTTCTGATCGCATCGGACGCAAACCTGTCCTCATGATCGGTTTATTTGGAGTTGGCATCTCAATGCTTTGCTTCGGACTCTCGACCTCCTTCTGGACTCTTGTCATCAGGTTGGTCAATTCCATTTGTGGACGTGGTTGAATAGCTCTATACACTTTGGCCAAATAGCCGTTGTGTCTGTGGAATGCTGAATGGCAATAGCGGAGTCATGAGAAGTATGATGGGCGAACTCACGGATTCGACCAACATGGCGCAAGGATTTGCTCTCATACCTATCACATGGTGCTTTGGGAGTTTCTTAGGGTTAGTCTTTATCCGAATAAAAACTCGTGCTGAGAGTCTTGCAGTTTTGTTATGGGGGGAATGCTAGCCCGCCCTCAAGACCGTTGGCCAAATGTCTTTGCTGGACCATTCTGGGCAAAATATCCGTATTTCTTGCCCTGTGCTGTTGCTGCGTCAGTTGTTTCCGCGTCGTTCATGTTCGTATTTCTCCTGGAAGAGGCAAGTCGGACTTAAGATAGACATCCAAGTCACAGATATTGACTCTCTTTCAGACATTAGAGACCAAGCGCAAGCGCCATATACCTAGCGAAACCACAGGCGATCAACTTTCGGAAGAATATAGGAGTAATGGATCGCACTCGGAGAATATGGCCAACGTCCCTCTGCGTTCGCTTCTCATTCGTAGCATCATAATTCCCATCGTAAATCAAGTTTGTCTTGCGTTTCTCGACATCTGCATCTTCGCTCTCATGCCCCTGTTTTATTCCACCCCCAACTACCTCGGCGGACTAGGATTTGCACCCCAAGCGGTTGGGTTATGGATGGCGCTATTCGGCATTATCGACGGTTTATTCCAGGCGCTGTTCTTCGCCAAAATCTTTGACTGGCTAGGTCCTAAACGCACCTTCTACATCGGTATATCGTGTTTTATACCCATCATGATCACATTTCCAGTAATGTCATGGCTCGTCTTCTCCGGAGGCGTTGATTACATGGTCTCGATTGCACTACTGTGTCACCTTCTTCTCATAGTGATATGGGACATGTCTCTAGGTGAGGGTTCTTGTGTTTCTATCGTAGGTCTCATGCTTACTCACAACCCAGCGAGTATATTCATGTTTATCACCGCATCAGCACCTACGAAAAATGTTCTGGGTGCAATCAATGGCATGGCTCAGATGACACAGTCAATCGCACGCGCAGTCGGTCCCATGTTCGCCTCATCTATTTTCGCGTTCTCGAAGGATCACAATATTCTGGGTGGTCACGCGGTATATGTTGTTCTGTGTATACCTGCGGTTGGGATGTTGTGGTTGGCGTCTTACCTACCCGAGGAATTGCAGAATAGGGATGATGAGTGAAATTTTGCCTCGCGAGTAATTCATATAGTAGAAGATGAATGAACTAGTATATGGTTGTGCCCTCAGCAAACCTCGCATGCAGTCATCCACGAATGTACATGAATGATACAAGATGGATAAAAACGAGCGCCCATTGGTAATGCAAGGAGGAACAAATTCCTCGAAAGCGTCTTCCTGTTAGTTAGTAAGTCGAGTCAATGCGGCATGCCACCATTTTGGTGTTGTTGTAATTGCTTAGAGTTAAGTTGTTATTGTACGTTGGTGTCAAAGAACTGTTCAACATCCAATTGCAAGGACTATATTGACACTCACTAGGGCAGCCGTACTCAAACCATTAGAACGAATACACATGTCATATATGCTTCACAATGCCTCCATCCTTCTAGACCACTATGTTTGAATTCCGCCTTGTATAAATACTGTATTCATGACTGAAAATTGATCATTAATCATTAAAATCTCACCTGAATATCGTAAATGAATTTGACTTCTTGTTATATGTGACCATTTCTTAAAGCGGTTGTTTATTTTTAAAGCTTCTGCCAAACAACATCCTAAGGGAGACCTAGAACCGCAGCAGTCAAACTCAGGGTCAAGCTTTGACAAGTCATGGATCACGTTTCCGATTCCCGGACTCATGATACCATCAGCATAGAATAGCTATTCTTGCTATCATTTGCATCTGCCAACGCGGACTCTGAATTTTCGATTTTGATTGGTTTACCTTGCAGCGCCCTGCTCGCAATTTACGTTGCCCCCAACTGAATCAATCGTAACAGGACGAGCGTCTTCAACGTCCAGACTTCTGAGATGGAAACATCCCCTCTTTTGCACGAAACCCCGCAGAAGAAGCAAAAGACACCACTTCCAAAACTGCAGATCGGCATTTTGATGCTTGTCCAATTGGCTGAGCCCATTGCCTCTATGTCAATATACCCGTACATCAACCAGGTATAGTATCAAAAGCATCTTCATGGGGTCATATTTGAACGTTGATATTAGCTGATTCGAGAACTAGATATCACTGGTGGTAACGATGCAGCGGTCGGTTATTATGCTGGAATTTTAGTAGGTCGCGTCGTTTGAGCGAACACATGAGCTTATATGACTACGGTGGTATCAGGAGTCACTTTTCTTTATCACGGGATCACTAACAGTATTGAAGTGGAGCCGTCTTTCTGATCGCATCGGACGCAAACCTGTCCTCGTGATCGGTTTATTTGGAGTTGGCATCTCAATGCTTTGCTTCGGACTCTCGACCTCCTTCTGGACTCTTGTCATCAGGTTGGTCAATTCCATTTGTGTACGTGGTTGAATAGCTCTATACACTTTGGCCAAATAGCCGTTGTGTCTGTGGAATGCTGAATGGCAATAGCGGAGTCATGAGAAGTATGATGGGCGAACTCACGGATTCGACCAACATGGCGCAAGGATTTGCTCTCATACCTATCACATGGTGCTTTGGGGGCTTCTTCGGGTTAGTCTTTATCCGAATAGAAACTCGTCCTGAGAGCGTTGCAGTTTTGTTATGGGGGGAATGCTAGCCCGCCCTCAAGACCGATGGCCAAATGTCTTTGCTGGACCATTCTGGGCAAAATATCCGTATTTCTTGCCCTGTGCTGTTGCTGCATCAGTTGTTTCCGTGTCGTTCATGTTCGTATTTCTCCTGGAAGAGGCAAGTCGAACTTAAGATAGACATCCAAGTCACAAATATTGACCCTCTTTCAGACATTAGGGACCAAGCGCAAGCGCCATGTACCTAGCGATACCACGGGCGATCAACTTTCGGAAGAATACAGGAGTAATGAATCGCCCTCGGAGAATATGGCCACCGTACCTCTACGTTCGCTTCTCACTCGTAGCATCGTAATTCCCATCGCAAATCAAACCTTTCTTGCGTTTCTCGACATCTGTATGTTTGCTCTCATGCCCTTGTTTTATTCCACCCCCAACTACCTCGGCGGACTAGGATTTGCACCCCAAGCGGTTGGGTTATGGATGGCGCTATTCGGCATCATCGATGGTTTATTCCAGGCGCTGTTCTTCGCCAAAATCGTTGACTGGCTAGGTCCTAAGCGCACCTTCTACACCGGTATATCGTGTTTTATACCCGTCATGATCACGTTTCCAGTCATGTCGTGGCTTGTCTTCTCCAGAGGCGTCGATTACATGGTCTCGATTGCACTGTTGTGTCAACTTCTTCTGATAGTAACGTATGACATGGCTTTAGGTGAGGGTTCTCGTGTTTTTATCGTAGGTCTCATGCTTACTCACAACCCAGCGAGTATATTCATGTTTGTCACCGCATCAGCACCTACGAAAAATGTTCTGGGTGCAATCAATGGCATGGCTCAGATGACAGTCTCAATCGCACGCGCACTTGGTCCCATGTTCGCCGCATCTATTTTCGCGTTCTCGAAGGATCACAATATTCTGGGTGGTCACGCGGTATATGTTGTTCTGTGCATACCTGCGGTTGGGATGTTGTGGTTGGCGTCTTACCTACCCGAGGAATTGCAGAATAGGGATGATGAGTGAAATTTTGCCTCGCGAGTAATTCATATAGTAGAAGATGAATGAACTAGTATATGGTTGTGCCCTCAGCAAACCTCGCATGGAGTTATCCACAAATGTACATAAATGATACAAGCCCTTGTCATTGATTACTTCTTCTTTCATCTCATTCTACACGAATCTTTTTCTCGAAAACATGATGTACGTGGGTGGTAGCCTGATAGAGGGATATGCAAGTTGCGCGTGAGTGAGGTGGACAGGAAGAGGGAAAGAGAGGCGCCCAAGTATGAAACAAGTCCCGAAAACACAAACAGGGTTATACGCAGTTGTACGTGGTATCTAGTTCGTATCGTAAGCAAGATGGATAAAAACGAGTGCCCACGGTAATATGGTAGTGTAGTGTAAAAAAGAATGAGTCCGTGCGTGATACGGTGTCTCGGGCGCTTGTACACTTGCCCTCTCTTGCGGGAGAAATGTGGGCGGGAGCAAAAACGAATTATGCTGCGCTGTACAAGAATAGGTTGTTCGTTGCAGCGATCTAATTATAGAGTGTTAGCACACAGACCAAACCGCAGTTAAAAGGCAGGAAAAATCGGCAGCATAAACAATAACGTTGCAAAGCACGAACTATATGCAAAAGGTGACACTCACAGCAATCGTGTTCTCCCGTGGATGCCAGCTTGCATGCAAGATCTTCTTGTTAAAGTCAAGCGTGTCCGTTTGCATTGCGTCTCGCAGTCCACCGGGACGCGGACCGTTCTTGAGGCCGTTCTTGCCTGCAGGTGCACCGATCTTCTTGGCCTTGAAGGCAGACTTGTCGGCCTGCAACACGACATCATTCGGCGAGTCGGTGTCAAATATGCGGAAGAAGTTGTGGTACGAGCCCGTTAGCACGTGCCTAGGTTGCAAGTCATTTAGTAATGGCTCAGGAGCTAACAAGGAATCGATCGGAGAACGGTGGAGCAGGAGATACAAAAAGGCACAGGGGTAAGGGCACGCACTTATCGTCACCACTCCATACACACTCAAACTTATCAAAGATGCAGTCATTTTCATACAGATCGCAAAGCTTTCCACGGAGGTGGTCGTGGATAGGAATGGTCTTCACAGGGCGCGACTCCATGTTAATGTCCCAGATCTTAAGGGAGAGATAGTCGCGCGACAAGATATACCGGCCGTCATGACTAAACTTAACATCAGATATAGAAGAGATGATCTCGGAGAAGAAGGATCGGGATGTTGGGTCCTCTTCTTCTTCGAAGCCTGCACGTGATTCAATGTAAGGGGCAAAGAATCTAAATATTCAAATGAGGCACGCACATTTTGCATGACGATCGCATAGTGCAGAGTCGCGCATATCTGCGAGCTTGATATTACTTTTTGAGCTCGAGTACATGAAAAGGTTGCATTGCTGAGGGTGGAATTCGGCTGCGGTGATCACTTCTGTCAGTTCTTCCATATTCACAGGTTTGATATCGACGATATCTATTATTCATGAGCGTCTTTTCTAGATCAGGGTGGTCAGAGAAGACTTACTAAAACTCTGATCGCTGATGCCGAGGTTCCAAAGGTTAATGCGGAGATCGTCTGCGGATATGTAGGTTTCCTGGTCGGAATTGACAGATATGGAATGGATGTGGTAGGCATGGGCATTGGCGTAGACTTTACGTGGGACCGCGGCGATGATGTTGTCTTGTGGTTGCATGCGGGGGAGCTTGAGATGAGAGACAAGGCTTGGGGGTGGAAGGGCACGATGACCATCAAGATGGTTTGACTCTGAGACTACACGGATACTTTTCTCAAATATTTTCCAGAGTTTGATTGTCTTGTCTGTGTGTGGGATTAGTCAGAAGTGCTGGGAGGAAAAGGGGTGGCGGACCATTGGTGGAAAGCAAGAAATGGGCAGTATTCTGTCGTCTACACCACTTGATCTTGTTGATCTTTTCCTCGATTTCAAGAGACTTCAGATAATCGAATTCAGGCTCGTGCGACTGGAACTCTGTATAAAACTTGTACTCGCAGCCTCTTTTCTGATGATCGCGTGGCGTAATCAGGGTTTTAGTATGGGAGCGATAGAATTAGGATAATACTTACAGACTCATTACGCTCAAAGAGAACGACACGGCCACCTTTGTCGCCTGTGGCGAGGTAATTTCCAGTTGCATCAAACTCGACGGTGGATATGATGTCGGCTGCGGCGTCCAATCGATGCGGGTCAGTTGAACCAGAGAGTCGATCAGAGTGGGTGCACGGACCTTCTGTGATGTCGTCCACTTCACCCTTGTCACCGAAACATTGTGCAAAGCGCCAGCTACCAGAACCTGATGGGTCGATGTCCATGATTGTAGCGTGGCTAGAGGGGGTTCGCTGGTATTGTTATAAGAGTAGTTTAGAATTGATTTTTCGATCTAATTCTGATTTGTACCGCTAGATGAAGGATGACTAGATTGATGATTGTACGAGTTTAAAGGTTTAGGGTAGCGTGCTCGTACAATGTCAATGCTAGTCGAGTGGATGAGATGAGCCGTTTTGTTGTGCTCTTGTTTGGCTACACCCACACTCCCTGGACCCGGCTTGCACCGTAACGTTCTACATTCAAAACAATCTTTAACCCAACAATGCCTATTGCACCAATCACCGGAAAGCTTAGAAAGAGACTTTGGCTCGACATTTCTGTCGCCCTTGGTCTCGGCGTCTCATCTGCATATGCTTTTTGGTAAGTGGATTGTTTTTCGGCTTCTGAAATCATGCTCATATGTGAATAGGTATGGCGTACACCTCAAGTCTGGTACGTCTGGGTCGTCGTGGCTCCTCATTCGTTAACACTGACTCGCTACAGTACAAAGGCAGGAGGAGTTTTATCTCAAGCTGGAGCGAGCAAGAGTGCAGCAGTCGCAGTGATAAGCGCACTTTAGAGTACACCAAACCTCTGTCACCGCACAAATTATAGACTGCGTCTACCTTACAAGGGGCTGTTTATTGGACTACCTAGGAGAGACACCTTGCTTGCATATGGATTGAATCTGTTGCACTGGCGCATGGTTGGGTGATATTGGGTGATCCTCTGCGTGCGTCATGCCCGACTTCTTGTCCGACATCAAACGTTAGCTTGCACATGAGGCGGGTTTCTAATAGAGGCCGAGGCTTAGCTCCAACTTTCATCCTTAAGAAGCCGACCTTGAGGAGCAACCGTTCAACGTGCGTGTTCGCATTACTCGGAATGAACCGACTTGAACACGGGGATCATGCACCCACTGCCTGTACTGCCGCTCAAAAGGGATTGCTTGAATGAATCAAAATGTACTTTTCACATATCTACGAAGTACACAAAATGTCCGGCAACGATCAAAGCATCCTCCTGATAAAAATGACAGATGGATGATCTCTTGAACCTGGCCACGATACTATGTATCTCGTTTTTGCCGTGTTGTTTAACGCCTTTGCCACAAAAGATAAATGTGCGGAGCGTAGATAATCACGGCAGTTCATGCAAGATGACCCCGTCGTCGAGAGCTTTCAACAAAAATGTTGTTTGGAAATCACTCAAAGCCGTGAGCATCATACACTATATGAATATTATTTTCGCCGAGCAAAGTTTTGGAGGATAATAAGCGCTGCCAGTGTTTGCATTCATTTGTTCTGCTGATATAATCGCCTATTAATATAGTCCAGCGTGTCGTAGTACCAACTTATTCGCACTTACAGCGCGCGGGATGAGTGCTAGAAGCACCCACAAGGGCTTTGGCTCATCACATGCCATCCCTAATAATCCTACCTTTATTGAATTTCCAAGATCTGACGGTGACCCAAGCAAGTGGCCCACAAACACTACCCCCCACGTAGACAGCGAGGGCCATGTAAACTACATGCGACAGGCTTCCCTCGATGAATCGTTATCGATCAAATGGCGTGTTGAAGTCGCTGCAGCCCTTGCCTCAAGGCTCAACATGGCTCGTGAGTACTCACTTTCATGTGCTGGCCACCGATCATTTATCTCACTCTTTCAACAGAGGGCAACTATGTTTTGCGAGGATGGCCTGAGGGCTATCAGATGTTCGATCACAACAAAGGCCCAAAAGATACCCTTCGTCATGATGCCTATCTTATAGGTAAGCTATGCTTCCCCATCAGCGCAATTAGTCGGCGTTTACTATCAAAATGCTAGGTTCCACCTATGCCAAACGCTTCCGCTCTGTCCCAGAATTTATTCCCCACGCTCTATGGCTGCTTACAGACCCTACCCTTGACCGCAGCAACTGCAGTTGTAAATATTGCAATAAAAAACCCCAACGTGAAATCACTGCTTCCATGGGCCTTCTTCCAAAGCGCCTTGGCTCTGCGCCCTCTGCCGCAAATACACCCACACGGATAGCTCAAACCCCTAAATTGAAACGCCAGCCTCAGCCACCTAAGGACAGACTCGTCCGGGATCAAGAGAAAAGCTCACGCGACAAAGAAAGGTTTAGACCATATGTTGGTGTGCGTCGTATCCCGAAACCTGTCAAACCGCCTGCACCAAAACAAAGCATGCTCAGAGAGCGCAACTCCGATTTAAGCTGTGCTTATGGTCCCGAAGTTAAAGTTCGTCGATGGTTCCGTGATGGCGAACTCCTTTGGTGCGCATTGAACACCCCGATCGATGGGCCGAGTGGCCCAGGCGGCGACGATTCCATTTTTTTCTGGCCAGGTCTCGTCGAAGAGACAAGAATGAAGCCTACGCCCATTTCAAAGGGTACAGATATGGATATCCTTCATGGACCATCAAACGGCCATCCGAGCTCGAACGCTGACTTATCCAATGGTGATGAGGAAGTCCCTTGGATCATCCGGCACGACCTTTCTTACAAAATGAAACTCCTTGGTATCTCCCAATCATTGTATATTTCAGACCAACTTGTTCTTCCATATCAGTCAGTCGCCCCTTCAGACGAGCTTATCCAAGCTATTCATGCAGTATCTTACGAGGACCTCGACCCAGACCCCGCACGCACTTTTGCATTTAATCCTTATTCCACATCTTCGGAAATTACCTTTGCAAAAGCCGCAGCTCCGTACGGCATTGCGCTGCAGATCGGCGCAAATATCTCTGGCTATTGGACACCTACAGACGACTGGGAGTTCAAATTCAGCATCGAATACCCCAGTTCCGGTCCACCACAATCAGTCAGCACATTCCAAAGCCTCGATTCAGTGATGAACTCAAGTATGGCACATAATGCTAACCTCGCCTCGTCCATGACGACACCCTCTGGCTCAGGCGTTTACACGCCTAGTATCTCTGCACCGCTGCCCCCACTGGCACTGACCCAGACGATCGTGCAGACACGCTACCAGGGCCTGTGGTGGGGTGCAGAGCGCATCTGGACAGATGAGCTCATTCGGCTCAAATTTTCTCGAAGCCAAATCGCTCCCGAGGGAAATGACCTTATCAGTGCACCTGCCGGTCCAAGCAGGAAAGCGCAGGAGTATGCGCGCTCCATGGGCGGCCAGGTTGGTGGCGCTGAGGGGCGGGGCGTGTTCATGCGCCTCGAAGGATTATTCGTTGCCGATCCACCGAATGGGAGAGGATCCAAGGTCTGTCATGCAGTAGGGACGCTTTATGAACTCGTGGATGAAGACTGGGAGGAAGAATTGGACGATCGAGAGGTGATAGTTGACAAAGGAAAGGGTAAGGCGCTCGAAGATGGCAATTCAAAAATGGATGGGTCGTTTGAATTGGATGGTGTATCATCTGGACTTCCATTTATGAATGGTCCATCTCCACTGAAACCACCCCCACTCGCAAACCCAGATCCAGCTATTCCCGTCGAAGCCACGACATCAGATGTTCTTTCGCACAGCAACGTAGCTGGCGCTTCCACTTCTGCCTCTATTGCACCACAAAATGACGCGAACAACGCGCTCTCGCATCCAGTCCTTAGTGCCTTCCCACTACCGAAGGCCCCCGACGGATTCAAGTTCCGCCCCATCCTAAAGCCGGGCTATGAGATTGTCGTAGATCTGACGTGGATCGCGGGGCGGTATTACCCAGGCCTTCTCGAACACCGGCTTCTCGACAGGCACGTCGAACGCGCGCTCGCTGCTGGTGGGACTCAGTTATGGGCTCTCGAGGGTCTGACGGCTGGATGCTATAATGCGATGGACCCTACGAAGTGGAAACCCACTCGCACGGCGATGGTGCGGGAGGCAAGTCATGATGCGCGGGTAGGGCTTGAGGAGCATTGGAAGAACAAGGAGAAGGAGCGTCAGGAGGCAAAGCTGCTGGAGGGGGCATTTTTGTCCCCGCTGTTGCCATTGGAAATGGATAGTGGCGAAGGGCCCGGGCTGGGTGAAAATTCTGGCGCTGCTGCTCCGGGACCAAGCGGTAACGAACAGGGTTATGTGAATGTCGAAGAGGACAGAATGGAACTGAGGGAGACGGAGAATGGGATGCTGGAGGAGGCTGCGATGGCGATTGATTAGTGAGTCAGCAGTTGACTTCCATATTTGTATCCCTTGCATGCCATCTAAGTACCCCACTAATTGTTTTTTACTGTGCTATCATGGAATGTACTGTATGTGAAGAGTTCAGACGTTTTCCGCTTGAGTGCTCTTGACTCCGCATAGTTGCTCTAACAAATTGTAGGTGGTCAATGGTGCTAGTTATTCCAACCACCAAATATATCTCATCCGCTGTTGTTGATATCCTCTCTACCACAGTCATTCTATCATTAGTATTTACTAGGTTTCTGCATCATCTGTCAGTGCATTGTATCATGTATGTCTCATTTTGAAGATCCGTCTCGTCTTCTTACTTTAAGTTCTAGCGCCGCAAACGCCAGTCCGATGAAGACGAATGGAACGCTTTAATCTGAATCAGATGTCAGTCTACCATCCTTATGAACCACCCTTTAACCCCGGTCGTGATCGAATGTCGTCGTACTCTTCGGCGCAATAGTCACTTATGGTAGTCCGTGTATCTGTCAAATTCAATGTATCACTGTTTCTGCGGAAGCATTGCACTGTGCATTCTACCCAAAAATGGATTACAAACATTTGTAAATACTCTCCTCCTCGTCTCTACCAGTGGCAAATATCGGCGCCAGTCAGCACGTTGCCGAGACCTTGTACATCTTTATGACCGTCTCTCATAGAAAGCGACAACACCAACCGGATGAAATCCAAAGTATGCGGTTTCCTCTATCCATTCCGATGGTATCTTCTGGAATACTTTCTCACGCTTCATTTATGTAACCTTTGCAGCTGTAAACGAGCCCGGCTTGCAGATTCAATGTGATTGTTGTCAGTGCGACTTGACGCATTCTGCTCGTATAAAGTGCGCCGATCCTGTATGCGAGCCAGGAGATGGCGTGGATATCTGCCCCGCCTGCTTTTGCGTCGGCAAAGAGTTTGCCAAACACAAGGCAGCTCATGCATACCGAGTTATTGTACGACATGATCGCATTTGATGCACGTTCTTGTATTGATTGGTATTTTAGGAACTTCACTCGTATCCAATTTTCTCTGCTGACTGGGGAGCAGATGAGTGAGTTAAAGTTACCAATGCCTTCCTCGTCGGAGTCATCGCTTTAGCTGAAATCTATTTATAGGGAGCTCTTGCTTATCGAGGGAATATCTCAGGAAGGCCTTGGAAATTGGCAGATGATCGCAGAACACATTGGCACTCGTACAAAAGAAGATGTCCAAGAACACTACAACAGCGTCTATGTCGATTCCCCCAATTGGCCGCTTCCTGTACGTCTATATGATTCAAGTTTGTCCCTTCACTGAGTAAATTGTATTGTAGCGGATGGATGTCCAATTTAACATCGATCCAGATGAATTCCAGGCTCGCAAGCGCAGACGAATGTCAGCGATGACCATTTCTCTACCTCCACCACCCAAGACAGCTCCAACCTCCGCTCCCGGGGTACACGAAATTGCCACTTTCCTCCCTGGTAGGCTCGAGTTCGAACACGAGCTCGATAATGAGGCGGAGGATCTTGTGAAGGATCTGGAATTTGGAATTTGCCATGCATGGGACGGTGATCAGATTATAGAAGATGAAAATGACGCGGATGTCCGCGCCAGGGCACGGATGCAAGAAGAGCGCAAAACTGTTGTCGATTCCAGGAACAGCAGTCAGCCGCCTGCTGTCAATGGTGTCAATGGCATTATGAATGGCAACGGACATCTTCCAATGAACTGCGATGCGCGTGTCAAATCAGAGGAACCGTCTAGTGAACAGCAGGTTTCAACGGAGGACGACGCAAATGCGGAAGAAGCGACGCTGCCTCCCCCATATGAGACAGAAGAATCGCTCGCCTTTAAGCTGACTCTGATAGAGATGTACAATCAGCGTCTTGACAAGCGACGAGAGGCCAAAGCTATCATGTATGAACGAGGTCTCTTGGAATACAAGAAGGTATATCGGTGTGCATGCTGCACGTCATAAACTTACTTCTTTTTCAGATGCAAGCCGCCGAAAAGAAGCGTCCGAAAGAAGAAAAGGACATTGTACAGCGGCTCCGACCGTTCGCTCGACTTCAGACTGCCGAGGATTTTGAAGTTTTCGCAGCTGATATTCTCTGTAAGAACTTCTAGCATTGTGGTGGAAACGTGCTGATGATACTATTGCAACAGACGAAGCCATGCTAAGGAAGAGGATACAAGAACTGCAGCATTATCGGCGAATGGGACTTTCCACTCCGGCCGATATCGATAAGTTTGAACTCGATTCCATTCGCAGGGTGAGAAATTCACATAATTGTTTTGTCAAATCATGCAGCTTATATGTACGGTTAGACTCAAGCGAAAGCAAATTTATCTCGCGACTATTATTCTTCAGAACGTCTGGCACAGCTTCGTGCATCAGGCAGTACGAGTATGACATTTCTTCGTTTTCTCTGTTTACGTTCTTCACTGACGCTGTTGCAGGAGATTCAGAAGGTCGCAAAAGTCACGAGAGAGAATCAACTCCGAAACTTGGGACTCCTGCTGGAACGGGTCCTCCAATCCGCAGACCACGTTCGTTTATTTCATCCGAAAGTATCGCGCAATGGCTCACTTTATTATCAAGCTGCCCCTCTCAATCTTGCCAATAGCCCATCCTTGCATTTACTCACTCCAGCCGAGCAGACCCTCTGCTCCCAACTCCGAATCTTGCCCAAACCATATCTTGTCATCAAAGAGACCCTCGTCCGGGAGTACGCTCGTCGTGGAGGCAAACTTCGCCGCAGGGAAGCGCGAGATCTCGTCAAGATTGATGTGAATAAGACGAGTCGAGTTTGGGACTTCCTAGTGCAAGCCGGTTTCCTCAAAATCACACCTGACCCGCCACCTGCTGCTGCTCAGGATACCTCGTACGTGTAACGTTTTCCCTGTAGCCGGGTATTAACGAGATTCTCTAGTATGAACGGCATCTCCCATACATCACTGAGTGTATCTCCATCCAAGGAGACCTCACGTATTTCACCGCATCCTCCCGCAACAGGGAATCTGCCCATTAATCAAAATGGATTTGGTCACCGACCAATGCCTAATCACACACCACCTAGCATACCTGCCCCACTCTGGCCTTCAATTTGACATCCTTTCTATCTTTGCCCCATCGTTTGCTTCGTCAAGCAGCATTTGTACCATAGCATTCGCATACATTATTTACCACATGCAACTTATGGATTCATTATTGAGATTTTAAACTCCAGAACCAGGTTGAGCGTAGATCGTCAATTATACTGCGGTCAACCGGGATATTAGCTTTACGCAAGTGATCGTCATTACTACGCAGATGTCAACGTCTCTCCAACCAGACATGACGTAGAACTGATAACGGCCCAGGCACAAACGCGTTAGGGAGTATTTTGTCTTCCCGGATACCATGCACTCACCTTGGAATAATGTCTGTTGCCAGAATCGCATCTGGGAAGACGGTGAATCACATCATTCATGCCACAGGTGTCCAGGGAAACCTACAAGATCGTGACGAGTATTTGACCATCGCGCTATCCCCTTTTCTTTACGAATTTGATGCATGCCACCAGATTGCAGGCGCTGCTGGAGCCCAGAAATAGACCATTGTTTTAAAAGAGATATCGGGACATGGCAACCGCTTTCACGTCAGTTATCCTGTGTCGTCGGTGAGCTTCCGTTGAGGTCGAAGATGAAGGATTCGTGACGTACCGGAACGCGTCATCTATGATCGGAATCCAAGGTCGATGTTATTTGTCATGCGGTTGATCCCTCTGAGATGGATAAGTCAGACGGAAAATTGAGGATGGCGTCTGTATACGCACATCCCCTCGACTACTGTGTCCATTAATGCCTTCGGTTTGTTCCTTCAGCTTCTCTGCGGTCGTACAATACGCCATGCTTGACCTGAAGATGCGTGGGGGAATGTCAGGCAGCCAACGAGGACAGGCTTCGACCTTATTATAAATCCCGCTGCCCTCTGGGTCCGCTAGGACGACCTGCACCTCCTCGTCCATCAATTTGAGAAATCGTCCAATGCCTGCGATCGTTCCGCCCGTCCCTACATCGTATAGCATTGAAAACCGGACACTTTGAACATATCACACACGCACCTGCTCCAGATACAAATGCATCAACATGACTATTAGTTTGACGCCAAATTTCTGGACCGGTCCCGTCGTAATGGGCTTCAAAATTGCTGCAATTCTATGTACATGTGAGTTTGATTACCATAAATTTATCAGGGCAAGCACCTTCGACAAAGAAGCCCCTTGGCTTCTTTAGCAGATCTTCATTCAATGGGTCATCACTGGTGCCTTCTGCATTAACGTGCGTCGATGTACTCGTCACCACTAGAGATGCAGAACCTGTATGGAGCTCATGGTTTTCATGGGCATCCTCCAAGCCTTTTACTATATCTGAACGTCCGAATTCGATGGCTGCTTGTCTTGCGATATTCTTTTTGCAGATTTGTGAATGTTCATTGCAAGGTTTTCCTCAACAAAGAAATTGCCCACCACATACTGGGATCATTATGCCAATTCTGGTAAATAAATGAAACGGTGACCACGATATGAGCTCGAACCTGTTTTTTTATCGACGATGCTAGCAGGACGAACGCGCTTGACATCAGCTCCAAGAGCCTGTAATGCATTAACCTTCTCTTGGGCCACATCATCCGGCATGATAATCGCTAAGAAACGTGAGATGGGTTCAATAGGTCGAGGAATTTGCCTACTTGTATTATATCCCCTACAACATCGTGTTATCAGATGCGACGTTCTCGCACCAGAAGCAGGGTCACTTGCCTTTCCCTGGCTATCGTCGCTATCGAGATCCAACAGTGCCTTCAAAGATGCGGGATCCAGTGTGAGGGTGCAGCAAACCTTGTCGTTCCGCGTCCTCGATTACTTCACATTCGTAGTAAGAGAGGTATTTCAGGTCGAATATTGCTGCGCGACAAACTCACTGCGCAGAACAACTCGGTCCTTGACACTCCCTCCGGGATTCAGAAATTACCAATTGCCACAAAGTTGGAAACAATGAATTGGCATGTTCTAGCTCGAAACACACCTCTGCCTTTCCAAGAATCCCGACTCCCAAAGCATCACTCAATGAGTTGATCCTCATCAAAGGCGTATTTCCTGGACGTTCAAACTTGGATACCCTCGAAGAACGCTCAAACGGCTGAGAGACATACCTATCAATCCAGTGACACCATACACGACTTCATTGCTTCTCAAATGAATTGGCTGAGACTCATGTTGCTCCTGCGAAAGGCTTTGACGTCGTCGGCAGCGCCAGTATGATGATATGGACGTGGACGTTACAGACAAAGTAAATCCGATGATGATGCCAAACGTGATATGACGGACAACCGTGTTGGAATACCAGGGAGGCTAGGTCAACTCGGAAAGTTTCATGGCATGAAGTGAACGAAGTTCTCGAAAAACGTGCTCAAGCTTATGATTGACGTACGTGCATATGACGCGGACTACGACACCTGTGGCATACAGCTGAGAAATCAGGACGCGGGTTTTGCCACACAAATAATATCACCAGTATCTGGTTACTCTGCAATAGAACAAGGTGACTGCAGGTCGCAGTCTCGCTTTCGACAGCCTTGTGTAAGTACGCTGGCTTATACTGAGTTCCCGAAAGCTAAGCCTTCTTGGTGTAACGTTTATGCGCGGGTGGTGGTCAACCAACGTGCGTGGAGTCTGGGCGCCTATAAAGGTATCTAACAGCCGTAACCAAATTCAACTTTATTTATGCTTTCTACTACGCGTACGGTCTTCGAGCCGTCATCTGTCAATTGTTTTTATCACATCTCTCTTTGCACGCTGGCCTGCCGGTGTTTATTTGGCTGTCCATGTCAGGTCCGACCCGCCCCATGGAGCCCCCGTCACTAAACGCCTTTTCCCTTTGGCGCTGTCCAACTACCCTGCGCCGCTTCTCACCCATTGTCACTCAAGGATCATTCAATGCTTGAATGTCCTTTTACTAGCTGGTTAACGAGCCTCTCCTCTTCAATAACTATTTTTTGCTGTGGTGTTGCTCACCAAAAGCTTCTCAGTCTTGCCGCCTACATCAGACCGCCCTGCTCTATGTGTGGTCGACGCTGTAGGAAATTTAGTGTGCAAGTGCCTGGCGTTCTGATTCAAGGTACGTTCACTGGTGGACACAAGTATTACGCGTTGGGCTTGACACATACCTCCGACATCGCTCTGGAACCTCCCCAGTCAAGTGTACACAAATGTTTCACTCTCTCCAATATGAGCGCTGACGTAAATAACATACATCTACCAAACATTTCGCATGGCTAGCCTGCCGTAATACCTTCAGGGCGACCCACTCCAATTACATGCATTTGTAACCCACACTGCGGCGACTGCCACTGGTCTCAACCCTATTAGTAAAGTGCGCTAGCTCTTAAATCTGAGTACTGAGTCTGTTTACGGTACCTGTTTGTCGTTAGATCGGTCTTACCGCTGTGACTATTTCGACTACTATGTCTTTATTCCTCCAATTTATGGAAGACCTTGGGGTGCGGGAGTATGTCTATATAGCGTACGATTCGTCTTTGGAATCTCACCTAATATTGGCTAGGTCATTCTCCACAGCTGGTCATACGTTACTACTCTATGACTATTTCCTGACTTTTGGAGAAGAAGTGAGTTTATGACCCGGAGGTGATAAGCATAACAATAATGTTCACAATACACCCTTGGTCTCAGGTCGATTACATCTGGGACTCTCCCTGGACGGTTGTGAAAATCACGTTTCTTCTAAGCCGGTACGGAAACCTTATTGGACAGACTACCATCCGGCTGGAAGAGGCTGGTCTTCTCGCACATCATTCTCAAAACGTATGTTGCAGTTTCATAGACAAAACATCTATCGAGCGATTTATTTCGTGCCAGTTCTGTCGAGACTTCGCGATTTTTACCTCTTGCTTTATGTTTGTATCCATCGAGTCGATGCACAGTGCGTACATCTGCTCGATAATCATTGCACGTCTTGAGAGTTTTGGTTTTTTTCAGTCCTTGTGCTCCTGCGCACATGGGTCATCTGGGGAACTCAAAAGCGTGTGGCGAAAATCCTCACCTGGAGCTACGCGGGCTACGTCGTTGTAATGTTGTCTAGCTCAGTGTACGGATTATACGCCGGTGATAGTGAGTCATTTTGCATCATTTTTATTTTTATTTATGAAATTGGTTGCGCTTCTGTAGTTCAGTTTCAGTTTCTCGACGTGATTCAAGTTTGCGTAGCGACAGCGCCTAGTAGGTGATTGTTATTTAGCTCTTGCAGCATATTGATAGTTTGCTGCCTCAAAGAATATGTGGTGGGTTGTTTTTACATCGTGTTTGGTCTATTGACGGACGTCTCGTTGGAATTACTGATATATGACGCTAGTGGTCAATTTATGCTGCAAGGTTAGGATGTTTTGTTCTACGCGCTTGCGCTTGCTGAACCATCAACCCAGCTTTATTTTTGATACAGTACTCTTCGTCTTGACGATGCGAAGTCTTCGGATATACTCTAGGGAATTTCAGCAACTCTACCCATCTAGTCTCCTCCGTGTACTCTTTCGAGACGGTGAGCATGCTTTGTGGAGCATTTCGTCCACAATCAATTGACCACAAATATACAGCGACTTTATTTTTTATCGTAAGCGTAAAAAAAAACCTGCATAATGTATATCGTTGCCGACAACACGAATAGGCTAGTGTGTTCAGTAACACATTGACCGTCATCTCTTGGTGAGATCCGTTCATACTCTTGACTCGTTCTATCGCCTCATTATGTTCAGGACTGCATTCAGGACTGTCAGTATCCCTTTTCATAGTGGACTGCTGTTTTTTCTGATCGATTTACAGGATCCAAAATATTTCCTTGCTAAAGGGTGCGTTAGCCATAATGCGACCCCATCACATTCGGTTAAGATATTGCATGTAGTTTTGCGACTCCGGTACTTTCAGTAGCTGGTCAGCGCCTAGTCCTGAACCTTCGAGGTCTTCAAACACGTTCCTACGCAACTCGCGATCTCAGCCGTGAAGTGGACCGGCAACTTCGAGCATTTGCTGATGTGGGCTCTCCAGGCCTAGATGATGTAAAAGAGTCGTGAAGGTGTGTGGGAGTAGGTTAGTATCGGAGATATGGTTTCAAGGTTTATCTTGGTTAACTCGGTCACCATCTGTTATAGGGTGTTGTTCTGTACCGAGACATCAGGGAATCGATTGAACATGGACGACTTCGTGCTTACCTTTATTCTGGGATTTCCTAGCGTTTCCTATGCCCCTTTTAAAATTTTGTATGTATTTGACTGCATACCTCAATCTCAGTGACCATCTCCGACTGACTGTAACTAGTGATAGACTAACGAGTAGCTAACCTGCCCTGTAATAAATTGTGCTATCGTCTGATGTGACTCATGTTTGTGGTTCCCTTTCTCGTAACAAACCAAATATCCCTAAACAGGTAGGCTTCCGTACCTGACAGAACGTATTTGCTCATTCAACCAACCGATCACTGCGTGGGCCCTAGCCAACGTCGAGAAAACACTAGTCATGCCATCGTAGCTCTGCGCTTCGGCAAGTACGGCTCGATCATGTGCATGAACGTCCAGTTTCAACCATCAACACCCCTCAACTTGAACTGCAACTGTACCAGATGACGATCATTCGCTACACTTGTCCGAATTGGTCCGCCAAGGCATCCTCTCCCGATTGGCTTATCCAGTTCCTGGATCAACGACGGGGCTGAATAGTGAGTTGTGTGGATTTGGTTGTTTACGTTTGCCTGCTGTACTGATCCCATGGAGTCCGAACTTTTACTCCACACACCAGGAATTCAATTGCCCTAAGGTCACAGAAATCAGGCAAGTACGTCATAGTATCTCACCACTAATACGGAGGTCGGTTTTTTTGTGACGTTAGGGAATGGTGTCTGCCCACGAGGACTTCACTAACCATGAATGGGATGATTTAGATGTATACCTCATCGCCAAACTCAGCATATTGATCTCGCAGAACGGAAGGATCTTAGGAAATCCGAGGATCCAGGGCAAAACTCGTTTGGTGATGACCTTTGCCGTCTCAGTTCCTTCATAACGTTCAATGGCGTCGACTTGATTATCGTCAAACTCGACAAGTGGCAAGCGTTATTGCTAGGAGCAAAGGGAAAGGAACGACTTCTGCGGCTGAGGCGTCTGATGAAGTATGTTGCTAAGTGAAAACAAGATCAAATGTCGATGACCACAATTGCGACGACGACTTACTCGTATTATTTAGCGCGCAACTCGAGCCACGCGGGCGGCGATGTTGACTGGGTTGCTATATATATATAGGCTATTTCATTATCATCGACAACTACAAATATCAAGCTTATTATAAGGATTCTTTACCAATACCATCACTCCTACTCGGATCATCATTACGGTACTCGTTGTACACTACATTCATCAAAATTCAAGAAGAGGCCAATAACGGCAGAGACAAGCCTATCAGTGACCGTGTGTACTTAGTAGTCAAGGACGAGGCTTCAGTGCTCAGTCTTGCTAGCCTTAGCTACATCTGGCGGGGCGGGTTCTCCAACCGCCGTGGCCCATCAACTGACAGCCAATAACCGCAGTTCACATAACTGTTCACGTTGAAGATGGCTACCCTTCTTTCACCAGCCTTGTCCATGTCCACCTCCGACTCTACCTCGTTCTCTCAGTACCACTCTCTCCGCCCGTCTCCAACACCATCCTAAGTTCTTCATCTTCCAGTGGCTCTTTGAATCATGCAGATGAAGGTGCGTCATTCCGTTCTCCAGTTTGTTGCCTCGAGGCGGGTGTTTACGGCAGAACAGAAAATCTTACCATCACTGCGTCGCGTTCATTGCTCGCGAGAAACAAGGGGAAACGAAAGAGCCACGAGTGCGTTCCCTTTCAATCCACTTCAATCTAACTCGTAATCTAACGCACGTATGGCAGAGACATTCGTCTCCTCGCCATCTCCACACACATCACCGAACTCTCGTATAGTATATCGGACATCCAGACGCGTATATTTGGTACGCGACTTCTTAGCCCCATCTGTTTCTTACCCACACAATCTTTAGAAATACAGGAACTACGGCACAAGTCTCAATCTTCAGGTGATGCAGCCTCCACGACCGTTGTCATCGACAAAGCTCTTATGACTCTTGATGAACGCCTTGAGGCCGTCGCCCATGGCATGAAATCCGTATCTGAATCTATTGCCCCTTGCCAGAACCAACCCAACGGTACCTCCGACTCCGAACAAGCTGCACTGGTCCGCAAGCATGCAGTCCTGGTCACCGAGTGGGAAGCCGTGCAAAGTGACACGGACGTTCTCAGGGAGGAGTTGAAAGAGGATAAATGGCTTACTGTGTTCAGAACTGTCACAGAACAGGCGGACGGAATGATGGGAAGCTTAGAGAAGGCAGTCAATCGTTGTCAGGTGTGTTCGTGTATTCTTGATGTTTGTCTCATCTTTGCAAACATCGCACAGGATTTCATTTGGCAGGTGCACCGGGGAGGTGCAGAGGATTCACTCTCGCGGTCCTCATACAGGGGCTCAGTTAGTTCAGACAAGAATCCCTTGAGCATCGAAGTATTCAACGAGTTGCTTAGCTCGTTCGAAGCAAAGAAAAAGTGGGTCTTTCTCCTTTTGCATTATACTTCTCACTCACACTTTCCTAGGCACTACGTCCCAGCCACGTCCAAGGTACTTGCAATCATTGACAATGGCGTGCAGAATCGTGTCACAAAGAATGGGGAGACACTCCGACGACATGGAGAATCTGCTAAGAGGTGGCGGATCCTCAAGGAACGAATGGCCAAGACGGAGAAAGAGATGGAAGCCGTGCGGAAGATACTCACGGGTGATGTGGCTCAGAGCGAAACAGGTTCCACAGCTTCAGGGTATACACCGAATGCGTACCTTGCGACGCCTGCAAATCGCTCTTCGAAAGGCCGCTCACCGAGCCGAGCAACAAGTTCAACGAGCACTCTTTCGCGGAGCATATCACCGCTGAGGAAGTTTGCAAGGAAAATTGCCGGTCATGTGCGGTCACCTCCAGTCCCCGTCACTCCCTTGCCTGTATCACGAGAATTGTCCTCGGTTTCAAGAGACTCTTCACAATCACAGGGTCCGTCATCGGAGCCAATCAAGACACTACGACGACAACGCACCTCTATATTCGCATTCAATCGGTCTACCAGTGGTACCTCACTTACACCAGAGAAGGCACACAAACATAGCCGCAGCCTCACGCCCGAATCCGCCCCCGGCCCCAAACGCCTTGACCGTATCGACGACCCGAATTCAACCGTGAAACTGAAAATGCCTAAACAGCCATGGAACAGCTCAACAAAAGTTGAGGCGCCGGATCCTGTGGCGACCATCAAGCCAACTCCCCCAAAGCGGCCAGACGCAAAGTCTATCCTCAATCCGGAATGTGCCCCTCTTGTGCCGAGCACGCCTTCACGAAGGAGCCTCAGCCGTAGTTCAAATGCGTCTTCACGGCCTTGGTCTCCTATGACTTCATCTGCATCCACAAACCCCTCTATTCCTCCTCTTCCATCTCTACGTCCACCATCACGAGCTCAAACACCCAGCCTTGGGGCGACACCACGCCCGCGGCCCAAGACCCCAAGTCACATTCCCGCACCCGCACTGCACTGGCGCCCCATGTCTGTACGGCAGCCTGATGCTGACGATGACGAAGAGTTCACGACTTTGATGCAGCGTGCATTTTCGCCTCCACATACTAATACATCTCCCAGCACCGTCCGTTCGTATACCTCGAGCGGCGTGCGTATTCCCCCACCACGCCCTCCAAGCCGATCACAGATACCCCTTCCCAGCGTGCACGTCTCTTTCGAATCACGTCCCTCGTCAACGATGTCCTTCTACCTGCCCCCAAAGCCCCCTTACCCCAGGGTCTCTGCTCAGGGCACAGACGCCCGAATCGCAATTGAAAGCAAAAGCTCAACAGATCTCGTCTTACGGAGGCGCAGGAAACAGCGGTATACGTACATCTGCGCGGCAGATTGTCGCAGGGAAGCTCCCTCCTTCATCATTCCGCGATTCGTCGACGACCCGGACGCCCAACTCGCGTCCGGGGTCACGGTCAGGGTCGTACACACCCATGGAGCGTGACCCGATACACATGTACGTCCCCGCGAGTGACAAGGACCCACTCGACGTGGAGGTGGCGGCGATTGTGAATGCGATTCCTCACGGGCTGCTGATTGAGCGTGTAGATCCCCCGCTCAAGGCGCCGCCGAAGGAGGGAGAGGAGATTAGGGCGTCATATGCGTTTTCGAATAGTTTGAGTCGGAAAGTGGTGACTTGTAAGCTGACGACGCTGACGCGCTCCGGGGCAAGGGGGGGCGGGATGTCGAAGAAGGTTGTATGTCGGGTTGGAGGAGGCGGGTGCCTGTTCTGTTCCTCTATTAGTGGAAGGTGTTAACATGGACTTTTTCAGGTTGGCAAGATTTGCAGCTCTACATGCTCAACCGTCAGGCAGGCATGCAGATTTGAACGAGAAACAGATACCCATGCATCAGACCTGAATTATTTTTTCACTTTGCACTTCTTCATATTTGATCAATCACGATTCAGCACCGTCGCACATAGAGAATCGCTAGTCGCGGAACAAGTTTACTGTATTGCATCACGATTATATCCTCATGTTCATTATGTCCGCTAACGCTTTGTGCAGTTTCCTAATTCTTGTTATCTTGGCCAGGGTTTAGTTGCAGCTTGCTATTGAATTGCTATGATGTTTGGCTCACGAGCGATGACAATGTTTGGTTTGACGCGTGCATGTCGACATCATCGATACTCATCGATCGAATATTAAAATGTTACAACATATATACCTGGTCTTGTGCATGAGAAACTTCCAGCGCTCATCTAGCACATACTCGCATATAAACCTATTCTAATAACCCGCCCAGCTCTTCACCTTCGAGAACCAAAACGACCGTTCGTTCCTCAGTGGCAGTGGTACCGCCTCCCCATCTTCCACATTGACTGAGTCATACCCAATAAAATCGAGCTTATTCCACCGCCCAAGGGGACGTGAATGCAATGCGAGCGTCATCTGGAAGAAATATCTGTTCGGCTGCGGGTCTGTAGTGGCGTACGTGTGCGAAAGGTGCTTCTCAACGAGGTTCGTGATGTAAACAGTGCTGCCGGAGAGAGACCAATTGCCGATGTAGAAACCCTGAGATGGATGTGGTTGAGTTTGGGGTTGGGGTGAGATAAGTGTGCGCGTACCTTCATGCGCAGATTCGGCTTGAGCATTGGAATGACGATTTGAGGTTGCCATTCCTCGTTAGCGAGGAGGGACAGTACTTGTCCGTTGGGAAAGAATCGGCTGAAATATTGTCAACGAGGGTAAGAGATGGCTCAGGCATGAGACTTACAGGTATCGATGATACGTGATGAGGTGAGTTACCTACAAGGGAGTGAGAAACTCAGCACGTCGAAAATCATGTCGGAACATTCTCTACGTACGTTTACCCAAGCGTTCTCGCTAGAGCCTGCCCGCCTATGATTCTTGTAAGGAAGCGGAGATAATATATTTCTGAAAGCATGACTTACATGTAATGGCAAACAGCAATGTAAACTCCATCTAACCGCAAGCGGGGGTGTTCGATATAAGCTCTCCGGTAGTCCGAACTGTACCGTTCCACAATATTCGTTATAGGCTCATCATCAGCAATCTGGGGAGGTTTATATGCCAAATGGACAAAATCTCTGTTGCAAATATTTATAACGCATAAGTATATGCAGGAGACAAGCACCATACCTCCAAATCGCAGAATCCAAACTAAGCACTCGTGCTTTACGACTGACAGCCGCAAACCGCTCAATCGTGGTGTAGTCAAGAATTCGGAGGATTTGGAGCAAAAGCTCGTCAGGGATGAGATTAATGGGTAGTCCCTCCTTCTCATTCTCCGGCTCAAAGACAGGATTCTCAGGAAAGCTCTTGAGTACTTGTGCTAGATACCCTGACGTCACGAAGGATTTATCCTTGCTATTCTTGTGCACTTCGAGCTTCTGCACATCCCGTGTAACTCCATCTACAGAGACAGTGGATGGAACCTTCCTGTGGCTAGCTGGCTTGGCGGTAGAACGTTCCTGTGTGCGTTGTTCTTCTATGAAGTACGCACGGTCAACGTTCGCATCGAGACGAAACGCCTGACGATAGAGCTGGAGAGCTTCATCTAGCCGGCTATGTTGCTCGTGAACAACTGCTTTGCGATAGACCTCGATAGCATGAGCCAGATTGGGACTGAGATGAGATTGGCCGTGAGATGCGGTGTGGGTTGTGACGGTAGGCGCACCTGCGACGACATGGGTTGCAGGCCCCCGAGATGCTGAGAGTGTGTTAGTGATTGTAGTGGGTTTTGTTCTGGCATCACTCCGAGCTAGGGCAATGGCGCGTTCTGCAGCAGTGCTGGCACCGGGAACGGTTTGAGTTTGCGTGCCCGACGTAGCAGCCCGCCGTTCCCTGACCTCGGCCTTCCATTGTTCTCTAAAACGTGCGAGTTCTGCGGGCTCCTGCTCTGGTGCCAGGATATCTGAGGTCCCTGCGCTCATTCCACACCTGGAAACTGATACTCAGCTAGCTAGACAAGAGTCAGAATATGACTCAGACTCGGAAGCGCTTGCGAGTTCTTACTTTTACTAATACTAATCGTGACCGGAACTTCGGAAGCCGCGAAACCGCCAACGTTTCCTTGCACCCTGAGCCTGAGATAGTTTTGGCGGTGAGTCCAGGTGACAATATTGTGAGTATAAAAAAGCGAAGACCGCGCTATTGACATAAATAAAGCATAGAGCGACTGCGTTAGCGGGGGATACGACGGAGGGTAGTACTAATTAAGCCAGTGTATAAAGTCCAAGGGTAATCCAAGGCGTCAAAGTGGCCTTCATGACTTTAGGACGCCTAGACGTTTCAGCTCTTCACAGCTATCTATTTTCTCCGCCTCTATTGCTTTTACTTTCTCCCAGTCCGTGCCAACACCGAATAAACCGACTTCTGCATCTCTCCTCCGTTGCCGCCTATCAACTGCACGCTGACAATCGTTGTAGAGAGTGTTCGTGTAAACTTGTTCCACTTGCCCTTCAAATCTTGACAGAGCCGATCCGCGTCGATGGGTGCCCCCAGCGATGTCAGCTGCAATCTGCCGATGATTCTTGAACTCATGCTCATTAACATGGTATTTGATGCCAAGTCCACTCGTTTGCCGTTCAGTATTGAAACGTGTTGATGGTGAAAAGGAATACCGCGGGTCGGGTATTGACGTAGAGAACAAATCCGGAATTGCACTCAGGAATGAGAACGCAATAAGCAATATGAGGGGCAGGAGCTGCATAAGCAGCGAACGACCCTGTGCCCCTTCACCCTGCTGCTGTGCTTGCGCACCACCCATATTTGTACGCATACGTGTCGTCCGGAAGCCTCCTGGGCCAAACGATGCAGTGAATACTGGACCGCCGCCAAAAGGACTGCCTCCAAATCCACCACCGTTCATCGCCATACCGCCTCCTCCGAAGAACATGTTGAAAAGATCCTCTGGACTCATCTCGCCTTCGCCTCCGAATGGACTTGCGGAGAAGCCGGGCCCGCGGGAAGACATACCACCAGAACGTGATTCTGGATCTGACCCGGATTGGTCGTAAATTGCTCGCTTCTGGGAGTCTGAGTGAATGTCAGGACCGTCTAGTGCATTAAATAAATCAAGCATACCTGAAAGCACTTGAAAGGCTTTGGAAACCACTGCAACGAGTCCATGTGAGACACTTCGCGTACATGATGACGATACTAGACGTACTCTTGAATGCTTCATCTGCTCCAGGAGCACCGTTCTTGTCAGGATGTAGCGCAAGGGCAAGCTATAATAAATCACAGGATTAGAATGTATATTGTTAGCTTGCGAGATCATGTATGTTAATGTACCTTTCTGTAGGCTTTCTTTATCTCAGCCTCCTCGCAATCCTTCTTGACCGACAAGATCTCATAGTATTCCGTAATTTTGCAAGCCTTTACCCGTTTCACAACCTTCAACTGCTCAGCAGTGAATTCCCGTTTCTCACCTCCCATCCCTCCAGCGGTGCCATTCGCACTGCCCGTAGTCCGATGCTTGGCACCAGAAGCGGATGGGTGTGTCTCTGTAGAAGACGAGGACGCCTGTGCATTACCATTTGATGTTGAAGGGCCTGCCCCAGCTGATGAGGAAGACGATCCAGATGCCTCCGCGGCTTCGATAGACTCCAGAAGCTTTGCAGCCTCGGGCGTGGAAAACAGGTTTACAGATTTTTGGCAAAATTTGCGGGCTGAAGGGAGATTACCAGCGTCCTTGTATTTTTGCGCGATTGAAAGACACTTTATGGCTTCGTCTTTGTTACCTTCCATCGCTTGAAAGCAAATGCAAGTACAGTGAGCTGGCGACTTGGGTAGTACTTGGGAGGGCTTCTCGGTAAGAGTGAACGTGTCCTTATTCGGCAAGTGCCTTTCGGATTCAATAATATCCTGAGCGTCACTCTCAGAGCGTTGATTATGTAAACCATTTATTATGAATTAAAACCAGTACTTGCTTGGAACAAAAAGGATCAGGTCACAGGTTATAAGATGATCAATAATTCAGTCCATGCACTGGTGCGGCTGCAAGCCAGTGTTTAAATACGAGCTTGGTCATTCTCGTCATGATTGTGCGTCCAGTTCTTTGGCTTCCTGTAAATTTGCATGATCTTCATTGCCAGTCCAGCGGCTACTAGTAGAAAATCCGCACAGGCCCGTTCTTGCGTTCCCAGCTTGTAATAGTCTGCATTGCAGCAATAATCGGCACGTTGTTGCAACTCGACGCGCTCCTAGTAGCCGGCATTCATAGTTAACTTGCTGATTTCACTCCTATTCCAATATACCTCAACAGTCTTTCCTGACAGTCGCGTAAATAGTCATACGGCCAGACCAGACTATACTCAAGTTTCACTCCCGGATGTCAACCTCGGTCAGCTTCTGGCTCCTACAAAAGGCTTGTCACCCACCTGCCCTCTCTTCAGTCCATCTTTATTGTCGCCTCACATTTATTACGCATACAGCGTATCAATATCTTCAACATCTTTATTCATTCCACTATGCCCGCCGATATGTGACAGCACATCAGTGTGCCATGTGTTCCCTCATATGACCAATTTAGACCGCCCAATCCAGCCGAAGGGCAGCGTTCGCTCCTTTCTTCCAAGCTTCGTCGATCGAGCGCGCAAAGCCAGCTGCACATCGTGATACTGCCAAGTTAAATCAGGAGGTTGACCCCGCCACTCACATTGACTCTCTCGCAATAAATCTCACATATCCGCTCGCCTTAAAGCACAACTTGTCCATACGGGGACACAGAAGGAATTGCTGTGCACCAATGTCCTTCATTATCTTCTAAATATATGCTCGAATATTACGAACCACTGCAGGCCGGGAAACTTGCTATAGCTCCAACTCTCGAAGTTCTCCACAGGCTCTGCTTGGGATTGCGTAGCATCAAACAGAAGCTCACAAAACGACTAGTACATCGGCATTCTGAGTTGAAATCACCACTGAAGTACTGACGGACCTTAAATACATACATAAAATCTATGCCTTACAAAATATCGAGAGCAAATCATCTCGTCTGCAATTTAGCCAAAAGTCAGCAACTAGTTTCGTTTTTCTGTGAAACAAAAGTGCGGATATAAGAATATGCATTTGTTCCTGACTAATTCAAGTTAAGTTACTCACACTTGTAAATGTCGATACTTCAAGCTTCAAGTTCCTTCCCAGATGGGTCGGTTTGTGGTTGCGTAGCCCCAGTGCTGAATACAATCGTGTTCTAAAACAGAATTATAATTTACGCAGTTATTCACATGCATGGTGCTCACCAAAGAAAAGGAATGGTTCTGGGTGTCGTTTCTTGAGGCCCTGTCCCGAAGGAGCGACCGACGGTTCAATCTGTACGACATGGGTAAGTTTCGGTTTAATGTCTGTCTGTTTGGCAACTAACGAGACTAGCAAGGAGTTCCCTACGACTGCACAATACGTGGGTTAATATATTTAATGTGAAGTATTCCGTATTTTTACCATTGGGCCACAGTAACCATAACCCGAGCCCAAAATCTGCGTCATTTCAGCTGTGGTAGAATGTGAGTATAAACCCACTCACAGTCTGGCTGCTTCAAGGTGGGAAGCTTGGGAAACTGGTTAGAGAGCGTTCCTATGAGGGGAGAGGCATTGATAACAAAGCCCTCACCAAAATTGCCAATGTAAGGGCCATCAAACTAATGGATCATCGATCAAAAATATTGTAAGCCATAAAAGAGTCAAATACCTAGTGACCAGGCCAGTTTCTGTGTAGAGTTATGTTAGGAGGGAAAGAGCATCTGATGAAGGCGCTTCCTAATATCTCACCGATTGTCCATTTAAGCAACCGGTCGATCATCGAAACCGTGCTATGGTAAATGTAAGAACAGCAACTTGAGGGGAAATAATAGCTAGCATACCTTTTAATCTCACAGTCTCGTTCCTTGTATAAACTCCAGGCGATGGCAGCAGTGGTGAGTAAGTCGCAAGCTGCACGTGCGACGAAGGAGAGCGTCATCAATTCCATTCGACCGTCTTCAAAAATCGTGAGGTCTGTCATATAAAACGCTCTCGAGGAAAGAATGAGTGTAGAAATTTGCGCAACAACTGAGATCATTTCGCAGAGAATAGGTAAGAAACCTTTTTTAGACAACATCCAAAGTCGAAATACGTAAAATGCCTGGTATGACCCATAAGCAACAATGAATGAAAATGAATTCGGAATCATTTGCCTGCACGATAAATGCTGTGAAGGCGCTCAATGGAATGGCCAAGTCTGCCGCCACAGGGATCACCTTGAGTTGAGATGGGTCACCATAGGTGTTGACAGTCATTGTCCACAACGTCGATGTCACACAAGCAAAGTGGCCCAGCTGAACCAAGCTGCAGAATTTGTGTTGGTATTCGGAGTAATCAAGTAAAATATCGGGGCGCACACGACTGCAGACACCTAATTGTATGAAGCGATCAGTAAAATCAACGATAAATTGTGTGGTTGATCGACCTACAGTTGCTTTCAGGACGACATGGTCGCTCTTGAATCTCGTAAAATACAAGTAGGACTGACAAGCAAGGCAGCCAAATAACGCAACGCTCAACAGTCCACAGACTAGGACCGGTCCGATGATCAACGTTAACCCTGAATTGATATCGCTCGCTCGTTTGAAGCTATTCATGCTGCTTGTACTAAGTTTTGCAAGGTTATAAAAATTGTGTGATCATTCGGACTGACTTACGAAGGTGTTGATTAGTTGGGGATACAAGGGATCGTCGAGAGTTGCGACCACCAGAGCTGAAGAAAGTGGAGAAATGTGGCTCCTCTGACAGATCAGTGCGAATGCATATAAGCACCTGAGTCGGAGGCAATTAATATAGACAGAACACAGTCTTCGCTGCACAGTAATAAATAGTGGCCGCTATGATGGCCTTCAATTGGTCGCAGTGTGGCACGAGGTGAAATTACGGGCCACGGTACCGAGCGCGCACAGGCTGGCACGACTCGGTCCGAGTCCCAGCCAATTGATATGAAGCAACCAACAACTTCATCAACGATCACTGCGGAAACGAGAAAATAGACCATATCAGTGAAGGGACACGCAACACACGCAGAATTATTGTGTCGTACAATGCATTTAATCGGACTCGCAATTGTTTTAGGTTGAGGTGGTTGCTCGCGTAAATAAGTATCATAGTAGGTCATCGGAGGCAAATAAGTATAAACAAAGTTTACAGCCTTAGGGTGCTTCGAGCGCACTCGAGATGATCATGCATCTGATCAAAACTGATATTCTTTTCATCTTGAGATTGATTGAACTATTTTCAGCGTTTAATGAGATACGAGGTCCAGTCTGAAATATTAAATTCACTTTTCGATATGCATTGCAGGTGCAAGTTGTACAGCATTAATTGTCATTTCATAGAAAGTTCCCGCGTCTTATCCGAATATGTTCGGGACAATGACTTACCACCCTAATAGCTATAGCAAGTGGGCGAGGTCTTGCAATATGTTTGTGATGTCCACATAACGAACATCTTCTACGTACACCGCTCCGGTTCCTTCTTTTGTTCGATTTTCAGTCCTCCAAACTGTCGAGTTCGTCGTACTTCGTTCCTCCTCACTCGCTCCTTTAGACTTTCGAATCCCGCCCACCACTCCTCTATAATAGTATCCATTATTCCACACACCATAGTTCGCAGTATTTTCATATTGCAAGTCCTTTCGTTGCACACATTGTCAATTAGATGCTTATCATACTAGTCCTTGACACGTTCGAATTTCGTGAGCAGGTTTACCGCCCTCCCAGCGGCTCCACCTGCTCGCGTATCACCCCGAGCTGATGCTCGGCCCAGCCCAACCTCTTAGAATGTGCCAGTGACCATAAAGCTAGACGAAGCTGGGATAACAGACCAATGTACATTGAACTGCCTCAGAACCGGTCCGAGGTAAGTACTTGGTCCGACGCTAACACAGCTGCTGACATGTAGTGTCAGCAAGGCCGCCAAGGCGCCTGCGACCGCAGCATGCAAAACTGACCCAAATAGCAGGTCTCTTTCTCACCCCGTATCTCTCCTTCCCCTCGATTACTATATTGACTTTGCGCCGTGTTTCACTGTCCAGTCCGTTTGTACGACCCGACATCCTTTATCGATCAAGGTCATGTCACACGAAGAGGCTAAGTTAAGCACGTTGATGAGACGGGGAGAAGCGCTACTGCACTCACTGATTTCTCGGACGAGCGCGAAGGATCCACCACTATATGGTGCACAGCACCGCCAGGATGCACTTTGGAAAGGTGAGCAGCTCCCTCGTGGTACCCACTGCTTACTCAATTAAAAGTAGGCGGGAATAAAGCGCTTCCTCCCAAGTGGCAACAATACAAGACGCCGAATGGTGAAGGACGATATCAAGACAACACGCTCACGATGACCTCGTGCAACCGACCTTTACCGGGAGTGCGACTAGGTGAGTGATGAAATCGGGACAAGGAGCGTCGAACTCACGGTTGAACATAGATGATCCTGGAGATCTCGTTGTTCCCGAATGCGAATGGCACATCTCACCACTGGGTCGGTCCTACTTCGTCAACCACAATACTTGTACCACGTCATGGAAGAAACCCAAGCCCGAACGTCCAGCAGGAAGCTTGAAGCCGGAGCGCGTCATCGAGGGTCACTCCGACTCCATATGGGACCTTACCTACTTGGGTACCAGTGGCAATATGATGAGCGCGTCTGAGGATAGTTCGATTCGTCAGTGGAAAAGAGACGGAGAGCCAGTAGGAAAACCTTTAAATAGCGATGGGGGAGCGATAGGCTCGATGGCAGTCTCCCCAGATGAAACAATGATCGTATGCGGAAGTATGGATGGCAGACTGCGGTTGTGGAACATAAAGGAGGGCAGGATGATTGGGAATCCGTGGAAGGGGCATGATGCTCTAGTGAGGTGCATTGATTGGTCTTGCAATGCCCTGGAGATAGCGAGTGGATCTATAGACGGCACCATACGACGCTGGAACCCGGCGGATACTGGTCGACAAATAGCACCACCCATTAAGACCGATGGGTTATGGCTGTCAAATATGATCCACAGGGCGGCAAATTTGTCAGTGGCGGCGTGGATTCGGTGATCCGGGTGTGGTCAAAGGACGGCAAGCTGCTTATGGAGATCAAGGGACATGACAACTGGGTGAGGTCTTTGTGTTGGTCCAAGGACGGCGCACATATATTCTCCGGGTCAGGTGATGACACCCTCCGAAAATGGCAGGCGATCGATGGACAGGAACTCGTTATTTTTCGGGGTCACACCCGTACCATCAGGTCCCTCTGTCTTACTCCCAATGAACGTTATATTGTTAGCGCATCATTTGACTGCTCCATTCGTATCTGGGATCTCAAGACCAATCAGGCAGTCGGAGATCCACTCTGGCATGATGACAAAGTCTTCGTTGTTGCCATTTCCTTCGATGGAAAATACATTGCCAGTGATGGAACAGAGAAAAAGATCTACATATGGAGCCTGGAGAGGGCGCTCAAAGTTGTGGTAAGTATGCGTTTTGTTGCTTAATTTCCCTGCCTAACGGTTTTGACGATTTAGGGCGGGACAGAGACCGGTACTACCGTCGAGCCTAATACTACTTCACGGGATCACACACGATCCACAGAACAGACACAAGCACCGTCAAATCCACTACAAGATCTTACTCATATGCTCCGGGGAAGATCACACCATCCGACAACTCAGGGAGGCTTCGGAGACATATGGAAGTGTGATTTAGTGAAACCCGATGGGACTGTTGAGGTATGTTCAGCTTTTCGCACTTCCTATGGTTATCATCCTGATGATGATCAAGGTAGCAGTGAAGACTATTCGTGCTTTCCAATCCGACGATGAGGACTCGATGCGGAAGAAAAGTAAGGTGATGTGCTCTTCCAGGGCGTCGCGCGTGTCATCTTATCTTACTAGTATGTTGAATCGACTTTAGAGAGTGCGTCGCGAACTCAAAGTTTGGGGTCGTCTCAAGCATGATAGCATTCTTCCACTCTGGGGAGTGGCGACTGACTTTGGACCCTACCCTGCAATGATCTGCCCATGGGCTAAAAACGGAACACTCACGGGTTATCTTGAGAGTCAAAGCTCGTTGTCATCTCACGATAAGTTCTCCCTTGCAAGTCCCGCATATCTAGCATCCCCAGATACTTACTGACCTTCTCGCACTTACCAGCTGAATGACATTGCTCTTGGTTTGCAATACCGTAAGTTTGTCGTTCACTTCACTCCATTTCTCAAATACTCACGTCGATTCAGTCCACAGCAAATCAGTTGTCCATGGGGACCTGACAGGGGTGTGTACCACCACACACAGAAGAATCACATTATTGACGTGCCAACTCTCCAGTTAAATGTCTTGATTTATGGTAACGGTCGGGCATGCCTTACTGATTTCGGTCTGTCCACTATAATCATGGAGTTCCTTGGTACCTCATATATGACGAGCTCCATCCGAGGGAATGTTCGATGGGCATACGCAGAGTTATATCAAGTATCAGAGGACGACGACTCGGAGGTCTTGCTCAGTCCCGAGTGCGACATATACTCATTTGGCAGTATCATGCTCCAGGTTGGTGGCTCAATTTTGAACGAAATATATTGTTTAATTTGCGCATGCTCTAGATATCGACTTGCAAGGTGCCCTACTACAATGTGAAGACAGATTATGCGGTGTTGGCACGAGTCGTCAAGGGGATGAAACCGGAACCTCCAGAGGAATCGCAAATAGCGCCTGGGCACTGGGAGTTCTTACAGCGATGCTGGTTGCCTCGTGCAAGTCGTCCGTCGATTGCAGAAATCGTCAGGTTTATAGCATGTGAACGACAGGCTGTGTCATCCTAGTCGAACGTGGCGTGATCTGATTTGAATTTGGAAACCATATAAATGTTGTCAGTCTTCGCAGCATGGCTCCTGGAAAGAAGGTCCATGGTATTCATGATGCTAGATTACGAAGTATGTTACATGCAACGAAAGCAACCTATATGGCAAAAACGGGTATAAATGTGCGAAAGCTTGGTAGATCAGTAGATTCCGGGTATGAACTTGTATTTGACGATGGAACAATAACGCTCCCAATCTTTGCCATACTTGATCGAGCAGCGTTCAAAGTCACGCCCGCAGCGGTGGATGAGTACTGTGATGAAGAAAACGGAATAGAAGTAAGGAATGATGGTCGCACTTCCGATAACAACACCCCAGCAGAAGCTCATGGTCCAGTCGGCAACATAGTTCTAAGAAAAGCAACGAGGTTAGTAGACCGAGCACATAATCATGGATCTAGCCTACAGGTTTACGAGAGTATCTCCACCAACCACTGACAAGAAGGCGGTTTCTGAAATTGCAGGGTAAGAGAGTGATGAGTTGAGAATCGCCGAGAGACTTGCCCATGTGCCGTTTGGATAAACTCAGGGTTCTTGAGGGTTCCCCCTGGAAGCTGCGGGAATGTATTGCGGAAAATTGTGATGCCTTGTGTTTGCATTTTGAAGCGACTCTTTTGTGACATCGAGGTGTCCCAACTACGAGGAAGAATGTCAGCTCAATGACGGAAAACGAAATCGTAGAGTCGTACATGTAGTATGCTGTCAGTAGAGTGGTGAAAAGAACGACGTATGTAGGTGTAGAGAATTGATAATTAGAGGGATCGTGCGAAGCCATGTATACCACGGAGTATACGTAAGTCTACAATGCCAGAGATCAGCCAAAGTTGAAACATGATAGGAGTTGCGCACGAAGGGAACGCCGGCAAAGTTCCAGAAGATGACCATGAAGCCCCATCTGAGAAAATGTCAATCGGATAAACAAGTGTAAGGATTACTACCCACTTCTCATGATACATATCCCACGTTTGGGGGATGCACTCTTCGCCCTTCGCGCTGAAAATGGGATCAGGCACGCAAGTTCCAAATTCTCACGTTGAGACATACCATGCATTAAGGTAGAGCCATGTTGCCAAAATCATGAATGCCATGTTCTGCATGCTTGTAGGTTATTGCATGACTGAAGCTCAAAGAAAGGGACGCACGGGGGTGACATAACCATAATGTTCATACTGGTGGCAGCCTCCGGACACAGCCAAAAAGAAGACGATTACCCAAGGAATCCGGACCTCGGCCCACATCTTCAAATCAACTGAGCCGATACGGGGATTCAAACAAGCACCCATGAAGACGTCATAGATGAAGTTCCCAGACATGCGGATCTCGTTCCCGGCTGCAACTGTAATGAAATACATACCAAAAGAGACAGCAAAACCGTAAATCATCGCGACCGACATGATGTGGCCATAATTGTCGATAATTTCGGTGAGACGGAAAATGTGGTAGTAGTGCAGAGCAGCAGCAGTCAGCATAGTTGCGTAGAGAGAGTAGAGCGCATTGCAGTTATACATGAGGGTCTTGTACCCAAGAGAAGGCACAGGAAGACCTTCTTGTTGGTACCCTGGCATAACCAGTGCAAGGAAGAGCTGATAGACCACGAGACCAGTATAGACTTTCCAGGCGTATGCATTGGGGCTTGCGTCCTGTAGCCAGTTGAGGTCAAGAAGATTCCCTAACTCTTGCAAGTACATACGTTGCGAATATGTTCCCACATCCTCCCAAGGAAGGGAACAATGTCCTCAGATGATATAGGGTACACAAGTTTACCGTCATAAAACCACAAGCATATCCAGAGATAGTACATGAGCATGGGGAAGCCCACCATCATTGCAGTCACTCCTGCAGGTCCACCAAATTCATACCTAGCAGACGTGAATGTGAAACAGCAAATACACACGACTGAGGCAAAACTTACGTGTGATGCTCGTCGAGCAATTGGTCCACTTTGCGGCCCTCATCGGTGGTTGTTAGTGGCTTTGCAGACGCGTCGACACTGCGGTGTCTCAACTGGTTCCCTGTGCCACCGTAGGACTGAACCATTTTGAAAATGTAGACCTTGCTAGTCTCAAAGTGGAACGAGAGTGATCAGAAATTCACGGAGTTAGAATATACTTTAATCTCCGTTTAAACTTTGTTTTTGATCTCCTTTCCCGTTAGCCACGTTTCTCGTGTAAACGCTCATCATCTTCTACCCGGCGAGACCAGACGACGTGTACCCGCTTCATCTGTCTGTAGTCAACGTGTTGGTCAGTTTTGCGCTGATTTCATTGTCGTGTATATCGTAGCAGCCGTCCAACAATCCATTCTTTGCCTCTTCATGGCTTCTTCAGTTTTCTACAAGTTCAAATCCCAGAAGGATGAGTCTCGGGTGACCTTTGATGGCACCGGGATCTCTGTTTTTGACCTGAAAAAGGAAATCATATTGGCCAATAGCTTGGGTAAGGCAAATGATTTCGACCTGTATGTTTATGATGCTTCGGCGCAGCAAGGTGCGTTGTAAATGCATTATACCACATCTGAGACTTCATGTGCATTTCAGAGTATAAGGACGATTCTCAGATCATTCCTCGTTCTTCATCTATTATTGTGAAGCGTCTCCCTTCATCGCGCCCAGGAAAGGGCAAGGCAGCCATGTACCTTAGTGGTACCAACGGTGGTACCCACACTCCTACTTCTGATGTTGTCCAGAGACCTGGTGGAAGTGGTGTTTTATGGCACAAGGGTGCGATGTCGAAGCGCTTCGACATAAAAGAGGAATCGTCTCCTATACCAAAATCCGCTGGCGTACGTAGTTGTCATATGAAACATATACACCTCGCTCGAGAGCGAGTCTTACGCCCAATGCAGCCAACCTCTATTCCCAAAAATGCCGTCACAAAGGACGATGAGGCAGCCGCGATGGCTGCTATGTTCCAGGCCCAGACTGCTAACTGGGAGGAAACCCAGGAAAAGATGTCTCAGTTGGTATCGCGTTTTTGCGCTTTTTGTCTTAGTAGTAGAACGAGTCTCATGAACGTGATTTTGCTTTTTCTTGTGCCCATTAATTGGGTGTAAACAGCGCTGTGCCTATATATAACAACCCCAGGGGGACATCTACTAGTCGTGGTGGAAAACCATTTACTCATCAACGTCCCCAGCCAGAACGTCCGTTGCCTCCTAGTTATGTTTGTTACCGATGTGGGCAGAAAGGTCGGTCGCTGTGCAATTGTGGACTTTAGATTGTCTTACACGTAAACCTCTTGCAGGTCACTGGATACAAGATTGTCCTACGAATAGCGATCGTGAGTTCGACAACAAGCCTCGAATCAAAAGGACTACTGGTATTCCACGAAGTTTCCTGAAAGCCGTTGAAAATCCAAATAAGGGCGAGATTACCCAAGGTGTGATGGTCACACCCGAAGGTGGTTATGTCGTTGCCCAGCCTGACTTGTAGGTTTTTGGTTCGTTCTGTGATATAATGCATTTTAACTCGGCGGCAGAGCTTCTTGGCAGAAGCAATTATCCCGTCCGAAGGGTTTGACTGCTGCCGACGTTCGAGAACGCCCTCCTACCGATGCTTCCCTTGCCTGTCCTATAGACAACAGATTATTCCGTGACGCTGTCAAGACGCCTTGCTGTGATACTTCATATTGCGAGGAATGTATCCAGACACATTTACTTGAGCGCGATTTTACCTGCCCCAAGTGCAGCAAGAAGATAGCTTCACTTGACAAAGTTGTCATGGATAAGCCAATGCGAACGAGGGTCGCTGACTATATCGATAAAGTTATGGAAGAAAGTAGAAAAGAAAGTGAAGAGGGTTCCGCACATTTCTTTTCTAACGGCCAGGTATGTTTACTGTTCAGACGTCGTGGTTAGAAAATGAACATGTTCCGGATAGGGTGATGCGGACAACTCCATGAACGACGACTTCTACTCAGATCAGCAACCTAGCATGGATATGTCCCAAATGATTGTTGACAACATCCCGTCCCTTCAAGCTCAGATTTCTCAAATATCGATCATGCTTCAGAATCCATCCCTACCAAACCAAGTGCGGCAGACCACAGAAATCAAGTATCAGCAACTCCAGATGCAACTACAACAAGCTCAGGCCATCGCTGCGACCCTTGCTGTTGCGACCAGTCTTCAGCAGCAGCAGCAACAACAACAACAACAACAACAAGCAGCAGCAGCAGCAAAATGTCAATTCCTTGGCCTACGGGATGCAAGGTCAGCAGTGGACGAATCAGTTCCCGAGCCAACAACCAGCTGGCCATGACTCTGCTTATCAACGGTTGCCCGTCAACAATCGCCGCCGGAACATGAAGCGGGATCGTCCCTCAGATTTCTTAGATGTCACTGGTGAAAGTGAACACAAAATGCCAAGGTATTGGGAGTAATTCGAAGTCTCCTGGATGGAGAGGAGGGTTGCATTCGTAGACTACACAGATAGCTAATATATATCGCACTTTGCATGTATACACGGGCAAAATATAGTTATTTTACCCTGATATTTCCGAATTGGGTGCTGCCTTTACGATAGGTACCGCCATCAAGATGAGGCCAGCACGACTTCAACTCGAGTATGACTGCAAGTTTCGCATTGAACCCTGTCTATTTCCGAGTACACTGGACTTGCGCTAGGCTCGTGACCATACTGTCTATTATTAAACAAACCGGACAGACAATTCACCATCAATCTAATTTCCGAGGCGCTTTGACTTACATGCACAACTTGAATGCATTCCAATTCACATCGTGCCGGGGGCGAGCCAGAGTTCAGTGCTAGCGCCCGGCTCTACCTCTCAGTACTACGAGATCTAAGTGGTCCATTTTGCACATTGTACTATGGATTCAGCGACCAAAAGTTCTGTTGTCCCTGTGTCGCTGACGGATTCCAGTTCCCAAGCTCGCGAAACTACCGAAAGGTCTAGGACAGGGACCGCTATTTTGGCGCATGGACAACTTGTTGCGACCCCTACATCTGAGTCTACTATCACACCTGTGCCCTCTAGACCTCTCTCGTACGTCGAGCACACACAGGCCGTAGAGTCTGGCACTGGCACTAGTTCAACGCAGGTGGACCCTACACCTCTGAATCTGACAACAAGATCTACTTCAGACCCTGCTTCTCAAACATCAGAAAGGCATTTGTCGTCGAAAACAAATGGCCCGTATCCTGCTAGGTACTCAAGGCGCGGTGCTCAAAGCGCTTCAGGAGAATTCGATCACCTCGCGCGTGGAACGAGTAGGGGCAGAGATTTCCTCCCTCGGAGGGCGACTTTGCAGAGGTATCCCAGTCTCCCAAGTGACTTGGTTCCAAAGACTACCTCGCAGGCGAGCTTGAATCGTTCTTCTCTATGTGACACATCCCTAAATGTTTATCTTCCAGCTCATCTGCACTGTCCGGGAGCGCCTACAACCAACTGTCCAAGCAGCTGAACATGAGAAAGCCAAATACGCAGCCAAAGGTGCATTGTTTCGTTTATCGCCTTTTCGAGTTGAAATATATTCTGCCGCCTAATTATGCCTTCAGCGAAGTGGACAAGCTATGCACTAAACATTGCCATTGGCCTGCAAGTTCTTCTCGCTAGCCTGACTACTGGTTTGTCTGCAGTCGCAATTGGAAAGCAGGTGAGCAACTTGAGGAACTTGTCATGTCTTGAACTGATGAACCATCGCAGGCCTCTGTCATGATCGTCATACTTGGCAAGTGACGCGTATAATAATAGTATCCTATCTAGCTGACTGTTTAACTCATTTCAGGGGCGCTCGCTACTCTAGTCGCATCATACCTCGCTCGTATGCGTGGTTCAAATGAACCAGAGCTTTCAATCACCCGAGTGAAAGACCTTGACCAATTTCTACGAGAATGCAAAGCATTCCAGCTAGATCACGGTAACGAGTCAGGAACCAGTGAGAATGGGCTCAATAAAAGAGTGGAGGAGTTCCGGTCCAGATTTGAGGATTTGCTTGGAAATGGAGATGGGTGCGTATAACTTAAAGCATCCAGTCTTTTTTCACTGACCATGTGGTAATTTTGTAGTCAACGGAGACTATCTGCCGTCTGATTTCTTCGTGCCGTAGTTCTATATAAAGTCTCTGTGTTGGTCGGAATCTCGTATAACTCTTTGTTTATCGTCAAGTTGTATTGTATCTGATTTATGTAATTTTTGCTGCGGACCTACCTCCGATTCTCATAATTAGTAAGTGAGATTGTCTTTGTCAGGCGCGGACCTCGGTCCGGGGACAGCATTTGTCTGTCACAATGTCACGAGTGTTACGGCACGCGTTCATACTAATAACGTGACGCGACGCGTTTGTCATATTGAATCAACGTGTTCGTTTTCTTTTTCCTCCATCACATTTTTCAGTCATGGTCAAGGCCAAAGCCAGTACGAAGCAGAAGGCCATCACTTCCTTCTTTGGTGGGAAGAAGGAGCTTAAAGAATCCGTCGATGAAGTTGCCACAGAGGAAACATCTGATGATGATGATGATGCAAAACCTCAGGCCGCTGTAAAGAAAGCACCTAGAAAGAGGGCTAAGAAGGAGAAAGTCAAGGATGATGAGGAAGAAGCATCTGATGATGATATCCCTGCTCAATCTTCAAAGACAGACGGCAAAATTGAATCGTCCACTTTACCACCTATCTACGAAACTCCTGCCATGTTCCGTGACCTGGTGTCTCGCCTTCCAGAAATCAAAGGTGTCGCTGAACATATCAAAGGTCGAAAACTGCGCGTAGCTACGATGTGTTCTGGCACAGAATCACCTCTGCTTGCTCTCGATCTTATTGGCCAGGTTATGCTTGAACAGCACGGAATCCCTTTTGAATTTGAGCACGTATTCTCTTGTGAGATCGAGCCATTCAAGCAAGCATATATCGAGCGTAATTTCAAACCACCGCTACTGTTTAGAGATGTGTGCGAACTGGGCGAACCTCAAGCGTGTGTTGTCTCTTTACTTGTCCTTATTTTATCTAATGAACGAACTATATATTTATTATATAGAACGACAGCCTATGGCGCATTGGCCACTGTTCCGGGAGATGCCGATCTCCTCGTTGCAGGCACATCCTGCGTTGACTACTCTAACCTCAATAATGAGAAGAAGACGATCGATGGCGGAGGAGAATCTGGTCGCACTTTTCATGGCATGATGTCCTGGGTCACAAATCACCGACCCCCATTAGTCATCCTGGAAAATGTTTGTTCAGCGCCATGGGATAGAGTGAAAGAGTATTTCGAGAAGCAGGGGTACAGCGCAGAACACATCAAGGTGGATACGAAACAGTACTATATCCCGCATACCCGGATGCGGAAGTATCTGTTGGCTGTCGACAAGAGGGGGTCAGGCATACCTGGAAAATGGAAGGACTTGGTGATGAACAAGCTGAAGCGACCCGCTTCGTCGACACTGGACGCGTTCCTTCTTCCTTCTGACGATTCTCGCATTCATCAAGCAAGGCAATTACTTATTCAAGACAGGCGGTGGCTCGGAATCTCGGACTGGACGCATTGACTGGACCAGGTGTGAGTCGCGCCACGCACGTGCTAGGTTAGATGAGAAATTAGGGCAGAAACGACCGCTAACGGGTTGGGAAGAAGGTAAGCACTTATTGGGTTTCGTGGTTTCTATCCTCGCTGACGTCATAACAGGCGGCACTTGCAGACTCCCTGATTTTGCATGGCAAGATTGGGGAATACGACAGGTAGAGCGAGTCTGGGACCTAATGGATATCAGTCTGCTTCGATCTGCAAAAAATGGTGTTGACCCATCATACAAGACGTTCGTAGCGTATTTTGTATGTGTCATCAAGTGGCTAATTGACTGACAGTCTCGTGTGGAACCTTTCGCAAAATGTCGATCGCTCCACCGGATCGAGCAAGACCGGCATCTGCCCTTGTCTAACCCCGTCCATGATTCCATACATCACCAATCGCGGTGGGCCCATGATCGGTGTTGAAGCACTGGCCATGCAAGGGCTTCCTATTGATAAATTGCTTCTGACGAGGGAAAGTCAAGACGAGTTAGCTGACCTTGCGGGGAATGCCATGTCATCTACTGTTGTTGGTGCATGCATACTCTCGGCTTTGGTCGCTGGCCAGAAGTTACTCAAGGCCGGTAACGACACGGAGACGTACGAGATGAAGAAGGATGTCGGTCACAACAATAACGACCATGCTATGGATGTCGACTTCAGCCTCTCTGCCACCATTGGTCTTCAAGAACGCATCAAAGGACACGAGGACCTTGTGGAGAGACCGTTAGATCTGGCTGCCATGCAGACGGGGTCGATTGCCCGTATTTTGGAGGACGCACAGAAGAGTGTTCGTCTTTGTCAATGTGAGGGCCGCAAGGATATCACGACGCGCGACCTCTTGCGTTGTGTAGATTGCAGCTCATCATCTTGCAAGAGATGTGCAGGCCGTCCTGAGCACAATTTCGTGCCTCTTGACGGTACGCAGTTGCCACGTCTTAGTCCTTCAACATTCGTGCGGGGGCTGAAGTCCACTCTACCTATGTGCATCTCCCTTACTGGTGTCGATAAGAAGCTTCTTGACAGTCTTCGAGAAACTTCAGGCGTCACAATTCCGGAAAAACGCTGGAGCAGCTGGTCCTCCGCTGTGCTAAGGGCGACTGACTCGGAGCTCCGCTTTGTCGAACCTAAGCGCCAGGAGATTTGGTCTGCTGTCTACCAATCAGCTCATGCTATTTTCGAGTTATACCTCGAGCCGAGACAGACCGAGTGGCGCCTCTACGCGAAGCCAAGTGACAATGAGCCTGCGAATGCAGAGATCCGTCGCTTACTCCAGATGCCCGTCGCGAGATTCAGATGCGAAAAGGATCTTTTGCAGGGATCTTGGCAGTTTGCTCTTCCTGTTGCACGTGAGGTCACGATTACTATCCAGGGGAGTGGAGGCACGGTTCCTTCTTGGGAAGCTCGTCTTGGCTTACTAGACGATGAGTTCAAAGATAAGGAGGTGCACTCACAGCTTCATATCGCCATCCCTGAATCTCAAATATCTTATTTTGATCGTAATATTTCCGGAGTGTATGTCCTCCTCGACAAGTGTGGGACAGCCAATGGTGCTTTACACAAAAAGCTGATTGATGATGCTGATGCCTCTTTGCCGCCACTTTTCATGATGCTGGATCCGACAAGATGCGGCAGTCCCGCGGAAGATCCATTCGTCTTCACGACGAGCATGCGGCGATATGATTTCGGAGAGTTCCGCCCCATAATCTGCAAGCTCGACCCTTCATGGAGGCAGTCGGATGTCCAGGGCGAACAGCGCGTCAAATGTCATGTCCCTCTTCACTGGATGAACTCGGAGTCGGTCAAAGTTCAAGTGAGTTAATGCCAACACAACCTGCCTGCTTCCCAATTTTGTCTCACTCTTGAAATAGCCCCTTGAGCTTGGGAATGCGTCTTTTGCTGTACCTACAGGCACCCTTGAAGCCAGCGTTACGACTAACGCATGCGGAAGCGCCAATGCCCTTCTAACGTGCACTGTGCCCCTTCTCGAGGATGCAGGTCCAGAGTGGCCTCGCGGCAATTGGAGAGAAGTCGACAAGGTTCACGAGCGTGGAACTTTCAAAGCCTTGGCTTGGCTGCTGGAGCGTATACGTCATGTGGATGATAACTTCGGTCATTGGCAGACCGTCAAAGTCCCAGATGACTTATTCCATTGCCAACGTTGTGCCCCCATCCCTCCCACTGTCAAGTGGACCAAGAATGGCAAGAAAGCAGCTGCTATTGAAGATAGCCAGGAGGCCGGACAATATGAGAGGGACCTCAAGCTTCGTCCGAGTCCTTTCGTCACGCAGTTAAAGATGGATAATCAAGTCGGCACAGTGAAAGTGGGGCTCAACATCGCTTCTATCTTACACAGGGCTCTATCACGACTTCCTACCGTGAACCGTTCTGAGCGACCGGTGCTAAGCTGGCGATTGGACACTGATTTCGCTTCTTCCGTCAAGATCCACAACCCTCCTTTCAGACTCCTCAGTAATAAGTCCGATTCAGAGCATTCGCAGCCTCCAAACTTTGATGCGGACAAACTTCCTTTGCGTCCTGAACAGCTCCGTTCCCTCACGTGGATGATTGCTAGGGAAACCGAAAACTCCGATCCTTTCATCGAGGAAGAGATATCGGAAGCTATCTTGGAGCCTCTGGGGTGGCGAGCAGAAGGTCGGGCACAGCGGCCTGTGCACATTCGAGGTGGTGTTTTGGCAGACCAAGTCGGTTATGGGAAGACCGCAATTACTCTGGGGCTTATCGACTGTACAGCGAAGAGCGTAAAGAAGGAGTTCAATGAGAAAGGCGATATCACTGGCAAGATTCCTGTCCAAGCTACATTGGTCATCGTTCCTCCTCATCTCACAAGACAATGGCGTTCAGAAGCACAGAAATTCGCGCGCAACCGATTCAAGAACATTGTGGAGATTTCCACGGCCGCACAGATCAACAATCTCACGATTGAAGATATTCAGGATGCTGACCTAGTCATCGTCGCCTCCAATCTATTCCAGAGCTCAGTATATCTTGCCAACTTGGAAGCCTTCGCTGCCGGAGGCTCCCTACCTACTCAAGATGGACGTTACTTCAACGTACGCATTGACATCACGCTGCAAGCCCTACAGAATCAAGTCGAACGACTGAAAACTGAGGGTTCTACGAGTGTCATGGCAAACATCCGAGATGCTCGAAAACGCGGTATGTTTGATACATTTGTGCTTAACGTAACTGACTGCCTGCAATAGAGGAAGAGTTGGAAGCGCAACTGTTTGTTGCACCAAAGCGTCTCAAGGGGAAGGCCTATCAAGAAGCTGTAAGCAAGCAGAAGCCTTCTCGGGTCAAGGTTGAGAACGACGATTCTTCATCGGAGAGAGAGGTTGTCCCTGCCAAACCCACCTCGTCTGGTAAAATCTGCGAAGTTGTCATCACGGTACCTCGAAAGAAGACAAAAATGGTCGCCCCGGAGACTTCGGACGCCGAGAACTCGGACTCGCCACGCCCACGAAAGCGACTCCAACGCAAGGCTTCCAAGAAAATCATAGTGGTCGATTCAGATGACGAGGCAGGAGGTGTTGAAGGCAGTGATTATGAAGATGAAGGTCCCCATGATGATCATGCGGATGATGAATCTGCCGAAGACATTTCAGACGAGGCTGATGAT